ATGGGCATCCAAAGCTGCTGAACTTGGTACGTACCGACTAGCCTTGATTGAATGTTCAAGTCGCTGACTAACAATTAAAACTAAACAGGCCTCGCAAAGGCAGAATATGCTGTTGGCTACTTCACTGAAATGGGCATCGGATGTCGACGTGACCCCCTCCAGGCGAACGTCTGGTACGTCAAGGCCGCCGATCAAGGTGATGAGCGTGCGAAGCACCGCATTGCTGCCATTCGAGCTGCAGCCGACGGTGCGAACCCGGTCAATGCGGCTCGACACGGCCGGTTCAGAAAGGATAAAAACCAAGGTGAGTCCTCTGTAAAGAACCTCCACACGATTAGAATTCAACTGACAGCCACGTTTTCCGCAGACGGCGACAAACCCAAACAGAAGCGTTTCATGATCTTCTAAGTTCCCTCTATGAATTCGCACAAAAATACATCTGCCCAAAGCGCCCAATCCAACTTTCATGAATGAATGCATTTCCAGCCTGTCTTTTCCCTCCCATTCCCTGTCATGATTCCCCCAATCCTTCTCGATCTTGATGTATTTTTCAATCTCGATTTCAACATTTCCTCTCTTCCGCATTCTGATGCCGAGTTCCATCCAGTTTCATCTGGCTATGCTCATATTGTGATTTTCCAGCTTTCCGGCATTAATACATACTCTGCATGTTCGACTGTCCCTTTTTTTGATGTGCCGAGTCGGTTTCTCGTGTCTGGTCTATGGTCTCTTGTACAGTGTTCATATACTCGTATATTAATCTATGGTTGATAGGACCTGTATGGGCTTTCTATTCGTGTCAAAGCGTAGGGACTTCGCGATGCAAACACACTGGCATATTTGAATACACATGCTCCTTGGGCTATCAAGTCATCTTATATTGAGAATCCGACAGATATTGGGGGGTGATGGAAATAAGGTCACTACTACACACATCCATCCACTATCTCAGTGCGTCGCGAGTAGCAGCCTGCGAACAACTCTGCTCTAGATGGTAACCGTCAAGGCCAACAGCGCCGGGGTGAGAATTTTCGAACATTTTTATCCCTGTGCCCAGATGGATCGTGAGTTACCACCGCCGAGAACCTTCGTGCGTATTCCCTTCCAAAATTGTCAATGATCGAGTCGTTACGGGCCTAACCCGAACCGATCAATGAATGATCTTTTCAAGACGTTCCTCAAAGACATAATGCTGCAGCAATTCCGTCTTCCACAATTTCCAGTCTGTGTCTCTCTCAATTCCAAATGTAGCCCAGATACCTCGGATTAACAAGAGTGTTTCATCCCAGGAGAAATCCACATCAAGGCCGAAGATGAATCTCCCCAAGGTGATCATCTTTTATATATTATTTTGCTTGTATTCAGTGGCACGCTGGGGCACTCTCATCCTCATGTTTATGTCCCTCAGATCGCTACCACCCGGCTCCTATGTCACGATTGATTGGTTGTCCACGATCCCTCATATTTAGCCGTTTGTTCTGATCCTTGACAAAGGGGTTCTGCATCCATAGTATGCATGGCCTTTTCTGAATTCCTTCTTCGCTGCCTCAATTTATCTGTTTCAGTAGCAATACTAGTCAGCCCTGACTGGAGTCCTTCGCATCCGGAATGGTCCATTCAGAGAGTTCCTGGCCCCCACATTGGGTGTCACTTGAGACTTTTAAACCCATCAAAAAAAGGAAATTCTGCAGTTTGAAGATTACAGATAGGAGGGAAACAAAGACAGAGATTAAAGAGCTTGAAGAATCTTCATCCTCCAAATCCTGAACTGATGGGAAGAACGGTTTAATTAGCCCTACTAATTACTAGTGGGTATCGATACCATATTCATCGTGTGATATTTGATTCAAGTTGGCAAATACATTCGAACAGCACAAGTAGATTGGGTAACACTTTTGATTTTTGGTGTTCATGATAAACCAAAAAGGTGATCAATAATAAATAGGGAATTGACCGAGGAACTGTTAAATGTTAGCACGTGTCACCTGTTATCTTCCAAGTATACATACCTGCATGGGATCATTGAACCGGAGCCCAATATCCAAAGAGCTGATCTTCTTGATCTCGCTCTCCTCCAAATCAAACTCAGTGGATGTCAAGTTCAAGCCCATCCGTTCGACATTGGTACTTCTCGGGATGACCACAATGTCGCGCTGGGTCGCCCAACGGAGAAGAACCTGCGATGGGGTCTTTTGCACTCGTTGGGCAATTGAAACAATCTCTGGATGCTCAAGAAGCGATAATATCTTTCCGGCTTCAGTACCTTCTAGCTGTGGATACGCGACGCCTCCGAAGGAAGAGAAGGCCATGACCGCAAGGCCATGCTTCTGCGCAAATTGAACAAGATGATCCTGGGCTAGGTATGGATGAAGTTCAATCTGTAAAGCCACAGGTTGAATGCGTGCATAGCGTAGGAGATCCATCAACAAGGAACCCGAGAAGTTGGAAACTCCAATGTTCTTGACGGAACCCTGATCCACCAGCTTCTCCATTGCCTGCCAGGTTTCCTGGATGCTGGCCGTACTGGTCTCCACGCGTTGATCTTCATAAAACCACCCCGGAGGATAACGCACGGCTGGATCGACGTATTTCAAGGAAATGGGGAAATGGATCAGATACAGATCGAAATAGTCCACTTGCCAATCCGCCAGTTGCTTTTGAGCTATTTCTTGCACTCGGTGCGCTTCATGATAGGTATTCCAAAGCTTGGAGACAATGAATAGATCCTCTCGTTTGACCAATCCATCTTTGATGGCGCGGGTGATGCCTTCACCAGCTCCAGCTTCATTGCCGTAGTCTATGTTCATCTGTCAGCGAAGTGCATGAGTGCCATCATAGTATGAAGTGCAATACCGCAAGCACCATCAAACATCCTGTAACCAGCTTTGATGGCATTATAGACAGCGTCGCCGCAGGAGTCATTGTCGATTCTCCATAGGCCAAATCCAACCAAAGGCAGCTTCTTGCCACCGCTACCGATCGAAATGGATGCCATTTCCAAGTTGGTTGCACAAATACACCAAGGTAGTTCGGCTTGTGCGGGTTTTTTGGGACTCAAATTCAAGTCAAGTAGGGAAGGAAGTCAAGTTCACAGTACACACCGTTCTAAGCGTAGGTGGTTTTCTTATACAGCGAAACAAAGATGGAGATGCCACAAATACCACCTTCCGAATCTGGTCCCCGGGCGGGAATTAGTCATTGAATTTGCCAGCTGCCCGCGCCTAATTTCGCTTGGACCTTCTGCCGAATTTTTGATGCTCCGTATCTATACTCCGTACTCCTCTCCGGTAGTCAGTTAAAAAGGTGGTCAGTCACTGACGAGCAAATGTAAAATCTATTTGGTGTGTACTCTGTAGCGGCTAAAGCAACAAAAAACAAAAACATACAACAGCTATTGTATGGCGGTGGTCACTTAGCGCCCACGAGTCTGTCCTAGGCGGCTCGCCGCCCTAGCGGGGCGCCCCTTCAGCCTTTCACCTGAAGGGCCGGAACTGACATGCAAAAGTCGCCTTTGTGAATTCCGGCAGGGAAAAATTTGACGAGGTGCTAGAGCGCAGATGATATTAAAATGGATAGTTTTCGCTCTTCCTCACCGGGCCATCTTCACCTGGCTGCTGCTATTGATCCCTCACTCGGTCGACTCTTCGCTGCTCTCCACTATAAAGAACAAAAAGAGCGAGTATCTCTTGATCGTTCTTGACAGTATCGATAACAAGACGATAGCCCGTATAGTCCTGTTGCAGACAGAAAGGGACTATAAGGAGGCCTTGAATCTATTTGATATGTGAGGTGTCCGTTCCTCGGCGGCTCTATTTCTGGCTAATGACCTAGTTTTATCGAGTTACACCCTATATCTTAGAAATCCGCTAAATCTTCAAATAAGTAAAGGATTCTTACTCTATATAACCCTGAAAAAATATGGTCGCATCAAAGAGGAGCCTACTTTAGAGATACTGTAGGGGTTCTATCAAGACTTTTAGACAAAAATATAGAAATTCGGAGATTTATCTTTACTATAGAATATTTCGTTACACTTAAAGAGGTTTGAACTATCTTAAACTGAAAGGTAGATTTTAACTAACTCTATAGTAGTATATTAGTAGTAATCTGAGGTCTTAACTATCTACTATAGAGATGACAAAGAATATATTTTTTCCCTAAATAATCTGATAATAGTAATAATATAACTCTAGTGTTAAGATTTGTATAAATATTATAGATATTTTCTAGATTGATCCTAGATCTAGCTGAGTACTATAATATTACTCTATCACTTTATCTCTATAAGAATAGGAGAGGTCTATAAGTTAACTGTATAGTAGAGATTGGCTAGATAGTGTAATAAAGACGATATTGGCCATATAAAACCGGCCAGCCATTTGCTGCATTGGGTGAGAGTGGTTTTGAGATGGGACCTCGAGCCTCTTGGGGAGGTTACGCATGGAACCCTTTACTGGAACAACCAGCAAGAAAATTAGAGCATTGACAACAACATTGTATTATACGTCAGACATACAGGGCATATGGCTTAATTCCGCAAATATACATACTCCAATTGAAATACCACTTTTATTCTTATCATATATCTCTTGCGACTTTTGATTAGAGCTCTCTTGCTTGGATTCGTAAGTCCTATTTCCATTGCCCATGACGACTCGTTTTTTGTCTTTCATGTTGGATTTTTCAAGTTGAGAGAAATAGAAAATGGTCACGGTTTAGTGGAGATAGCACCAGCCCAGTCAGTGAAGGTACTCAAGGAGGGAACTGAACACTTTTGGATTTGCTTCACAAGGAGTGAGACTGCTCGTCCATCAGAGTATCAAATCTAAGATTCTAGCTACAATTTATTATCAAAATCGCTCATATTTCGTGTCCGATCTTGGTGGCAGCCTCGCCATTGGGATAGCTCTATGAATCTGAAGCAAATCGAAAACCGAGTAAATGACTTAATTAATTTGACAACAAGAGTTCCTGGGTCTTCTTGAAACCCAGCAGGAACATTAAGTACGATTGTCTCTATAGAAAAGCCATTGTCTACCGGTATGCCAGTAAGGAGGTTTGCCAGCTTTCATGATCAAAAGCCGAGTTGCAGTTTGCTGGGTAAAGATTTTCCGTTCGCCCTTTGTTTGATCTAAGCGCTCACGGCAAATGTCAAGAATACTGCGATGGTGGGACTTGATTGGTGAGAAGGTAACAGGACTTCCAGAGGGGGCGAAGGAGCTGGGATCTCGTTTGACCAGACTTTCATTCCTATCGATCCAAGCAGTTATCTCCAAAGGGCTGGCTTCTCCACCCTTTTTAAAGAGTAGAGAAGCCCATTCCTCAATGGCAAGATCGACCGCCGTCTTTCCGAAGGAATTCTCCCAGCACAGTAGATCTGGCCGATATTCCAATATCAGTTTCACAAGTCCAGTAAAGTGTTTGCTGATGGTAGCATGAATTGGAAGGTTGCCTTTATCATCAGAAAGTTCTAAAAGGTCCATTTTCACCGACGTATCACACCGAAGGAGAATTTCGGCGATTTCAAGTTTGTCATCACAATCTGGGTTCAACCAACGGGTGAATGTAGGTGGTATGGGATTTTGAGAATGAGAATCTCTGCTACTGTCGATCCACAGCATGAGTGGCGTATGGCATTGTGCTTTGTTTTGCTCCAGAATCATGGCAGGAACAAGGTTCGGATCGAGCATCTCGATCATTTCATTTAGTAGATCAGCACTTCGGCAAACAATTGCTTCGTTCATGCTCCACTGAGGGCAAACAAGAGCAAGATGAAGCAAATTATTCCCAGCATGGTCTTTGACCGTTTGCTTTGCTCCGGCATCTATAAGAATGCGAGCATATTGAGGCCGACGGAATGAGAAGGCAAGACTCAAAGGTGTATAGCCCTCCTCGGTCGTCCTTTCTATATATTCGGGGTACTGGCTGATTAAGTATCGAATCAGTCGTTCGGATTCCTCGCAAGGCTCTGAATTGATCGCGCAGTGAATGACCAGGTGATCTAATTCACATTAGCAATTGTCCAACACTGCTTGAATTTTAAGGTCAAATTACCAAAGTGATGTAGAAAATCGAATACAGATTTTTCAATATTGCCCTCAGAGCCCACGAATTTTTGCACTCGGTCATCTTCTTCGTGGGCCTTGATAAACTGGACAAAAGACTCAACCGCTTCCGGGCCTATCATCCAACGTGTAGCTTCGAGATTTCCTTCCATGGCAGCGGTTAGGAGTGGCGACTTGTGATAATTTTTTGGTTGCCCTGCAGCTGATATTAGACAAAATTTCCATGATAGTAACCACCTTCCAGACACAACATACGGTCAAGGCAGAACTCTTCTTCGATCCATGGATTTTCCTGCTCGAACAGACCAACCCCAGATTCCTGAATAAGAATTTTGGCACAGTCAATTCGTCCAAACTTCAAGGCTAAAAGAAGTGAGGGATACAGAACCGAATCCAGCCTCCGGCGGCGATGATCCCTTTTAACGATCTTCTTTGTCATATTTAACAAAAATCGCAGAAGTTCAACATTGTTTTCCAATACTGCATGGTCGAGGATAGATTTGCCAGATTCGGGAAGGGGAAAATCAGTAATGATGATTTGCACGCCATCCGGCTGGCTCCAAACTCGAAATTTGTCTTTCTCTTGGGATCGAGCAGTGAATAAAGTGGCGGGACACGATGAAAGAATAGCTACCGTCAGAGGCGAAGAACGTAGTTTCACGTATTTCACGGGATCTGATTTTGGTGGCTTAGCAACCATCTCCCCCGACTCAGAGTCGAATTCAAATTCACTATCGTCAGACGAAATTAAATCTTCATCTGACGGCGGTGGCTCTTGCTCATCATCCTCGTCTCCGCAATCCCAATACTGTGGCCTGTGGGGCTTGTGCTGAGCATGAAGGATATCAATCATTTCATCCGTAATACCCCAATGACCACGCAATATGGCTATTTGCAAGGGTGTGAATCCGAGACAGTCACTTTCGCCTAAACTCAGAGGGGGTATCTTTTCAGCCTCACTTTGCCATTGAAGTGTCAGATTTCTGATCGTGTCTATGTCGCCTTTCCAGGCCGCCTCGAATCTGGATCCGGTTAGCCAAGGTTCGCAATTTATTTCCACCCAACTCGCATACGGATATCACTCACAAACTAATATAACCATCTTTTTTGGATTGATCGCCATCGATGAAAAGTATTGGTTCGTAGGGCTTTTGTTGTTCTGTGGCGGCAGACTGTTGGATTTTCCCGGTTCCTTGTGTGGGGGGGGTGTATCTGGCTGAATAGTTGTGCATTTCGGGTTAATAGACGTTGCTCTAGTATCTCGAAATTTCTTAGCCGACCCTGGATCTCTTGGCGTTTCTCAGATGTCCCTTCTGGTTCGGGATTTTCTTTGTCTTTGGTTTTGGAGTTGTCGTGAAACTCTTGAAAGTGCTGTCTTGCCCTTCTCAATACCAGTTTGGTGGCCCAGGCAGCATAGGAACCATCTGGTAAATCACTTAGGTACTCGTGATCTTGACTCTGAAGTAAAGCGGGTGGTTCAGATTCGACTGGAATCTGCGACTCAGATAGATATTCCTGCATCTCTCTGATCTTCCGCCGTGTGATGTCCAGAACAGATTCTCCCACGTGCGGTCCCCAGTGTCTGTGATCACTCGGATCGGCCCCTTTTCTCAACATATTGAAAACCATGGCAGGGTAATCCTTATGCAGCGCAGCCATGATAGGCTGTGTGGTTGATTGGAAATCCATGTAGATGTTGCGTGACGAATTACCCGGGTATGCCGATTTGATAGTAGAGACGTAATCATCGAATTCAATAATAGGCTTTGCACCAGCGTCAAGCAACTCCAAGGCAGGTTTTAGGTTTCCTGCACGAATAGCTGTTGATAGCGGTGAATACAGTCCAAATCCACTCATGCGATTTCCAAGCGACAAATGATCCATGGTCCGCAGAGTCTGCTCTCGGTCGGCCTGAAAAAAGATCTCCAACGGGATGGTATCTTTCATGGCGGCGACATAATGCAATGGCGTGGTGTAATTCAAATCTGCCTCGGCGATCGGTGCACCTAGTTGAAGTAAAGTCTTTGCCATTTCATGCGCTTTGGGGTTTTCGAGAAAAAAATGCTAATGCGAGAGGGAGGGCAGCTCCGCAGGGCATTCGGGGAGACTCTTTTTCCCCAAAGTACTTGACCTTCTTCTCGTATATCGTAATTGGTTTCTTAACGTTGGCACCAAAGGACACCAGCTCCTTCACAGAATCAACATGCCCGTGTAAGATTGCAAGATGCAAAGGAGAGCAGAATATCTCCCAAGACACACTGTCGGGATCCAAGATATCGATACCCGACTCATCCTCATCTAGATAATCTCCTGTTGGTGCCAGATTATTTGCATCCCTCAACTTGACATTGACTAGAGAAACGGGGGCGCTGGCTGCCGGGGGGTTGGAGTCACCCTGGTCCACTGCCTCTGTAGTTTTAATCGACTTCAGTGGCTCGGATACATATAATCCATTTTCTTGCGCAATATTTCGATTTCTATCACTTTTGGCGCAAAGAATTCGGATTATTTCAATGCTCCCGCGCGCGGCTGCCAAGTGCAACGAGGTATCACCTTCTGGCGTTCGGGCTGCGATTCGCGCTCCGTGGTCAATGAGTAGCTGGACTATCTCCGGAGAAGAGTCCACACAAGCTATCTGTAGCGGGGTCCGCTTGGTGCAGTGGCGCCGATTGACGTCTGTTCTTTCCTGGTTGAGACATTCCTGAACGGCACGTAGATCATTTGATACGATCGCGAGACAAAGCCGCTCTGTGTGTTCACCGATATCATCACCCATTATGACAATGTGCAATTGTGATAAAATGTCTAGGTGTATTGGATATAGTAGAACTAAGATAGTAGATTCAAGTGGCTCTGTCCATTATTTATGTATTGCTACTCGTTAGTGTCGCAAATTTTGCTCTAATTGGGGGCCATCCCTAGCTAGACGGTCATTGGCTACATTTGATAGGCAACAACCCACATCCAGGCGCCCATCCGACCTTTAGCAGCGCTAGCCTTTACTAGAACCGCCCACAAAAAGAATATTAGTATTCTCTTTAGTAGTGCCTTTTTTTTATTGTACCCTCCAAAAAGAAACAAAAAATTGTCACTCAGTTCGGCAAATTTTGATTAAACTGTCCGCTGCATTGCATCACTTTGCATGGCAGCCGATATTAAGAACAGGCAGGATATCCACCCTGCACTTTGTCGAGTCGTGGAAATTCATAGTTGAGGGCTGCTGAATGGCTCATGTTCCTGTTTTCGGCATTATGTTCCATTATCGATAATCGGTCTCGGTGTAAGTCGTTCCTTGACTTTTGTCTAGATGTACGGAGAAACTTAACTATGTTTCAGACAGAATTCAAGAGATCAAATGAACTCAATACACTTTCCCCATTAGAAACCTTTTCATCACTTTAGAAACAAGAGTTTTGTTTTTATAGTTCACCCAAATTTATCTTGGTACTTAGCTTTGTTCGCGCTTAGCAAGCCGAACAAAAAATACGTTCACGTGACAAGATAGCCTGATTAGTGAATATCTGGTCTATGATTTATGGATCGATATTCATGACTCATCAATCCATTCTCGAGGTCAAATATGACATCGTAGGTCAGGTGATTATTGACCAAATTACAGAGGTCAAATCGAGGCAGTGTATGCTACGAATGATTTATAACTTTATTATTAGCTTATACTTAACAGTCAGATCCTATCTTATATACTAAAATAGTTAGTAAATACCTTATATAATTATTTATACCTACCTTATATTAAGAATATCTTCCTTAACTAGATCTAGTAGAGAGTGAGAAGCTTCTTACTCCTACCTTAACATAAAATTAATAAAGTTTGGATATACAGACTTCTACGAGGGTAGCTTTTTCTTTATAGTAATATAATCTTTTGTAAAGGATTTTAATAACTATAGAGTGGGATCCGGCTTCTCTTTAGAGAAGTTAGTATTTATCACTTTATTATAAGAAAGTCTCTATCTGTTATATATTAATAAGCTTTAATAATCTAAAATAATATCTTCATTACCTACAGTGCCTAGTTTACCACTATGTTCTTATATTTACAGAGTATAACTAGAGTAAGTTACTTATAGTAGATAGTATTGACCACTTGTTCCTGCGCGTTCTGATACTTATATGTGAAATTACATAATACGGCATATGCCTTTCTCTCCTCTAGCTTCCTTTATATTTCTTCTAGGAACATCTTCGGTCAAGGAGCTAGGTGAAAAGAAAATAAGGAATGGTAGATTGTACTTACGCCCTCGGGCTTTTATCTACTACTACTACAGTAAATTGGGAGAAAGCAACGTATTGCAGTGGGTATTCTTACCCCTCTCACCCTGTTCTCACCCGCTCTTACCCCGTTCTTACCTCTCTCACCCCAGTCTCCAGAATTCTTACCTATATCACCCACACTCACCCTAACTCAGAAACTGACGCTATTTTAAGATCCAGGGCTCTTTAGTTATTGACCGCGTTTAGTATGTGGCTTAAGTATGGCTGAGCGGACAGAAAGCCCTGTTCTCCACACCCTATGGTCGTATGTGCTAGGTATATCAAAATAATGTTATATGTACTCACCCATCGGATCAAGAATCAACCATGCCTGTTGGTTGGGATTATTTAATGAACCAAGGCACCTAAGCGCGGAAAGTTTTGATGTCGTAAAATCCATCCACCGAGTCCATGCAAAGGGAGGGGCCACCAAGAGGCAGCGGGCTGTCTTAGCACCAGGCAGATGTTAGGTAGTCCACGTCTTGTATGACTGAGCCCGGAAATCCTAAGGGAGGTGTCACGAGGATACGTCCGAATATCCGAGGTCAGATGAGCGCCAAAGGGGGTCTTTCATTTGGCTTAAAGAATTTATGACGCAGTGTCTGGTATATCTTTCCAACCATGCTTGAAATGGCACAGAGGGAACGCAGTGAGCACCGAAACAACGCCTCCTGGAGCCTTGAGCGTTCAAGACCGCTCGCTAAGGTTGATTTACGGAATAAACAGAACATAACACCGTGACTTACCTAGGTATCACGCGTACTATACTACATGGTATTCGCTCGAAATTTCAAATTGTAAAGAAAGGATTTGTAGTCAATTTCCAAGGTTGAATGTTAGTATTGATAAAACTACCTAGTACCTAGGTAGGTATAAAAAAAACAGAGCACAGTACCTAGTACTTCTACCACCAATATCTGCACTAGGGGCCGTTCGACCAGGGCTCACGCCTAAGGCTTCGTCACAGACCCCACACCTGCCTACTCGTTGGGGCATCGTTTCTACAGTTCTAGGAACTTAGTTTTCCCGGATTCCCCATATCGCGTTCAACGCACCATGGAATGTAACTTTTTCAACACGCGAAAATGACACCACGTACGCCATTGGCACAAATCGACGTCAATTCTAGGCATGGTAAGGAATTAACTCCTTATATTCGGGGCAAAGTTGCCGCAGAATACGATTTAGGGCAGTCGTTTGCTGCAATCGGTCGCCGCTACGTAATTTCTGAATCTACAATCCGATATACCATCAAATTGGAATCGACGCGACAAAATGGCCATTCAATCGATCGCAACAGGAAACCCTGGATAATATCTGCAATTAATATGCGTCAAATCCTACGAACTATCAAACACGATCCCTTTACTACATTTATCAAAATCGGCGCCACAATCAGTTCACCCGCTTGTGGCAAGACCCTCCTCAAAATCATTTGTGAATCTGGATACAATCATTGGGAAAGCCAAAAAAAAATCAAACACTGTCTGCAGTATGCAGTCTGAGACAATTGTTAAATTGATCAAAACTTTCAACAACAGATCTCTTGGTTCCGGCATCGATGAAGATGCAGCGAAATACGTCAACTAATGTGAATTGCAGAACTTAGTGAATCATCAAGTCTTTGAACACACATTGCACCTTCTGGTATTCCGGAGGGCATGCCTGTCCGAGCGTCATTTCTGCCCTCCAGCCCGGCTGATGTGTTGCCCCCCCTCCCGCGGGAAGGGCCCGAAAGGCAGCGGCGGCACCGCGTCTGGTCCGCGAGTGCTGGGTCAGGTCAGTAACTTGAAGTCTTCTTTCACCGAGATACAAAAACGGGCCCTCTTACTATAAGATGAATTCTAGCATGCCGTTGTATCAAACCTGGCTACACAGATCCCATATGCGACTGGTGCTATATAAGCACTAAATATGGACGCTCTGGAAAACCCCGACCAGCCTGGTAACGTTGCTGTGGCCTACTTCGGTGACGGAGCCGCAAGCGAGGGAGAGTAAGTTGACCGGTCTCTCTATACTTCCCATCATCTCTCTCTTCAAGTTTGCTTCAACTTCATTCTAATCATCTTCTACTCTTCCGACCCCATCGTGTTGGAGCCAAATAGCGGCGCTACTTCCAAGCAACGTATGAAAAGCCATCTAATCTATGGAGTAAGGAAGATTGGAACGACGATGATCACTTTAGCCGCAAATACAGGCCCGGGCCTATTCTTTGGACTCACACGCTAAATTCTCTACTGCACTTGAGCCAATAAAAATAGCTCAAATGTGTTTAACGACCAGATTACCCATAACTCACTATGATGGATATTCAGTCTTTGACACTGGACCCACGGTATACTATTTGGGTGAAATATTTGCAGATCACTCTTGCCAGCATTCTGCCATCCTGCAAAACTGTACGCCAAGCTTCCTATAGATTTTGGGCCTTGGATTGAACTTTGGCTAGTACGGTTGGGTTGTATCTGACTCCATACAGAGAAACAGCTGAATTTTCTAATTTGCATAACATAAGTTTGAAGGGGCGGAAATGGCCAAAAATAAATGAAGCTCCCGTATGAGAGCGTTGATAAGTCAACTTCAACTTTTCTAGACCAAGTGGCTCGGGTAGAGATTGGAGCATAGCCTGGTCCTCTTAACACTCTCAGCCTCGACGGGGAATTTCAATGGAGCTTCAATATAGTTTTGGCCCCCATATTGAGCTTTTCATTCTTGGAAGGCTATGTATGTACTTGTGCAGATCCTAGCCTATTATGATACAGGAGTGCGAGAGCGAATGAGCGTCGAGAATCCTTGGGGACGGCTTCGCTAAGCGGGGCGGGGGCTTGATCCTCAGCCTCCACTCTACCCAACGCGAAGCCCAAGTTGGTAACACAGACACATTAGCATTTCGCAAACGAGCCTTGATTGCCATATTACGCATACTCGCTTTGATGTTAGAGTTCTATTTTTGTGTTGGGATTCCTGAAGAGTTTCTGATCAGTAATTTCACCAATCTATATAAGAACAAGGAATACCAAGCTTTCTGCAGCCTTGCACAGACATCTTCGAAAACAAAACAATCGCCTCTCATCTCCCTTTATTTTCACTCGTCTACTAGTACGCCCAGTCGGAATTCACACTCATCATGGGCTCAGTCACATATGCCGACGGCGTTTCTATTCTTCAGCTTATTGCATACCTTCCATCATTTTTCGTGTCCAGCTTTCTGGTTTACCGCCATGGTATTCGCAGCTCGGGCGGCTTTATCTTTCTCGTCATTTTCACCCTGGTCCGCATAGTCGGCGCATGTTGTGAATTGGCGACTATCCACAATCCCTCAACTGGTATCTACATTGCAGCTGCTATCTGCAGCTCCATTGGATTATCCCCCTTACTCATGGCTTGCTCGGGCATGTTGTCAAGAGCGTAGGTGCTCCACAGATCTAAAGAAGCCCTTGGCTATTCACTAAACTCATCTAGAAACCAATCCATGGCTCGCCCTATTCTTCACAGACTCACCTTCACCGCTTTCCGTGTCACCACAATCGTCGCGCTGGCTTTGACCGTGAGTGGAATTACTTGGAATATGACTCCGGAGGCCTTGAAAACACCGAACACCGAAGTGAAGGTTGGCATGATCTTGTATTTCGTCAGCTGGGTGCTTTTGTGTGTGGGTCTCGCCGTCCTGTTTCTGCGCCGCTCGAAGATCGCCGAGGGCGAGAACCGCAACTTGCTTGCTGTGGCTGTCTGTGTTCCGTTTCTTCTCATTCGAACCATTTACGCTCTCTTGCTCTGGTTTGTCGCGAACAATACATTCAACGCACTGGATGGAAATACCACGGTTCAGCTGGTGATGTCTGTCCTTGAGGAGATGGTTATTGTCTTTGTTTGCCTAGGTGTCGGATTCACCCTGCATGTTCGTGAAAAGAACTGGAAGTCCGTTCCAAACAAGGAGGCGGAACTGAGAGAGGAGATGGCTTAGATAGACTTGATTTCCTGTTATCATCATTGTGATTAGCGTGTCCATTTTGCGCAGCTTTACGAATTTATTTCTATTCTACAATACTTCATCTCATTCGCGTAGAAAGTGAGTTTATCTCAAGTTGCGGCATGTACATGAATACGATAATGTCATTTCAGTTATAGTGAGATACGAGTTCTGTATTAATCCATCGAAGCCATGACAGTCCAGACAACTAAGATTTAGGGTTTAAGAAGAGTGGATTTTCGTAGTTCTATTTGAAGCACATTCTAGGCGGATGCTAGTACATGTGAACAAGCTTCAACATTTTAGAGCTCTGCCAAGGTTTTAGGTCCCTGGTGTATGAAAAGAAAGCAAGTCGTCGTCATGCATGCTTCAAATGGTCAACCCCTCATGCGGGCCTCGTAATTTGGGGGCCATATTTCATTCAAGCGACGTATCGCGTAGTGAGCGGCATTAGGTCCACAACAAAAGTGGGCCCAACCGCCTCCAGTGCGAAATAGGTGACTGCAACCTATTTAGGTTAGTATTGCGGCGATGTGCATAGTTGGCGTGGTGAACAGCCCGTGCTGCGGTCCTCGCTGATCGGGGGGCCAAGTTATCGCGTTGCTGAAAATAGAAATTCGGTGTTTTATGTTCAGTTTAAGATCTGGAAAATACCCATCATTCTCACGATTCTCTAGACTTGAAGTCACTTACTATTAAAAAATGGGTAAACTGGTTGGTAAACTCATCGGCTCGGGTATCGACGCCATCAACGCATCTCGAAATCGCTCATCTTACACAAGCCCCCACTCAAACACAAGACGCGATCTTACCGCTGATCAGAGCGGTGAATTCGTTGCTACAGAGAAGGTAGCTGGTGCGCCCATCTACGAAGGATATGCAGAGCTTCCAGCGCCCAACGCGCCCCCTATTCACGCCCAGTATGCAGAGCTCCCTGCCTCGATTTCCTTTACCCACGAGCCTCCCAAGTCCGACGTCCAGCTCCATGAGAATTATGCAGAGCTTCCAAGTGCTTCATACGAGGATATCGAAACCAAGAGGATCAACCTCGACCCAGTCGATGGGCACCATACAAAATACTCTCCAGTGGAGAGGGACAACTGGGACGCGTATAGCGAGTCCAATTATTCAACCGGCCTTAACCGCGGCATGAATCAAGACGAAGCGGCCTGCAAACTGGATGAGACAACACGATACGCGAGACCGCCCACATACGAAGAGTCGGGAATATCACCCAGCAATGTTTCAAATGTGCCAGGAAATAACAATCTCGGCGAAGCTAGAGAGACAGAGCGACGGGAAATCGAGAATATGGTTCGCGATCTTCTGGATATGGCAGGACCACCAAATTCATCCACAGGTCGGATGCCTGGCCCCGTTGTGATTCCACAACGGAGGCCCGGGTCGAAATTCCGTGGGTTCGTGTGTGCGTATGCACCCGAATTGGCGGATTGCGGCATAGGCCAGGACATGTTTTTGGAATTTCTGGAAGACATCTACGAGTCAAGTAAAGTGAGTATTCGTTGGGCTTTTTGCAAGATTGACAAGATTATGAAGCCAATGCTAATATCGCGATTAGGTCTCTCGAAACCTCGATGTTATCGGCATCGCAACGGATATCGTGACTTGGGTACCCGGAAAGACAGATATTATGACAGAAACCCTCATAAAGATAGTGGCTGGATCCATTCCCAGATCACGATACCCTGGTCGGGAGTCAACCTTCCTCGACTCGGTCAACGACTTGATATTCATGCCTCGAGGCCTCTGTGCTATGGTGGTGGAGTTCAAGGACAATATTTTCGGCCAGCAAGAAGGTGTGCTCGGTCCACTTTCCCAGCGAATGGGCAGAACAATATTTACTTCCGAGAAGATTAATTTGACCGGGTCGGCGATGAGCCCCAAATCAAGCACCGAGATCTATGACAGGAGAGCCGTCCAACAAGACACGGATTCTAGCTCTTTCCGGTCCAGAAACAGTGGCCCTCTGCAGATTGAGATCCTCGAATCTAGACCGTTGATCTTTCCTGATTTGCATTGCGCGGCAGTTGGGGTCACAGAACGAACAGAACGAACAGAGAGGATGGAGAGATCAAGACCAGGTAGCATGGACAGACACTCAATGATCAGGGCCGCAGGTGGATGGATTGGTGATCAATATGAGAGAAGGAAGTTAGAGTCAGAAGTGAGATTTATCCCCATTTCCACTCCGTTTTTGTGTGTTTGTTACTAACAAGAGACAGAACGTGAATATGTCACGAATGTCGCACGGAAATGGTTTAAATGGCTTAAAATACTTAAATCTACATCACGACGGCTCCGCACATTCAGCACATAACGGCAAGCTCATATCGACAATTACCGGTGGGAGGCTAGGAAATAAAAACAAGCAAGGACTGATCCATCGTGCTGCAGCTTCTATCATGGAAGCTCAGGGTGCCAAGCAAGCTACTCGGAGTACAGATTCGATTGAATCAAACACCGGCATAGGGAGAACGCATCTTGGGAATAATACCCGGAGCCTGAGCTCCACGAAAAAGGTTCTGCAGCCGAATATGCAGTATCTGGTAATTGTGAATATGCCCAGTGGACAGGAATTACAGCAATGTGCTACCAAGCTAGAATACATCATGAAGGAGAAGGGATTGCCGATAGCTAATGGCTTTGAACGATAATGGTAGCCATCATGCATGGCTATATTTTCAAGTTGATGCAAAGATATTTTTTTCGATTCTCTGGCGACTGTTTTCACATTTTTCACGACACATTACATAGCGAAACTATCAGCGCTGACATGCAATTGAGCGAATTTATATTTGATTTGTCGGGGTTTCGTACCTTGCACGATTTACTACAGTCATATTCATACGTAGATATGTATCTGTGGGTATCCGAGTATACTCAGACAGAACGTGAAGAAATGCATTGTCGCCTAGCGGCAGGAAATAGGCAGTGTATGCAGCAAACTCCACTTGTTAGTGGAGTGAGTGATCGACAGAAAAGTACCTTCTAAGGTTTTTATCGAATGCCTATTTTACAAAATGATATAAAAAAAGAAGAATCGAAGAATTCTAGAGATATGAGGTAACTTTTGATTGGTTTTAACTTTTTTTTTTTAAAAAAAAAAGTTCATATTCCAGCGCCCATTCCTCAAACACCCCCAGGAGAGTCATCTAGCAATCCTGTCTGAAGAATGGGTTTGGCCCCCAACGCCCCCAAACCATTCCAAATACTAGTGGATTGGCAGGCTGCAGTTCCCGTTTGTGTATTTCAAATACAGACCGCAAGGCTGAACGAGAATTGTTGACGAAATTCCACCTCACCGCCCTAGCCTTCAAGAAATCAATTAGCACTGATCAAGTTACGTATGGCGATGGATGACTTTAGAATGATATTATGGAGTATTTGGCTTTTTATTTCTATTTTTAAAGAACATATCATCATCAATTTGTACTTGTCATTCACTGGGATGGGTGGCTGAAATCCGATTCTCGACTATGAATCTCGGCCGTCCTATGCGAGTTTATGCGAGCTTATGCGAGCACCGAGCGCCTATGGCTCACGACTATAAGATTTCGTTAATTTCTGAGAGACCTTCAACTTGACCATGATACATAATCACCGCGTTAAATCTTATCCGAACCCCAGCTTGCTTCAACCAAGTCATATACAATAATGCCTTCGCAAAATGAGCTTCATGTTTTGATTATCGGCGCCGGACTTGGTGGCCTAGTCCTTGCCCAGGCTCTGCGAAAGCAAGGCATATCATTCGAGATGCATGAGAAAACCTCAGACTCGCGTTTTCAAGGCTGGGCTATTGGAATTCATAGGTATTCTACTCATTGATAATTATGCCCTCTTGCAAAACACTAACATATTGAACAGCATCATCAACGACCTCTTGGAGCACTTTCCCTCGGACATGCCGCCTGTAGATCTGGCCGACATATTCTTGCCGCTTTCATTGCCCGCGCAAATGATATTTTATGGTAATAATGAGCTTGAGCCTCGTTACGGTGTACAGGATACCGGAACTAAGGCTGTTATTCGGTGCAATCGGCAGCGTCTAAGGTCATGGCTTGCAACCAATATACATATCAATTTCGGCAATGCAGCTACTACAGTGGAGGAAATTTCAGGCAATCAAGTTAGGGTGAAGTTTGAAAATGGTTCTAGTGCAGTTGGCGACATTGTGGTCGGCGCGGATGGTGTCAACAGCGCTATACGTCAACAATTGGTACAGCCCGATCCAGTGCATGTGCTTCCGATTACCACGGTTGTTGGCGAGATCGTTCTATCCGGCAAAGAATTCGAAAAACAACTCGAATTGGGATATAGCGGTTACGTGGCACATGATGCAAGTTCACAAGATGAAGGAAGTGGAAGAATATTTGTGGGTTTGAATTCGGTCAATGACGATGGAAAGTCAGGCAACTATTACTGGTCTGTGAACTATGTTGACCCAACTGCTTCAAAACTTCCTCATTGGACAGCAGAGGCAAGTAAGGCCGAAAGATACCAGCTTGCATTGGAAAAGACAAGTCATCTCAAGCCTGAGTTTACGGAGATAATTCGTCAAACGGGTATAGAAGGCATGTCGGATGTCCAAATATGTCTCCGGGAATTGGAACTGCGGGACCTCCCTGCAGGAAGAGTGACCTTGCTCGGAGATGCAGCTCATTGCATGACGCCTTGTGAGTTTCTAACCTTGGAAGTTCATACCCTTGCCATTAAAAGGCTAATCGGAAAATGCAGTCCGTGGAGAGGGTGGGGTGCAGGCCATGCGTGATGCTCTTTATCTGTCAAAAGCTATTGAGCTAGTGGGAAAAAGTGCCACCGATAAAAGCAAGATGATTCGCTTTATGAGGGAATACCAGAATGAGATGCTCTCTCGGGGTAGCAAAGCGGTTCGCCTTTCGCGGGATGAATGGACCAAGGTATCTAAGGAAGGGCGATCCAGCTGGGGCACCAAACACTCAATAATTCCATTCGAGAAGGTCACATTGAACGATATTCCATTCAAGTTAGCAAAATAGAGCCCCATCCAGCGTTAGTGAGGATTATCGAGATGTACATCTCAATCTGTTCCTGGTTAAGAAGATAACACGTTCTGTCAAACGTGGATGATTCGGCAAAATTCACGTTTGGTAAAATAAAATAATAGATTACCAGAACTGTCACGCCCTACCAATGACAAGTTACTTTTTTTAGGCGTCGCCCATCTAGGTTAGACTTTGAGTTGATCTCTCCAAGGCTGTGTGGCCTTTGGTGGGGGCCGCTTTAGCTGTGTACTAAACTCCCCAACCAAAAACCCGAGGACATTCCGGCATTCTTCAGCCTGATAAATATTTATTTCTCTTCATCTATCAAGTCAGTATCAAGCTCAACTTTAAAATCCTTCAATCATGGTATACTGTGGTAAACCCAGTAAGGGCTGCGGTATGTGCCGCTCACGCAAGATCCGTTGTGACCAGGCCCGACCGGCTTGCGATCAGTGCATTCGAACGAAGAGAGAATGCCCAGGATACCGCGACCAGCTGGATCTTATATTTCGCGACGTGACAAAAGCCACAGCACGGAAAGCAGGAAGCTCGAGTTCTGCTTCGTCGGCTTCGTATGCATCGTCCCACATTGTTGGGTCCTCTCGCAACTCTTACCGTGTTCAGTCCCCCTCGACAGGGTCCACTGGATCACTCGCGGAAACAAGCTTTGATTTCGGCTCAGATCCCGATCATCAATATATGATGCGCCAAATAAGGCCAAGTGCAGTGATCAGAAACCCCACAGAGGGCCTTTCGAAAGAGCAGGCTATCTGCTTCTTTCTCCAATCGCATAATATTCCCGGAAGTGCCCTCATGACGGACACTCTGACAAATTTTCTGATGGAGTCGGGTGCATCTCTAGGGCAGCAAGCCATACAATCTAGTATTCATGCTGTCGCAGGTGCGATGCTTGCCCGGGTTCGCAACGTGCCCTCCCTGAAGCAGGCGGCTCGCCAGGAATATGGCTCTACGCTCAAACTAGTCAATGCAGCACTAGCCGACCCCGTTCAGTCTAGGACAAACCAGGCATTACTTGCGGTTGTATTCATGTCTTTGTATGAGGTAAAGTCCCATCAATTCCAGAGTTGAAATCAATACCGAATCAACTACTGACAGTGTTAGGTTATCACATCCAGAGCTCCTCAAAGCATCCAGGGCTGGACAAATCATATTTGCGGAGCTGCAGCTCTTCTCGAGCACCGAGGATTTGCACAGATGACGACTGAAATGGGCGTTCGTCTTTTTCTACATTTGAGATACCAAATTGTTTGTGCATAATTGCTCCCCGTGAAAGAAAGGAAAACCATCACAAAAAGAAACCCTCGTCTAATCTATTCACAGATAGTCAGTTGTCTCCAGCGAGACTTGAGAGTACCTGATTCTCTGATGAAGTGTTCTAAACTGGATTTATTCCCTGAGATAAGGGATGCACTCGGAAACAAATTAATCATCATCATTGGAAATCTTTCCAATCTTCGAGCCGATGTCCAAGGACGGATTATTGACGACCCACATCAAATACTGGCTGCCGCATGTGCCATTGAAGCTGACCTCATGGCCTGGCTAGCTGCTTTACCGCCTGATTTCACTTATAGCAGTCATACAGTGATGCCAATGGACCATAGCTTTGAACGAATTTGTGGTGGAATTCGACCTTTCAACAACCAATATCACAGTTACCCAGACCTATGGTCTCCAAATCTCTGGAACCATTATCGGTGTGCACGAATTATCGTCAGCGAGTTAATACTAGCGAACGTTCATAAGGTGTCTAGCACTTCACCACGTGGTTCTCTATCCGAAGATTTCCGTTTACACTGCAAATCCTTGCGCTCTACAATACGCCGCCTGGGTGCCGATATTTGCCGGAGCGTGCCGTTCCATCTAGGTGCTTGCAACGCGGGAATCCTTCCAGGAAGACCCATGCTGCCTGCAGAAACTTATATTGGCGGGCTCATGTTGCTCTGGCCCTTATTCGTTGCCGGCATCGTTGAAGGGCGCAACCACCCTCAAAGAAAGTGGGTAAGGCAATGTCTGGGTATGATCGGTCGGTCGATGGGCATGGATCAGGCACTCGCACTCATGGATATCCTTGCCGTTGATCCGGGAATGTTCCATTCGGTCGAGAAATTCGGCGAGGATGCCGATGAAGAAAGTAGTTCTCCGGGAGTGATGTCTGTTTCGATATTCCATGTTCCGTACTATGAACTTGGCAATTCGAAGGAGTATCAGCAGATACGTGCATCCTCTGCATGATTACTCAAAGTTTAGAATATCATGGCCACTTTGGCAGCTCTATATAGTATACATCTTACGTCGCGTCGCATCTTCAGCTAGATCTTGAACTTTACTAGATTTTTTTCTGTAGAAAGAAAAACAAAAATCGCCCTTTAATTATACTATATTGTTGCTTCAACATAGTTGGGAGGAGAGATAGGCAGTTCACTATAACAGGGCGGGTTGACTTCATTCGGCACGACTTCCGAATTGCCCCTTGCTCGTTGGATAATCTAGAGAGGAAATGACGCGTTGAGTGCAGTCTGTAGAGATCTTCCAGTAACCCTTTTGCACTCCATTAAAAACCACACTGGTCGAGCAGCGACTTAAAATGGGCTGACATGGCTGATATTCTGCATGTTTATTTGATGATTGGCTAAAGACTTTTATCGATTCCTCGATACGCCGTCGAATTCATGTTCCAGGTATATTGCGCGCAATTGGCAAAATGAAAGGAATCTTGCAGCCAGGCTGTCTGCGGGTGTTGGTAAAGGGCCGAAGAGTCAATTCTTCAATGGCCAAACAGGATCGTACTAGGTCATTGGTTTGAAATTGAGGTGAATTTGGCTTATCCGTCTTCCATCGAGCGAGACGAGTCAAAAGGCTTCTATCGTCTCGGCTTTTCTGTTTGGTGGTCGTGAGAACGCAGATCAGGTATATATGTAGCACATTTTGATTCCATGTCTCGGGTTAGGTGAAACCAGTAGGGATTGCAGTTCTAGAAATAGGCTTTGCATATTGTCCGCCTTTGGGGTCGTACATAATATGGTATTGCGTTGAAATTTCCAAATTTTAACTTGAATGTGACCCTGAGGTGGCCATGGCTGTCCGGACGCTCAACGTTGAAGAGTCGGAGTTGAATTAAATGGAGTCTGGGCCAAACTTGAAGGTAAATCATGGGAAAGTAGTAGGGAATACTACTAGTATCTACCTACCTACCTAGGTAGGTACCAGATTATGTAGTATCACCACCCGTGGACTGGCACCTGCCGAGGTCACGGTGGGCAGTGCCGGGGATGAACCCCCCTATGGTCGTGGATATCTCACGATTTTTTTTTTTGATAGCCGCAGCATTTACTGTAGAAGGCAGCCAAGCTATAGTATAAAGTCTAATATATCTGAGCCATATCATCACCTCAAGCTTTCAATTTCCATGGTCGCGATTTTTGATTTGTCAGTTTGTCGTGATAAAGAAAACGGTCCACTATAAATCCAATCTCAACCAATCGTGATGCTTCTTTATGTCCACTGCGCCTTGGCTGCCTAAATCAGATTAGTGCAAAGGCCACCCCCGCGAGTCGTTTCTGTAAAGATTTCCTCTGATCTTCGTGATTGTGATTATGACACGAACCCCGATTTTATGACCAAAAAGTCCGACTGGAAATCTCAATTGACAATAAAGAAACTGAACTTCATGAACGTACCAAGAAGGGGCTATTCATCGACTTCATGTTGGACGTGTCGCCGTCGCCGTCTCAAATGCGACCGAGCGCTTCCGGAGTGCCATAAGTGTTCAGCCAGCGAACACCCTTGCCAAGGATATAGCGAATCAAGGCCCCTACGGTGGACCAATGGCATCGCTAGTCGAGGCAAACTTATGGGGAAACGCGTGCCTATCATTGATGTCAATAAGTCGTGTGCCTCAATTATGAGGTCACTTGAAGACCCAGCAGTGCAAGACTTGTCCCCCATCAATCGGGGATATATAAAATATTGTAGGTATATGGGCATGGAGAAGACAATGTATCAGTTTCTAACTCGAACCAGTTGATCGTTATTGTTCTGTTGAAAGTGCGCTTTATGATTCCGATGCAACCAATCCCTTTCGAGAGTTCATGCGGATAATCCCTTCAAGCAGGGCACTTCCCCATGCAATGATATCCATTGCGGCCCTCCATCAAGCTCGGAGAAGTCTAAATGGCCGTGTAATCAAGCTTGAGCATTCGCCGACCCCGGAGAATGATGCTGGCATTATGATTTCAACACACACGAGTACCATCGGAGAAGACCCATGCGCAGTTTACGATTCCCTGAGGCACAAGCAACATGCGTTGCAACAGATTCAGCAGGAGCTTTTAAGCTCTAATTTTCGACATATTGAAGGTACAATTGCCTCAATACTCTTACTGATTTGGCAGGATTGCATGGACTCCGGGAAGAATTCCTGGAGATATCATCTGGATGCTCTGAAACAAATTGCGGAGTTGCAAAAATCTTCTACACAATTCCAACAGGCGAGGTGTTTCTTATTTGATTTCGCAAGCTTTGAACGGTACCTTGAAATGACCTACGCGACGTGAGTTTCTCGAACAACCCTGCTTGGTATAATGCTTTGTCTCACTATATTCAGGCTACACATTCTGGGAACTACATTTATCCGGGGTAAAACTGTTTACCAACCATTGCTTTCCACAATATCGCCACGTGAAATGATGATATTTTCTGAGAGCGAGTTATGGTCAGGTTGTCCAGCAGAGCTTCTCTATATCATCTCCATTCTCAACGATATTTCAAGATCAGAGTCGATTCCATCTGGATTCACAACAGAAATCATGCCTGCTTTTAATGCCTTTTCACCGATGAAATGGGCAATCCGAAGCGAGAACCCTAGCTTGATGAAGGCCCGATATCATTTATCGAGCATTTACAAACATTCTGCTGCGATTTACATGTCTCAGGTTCTGGGCCAACTTCCTCAAGGCCAGCATATTGAGTTTGATACTCCGGCTTCTCTTGACCCGATCATATTGCATATTGAATCCATTAGCCCCGAGGACACTCATTTCAGGGCACTAGTATGGCCTGCATTCGTCATTGGAGCGGAGGCGAAGAATTTATCACAAAGACTGGTCATTGTTCGAGTATTTGAACGTCTTTGGGACATATGGCGCTGCCAGAATGTGAAAAACGCTTTGGATGTACTTCGGGACCTTTGGGCTCGGAATGATGAAAGTACTACCCTGTCTCTTGGATTGGTGAAATTTATCGCTCGGGGATGGATTGGATTTTTGTTTGATATCCCATCCAAATCGATGCACTTGAGAGTATTCTCTCGAGGTCAATGAATTGATACAATTTGATTTCCTGCTATCTCAACCCGAATTCTCAATCCACCACCTGGTTTACTGAAATGTGCCGGTGCTCCAGGGCTGAAGATAAATAATACTAATTTTCTATATAGTAGCCGTATTTAATTTCCGTGGTCCACATTTTCGGGCTGGAAGGAATCAAAGATAGTAACTTTATTTTCCTAGTCTGACAGAAGTCCTGATAATGAACCCATCCAACCCAACCTTGGAAGGCTGTGCCGGTAGCCTATTCTCCAACAAAGAGATTATTCCCAAGGAACATCGAAACCGAACATAAGGTAAATGAGATATCCACTTGATCTGCTCTCTTCTTGCGAGGAATATTTTAATGATATGATACTTATGGCCTTCAAGTTGCACCATTTTGTCATGAAAAGCAAACGTGATCCATGGATGTTGAATCAATCAGAAGTTTTATAAGTGCAGTTCTGTGTAAAAATGTGAGTGATGTATTCAAGAAAGTATCTCCCAAACACACCATGACGCACAATTTGGCCAATTCCCCAGTTTGAATCGACGGTACATAGCCAGGGGAATATAAACGAAGAGTTGATCCCTTGAGGGCATAGTCCAGTTTCAGGCCCGAATATACAGGCATATGGTGGATAATAATGGTCGATGGTAATGCTATTGGGATTTGCTTGGCAGCACATATAGAAGCTGGAGCTGAAAGATGGGGCTTTTGGCGAGTCTTTACTCCTGATATTGGCGTTTGAGCTTTGTTGAGATGAGTAGGCAGTTGAATCAAGATCCTCATCAAGTTCTGTGATTGGCTCTGGCGATGCAGCTTTTGGATTCTCCGAGAGCATGGTAATTTCCGAAGGAGCGGAAGTTGCGGCATCACTATGTTGTAAACATGTGGCCATTGTGACCCCACTGAATATGATTAAAATTGTATGAATCATTTAGCTTCTAATTCAAACGGGATAAGCCAAAACTGAAAGTTTTTCAGGGCGTTGGAAACATAAAAAACATAGAACGGGAGCTTTTTTGAGTTTTCAAACTATAAGAGTACTAACCAGACGATGTTTCGTAAAACAATGATATTCGGAACGTAGTATCAGAAACAACTACATCGCGAACTCGTCATGAGATCATGCAACATTCCAATTTACTATTGGTGTGAGGTTTCATGTCGCAAGTTCACAGCATTTCTTCGTCGTGTGACGTAATGAATTAGGCGACAATGAGGCGTTTCCATTGAGTGAATATTTTGGTATAGTGAATAGGCAATTTATGGAGATGAAGTTCAAATCTGCCATTCGGGAAATGAGCAGTCGAAAAAGGGTACTCGTACCATCGGAGTACTAGGGGGAACCAGTGACCAATAATAGAGCTTGACCTAGAAGTGGATACCCCAAAACTATCCTATATGATTGGCGTATGGCGGTCACGTTGCGTGAATTAGGGTTGAGTTCCCGGGCCGTCCCACAGCTGGAGCAATCCTATACCTCGCCTTTGTGAAACGTCACACGAAGACAACGATCAGGCACCTTCTTTCTTTGGAAGAAGAGCGGACTGCTTCAAGTCTCATGACCGCATCTGATTATTTCTGGGGTATGACCGATGCGCATATTGTAAGCGGAAATGAAAACATCGTCCTGATGAGCGACCACACCCCGGCGAGAAATTACATGGGACAGCATACCCCAGAACCTTGATCGTGGTCCTGATATTCCGGGGAGTAGGATCATCCATATATCACCCGATCGGTTAATACTCATGCAAGGATGGAACCAGGCGAATGAATCATGACTCTATCATTTGCTACAAGTTTTCTGAAAACAACGACCATCACAGAAAGGTGGGTTTCATTGAGCATGCTCTCCAATCAATGAATATGCTGCGGTAGATTCGAACAGCTTGTGGATGGCAATAGCATGGATGAGTGAGAGTCAATATTCTGATCATCCAGCATCTGATATGCAACTGTTGCATCTATGGCGTGATTTAGCTAATGACCTGGACATGAGTTTTGAATCACTTTCCAACCTTGGACAATTCAAGTTCAAGTTTCAATCAACATATTTCCTCCAAGTCCCCGAGGGCAACTCTACCATGTATTATATATGCTCCCCCTTGGTCTGGCATAGCTTCCACTAATTTTAAACTTCAAACGTTTACTTGAATTCTGAGGTCTTTTCATCACCATGGATCTTCCTACAATCTCCCAAGTGGTTCCAGCGTCGGGTCCAATTACAGGCGGCACGGCTGTAACGATCGTTGGTAAGTTTCGAGTCTTCACCAAGAGACCACTACTCAAAAATAACCCCAGGTACCAATCTTCTAAGCCCTACTGCCGTAACCTTTGGCGGTACGAATGCGACAGTTGCTTCAAGCACCTCCACTACTATTTCCGTCACGAGTCCTGCAAATAGTGTGGGTAGTGCTCAAATCGTCGTCACTACGAGTGCGGGTAGCTCTACTCAACCGGCCTTCTTCAACTATGTCGTCGAAACTTTGCCAACTATCACCAGCTTGAACCCGGTCAATGGGCCTGTATCGGGCTCCAATGTCGTGTATCTAACTGGTTCCGGTCTTTCTTTCACCACTGCCGTCAGCTTCGGAATAATTAATGCGAAGAGCTTTGCTGTGCTGAGTGATACTCAAGTTGCCGCAGTCGCACCCACGGGGGCAGCAGGCTCTACTACCGTGAGTGTAACAAACTCGCTTGGAACGAGTGGGACTCTACCGTACACCTATACGACGTTGAATGTCCCCCAAACCACTTCTATCACCCCCAGTACTGGTCCCACCGCTGGTGGGAATAGCACGAGTATCTCTGGTTCGGGCTTTACGTATGCCACTTCTGTCGCCTTTGGCGCCAACCTAGCCTCTTTTACCGTCCTGTCGGATACGAGTATCACTGCAACGGTCCCTGCCGGGCCATCTGGCGGTGGTGATGCGGCTGTCATTGTTTCTGGCCCAGGTGGTTCCAGTCCCTCTGGCCCTACGTACACATACACCGCACCGCCGGTGCCTACGATTGTCTCTTTGACACCGTCCTCAGGCCCCTTGTCCGGTGGCGGCACAATCACGGTGCAAGGGACAAATTTGAACGGCGCAATAACCATTCTGTTCGGAGCTATTCCAGCTCTCTTTTTCACAGTCCTCAGTCCTTCTGCGATTAACGTAACAGTCCCTCCGGGGCTAGCAGTTGGAGCAGTGCCAGTTACAGTCACCACGCTGTCAGGAACCAGTTCCGGGTCCCCATACACGTACCTCGCACCTCCAAGCCCAAGCACAATTTTCCCCAGCGCTGGGGTGATTACTGGCGGGGCGTCGATAGCGATTACGGGCACAGGTCTCACGGGAACTAGCAGCGTACTTTTTGGATCAACACCAGCACAAGGCACGATTACGGTCACTGGGGACACATTGGTCACGGTGCAGGCCCCAGCTCACCCTGTGGGCACAGTTCCAGTCACCATTACCACTCCTGGTGGCACCAGTAGCTCGCTGTCATTCAGTTTCCAACCGACAGCCGCCGTGACCTCGATTAGCCCAGCACTCGGCCCTCTCGCTGGAGGTACGGTTGTCTCAATTGCGGGTGCAGGACTATTTGGGGCAAATGCTGTACTATTCGGTTCTGTACCGTCGGCAACTGTTATTGTTATTTCTGGTGGGTATTTCCGAATTCCCGAAACCCTGGCACTATGGGTTCCTAAGACACTGAGATCCTGAGTTGACCTGACAATCCCAAGATAACCTGGTTACGGCAGTGGCCCCCGCGCAGGCCGCAGGAGCTGTATCTGTGAAGGTCTCCACGGCTGCTAGTGTCAGCAATGGTGCTCTCTTCCAATACATCCCTCCGCCGACTCTGACTGACATATCGCCGACTAGCGGATCAATCATCGGTGGTGGCAATATAACTCTCACAGGGACAGGCTTCCTGAGCGCAACTACTGTGTTCTTCGGTCTCCTACCGGCAACTTTCACTATCCTCAACGATACTACCATCACGGCAACGGTCCCTATCACAGGGCTTCCAGGCCCTGCATCCGTGACAGTTACGAATCCTGGAGGTACCAGTGGAGCCCAAACCTACACATTTCATTTATAATGATAAAACTGTAAAAAAGGGATCCAGGACTGAGAACGGAGGTCTTCAGGACTGAGAACGGCGGTCCAAAGACCATGCCAGTTAACAAAGAGTTGGCGAAGGTTTGATATTGGTATTTGAGAATCGTGATTGATGATTACTACTGGAGGTATGGGACCGAACCTACCTTACGGACAGAGACCAGATGAATGTGGATACTGCGATACGGACAGAGGTCAGAGGGCATGAGGTCAGATGAAGCCATTTAGGGTTTCACATGGGCAGGTGCGGGCTGACTTAGCTGAGCTGGGGCCTGCGACCCCAGGCTGCGAAGAACGTCACCGACTCAAGCTGGAATCTCAACTTATTTTTATATTTTGTGACTCTGGAGATAGTAATTTTTCAAATTGGAAATCATCTAGTTTTCACTTGACGTGCATTCTTGTCAAACAAACAGAGAAGAGACTTCGTACGGTGCTCCACAGCGGCGATCGACCCAGTGTTTATGGTAGGTTGGAAGCGTCCCAAAATTACTGGTGCGTCCTTTGGGTACAAAATACTACTACTGGTATATTTTGTAAATAGCTTGAGAAGACCTACAATCACGATCAGAAAGTAGTTACTTGGTTGGTATTAGTATGTCAGTTGGGGTATTAGAGTTGGTAAACGTTATGCGCCCCAGCATCTTCCCTTCATCCTACCCAGTATCCTACCGAGTTAAATACCCAGTTCCGTAAACAAGTAGGGTTGAGCGATTTGTTTAGGTAGCAAAGCTTGCATCGATGGCTAGGATATTCTTGATAAACTCTGGCAGAAACCTGGTGAATTGCCGCGCCGTAGACTTTGTAGTGTGAAGGTTCTTGGCGAGGCGGTCACGCGTTCAAGTTATGAACACGCGACTTTCGCATAGGTACCTAACTGAACCATGCACTAAACCATTAAATAAAGTGAGCGGTGGCCCATCCACAGCAATATAACTAGCCGTCAAGCTAATTGATAGCAGGCAATAAGAAATGCCACCGCGACGGTCGCACACCAAATCCCGCAACGGCTGTTTGGAATGTAAAAAAAGTCACCAGAAGGTATTCGCGCCGCTCAAGATACAAGCAGAAGTCACGGACCTAACAAATCGAAAAGTGTGACGAGCAACAACCAACATGTGGCCTATGCACGAAGCGAGAGCTGATATGTAGCCTTCAATCTCAACCACGAACTTCTTGCCCACCGGCCACTCGTCCTAGCCCCATGAGCCGGCAATCTCCATCCCCATCTCCATTTGCAACCACCTTCCAGTCCAAACCCCAAGCTAGCAGAAATGAGAGAAATGTCCCGAGAACAGTATCTACCTCGGCTCATCGTACTAGGCTGTATGAGATAAGGCTTTTTCACCACTTCGTGACGCGCACAAGTCGCACCCTTACGCGGAATAGCCGCGACTATTACCTATTGCAAACCGTCGTCCCAAACCTGGCGACTTCTCACGATTTTGTCATGGATAGCGTTCTCGCAATCGCAGCTCTGCACATCGCGTCCGGTACGAGTGATCCTGCGGAATCGCAAACGTATATCGATTCGGCTTTGGATTATCACACTGCGGCTCTAACGACGTCACGGGAACGATTATCGGTCTCGGATTCGCTGGATCAGGATGCTTGTGTTATCTCCTCCATTTGCATTCTTATCACTGCGACCGCGTATTCAAATATGTCACTTGAGAAAAATCAACGGGATCAGTTGGATGATATCTTGGAGAAACGGACGATACTCAGGGGTACGCGGTTTCTTATTCGTCGGTCAGAGGCGGCTTTGAATCATCCCTTATTGACGGAGTGGCGATTTGGCAATGAGCCTTTCGATCATTCGGAGCCTCCTGAGAAGTAAGTTCTCACTATCCCCCTTGTATTTCAATTCCTTTGGGTATGTCGGATGGCGATTAACTAACAGCTTCTAGATATCATTTTACTCCGAGACCGTTACATGGGTAAGTAAGATCGACGTAAGAGAACATCGACAAAAACTGATACTACCTTATAGCGAAGTTCTCGAAAAATTGGGCGAGGTGAAATCCGAATTGGAAAACTCCAACCATATGCAAAAGGAAGTCCTCAATTCTACGTATAACCTGGTCGAAAAAGCCATCCGCGACTGGCCGGTACGCGCGGGGGAAATGGTGTGGGTGTTAGAAGTCAGCGATGAATATATCGACATGCTAAGGAGTGGAGACTGGATGGCTCGTGTTTTGCTCATGTTTTACGGTCTCTGCTTGCATTTAAGCTCGGAGCTTTGGGCCATCCAAGATGCAGGGAAACGACTCGTGCTGTCTATTCTACCGCAGAAGACGCAGGTACCAGCAGAGTGGGTTGATTGTATTACTTGGATTCGACAGGCTCTCGACAGGTAATAGTGTGCCGAAAAGGATTATTGGTTCATAAAATGGACCTTTGCTTTCGGTACTGTTCTTGACTGCCTGTTGCATTGAGTGAGTGTTTCTAGAGCAATTTTGGGGTGGCTAAAGATTGAAATATCTCCACCCTGGGAGAACTAGAACGAGGATGAAATGAATTTGTAACATTTTGATTAGGACTGGCCACCCTCTATGGTAATACACATAGAGGGCCTTTCCTAAATAGGACGGAGGGGGTGTCCATGTAGGATCGCTCCAAAAACTGTCTCTCAATGGTTAAGACTACTGGCTGATGGACGATCTGATTTAAAATCATGGCACCTGTGCCGTGAAATAATACGATAAGAATTCAACAAAACTTGTTGGGATTAGCTATGGAAGCTAGAAAGAAAATCCCCCCGAGATGAATCGCCAGAATTTTAAAGATATGCCGGCTAGAAGCAAGACCGTGAACACCGTCGCCGTGCATCAAGATAACCCATAAATCCCCGAACGCCTCTGTTCTTCCACGGAAAGCAAAATCAAGAAACTGATCCATCAGATCACATCTTAACATAGAAAAGATATCTCTGACGAATCTGAGCAACATCGTAAACGATGTACTCATTGTACTGAAGACTGGCTTTGTTATCATTGCCCCGGGGACAGGAAACATCCGGGATCTGGACACCGCCCAGATCTTTATTGAATGAGCCAGCATCCTTCCAGCCACCGGGGATAGTCCGACCCTGACCAAGAGTCGCGATTTTGCCGAATTCCTTCGCCCGTTCGCCGGCTTGGTAGTCCGAGTTGTAGAGTTCGTGCATTGGTTCTCCAAGCTCCGCGTCACAGAGCAAGAGGAGTCCCATTCCTGCACTGTTGTATGAGCAGCAGTAGTTGGCAGACTTGGTTGAGGTGTCGGCGAGGTAGACTCCCTTTCCGAACATGTATCCGTTCACGGGGGCCTCGGGGGGTGCGATGCGGAGACCTTGACTGAGGATACCACCGAAGTTTGTGGAGCGGCTGCCATGCCATAGTAGGCGGCGGTTTTGGGTCTTGAGCTTTGCGTATTCGGAGGAGGTGAAGCGCTCTTCTTCGCCGTTTCGTTCAATTCGGAAGATGTCGATGATCTGGGAGATGATTAGGGATGAGTATTGGTAGCACGGGAAGGCTTTGTAGTCTACTCACATCGTAGTTGATGCAGTGCGTCGTTCCGGACGAGTTCTTCAAGTAATTCGACAGCTCGGCGAATTCTTCGGATTTGTGGTCCACTGCGATGGTCAGCTTTGCTTTGTAAGATATGCAGCGGGTTTTACTCACGTTGACTCATTTCTTTCAATCCCAGTCCCTTAAACTGTTGATCGAGCTGATTGACCTCGTCCATCTCCATGGCCTCGTTCATAATCTCGTTCGCGACATCCATGTCCGTCAAAGCCTCGATCAACTCAACCTCCTTCTTGATCTGGGGTCCGGTGGACAGAATGGGCGGACGATTGCGGCCGAACACATGAGGAATCGTTGTGAAATATCGGTTGCTGAGGGTTTCAGCCGCGCGGAGGAAAGTGGTGCCATACTTGGATTCCGCCAGGCTATGATCAAGCATCAGCTCCGAGAGCTCTTTGAGAATGGAGAATCCGTTCTTGAGAGTGCGTTCGCTGAGCTTGCCCAGCGGAAGCTTTTCGGCATCGTAATCCATTGCCCGCAGAGCATTTGTGATATGGTCCTGGTTGAAGATGAAGGACATCAAGTTTTGCAAAGGCTTGTCCAGTTTGCTCTCCACGGGAGGGGTGTCCTCGCTAGGCTCCTTCTTCACTTTCCCATTCTTGCCATTTTTCGCCTTGGGCTCATCGTCGTCCTCTTCATAATTCTTCTCGATAAAGGTGTACTTGCCATCCTTGGGGGTATCAACTCGATTTTCCCACTTGAGACCGGACTTTTCTTTGAACTTCTTCTCGAACAGGCTGATTGCGGCTTTCGAACTGGGGCCAAGTGCTAGAGCCGACTGGCCGTTCTCGCCGACACGTCCCCAACGACTCCAAGTATGGTAGGCAACGTTTTTTCCTGTACCCGTAGCAATCACTTGGATGCGGTAGAACTTGTTGTTGTTTGCGGCGGCGACGGTTTGGTTTAGTGTGGCGTCCCATATAACACCATCATCATCGATCAACACACTCGCGGCTGTTCAATGTCAGCCAGAATTCAGATTGTGCTTTAAAGGAGGAACATCACTCACGCGTCTTGATATTAGCCTTCACCAATGCGTTAATTGCCCCCAATTCGACCGGAACATTGAGCGACTTGAACCCGGCCTTTTGCGAGTCTTTCTGCTTCTTACTCGAGTCGTCGGCATCGTCGTCGTCCTGCTTGATCGCGCGCTTCTTGCTGGTTTTCTTGACTGCGTCGCCGGTCTCTTCTTCCGGCTCCTTCTTCACGGTCTTTGTCTTCACCGCGGCAGCCTTTGCACCATCTCCGTTTTTCGCCTTGTCGTTTTTCTTGGGGGGTGACTGGGCGGACTGGGAATCTTGGGTTGGCTGAGAGGTGGCTTTCTGACCCAGGAGGTATTTCTTCTCGGGTAGTGGCTTCTTGCTATCAATTGAGTCGATCAGCCAGTCGAGGGACACAACTTGACACTTGTCGGAGTCGCAAGCAGCTTGGTCTGGGGGAGATCAGTACTGATTTTCAAAAAGGGAGCCATATTCAGGCAAGCAAGCGATCGGACAAAGCGGGTACTCACATTTGTTGCTGTTCTTCTCGACGTCTTTCTCATTTGTCACCAGGTGCGTGCACTCGGCAGATACCGAGGTGCTGAAAGAGGCTCCTTGCTCGGTGATAAACCCCTTTAGATCGGCTGTTGAAAGGAAATGTCAGCCTCATCATCTCCACATTTCCACGTGGATACGAGGTCAAGTGGGGGCCGTGTACCTTGCTTGTACCCTGGGAATGTTCCGCTGACCGCGATAACCAACGGCTTGAACGAGCGAGGTGCCATGATGTCGAATGTGAAATAAAAAAAAAAAACCTTTGCTTTTGAAGATCTGTTGATCAAAGGTAAAAAGTGTATGTAGTGGGGGATGAAGAGGGATGGCGATGGCTCGAGGATGTGATTCAGGCCCGCATTGAGGGGGTCGATTAAAGATGGGGGATAAATGAAGAGAGGTAGAGGAAAAAGGGAAGAAAATGAATATGAGGAGAGGGAGAGGAAAGATAAAAGTTCAGCTTCGATCAGCAGCTCTTTAAAAGTCAAGCCGGGAGTGAAACAAAGAAAATACGGCCTGAATGGTCAGGTGTCACATGTTGCTGCCTGCTTACCAACAGGCTCCAATCTGGCCCAAAAGGGTTTAGACCCAGGGGAACCTAATGCCATCTCCACTTCGACTTTTTCTACTTTCCAACTTTTCTACTTGATACTTGATACTTGTTACCCCACTCTACTTATATTCCTGTAGTCACAGAGTGTATTCCGGGCGGGATATTCTATCATATTCTTAGATCCTCAAGACTGAGTACCCTGCACTCGATACACAAGAGCCTCACTCGCCCCAACCTTTCCATTGTTAAGGAGATCCCATCCTCCCTCAATACCATCAACACCAGAGACTCCCTCTTTCCAGACGATTTCCAAATCAGGGAAGGCCAGATGGCGCATTCTCAGCAATCTTTCCCACTCTTGGGCTAATTCCTGATATAAAACATCTGGGCCGCGAACGGCAACAACGGTGTCAATGACTCCTGAAGTATTATATTGAACCCAGCCAAGGTCCTGCTGGGCTCTTTTCGCCATCAATGCGGCCCTCTCCTCGGGTGTCATTTGCTAGGTAATTCATTAGCGTAAATTCGAGAGCAAGTTTGAATAATTGAAACCATACCTTCTGCGGACCACCGATTTGCACAAGAACAATCTTACTATTTGCCAGCAATGCGTCCTGCTTGATACCATCAATTAAGCCGTCCAGAGCGCCCTCCCGTGCACCAAAGTCAAGCACAACGATCTTTGAGGGCCTGAAGTTTCGAATCCACTCGATTGATGCAGGGTCCGAAATGTTGTTATATCCAATAGCCTTGGAAGGAAACTCCGGCGCAGCGGACTCCGTGGCCCGCGAAAGACCCTCAACCGCCGATGTGACCTGCAAAAAGCCAAGAGGCGCCAATTCCTTCGGTTTTTGCTCAAAGAAGTAGGCAAATGATCGCCCAGTCTTTCCTGACGGCGCCAGACTAACCACCACGGATTTCGATACGTCCGCATCATCCTTCGTCCAGGGGAGACCCGCCGCGTTTCCGAGTGGGTGGATGGGCTCGATGCCTTTTCGGGGTGAGAAAACGTACTCGCTTAGGTAGTAACCAGCTTGCCCCTGGAGAACAGCCGACCAACCGAGCTGATTCAGTTCATCTCCAATAGTGGGAGCTGCGATCTTCTCGGCTGATAGCGATGTTGGTTGCACTTTGTAGAGATTGTATAAAGGCATGAGCTTCTGGCGGTGCTCACTTATTTCAACCCAGTGTCCACTCGGTGCAGTTGCTTGCAGTTTTAAGTCTGTTGACGAGGCGGATGTGGGCCAGTATCCATGGAGGAGCGTTCCCGGGGCTAATTCGGGGATGTTGCTCTCTTCGATTAAGGCAAACCCCCACGCTGGAACGATCCCCCATTTGGATGCGTCGTTGTAGGGGGCTGGACAGGCAGAGACCGGGTATGTGTCCCACCATCGTAGCACACCACCCATTTTCGCATATGTTAGGTTATTCGATGACAGGGTGATTAATTGTGTCTTGACACGCACGCTGGACGGTGCGAGTTCTTGCGAGTCCGCAGGTGCAGGGACCAGAACAGCATGTTGGCTAATATCCAACTTTGAGACCACGTGAACCGCCATTATTGCAGTAGATTGACTTTGCCAGAGGTCGATTTTGGAAGACGGGGGTACTTTCATTTTCGAGGCCTGTTAGATGTAATATACCCCGCCGATCACAAATCAGTCGGGCGGTTAAATATCCGGCGGGATTCCCCGCAGCCGCGTTGCCGAGTTGTACTAGTACGGGCGCTCCACTCGGACTTGGTGGATGCCTATTTCAATGGAATCCCACGTCAGCAACGACGAATGACAGTGCGAGTGCAATTTATTTATTTATTCCAAGGTTTGAAAAGTAACTATGACTCAAGGTTGGAATTACAGTTCCTCATTTCGATCAGACAGCCATCGCAAATCAAAAACCCATCTCATCCATGTAGTATGCCAGATCGCCTTGGCCATTTTTATCATGCATACTCTCGCCGTTTCCTAAAAAGTGGAAACTATTCTTGGATCGATACTGGATGTTGAAATGCTCTCCACCGATGTTTTCGAGGCAATCTTTAAAATGTAATGTGGAGCCTGGGTAGACGGCTGTGATCTGGCCAGACGCTTTCCCATTTTTGTACCATGATCGACACCCATCGGACCAGACCATGCGCTTCAAGAACTCCTGGGCATAGACATTGTAGTCATCCATAGATTCTCTCTTAACATCAATTGACCTACAATTTTCGAATAGTATTAGAATACACCAAAGAGACTGGCGGGATGAGAGCGCAGCATACTTAATATCTTCGGTGGCAATCTTTTTGGCCCATCGCAAAATGTAGTCACAGGTCCACGATACCTGCGTTAGTAGCGAGCCATGAGAGACCACTGCGTTAGGACCGTTGAAAATAAAGTAGTTCGGCATGGTGTCAACTTGAACAGAGAAGAACGCTTCCGGGTTGGTCTTCCATCGTTCATCTAACATTGCTCCACCACGACCAACCAAATTCCAGGAAGGAATGAAGCTCGTGTCAAATCCAGTAGCACAGACAATCATATCAAATTGGTGGTTTTTTCCATTCTTGGTCTGAATCCCATCTTCAGTAATTTTCTCGATGGGGTCAAAGCTCAATGTCGCATTTGGATTCGAGAAAGCCTCTATATAGCCTTCGCCGGGCGTCAGACGACGGCAACCAGGTTTCCAATCGAGAGCAAGCAATTTTGAAACGACTTCAGGGTCCTTGATTCCTTTCGCCTTCGCCTCCATCTGTTGCCGACTGAGAGTTTCTACCCCCACCTGTGCCGGATGATCTTTGTACATCGCATAAAAGTAGCCGTTCACACTGAGCACGCCGGGCGGGTGCCATTAGTTCATATAATCCGAATGTTTCGGCTAGCGAGAATGACATACCTGGCTTCCAGCTCTCTACGAAGCTGAAAATGCGCAGCGGGGTCCTCTGCAAGTGACGTCTTCTCCTCTTCCGTATAGGCAAAATTGAGACCATTGGGCGTTTTGTCTGCGCAAAAGTTGACAGAAATCCATGTTGGGTTACGAACGAAATTAACAAGCTTCTTGGCCTTGGGTTGTACAGCTGTCACACATTGGACGCCTGATGAGCCGTTTCCAATCACGGCGATGTTTTTTTCGGTCCAGTCATAGTTGTTATCCCTGTGAAGGTGGTTATTGCTGACGAAATGTTTTCGTGTCTTGTATACTACCTACCAATGTGAAGTGTGAAGAAGCTTGCCCTTGAAACTACACAGACCCTCGATGTCTGGCCAACTTCTCTTACTGTGAGCCCATGATAATTCGTCAGTCAAGTTTTACCATCGTCGAAATGGTATCCTCGTTCCGGAAATTGATCTTACTTGAGAAATCCTGCTGCGTTAACCAATATATCGACTTCGTCATACTTTACCGACCCCGCCTGTTCGACTTCGATTTTCCACTTCCCCAAAGCATCATCCCAAACAGTTTCTTTGACACGGGAGTTGAACTGAACCTTCCTGTCCAAATTCCACTTCTTTGTTGTTTTTTGAATGTATTCAAAGATTTCGGGTCCCGGGGAATAAAACTTCGACCAGTTGGGGTTGGGCTCGAACAGGAAAGTGTACGCGTCTGGATCAGCATTAGAGATTAATCAATAGTCGCAGAAGATTGTATCGTACGAGAAGGAACATCACTGTTGTCCATTAGCAAGCCACCATGAATTGTGATAGCCAAAGGGAGAGGTTGACATGCCACGCTACGCCTGGATAAGTGTTCTCAAACCAAGTTCCACCAACCGAAGAGTTCTTCTCATAAATTACCAGGTCGATCACGTCACTAAGTTTCAACTCATGATCAACTTTGTGTGCTAATGTCAAGCCAGAAAACCCAGCCCCGATACAAGCGATCCGAAGCTTGCGTCGGCTATACACAGGCTGATCTGCGCAAGGCATCCAGTTTTCGGGGGTATGGCCATTGGCAACTTTGGTCGCGGGCGTCTCGTCTGAGATATACGCGTTCGTGATGCCGTTCGATGCCATGTTTTCAAGTGAATAGATTACTCTGTCGGTGAAGTTGTAGTTGGGTAAATTGACGGGGGGTTTGATCTCTTAAGAGGAAAAAAAAACCTCCCAGACAGCCCCGCAGTGCCAACGCAAGACTATAAGTAGAACTAGACAGGGGTTTGTGTTACGGCTGCGTCCTGGTCTGTCATTTGCTATCGGGCTTTCGGTGAATAAGTTCCGCCTCCAGAGGGTTGCACGAGAAGTATAATTACGCTATGCGGCTCTCAGGATACTACCTGTCTCGATCGGTGGTCCAATAGAGAAACAATTTCGCAACAATTTGTTGAGTTTCAGTCTGACGATTTGAATTATGCCTTCACAGAGTTGGATATCCCGTCTTTGCGCCAGCCGAACAGCTCCCTGGCGGACCGCTTATCCCGCTATCTACTCAGTACTGTGCTTAGGAGTAGTATCAGATATGGAGATAAATAGAAGCATGCATTTTATGTCTTGTCTATGTAGAAGAGAAAGAGAGGATGTCAGGTGACTGAGGTGTGGATGCTGGACACTGTACGTACATCAGGCTGTCTCAACGGCAATTGAAGATCGACATGGCTATAGCTTCTTTGGATCAGCGGAGCGCCCCTGTTTGTCAAGGTGCAGAGACTTGGTTTCTCTCCTCCGCCAATTACTTTCGAGCATGAGATATCACCTGCAGCCTCGTGCGGGTATCCGGCTTGGCTAGCCCGCCGCTCCCGAGGTCAACAATAATTCCAAGGTTCAGTGTGAGAGTGCACATTCATCGACATGCTGAAAATCATGCAGGGTCAGCATAAACGGGAGCCCGCACTGCCCGAAACACCAAACATGCGTGCTGTGAAGACGTGTTACGCCTTATTTCCGAGGTCATTTACCGATTAATCTAAGTTGCGTGTATAGTAGTACTAGTCGGCATGAAACTCCAAGCTCCAAGGTTGGTGCATTCAAGTTGGCTTTGCCTCGCTGGGCAGCTCTTAATCCTAACTCCAGAGCTCCACTATCCACTATTAGGTACTCATACTAGTATTACTAGTGCTGGAGAGGACCCTGTTCTCCTGGTTGGAGGTAGAAAATGAGGGCGTAGTCGAGGCAAATTGAGATGTGAACCCAGTGAAGACACAGCGTGAAAACACGACATCAAGATCTGCGGTGAGAGCCCGGTGTGAGAACGCCGCGTTGAACAGTTAGTGGAAGTAGTAGTACTCCCAGTATTGCTGTTGTAAGCATTTAAGCCAGAGAATGAAACTGCGAAGGAGTAGAATGAAGTGGCGGGCGAGGATTCTCGAGTCGACGAAGAAGTAGCAGTTGAGGCTTCAGAAAACCCATGGTCGATGGAAGAAAGGCAATAAAACTGGTGTATCAGGGGAGTTAGGGAATATGAAGAGGAAACAGTCACTCTGGTGTATCTTGTCTATGTTAGGGAGCTTGTCGAGCCTCGGCAAGACCGACGAGATGAGATCTGGAAAGGAGAGGTTTGATGGGGAATTTGAACCAGGGAATGAAATGGCCAGATGACTTGGGCACTAGGAGACTGTAAGAAACATTTGAAAGCACTAGAAGTTGTTGGTGGTGTCAAGACGAAGACAAAGAGTTGGCGATGGACAATGTAAATAGGAAAATGAGACTAGACCATTCTCAGCTAGTTATCTCTTACTTCTACCCTTCTCACTTTCACTTCTCAACTCACATCACGACCATCTCTCTTACTTCCAGTTCATTTTCTTGCCCTCACATTCACGGGGCATCAACTATCACACGGGCTCTATAGCCTCTGGAAGGAATTATAACAAAAGCTTTTGCCTGACTAACCACCCCTACCCTCCAAACCCTCATCGCAACTCAAACAAGAACCATGGCAAGACTTGTAAGTCCATCAATTGGAACGAAGTGCCAAAAACTAACAAACTGCGGCTTTGTGCCATTCACACAACTAACGCCTTATACGAAACGGCTACCTACCGTCAGCTGAGGGTTCTGGCCGCGCTCCAAATCCAGGCCATGGCCCACATCTTTGCGGCCCAGAAAGAGAAGAAGAAGGCCGACCGCAATCGAAAGTCCGAGAAGGCGAAGAAAGTCTTTGTCGAGTCTCCCATCTTTCGGTCCTCCCGCAGAAGCCTGCAAGAGACCCTCTCCAGAACAGGCCACGACACTTGGCCGTCGCGAATTGGATACTGCCAAGTCTCAGATCATCATTCTCAAATCTCAATCGCGCACTCATCTCCTCGAATTGTGCGATAACTCGAGCGCTGAGACCGAGACTCCGAGTTCAGAGATCGAGATTCCCCTTTAACTGGCTTATAGGCATTGGTCCAGCTCCTCGTCCCTAGCAAATTCTCTTGAGAGGAATCTATTCGACATCTGTCATTGGGCAAATTGATTATGGACTCCATGAACCGCCTCCACCCGTAATGTTCGAGGAGACTCTGACTTCACAGTATAACCAGGAGATTTTGGATGAGCAGCAGCAAACGCTAGAAGTCCAATCTGCAGACTCGAATTCACTTCGGTTTACAATTGGCGCTGAGAAAAATACTTTCACGGTCACAAACAACTCTTCTGGTGGGGAATGCGGCCTTCAATATGTGACCTACGTCCAGTTCCTCGCCAATGTCGAGCAGGAAAAGCCCGCCCTTCTGGAAACTACTGCACGCACATTCACCACTGTTATTCTCTCCTGCCGCCCTGCCTCTAAACCAGTTTATTTTTAGTTCCGGATCCCTGGCTTCTCGTTTTCCTCCCTTATTTCCGCTCCAGCCAACGGGTTTGATGTTGGTGCCTCGCATGAATTTGAGGCCGGTTTGGTTATGCGGGTTCCACCAATGCTTGACCGGGACATTTTTATTTGACCGCTTCCCTGTCACTTCTTTACAGTGATTCTTGATAAGCCTGCCTTTATCCAAGAGCCCAGTGTGCTATGTTATACTCTTTGGACCGACCCATTGCAATACATTCAGCCTCGGACTACCGATAGCGTCATTGATATTAGGCGGAGTGCAAGTATTCAAGAAGCTGCAAGACGGCTTGCAATGCTTCCGATCGAGGAGAAAATCAACAATAGTCCAAGGAAGCTCACGAAGGAAGAGCTTAGGAAATTGCCATCTCTGTCGCCGGAGGAGTACGAGCAGAAGATGAATTTCTAGGGTATGCCATCGAACGTATACCGTCCGCAGGGCTGTTCACCTCTAGCTGAGGTGCGTGGGAAAAGCTTGTTGAGTGGCAGAGGGGGCGGCTTAGCAGTTCAGAGAAATGAGAACATCTGCATGACGGTAATTGAGGGCTGCATAATCAAAATCCCGCGGGTTCGATAAGGCTTATCACCCGAGAGACAGTTATGAAAATATTGGGGGCCATCGGATCCTATTTAAAAACGCCACGTAGTCCATTCCCCGACTTTTCGGAATATCGACAGTCATGTTCTAGAAATTTTGATCGATCGGTATTTCTTCTTCCTCGAGAGATCAACAGCAATTATGTCAGCCCTTGTGGACTATATCACTCGAATAAGGGCAGCTCGTCAGGTCTCGATCTCAACTCCACTGTCGATCGGTCTTTGCGGGGTCGTCTCTTTTGGCCTTCTTTGTAAATTCAATGCTTACCTATCAAGGCGTGCGTTGAATAGCCCCGTGGATAAAGATTCATGGGACTGGGATAAAGAGATTGTGGTGGTGACTGGGGGCTCCAGTGGTATTGGGGCCGCTATTGTTCGTGTTTTTGCCGGACAGGGTATTAAAACGATCAGTCTGGATATTTGCAGGCCCCATCCAGATGCCGGTACGCATATTCATGGGCCTATGAGTATAGTTGCTAAACAAGTGCAGAAACAGAGAATGCGTTTTTCTATTCAGTCGCTTTAACGGAGGTGGATCATATCGAAAAAGTCGTTTCGCGCATTCGATCGGAGCATGGTGACCCCACGGTTCTGATAAACAATGCTGGAGTGCAGTCAAATAAGCCTATCCTTGAGCTTACTCACGACCGGATTCACTCAGTATTTGATTTGAATATCATTTCCGATTTTCTCCTTGTCAAGGAATTCCTTCCGGCGATGATATCGAATAACCATGGACATATCGTGACGGTTGCCAGCCTCGCCTCATTCACAACACGGGCCGTTAATGTCGATTATGCGTGCACCAAAGCCGCTGCTCTTGCGTTTCATGAGGGCCTTGGGCAGGAGCTTCGACATATCTATCACGCGCCAGGGGTTCGCACAACGTGAGTCTCGATCGGGCAATCTTGTAACATCAAATGTTAATAACCTTTTCTTAGTATTATCCATCCCGGTTGGGTCAGAACCCCGATGATTGAAAAGCTTTTGCAAAGTGGAGCTCTCAAGGGCCATCTTCTCGAGCCTGAAGAAGTTGCAGAGGCTATATTGAAGCAGCTTCGGTCAACTTCTGGCGCTCAATTATTTTTGCCGTCTAGCTTCTGGATAGTTTCACTCCTGAGAAGCACTCCATCTTGGATTCAGGAGCGGGTCCGGGACTTATTGACCACCAGTCGAGGATACAATCACAATTAATTTCCTCTCAAATTGGGCATTGAATTAATTTAATTTGGCTAAAGACATGTCCGAGATATGGAAATCTATTTGTTTCCAAGTAGGTGACCTGGTAGTCATCGCAACAAACAGATACCAGTGTTTCCATGTACTACAATAGTCCAGCGGCCCAGAAACCTATGATCTTGCCATTGGATGACTTGCGTCAGGACCCTGTAGACCACTCCAAGCGGTATTTTGCATGACACGATATTCACGAGCAATAAAGTCATCTACCGTGACTTTTCCCGGTTTCGAAAGCCCCGATTCTCTCTTTATACTAGCGATAAAGAGTCTCGGTGATATTGACCTCGCTTCAGGCTCCAGGACTCTACACTCCCAACGACACAGACCACTTCGAGTTTTAATAATTTACCCTAGGCTCAATTTCAGTGGGATTTCCTTAAATTGTTTCGGCAAATGACTACTATTCATGGACTCGGATATATGGAGAGTAGTACTAGTAGTATGGTCGCCCGTTCTAGTTCTAGTTCCAGTACTACTTAGTACTAGAGGCCCAGGCTTAGTATTTCCAAGGGCTAATTAACATCAAATCTCGATAAGAGCGAGAAGGGAATCCTACCGGCAAAAGGAATAGAAGGAGTGGACTCTTTGACAGCGGATATATTTTCGGTTTTTGTGTTAATAGTTTGTATAGCCAAACGCGGCGTTTTCTTCCATCAGCAAGCTCGCGTAGCTCAGTTGGTAGAGCGCGGCACTAGTAATGCCGAGGTCTTCAGTTCAAATCTGGACGTGAGCATCTATCTTTTTGTTTTTTTCCTGCTTTCTCCTCACTTTATCCTATTTCCGAGATTCCGACCTTTTTTTTTTAGCAAGAATCTAATCGATATTTGTTGGAAGGGGAGATGGAATCGCTGCGACCGAGCACCTGGGCATGCGGTCAGGCAGCCCCGCATCAGCATACAGTTAATCGCACGCCCTCTCCATTACCTTCCCGCCCGAATAAAACAAGTTCAAGTTGTCTGTTCAATTATTGTTTTGATTATTCTGAAATTCCCCAAGATGTGTTAAAATTCGGCCGATTTTGTCTCGGTCGGCTGTTGATTGAACCCAAATTTCATTTCGTGGTGCTACCGTCAAGTAGTAGTATACTAGCTATATTTTGACTACTAAGTACCTCTGGCACAACTCGAACTCAACGATAAACCTTGGAACTCAGATGTGTCGGACTTGAGTTCCTCTGTCTGTGGTACCGCAGCATTTATTTTGAAAATTAGCCCTCAAGTTTTATGTTCAATCTGGACATAGACAGCAGAGCAGGGGATTGGTAACATATAAACCGTTTAAAATAATCTTGCATGTTCATAACTTTCCATTATACAATCCCGCAGAGGGGTACCCAAGCGCTAACCGTATAGAGAAATTTAGCGGCAGATACTAACCCTTTTTGGATATACGGAGGCTACGGCATCCATTTTAGGGTGATAGCCGATGCTTCCTCGCCCCCGGACCGTAAAATGCTTGGAGATAAGCCGAATAAATAAATATAGGACAGCCCGAGCCGAGATTCTTTCCAACTTGATTTCACTTTTACGATCAAAGCCATTACTCCAAATTCACAGAAAAATTCTCGAATCTCCGCTACCTGGTCCTCCGAAAACAAACACTCGTCAACACATTCCAAGGTTACAGTCACGTTTCAAAAATGGGTATCAAAGACGAAACCGCGACCCTAGGAACTTCCCAGCCTCACATTTGCATAATCGGTTCCTTGAATATTGATTTTGTGACTTCGACCCCGCGATGCCCTGGCCCCGGTGAAACCCTTACAGCAACCTCCTTGTCTGTCACAGCCGGTGGTAAGGGTGGAAATCAAGCAACAGCCTGTGGTCGTGCTTCATTTACTTCGAAGAATACACAAGATGTCGCCGTGAGCATGATCGGTGCCGTCGGTGCTGGAGATGTCTACTACTCGACCCTTCTCAAGCCTGCCTTCGAAAAGTCCGGGGTCAACACAGCAAGTATCGAAGAGTCCATAGAGGCGCAAACCGGATCAGCTAGCATCATTGTCGAAGAAGCCGCCGGAGGAGAAAATCGCATTCTGGTGGTCCCGGGCGCGAACCATGCTGGCATGATGAACGATACTTCGCAGATCATCTCTTCCATGAAGCAGCAAGAAGTTAGCCCCAGGGTCATTGTTTTGCAAGGCGAAATTCCGCGCAAGACTACACTTGGCCTACTCGAATATTTCAACGGCGGTGTTGCAACGGCCAATCGCGCCCATGTGGTCTTCAATCCTGCGCCCGTTTACCCGGAGGGCATCTCGCTTGCGGCTCTGAAACATACATCCGTTCTCATTATGAATGAAACTGAAGCGGTCCAGATGTCGAGGTCAATTGTTGGTCTTCCTGTTTCTGACTCGACTCAACCCACCGAACTAGACGACTTGCAACCCGAGGAGCTTGCTCCGAGATTCCATGAACTAGCTCATGTTCAAATTGTGGTCATCACCCTCGGGGCTAAGGGCGTTTACTTCTCTACTCGCACCGGCCGACGTGGGGTTGTGCCCGGAGTTAAGGTATTGAAGGTTGTTGATACCACAGCTGCCGGTGATACCTTTGTAGGATACTTTTCAACTGCTCTCGGTCGATTTCTCGCGACCGGTGCATCTTTGGAGTCCTTTGATGATCAGATTGAGGCTGCGGTGTCGAAAGCAAACGCCGCTGCTGCCAAGTGCGTTCAGCGAAGAGGTGCCATGCAAAGTATTCCCTTTGCCTACGACATGGAGTAATGATGTTATACAAAATATATAAATACTAGACCACATGTGTACGTTAAAAATGGAACAAAATAGGAATTGGCGCTTAATTGAATTCATGAAATACATAATACTATGCTAAATATCTTGCTCATCGGACCCGTCGTCATATCGCGCAATCCTCCATACAGACCGGAGCGCTTCCCTTTCACGCTCGAGGTTGATCCCAGTTGTACTTGTAATTTTCTGCAGGACCTCCAGTAAAACGATCTGTTGCGACTCATGTGTCATCTCCCGGGCAATCAAAAGTAGCCCCACGACAAGTATCGGGTCGAACTGCTCCGGCGAGTCATTACTGGTTGCGATGCCAGCTATTGACTGAGCATGCCAGATGTGAGAAGTAAAACAACGTGGACCAGGAAGCGATTTCAAAAGTCGTGGCTTATGCGTTAAGAGTAGAAGTGACGTGATATGATAAACGGTGTTGGCGACCAGCGCCATTGGCGTTGTGAAGATGAGGATTGGAAAGCCCGTGTCATGATCGGGATCCAGTTGATCTGCTTCTCCACCCCGGACATCCACGATTTGCTGTGTGTCAACTGGACGCTCATTATACCATTTCTGACAATCTGTCCAAAGGAATGTCCACTGTGACAAGAAGTGCGATTGTCGTAGGGAAGGGTAAGCTGCTAGCTCTGGTGATCCAGCTGCTTGTGGAGAAGTCACGTCCGACGGGTCTCCGTATATCAAAGCAAGGCTGTGTCCTAGAAGACATAACGCGTGATTGTACACTCTGTGGACGGAAGGCGTTTGGGTGTTTTTGTGTGGCGTGTGTACTGGAGACCCATCGCGATGGAGGAATGAGCGAAATGGAATAAGAGGCGATTTCGATGTCATGAGAGATGATGCAAGATCTGACAATGGAAATACAATTAGCTGGGCTCTTGTATCAATTTGCCAGGGGAGTACCGACCGAGGCGAAAATGCAACCAGAATAACTCTTCGCCCATTTCCTCCTCAAAAGAAGTAGGCGTCACAAGACCCCCAGCCTCAATGTGAGCCTCTAGCTTATCTCTCCATCCTTGAACCCCAGATGGCAGGAGGTCTTGTAGAAGCAGCAAGGCGTGCCCAGTACGTCGCAACATATCAGTCTCCATTGCCAGACTACCTTCTGCTTCCTTGCGAAATCGAAGACTACCACCAACATCTTGGCCCTGGGAGCCTAGAGCGAGCAGCTGTCTTTGACTTGCAGACAAAGCAAGAATAGCGGCTTGGAGAGACCGATTCGACCTGGAAATGAGCAGAGCCTGAATTCCGAATGCACAATAAGGGTCTCCCACGTCGATCCATGGACTGACGGAGTACCGAAAATGGCGCAGAAGATCTGTCTCATAATTACTGATCACACTTATTGGCCTTCGTGGTAGGCGCGAGTAATCTCTGGTTAAGCGAAGATATTCCAGGCTTAAGGGGCTACCACCAGGATAGCTCCCAGGAAGACCAAGAACGGTCTGTAAAGTCGACTGCCCCTGCGAATTGTCGAAGGGTGTATTAGATGCGAGTATATCATTTAAACCGACTGTCGTACGATTGCCATTCGGGTTAACAAAAGGAACATGGCCCGATAGATTCGGTATGTCCTGAGCAGTGAGCGAAACCCCGCTGGATTCGGTCACTTCTGTGTCTTGATCCAGCGATTTCTCCTTATTTTTCGCTGTAGCATGTGCAACCGGGGAGTCATCAACAAACTATTTTATACGGTTAGCTGTGTCAGTTGAATAAATTTCAGCCTCACTTACACTGATGGTGCCATATACGTGTCGACCACCTGGCGCATCGCCCGATCGTGGGGGTACAAATGCCAAGTCAGAGCCATACTTGCAAGTAAAGCCCTTCACCTCGCAGTTGGCACATCGCGGCTTTTGCTCGTCACCTTTTCCCTCGTTAGCTTCTCTGACAGGGAAACGCACAATGAAAAGATTGTCACCGACATTTTCGCCGCCTTTTGCGGCACGTCAGACAGCCCGTCCGAACCCGTTGCTTGCTCGCGGGTGTAGGTTTCCGGGGCATGGTGTTAGTATAGTATGCATGACCCCGGATTGTGAAGAAGACCAAAAGCGCGATCTGGAGGCTCCTCTCTCCCCAAAAAGTGCTCTCGGAAGCCGCCGCGCAAAGTCGGGGTCCGTTGTGGGGCGAATCACCCGATCTGCCAGGCCTGCGGCTTGGACCGCGTTTCCATTATGTTTTCATTCTTGCGTTTGGGTCTGTGGAGGCGGAGGCGGATTCGGACGCCACCCGATAGAACGTTCAGCGATCGATCGATCTAGGGACTAGCTATTGAGTGCTTGTATGTACAATATCCACAAGAGATCAGGCACTTGATGAATAAGGTATGGAACACGGAGCTAGTAGAAGATTAAGATTACCCTAGGGTGCAAGAATTGGGGAAATATTTCGTAGATCTTGAACTGCATTATGATACTAATTTTCCAAAGCAAGGGATGGCCTAATCATTCCTCGCGGATTAAGTTGAGTTGGAAATTCTACAGACTTTCAATATACTGGGAGCCCTCCTTCTTCTCCACATCGCGTCCAGTGGCACTGCCCAGGCGCTCAATGAAGGCCGTGAGGCCAACATCTCTCTGAGCATCGCGGAGAAGCTCCGCATCTTGCTCTCCAGTGTTGCTGCCGAAAACGCGATCCATCTCCTCGAGACTGGCATTCTTGGTCTCCGGGAGGAAGAAATAGACCCAGAAGATACCGACGAGGAGAAAGCCAGCGAAGAAGATGTATGTACCCCACTGCCAAGCTTGAAGCATCGGAGGCACAAAGAAGGCAATGGCGAAGTTGTTGATCCAGTTGCTAGAGGCACCAATTGAGGCACCCTTGGCGCGAATGGAGAGAGGGAAAATCTCAGAAACAAGGGTCCATGAGACCGGGCCCCAGGTGGCTCCAAAGCCTGCGATATACAGCCAGATAAGCGCAACTGCACTCCAACCAGCTGCGACATGACCAGGCCAATCGTGCTGGAATTTCGCGACGATTATTCCGACAATAACCATGCTAACAAACATGAGAGCAGAACCCCCCAAGAAGCATAGGCTTGCGACCAATCTTGTCGATGACCAACATGCCGGGAATGGTGCTAATGATGAAAACAACACCGGTGACACCGGTAGCGAGTAGAGCAATGGTACCTCCAGTCAGACCGAGAGAAACGAAGACGTTGGACGCATAATAAATGATGGCATCAACACCACTCCACTGCTGGAAGAACATGACCATCCAGGCAGTGGCGACACGCTTGAAGTTGTCCATGGAGCGAACACAGTTGGCATATTGAGCAACTTGGTTCATGAAAACGCTCTGGTGCTCGCGCTCTGCCAGCTTAGGCGAAGACTTGGCAAATGCGCGCTTTTCAAAGAGAGCCTCGGCCTTGATCTCCAAGTACTCGACCTGTACCAGCTCGTGCTCGACAGGCAGCTTGCGCATCCAGGCCAGAGTAGACTGAGCTTCCTCATCACGGCCCTGCTTGACCAACCAACGAGGCGAGAAAGGCATGAACCAAATTCCACATGCCAGGCAAATGGCCGGGATGCCCTGGATGATAGAGGGAAGACGCCACGCCATGTCGGACTGAGTCTCACCGACACCGCCAATGTTGTTGCTGCCGTATCCAACCCAGAAGGAAATCATAATTCCGAGAATAGTGGCGAACTGATAGAAGGAAACGAGCAAGCCACGCATTTCGGGAGCAGCAAGCTCAGCGTTATACAATGGGCCCACACCCGAGAATAATCCGACACCCAGACCAGTGAAGAATCGACCAGCGTATAGAAGAGATGGGTTTCCGGCGGTGGCGCCGATGTAGAGATAGCTGCCAAGAATAACCCAGCAGCAGGCGAAGAACATGGTGTATTTGCGCGAGTAGATCTCGCCGAGGATACCGGCGGCCAAAGAACCCGCAATTCCTCCCAGTTGGAGAACGGAGGTCAACCAGCCAGTTGCTGTGGAGGATGCGACAACAGTTGGGAAGTTTTCGGTAAAACGGTGCATGACCAGGGATTGGCCCAAAACACCTTGTTGGTATCCATACTCGAATCCACCGAAGCTAGATCACAAAGTTAGTGGTGTGCACGCTGAAATTTCCAAATTGACCTAGAGGAAAACTCACGAAGCAAAGAAGGCAATAAGTAGAACTTTAGGATTGGCGAAGATTGACTGCCACATGGACTTCTTCGCGATTTGGATACGCGGTGCCGCCTCCACGTCAAGGGACTTTCGGTCCGCCATGTTGAAAAATAAGGAAAATGAAATCGGTCAGAGCAGGAACAACGAAAACCTGTCCTGGTAGGAAGGGAGTTTTCAACGGCGGGAATGTCGATCTGCGAGATTATGGGGAAGTCATGTCTTATATCTTTTTTTTTGACCATGCTCATTCGAATGTACGGGGCCATCACCCGCGCAGCAAGAAAAGTCAAAACGCCATCTTTCCCCGGTCTCGGGAGGCCGAATCGCGTGGTTTTTCCCCGGAAGGCTGCAAAAACGCGGAGGCAAATACAAGTGCGGACAAGTGCGGAGGAGGCCCTTAACCAAAAGCTAACGGGGTGTAGGCTCTGTTCTCCCAATTCAGCGAAACGTTCGGGTTCGGGGTGGATCCACTCGGTTAGCGAAGGGGGAAATCGGAGGCATCCCGCGTGGATTCCATGGGATTTGACCCATTAGTGTCTCGAGTTGCAGGAATCATGACACCCTAAAATGCTTTAGTTCCTGATGGCCTGACGCTGCTGCATAGTGTGGATACTGGCCCTGAACTCTGTCGCCGCTTTGGGAAATCAGAGCCACAGTCATGCTCTCCAAGTCAGTTCCATGCGGGGATCGTGGAGAACGTGGAGGATAATCGCATGGCGATTGACATCACAAAACCCAATTTTCGGGAGATAAGCGGGCGTGGCCGATGAGAACTCTGGGGTAGGTAGCAATGGTTGTTTACTTGTAAATATAAAAGATCCGGTGAGAGAACGAGGCTGAAGGGGATCAATCTTCTTGTCACGATTTGACTGTGGCCTTTTTCCCCGAGTTTTCATCATGCATTGGCCCACTTCGTTGCCGCTGCTTTGCAGCATTATCCTCCCATTCGTCACTGGCAGTCTTGCGTTGCCGAAGGCACGGTCGAATAAGCACTATGCCATCATGGACAATGATTGGTACACGGCGGGCTTTGTGCCGTATCTAGTCGCTCTTGATGGAGATGTTGATGTGCTGGCCCTAGCGTCCGGTAAGATCACGTTCATTTCCTTGAACTGCATAAGGTTTAGCTAGCTCACACAAAATCTCTAGATACTGCCAATTCCTGGCAGCCTCAGGTGGCATTGCATGCTGTCGCCACCCTTGAGGCCGGTAATCTCAGCTGCATTCCAGTCTACCCCGGCGCCACTTGGCCCTTAATCAATACCCCAGAACGATTCCAAGCATGGGAGACCATTCACGGAAAGCTTCCCTGGGAAGGTGCCTTCGCCCCTGAGAACAGGACTCTTGAAGCGCAAGGCAATGATCCGACTTCGGGCAATCCAGACCGCATCGTGAAGGAGGCCTTTAAGGAGGGATTCCCTAAGGGCAAACCTAACAACTCTACTTCTGCTGCGAATTTCATGGTGGAAATGGTTCACAAGTATCCAGGCCAAGTGTCGATCTACTCTGCTGGTGCTTTGACCAACATCGCCCTGGCCGTCCGTATGGACCCTCAGTTCGCATCGCTGGCTAAAGATCTGATCATCATGGGTGGATATGTGGATCTCAACATGCTCGAGGCCACGGGTAGTATTATGCTCGCTGACTACCAATCTGATGTAAGTTCGATTTCAAACGAAGAAAGAGAAGCTTCAAGTTCAGTCTCTAATAATCATATCAGATCAACCTCATGATTGACCCGGAGGCATCCAAGATCGCTTTGACTGCGGACTTTCCTGAGATCACTATTGCTGGTAACGTCGCCAACCAGGTCTTCCCTACACAGGAATTTGTCGATGAGATTGCATCTGTCAAGAATCCCTACTCGGAGCTCTTCTCTAAATACTATGACCTTTCTTTCCCCTTCTGGGACGAGACCGCTGCGGCGCTCATGGTTGATCCTTCTCTTGCGACTAACCAGACCTCAGGTAAGTGAAAAGTCAGCCACCATTTATAACCGGGAAATCTAACTTTTGAACGTTCAGTGTATCTCGATGTTGACACTTCATATGGAAGCCCGAACTATGGTAACATCCACGTCTACCAGAAGGCACTCGCCCCCGGTGGCATCCGCCAGGTAAACTATGTGTTTGAGGTTGATGCCGAGAAGTTGAAAAATCGCATCAAGCACGCTCTGCAATACCCCAAGACTTGCGCGGACCTGAAGAAGTAAAACAGGACAGTTGTTTTTGTATATATGCAGTTATTTTGAGTCGTATATAGACTTGGGCGCCTGAAGATATTATGTTGAATACCATGTAGATTAAATGTTACTTCTAACAGAGGCTTTTTAAAAGCGCATATTTCTATTCCAAGGTTTTAAAGTCGCTTAAATCGCTGACAGTATTTCACCTGGCTCATATCCCCAGGCTCTCTCAAGATCCTTTAACCTCCAGAGCGCACCCCACCCAGTTGTCTCCTCGACTATTTTGAATAATTTAGCGACCTCAATATGCTCGCTGTTATGACTGAGAAATTTCCCAGCAATGTAGAGTGGTTGGATAGCATTAATCAAATTTCCACTGTGTGGGTTCGTAAGCGAAATACCGCACACTCTCCGCGCATGCCAAATTGCCGAATATTGTGGCTTTGCAGGAGGCAAAATTTTCTCCGGGGGCTTCATGTCGAGCATCATGATGCACGATGCATGATACAGCTGATTCCCACTTATCGCGGCGTAGTGCGCATAGAGTATCTCTGGGAAAATCTGGCCGCCGCCCAGTCCCGTGGTTTTGATGGGTAACATGGCTGGGGGTCGTTGTTCCAGCCAGTATTGAAGTTCATCCCACAGGCAGTCCCACTGCTCAACGAAGGATCTCGTATCATCGACCATCTCACCAAGTTCGAGATATCTGATTTGCCGGCTCGCGAGGCCGCATGTTTTCGCACAGAGATACACTGCCCAGTTCGCATGCATGTCCGGCGATGTGCGACTCTTTTGGCAAAATAGATCGCGAATCATTTCCTCTTGTTCGTTGGGACATGATGCCTCTGGCATGGCAGGTACCCATTTTTCCAGTGGCAGAACCGTGCTCTCTGCGCCGTTGGAGATAATTGCCCCGCATAGCTCCATGCGCGCATAACACCAAAAAACCGCTTGTAAATGGCCCCCTGACAGGCCGTTCACGTTGAAAGAATCGAAAAGTGCTGCGCAGCCCTCGACATGGCGGCGCCAATCGCGGGGACTGACGGACATCAGCTCCATGACGGCTAGAATACAAACTGTAACCAGAACATTTGGGTCTTTGGCTTGTAGACAAGGTGCTAATAATCGGATTGACTCTTGATATAGCTCTAGGCTATCGTAGGCCTTGTCAAGACAAGCTTTCCGCTCATTTTGGCGGGCGGAGAATGCGAGAATAGCGTAAAATAATGTTGGCGACTTTTGCGCCAGGATTGGAATGTGAACGCCGAAATGGCGCGACTCGTCAAATTTGTCTAGGTACGGCGCACATTCTGTGATCCAGTTCTTGAGATAATAAATCAGTCGTATTTTGGGAATCGATACCCGCGTAAAGTCCAAGCTGGGCCGTGATGCTCGGGGCCCAGGGCCATCTAGAGGTTCTGACGGCGTGGGAGATGTGTATGTGTTTGGCTCGAGACTGGAAACTGCAGAGAATAACACACAACGAAGTTCCTCCTGTAGTTCTAAGAAGCGCGGGTTGGCGGCATACTCGTCCGCACTTGAAAATGTACCTGGCGACAAAAAGGCTTCTTCTTCAAAAAGTGAAGCGGCAGTATTGAAAGAATCAGGTAATCTCCCATCAGGAAGAATTGGGGGAACTGGGTCATCCATTTTCTCTGTGTTACTGGCCTTTCCTGAGAATCTGGGGTAATAAGGAAGGAGGAAGGGTGGAGCGCTGAGATATTGGCGGGTGGCAACCTGGAAATTAATTAGTCACGGAAAGCCGCCGCCAATATTTGGTGAGCAAATTTGGATCCACGGGTCTCACCCTCTGTATTGAGAATTTAATGAGTCTTTTTCATTTTGTTTTCTTCCAAATAAAAATTAAGAGTAGAAAAATAGTACTCGAATTTGAAAGTAGTGTATATCTAAGGACAATAATCAACAGCGCCGAGATCACCACTCCACTCATAGTGCACAACATCAATAATCTTCCTCAATACCGCTGGCTGTAGGAGGTCCCGAGTCGCATCAGCAAGCCATGCTAAATGTGTAGTGGGGTCTTTTCGATAAATGTTATACAGCTTGTCCATTTCGACACGTTTCTTCGATACCCGGGGGCCTCGTTCACCAAGTGTGCCGTACGGTTGTAATACTTGGAGGAGTCGCTCATAACGAGTTCCATCCAATTGCGAGTCGTATCTGCAAGCAGTATCATTGCTCACTTTACGTATGCCCTCCAACACTTCAAACACTTTGTGATGCGCGCCGAGAATTGCCCAGTTGCAATACCCCATGACGACCAACGCGCCAACCTCGGAAGTCTCAATGACTTCGATGACCGAGTCAAGGCATTGGAGGATAATTTGATCAAGATACCTGCATATGTCTCCTCTTATTCCACGAAGAATAACATTTTCGCGCTGCTTGCGCATAGTATCGCCCCGGAAATCCACGAAATCGTTGATATAAACGCATGCATCTACCACATGCATGAACTCGCTCTCAGTCAGTTCTTGGCCAGTTGCTAGAGACGCAGTCATGACGCCGTGAAAGGCAGCCACATCTATATGACGATGGATACCAAGACCAGTCATCCTGCTTCCATATATCCCATCTGGGAGCTTGTTCCTCGAATGATCACGAAAATGTCCCAAAACGCGACATTGAATCATGTAGGCAGACAAATTATCGAATTGCCAGTCTGACACGCGTCCCGCTAGATTACACATCTTTAAAAACGCCATTGCACCAGCACCAACTCGCTGGAGCAATTTCAAGCCAGTCGCATCTGCAGCTTCGCAGTAGTCGCCGATCAATATATCGTTGCAGGAATCTGCGACCGCTCGCGCTAGTCCCTCGTCGCAAAGTCCTGCCCCGCATGCCATAACACCGAAATACTTTGCGTCGGCACAAATCTTTATTTGTTCGTGGGTTGGATATATCTGATTCCCGATAGTCGCACTCCCATCAACCCTGGCATTCGGTCGACGGTCGGGTGCTCGAATCTTGGATATAGAATTTGCTGTTCGAGGGCCGCGACATGTATCTGGTGTAGGCTGAATGTCCATATTTGCGTGTATCAATTCCTCCACGGCATGCCGAAGCTTTTTCGTTGTGAAAAGACCGGTGTTGTGCCATTCGTTTTGACGTGCGATGACTATCTCCATCGATGCCTTCATACCGGAAATAGCTTCACATGAAATATTCTGTCGTATTTCGATAGGAAACCCCGTTTTAAGTTTGAGTACATCGGTCACTTCGCAGTTGCATTTTGACTGGGGATTGTATGTCTGGGAAGTAAGGTTGGTCTCGTCGCAGGATGGTGGGTGAGATCCTCCAAAGTTGATATTGCCAAGTGCAAGATGATGTTTAAATGAAGCGATGGCTAATACAAGCTGGTCATAGCGCATGAGTTGATCGATGCTACCTTCTTCGAATAAAATCGCAAGGTCCTCGAGACTCAAGGTGTAATGACCGGAATTTTGCTTGCTGTTGTCATCAAACAAGAGCCACGCATCACTCCAGGCCAAATAGATGTCGAGCAAACTCGGCTCCACCACGGGCGCAATTTTGGAGATCATTATGAAGGCAGGTCGTTATATCGGCTCAAAATATTTATATGCACTTTTGATCAGGAGGACTTGCCTTCTTAAATATTCTTGCTGTTCATTCACTAATGAATTTTTCTCTTATACCTGTGGCTACTCGGCGAAGTCCGTTTTTGGTCTCGGACTAAAAAGGCGCGGCAACACTAACCATTATTCACATTGACGATCATGCAGAGCCTCGAACCTTCCCCACTTCAAGTTTGAGAGAAATAAATGCCGACCACGGAGTCGCCGGTACATACATTTCGACAGATAGTTTAACAAAGTGTCATTCAGCCCTGACACTGCGTCTGATTGTACCTTGAATAGAATTCACGTCACGGTACATGATTATATGCACGTCGCTCAAAGCACTGAGACTGCGAGAATAACTATTGGCTCGTACACCCCGGCATATGTAGATATCCTAAAATGACACTCCAGGGCTTCAGCGCAAAGTCTGTAGTCTGTGGCTGAGTAGTGGCTTGCGTAGCTCAACGAGTAAAACTAGTTTTTCTGGGCCATTTTCAGCTCTTCATCGTTCTCTAGGCCCAGGACTTGACTAGAGAGGCCTTACCGATCGCCATGCGCACCAATTAAGGTTTCTTCCCATGCACATTTCAGCTATGAGTGAGAATTTGGGTACGAGACTTGGGCAGCATAATATGCATCGAAGTATATGAGCGAAGCAGATATCGACACATTATCGTGTTCTCCACAGTTTTAATTCTTAGCGCATCACTGGGTTTAAGAAATAAGATAGCCACAGAAAAAATATGCATGATGATCTTTAACTTACTAATTTTCCATATCCAAATCAAGACGCAAACTATTATAGATTGTATTGAGTAATCAGCATTCCAACTTGAAGGTTGGCATGTCAATAATTACCATGGCCAGGAAATAATCCTAGTACTCACTTGGCACTAGTAGTATCATAATGCCAGAATTAGAGATACAAAAATACCTACTCAGTTATATAGTACTCAGTACCATGGATCTTAGGATTGAGCGACTAGTGTAGGTAGAATACCTACCTAGGTAGTAGCTTCAACAAGAGGATGACAGGGCTTTGGGTATAGGAAACACTACTGAGCCGATTGCTGCTATGCAGCACTACAGCCGGCCGAGATGTCATTTTGGAATGGATGCAAGTGAATCACGTGAATATAATGTTGGAATCCTTAATCAAACCTTGGAAGAATCGCTCGGGGTAGACAAGCCGTTGGTCATTGGACTGCTCCACTTGAAAACACTTTTGTGGCGGGGAGGCCTGGAGGGCATCCAATTTCCCTCCGGTTGCAGATCACGGCTTGAGCCAATCTAGTAACAATGGCCGGATGCGGCATCAGGCCACCGCCAACAAGCCAGCTCACAAAAACGTGGGGGGTTCTGACGGAGATATCTTAATCCCTGGAAACCTTCCAGTTTGGGTATCCCTTGGGGCCAGTGATTCATGTTGGGATTTCCCTCTCTTCTTGGTTCACTCTCCAAGCCCTTGGCATTCAATCTAGACTGACATTTCCCATTTCCCATCTGTACCTGATTACTTAGTACCAAATATTTCTTTCCCTTTATATTTGATGCCTGTGGGGGTGGATTGAGTTGAGTTTGCCGACGCTACGGAGTAGAGAGAAGATATTCATCATAATCATTCTCCCTCGGGGAACTTCAACATGACCCATGACGCAACATGCAGGGAGGAATAGGAATCCATTACATAGCAAGGAGTTAGGCGAGGGGCCGGGATTGGCCGACAGAATTTTCCTGGGAAGCCAGGTCCCGACCGATGCGGGATATCTGGGGCAAAATATTCACGGCAGGTGACCGAACAAGCCCCCGCTTGTAACCCGGCGACCACACGGTAGAATATCGGTTCGAAAACCCTCCATGATGGTACTTTTTTCACTACAACGATGTCATTTTCTCCGCATCTACGAGTTCTCCAAGCTTTCTAAATTCCGGGGCAGTCTAATATGTCCCTAGAGAGCGCCCGGTGTGCAAAAAAACATGTCGTAGGTGTTGTTCCCCCTCGTTTCAATCCGATTCTCCACACCCCGTACCGGACCGATTGACCAATCATATCCTCATACCGGCAGCCCGTCCGCGTTTTCTCCGCTACTCGGAGAACTTTGTAGCCGAGAAACCCTGCCGTGGGGTGTACAAGGTCCCGACGCCAAGGCAAATCTCCACTGTAACCCCCCGCGTGTTGCGATATTTTCGCGTGGGGGTCACCGGGGTGAGGACGCAACAGGAGTGGTGGGGATGGGGTTCTGGTACGAGCCTGCTCTTTCATAAAAGGAACGGAAATCCCCAGGCGCGAGATCTTTTCTTTCGGTGTGCGAATCTGGGTGGCAAGAGAAAATACCTTCATAATGGCCGACGACATCTCACGAAGCAACAATGACCGCATTGAGGTCGAGGTCGAGAAGGAGAATATTGAAAACCTCGAAAACATTACTGAGCAGCAGCAGAATGTCCTTCCTCACATTGACCCGGCTCGCCGAATCGTTGTTGAGAAGACCCTCAAGCGCAAGCTCGATGCTCGTTGCAGTCTGTTCGTCCTCATCTACATCATGAACTACCTTGACCGCAACAACATCTCAGCGGCTCGTTTGAAGGGCCTTCAAGAGGACCTTAGCCTCTCAGATACCCAGTACTCGACATGTCTGAGTATTCTGTACGTTGGCTACATTCTGATGCAGGTGCCTTCCAACATGTTCATCAACCGCATTTCCCGACCATCAATCTACATTGCCATCGCAATGACCCTCTGGGGTCTTATCTCGACTTGCTCCGGATGGGCTAAGAACTTTGGCCACATGGTTGCCATCCGGTTCCTGCTGGGTTTCGTTGAGGCCGCCTTCCTTCCCGGTGCTCTGCTTATCCTCTCCAAGTGGTATACTCGCAGGGAGCTGACTACTCGGAATGCCGTTCTGTTCTGTGGTAACCTTATCTCGAATGCCTTCTCCTCCCTTGTTGCTGCAGGTGTCCTTTCCAACATGGATGGTGTCCTGGGACATGCTGCTTGGCGCTGGCTGTTCTGGATCGAGGGTGCTATTACCATGACTATTGCTCTCTCCTCTGCCTTTATCCTGCCTGACCTTCCTACCAATGCACGTGGGTTCACTGAGGAGGAGCGTCTGGTTGCACAGCTTCGTCTTCTCGAGGATGTTGGTGAGGCCGATACCGACTCTGAGGAGCAAAGCCCCTTCACAGGTCTGATCATGGCCCTGAAGGACTGGAAGATCTACATCATGATGTTGTCTTTCACTGCCTACGTTGTTGGACTGTCTTTCAACGCTTTCTTCGTAAGTTCCAGACCAGATCATGAAGTTTTTGACCATCACAGCTAACCATTGAATCCCATAGCCTACCCTTACCGGTACCCTCGGCTTCTCGGAAATCCCCACTCTCCTCCTGAGTGCTCCTCCTTGGGTCTTCTCCTGTATCTTCTCTGTCGTCAACGCCTGGCACGCCGATAGAACCCAAGAAAAGGTCAGTTCAATACACCTAGTCATCTACCAGAGACTAAATTAACACCTCTCAGATCTGGCATATTTACGGTCCTATCATGATGGGCCTTGTTGGTTTTATCATCAGCATGTCTACTCTGAACGTCGCAGCCCGTTACGTCGCCCTCTTCTTGCAAGCCGGTTCTTACGCCGGTTTCATCGTCTTCTACTCTTGGATCAGTTCCTCATTCCCTCGTCCCCGGCCAAGCGAGCGGTCGCCCTTGCCCTCATCAACGCCTTCAGTCAACTCGGTAACGTTGCCGGCTCATACGTGTGGGACCTTTCGGAGAACGGCTACCGCAAGAGTTACGGTATTGTCACGGCCATGTTCGGCATTACAATTGTTGGTTTCTGGCTGTTCCGTATGATCCTCGTCAACCTCAACAAGCAGCTTTCCGAGGCCGAGGTGGCGGATGAAGACCAGGGTGGCGACTTCATTGTCAGTGCCAACGAGTCGCTGTGCATGCGCAAGGGGTTCAGATATTTGGTCTAGAGTGCTGGAACACTCGAACTAGACATTTTTACTCTCCGACTGAGTACATGTATGAAATCTTGGATGCTGATCGGCAGTTTCCTCTTCTTTTTGATAGCGTGGGTCTCAGGCATGAATCTATAAAAGGACTCAAATTTTTCTACTTTCAGTATTACTAGTAATACCTTGGAATATCTAACAATAGTAAAGCCGGCCCTGGCTGGTATAGTATATTACTAGTAGTGGTGGCATTCTCAAGCCTTTACACAATACTAGGTATCTCCCACCTGGGCAATTGTATGTGGAGCATTAGTAATTCGGGGCGATCACCATGAAGGATTATAATTTACTATCAGTCAGTTCTAGTGTACATAGAGCGTAACCTCCAACGAGACCCATAACGTAGAACTAGCACTGGTATCAGAGCCAGTCCTATGTCAAAGACTCCAAGCACAGTGAATCCTCGACCATAACCAATCTGCCCAGTAATTTGCGTTATCGCGAGTGGCATGAACGCGCCGGCCAAGCATCTGAATGTCACCAGGCCAGCCAGAGCGGATGCTGAGTAAACGCCAAAGGCATCGACCATGTATGTCGCCAAAGGCGAGAAGGCTAACATCATAGACAAACGGATCCAGGTGATGGAGAACAGAAGAAGGGGCAAAGGGAGTCTGTACTCGGCGCACCAGCCATACAGCACCACGGCAGGGGGCAATGTGAGAGCGCCAATGATGCTCAACGGCAGCCGATGCTCCGGCAGACCGACCCTATTTCCTGCGCGGAGCTTCATATAAATTTTATCAAGAAATGGAGTCAGAACCGCGAAGCTCATGAGACTGCCGAGACCTTGAATAGAAAGCATAAGTCTAACGTTCACGAAAGAATGGAGGCTCCAGACTCACCATTTGCGAGAAATGACAATCCTGTTGCAGTTGCTGACAGTTTATACGTGTTTTTTAATATAGCTGGAAGCGTGGTGGCTACGACATAGAGGTGTGCGAAAATAATGGATCCGAACAGTGCGAGGGCTGCTAGGACACCAGAGCTTAAGAGAACCATGGCTGGACGCATGACGCACCCTCGCAATTCAGCTAAGCCTACCCTGTGGGTTCTCCTTTTCTCCAGCCCCAATCTGGCAGCCCTGCGTTGGAGAATCGACACCTTGTATGTTTCTCGGAAATAGGTGAAGAGCAAGAGCTGTGAAATGCTCGTCAGCGCGACACTAATCCAGATTAAGGCGCGCCAGCCTAGCTTCTCCATAATTATGCCGCTAAGTGCTGATCCAACACCACTGCCGATAAGGGGTATAAATGTGATCAGACTGATGGCCGTGCCTCTCTGGTCCGGTTCGAAAATGTCTCCTATAATTGCTGGACTTAAAACGTTTGATGCCGTCGACATGCCCATCAAGGCACGCGAGGCAATGAGGAGCGTCGAACTGGGCGAAACCGCTGCAAATATGGTGGCCAGAAAGAAGACCATATTCAATGTGATGATCAAGGGGTAACGACCAAAGACCTCTGAGAGCGGCGCAATGAATAGTGGGCCAACTGCTTCTCCTAGCTCCCAAATTGTGACCATGAGTACGGCAGAGTTGGTCCCACCACTGCCATCAAGGTCATCGACTATATAGCTTGCCACTGGGGCTATTGAGATGCAAGTGAAAGAGCTTAGTATAGTTAGCTCCAGCCTGAAAACCAGCTATTCGAAGATATACAGACACAGTAAAGCCCATAAAAGATAATAAACCCACAACACCCCATTTGAAAGACTCCGACCATTCGATTTGATCTTCTAGGTAGTCTGAGTCTCCGAGAGCGACGCTTTCTTCTGGAAATTCTTCGAGATTATATTGGTCCTCTCCCACATTAAGCAGCAAGGGTTCAGCATCTTTCATGACGGGAGACACAGCCATATGATCGGTATTTCGTATCTTCAAAACTGTTCAGAAAGTTATAAGTAGAAAGTGAGTTGTTGCAAATACTGTGTCGTCACAATTGTTGACTTAATTTATTAGAGGCCATGTAATCCCTTTCTCAGGCTTGGTATGCATGGATTATGCAAGGGGGTGTGATATGCAAGATAGCTTGATGCATTAGCATAATGGCTGACGGCATGTAGAACAAACGTGATGAATAGCGTTTATTTTACACTCAGGGGCCACTGCATAGCGTGGCAGCTAGCCTTGATCACAAGTTCACCTTGGCATCAGATACAGCGCCATGATGATGAAAAAAGGGGCAGGGGTTTACCTAAGAGCCAATGCGCAGGGGCTGTGAGGGGCAGGAATGGAAAGAAGAGGATGACGATGATTGCTAGATAGAGAGGGCTTTGTCATGTTTGCACATCATTTGCATGCTATCTCATGTAGGAGATTGATGTAGATCCATATTGCGTCTCCTCATCTCATGTTTACGCTCGTTCCGTCCTATCTCAGTACGGAGTAGTGGTCCACTACTAGACTTCGCTGGCCACTGTCACCAATTTTCTTCTTAGTGCAGCCTTAGAGTAGCTGCTTTGTATTCCGATCCTGAAAGAGTAAACTAAACATTCTCGATAACTTAGGAATTGACAACTGGTGGTGGTTTCTAGATCATCGAGCCCAACCGGTTGCCGCTCTGGACAACGCTTGATCTCACTCAACCTTTAACAGCCCTGGGGAACTATACCTAGGTATACTCTTATTATACCTCATAACTGCTCGCTAGTCAGTTTTAGATAAGCGTATTAACGAAATACTAGATTGCGCATCCATTTGCCTCCAACAATACAATACTCGACTGTGATTGGACAGTCAGCTATCAGCCAAGCCATCTCCGCACCGACTGGCGTGCTCCGACAACAGAGCACTCAACTGACTTGAACCCCTCACTAGACAACCGTGGAACCCGTATTCAAGTTGTCGACATCATTTCGGCAACCATGCACAAATCACTTCTAGCCTGTTTACTCGGCGCCGCCCAGCTAACGGTCGCATTGCCCGACCTCCAACGCGTCCTAGCTCCGGCTCCGGCTCCGATCCCCGGGCCCTCGGCCTCAGCTGCTGTGTCCGAGTCACGCCCACATGGAGATCACACCGTTCACGAAAGTATCTTAGCAGCAATCGAGACCCATGCCGACCCAGTCGCCGCACTAGTCTCGCTACAGGGAGAAGAAGCTCGCGCAAATACCGAGGCGGCATTATCCAAGCCGCGTCTTTTGCGGAGACTGGGTGTTCCAAATGGCAAGGCGGAATGGATGACTGAGGGCGATAAGATGCGCTTGCGAAGGGAGGGGGTGAAATTCATGGATATCACTGATCATGAGGAATTCTATAAGGAGCAGGAGCAGGTTTATGACGCTTTGGCTGGGAAGCCACGTTAGTTCTCTTTCTCTTTCTCTTGCCTCTTTCTTGTTTAGGGGAATTGGGGGGTTATGGCCATAGTTAACAATGGGCTCCAGGTCTACCTAATCTGGTCCATGAACGCCTCATCCGCCCTCTGTTCCCCTTCGTCGATACGGGGAGAATGTTCGGCGTGCTGGAGCACATGACTGGATATTATAACCGTTATTTCGACGATATCCACGGCGAGTTGAGCTCTGAGTGGCTTTATAATCACATCTCTGAGGTATGGATCCGCCTGCTTCCCAAATACGAAGAACAAATCCAGAAAAGATCTGATAAATTTCGAAAAGATCATCGCAAAATCGCCCCTCCACACCCATATCTCACTGGAATATTTCACACACCCTTTCCGCCAATCTTCGATTATCGCCCGCTTCGAGCCGAAAGTCCGCTCTTTCAAACAGCCGTTGACGATTCTGGGCGCACACCAGGATTCTGCTAACTATCTTTTCCCGCTTCTCCCTGCTCCAGGTGCAGACGATGACTGTTCCGGTACTGTCAGTATCCTCGAAGCATTCCGTGTCCTCGCCGAGGCTGGATTCGTGCCCCTGGATGGCCCGGTCGAGTTTCACTGGTATGCAGCTGAAGAGGGCGGTTTGCTGGGTAGTCAGGCGATTGCTCGGTATAAGAAAGAGCAGGGGGCGCGAATCGGGGCGATGATGGAATTTGTGAGTTGTGTCTGTGAAGCTTCAAGTTGGCAGAATCTCGGCACTCGGAGTAGTACAGCTGGCTAATTTGTATTTTGCGAAGGATATGACTGCGTTTATTGCTACGAATTCGACGGAGTCGATTGGCTTTATTGCCACCGAAGCTGACAAGGTCCTCACTAACTGGGCTGTGAATTTGAGCAAGAAGTATATCTCCATTCCGACAGAGGTTTATGATCTTCCGGGGTATGTTGATACGCTATTTCGAGATGGGCTGGGTTTTCTGACGAATATAGCAATGCCGGCTCGGACTACATGTCCTATACACAACTTAATTACCCGTCGTCTTTTGCCTCGGAGGGAAATCCTGTTGCTGGTGGTGGCTTCCCTGGTGAATATGATCCTTACGTGCACGGGGTAAATGACACGATGTGGGTTAATGATAAGACGGGGTATTTTTCAGTTGATGTGAGTTCCCTCCCTCCTTTTGATATCACCCTGGTCATATGCTAAGTTGGGTGGGTATAAAGCATATGGCACGATTCAGTGAATTGGCTATTGCGTTTGCCGTTGAGCAGGCTGGCTGGGATAATAAGTGGAGGTAGATCGGTTTCATTTCGGATTATAGCCAGAGCAATGATGATGGTCTCGATTCGCGGCGACCTTAGCTTCACGTTGCTTGCCGTATCTGAATACCTAGGTTCTCAGATACGTAATCTGTGCAAGAGCCAACGTGGGACATGAATGTCTTCATAAATGCATTGAGACCCGGCTGAATGTGAATAGTGCCATGACATCCATGGATTTTGTTATCAAGCATTGATATCCCAAAACTTACAAGCATACCCGAATGACCCTCCATCTAAGAGCTCATCCATCGTCAAAATACGTTAAAGTTTGGAATATGTAAAACCACACACAGTGCATGCCCGTCGGGCAAGGGGCAGGCAAAGCCTAGTACTCCGTAGACACCTGCGTATTCCGTCATGGACACGATGGCTGGGGCAGGGATACCACGAAGGAGATAAAATGGCTGGCTATGCTCCCTTCACGGCACCGCCTGCTCGGCACTGAAACAACGAACCAGCCTCCTGCAGATCATCTGTGCAGGGAGAGATCTGCGATCGGTAAAACAAAATCAAGCGTTTCTGAAAAATACCTGGTCGTCGGAGATTGATTGAGAAAAATGCTTAGATGGCGGGTCTTTTCTTTAAGTGCGTCGGATTGTGGTTTCGGCGGGTCAGTCCGGGGTCGGGCGTTTCAGACAGGAGAGATGGAGAACAGAACATGGGTGTTCTCATGAGGTTAGGCCGTGACGAGTCCATGTGTGAATAGAATGATTGAGAAAAGTTAGGATTGTTGGGTGAGTGGGTCAACAGGCAGGAGAGTAAGATGGCTGGGCATACAGCTACATTTACATTTACAACTAAAGCTACGTCAAATAGGCCACCGTTCGTTAAGTGCATCAATAGAATAAAGATATACAGACAAGCGCAAATTAGCGGAAACAAAGAAATCAGGTGGATGGCGACCAGGATCAGTAGACATGAAATAAAAAAGGATATCTACCACGTAAGTCCAAGATAGACACGAGAAACCAAAAGAGCGGACCAGGCGCCGAGAAAGAGTAGACACTGCGATTGCAGCGACTAGACTAACTCACCCAGCAGCCAGCCACTAAGAATAAAAAAAGAAAAACTCCTGGATCCTCCTGTACAAGTTTTAAATCACAGGGACATGACATTTGGGGTGACATGTTTAGAAGACATCAGCACAACCCCAGTGCTGCTCGACGCCGAAAGAGCCAGGGGCCTTCCAGTCATCGTTGGCGTAGGAGAAGAAGATGGACTTGGAGCCAATGGACTTGGCAATGGCCTTGATGGCAGTCTTCTGCTCGGCGGTACCGGGGACGGCCTCACCGTTGGCGGAACCTCCGTTGGGCCAGCCGGTCTCCAGGTTCAGGACGTCCTTGCCACACAGCTTCTCGAGGATGTTGAACTCGGACAGGGCGAACTCACCGGCCTTTGCGGCGGTGGTGGCGGAGTTGAAGAAGGGGTGGATGTTGGCACCGACAATGTCGACGGGGCTGCACAGGGTGGACTTTCCGTACTGCTCCCAGACATCGATGGGCTCGGTAGTGGTGACCTTGCCAGTGTAACCGGCAGCCTTGAAGGCGGACTTGCAGGAGGTGATGAAGGAGGCGAGCTCGGCGGCGGAGACGTAGCCGGAGGAAACAGCCTCGTTACCGACGACGATCAGCTCGACCATACCCCACTGAGCCCACTTGGTGATGGCAGTGACCTGCTCCTCGGCGCCGGAGGTACCGGAGGACTCGATGAAGACACCGAGGATCATGTTGAGACCGAGAGACTTGCAGGCGGAACCGATGTACTCGAGGGAGTTGCAGTCGGTGGAGTAGACACGGACCAGGTTGAAGCCCTTGTCCTTGATGGTCTTCAGGTTGCTGGTGACCTCGGACTGGGACATGCACTGACCGCTGGAAGTGTAGGGGGAGAAGGTCATACCGTACTGGCCCTCGCCGGTGACACCGCTGCCGGAGCCGCCAGTGCTAGAGGGAGCAGCCGAGCTGGTGGTGACAGCAACAACGGAGCTGGTAGTGGCAGCAGCAGTGGTGGTAGCGGCAACAGCAGTGGTGGTAGGGACAGCGGGAGCAGGGGCGGAGCTGGTGCTGGGGTTAGCGGCGAGAGTGGAGGACTCGCCGTTGGCGAAGGGGCAGTAGTAGGTGGTGTCGGTGCGAGTGACGGTCACGACGCTGGAGGACTGAGTGTAGGTACCGGGGGTGAAAGTCTGGGGGGGTAGGGTAGACAAGCACGGTGCTGGTGGGCACGGAGGTGACGGTACCAGGGACAACAGTGTAGGTACCAGCAGCAGGGCAAGTGTAGGTGGTGTACTCGATGGTGCTGGTGACGGTCGAACCGTGGGGCTTGACAGTGGCGTAGGGGCAGGTGATGGTAGTCTCAGTCTCAACGACAGTGGTGACACCACCGATGGTGTGAGTGCCGCTGGGAACAGCAGTGGTAGTAGCACCGCAGACGGTGGTGGTATCAGTCACGGTCAGAGTGGTGGCCGGGATGGTGTAGACACCGGTGGAGGAGAAGCTGGAGACACCAGCGGTGGGCACCGACACAATGATGGTCGAGGTCTCCGGGGTGGGAGTAGAGGAGGTAGCAATGGTAGCCTCGACGGAGGGAGTCACAGTCAGAGTGCTGGTGAGAGTGCTGGTCGAGTGGATGGTGCTGGTCAAGGTGGTGGTCGACTCAGTGCTGGTGCTGGTGCTGGTGGAGGTTTGAGGGATGGGCACCAGAGTGGGCGAGCCATAGTAGGTGATGACCTTGGTAGTGCAACCGCAGGTCTCCTCGGGGTTCAGAGGAAGGACAGAGGCGGAAGACGAAGCAGCCACGAAGGAAGAAGAAGAGCCAGCCTCACCACGACGGTGGAAGGCCTCGTGGCGGCGGTGCATAGCACCGTCAGCCATGGCCGAGCCGACAAAGGCGGCGGCCGCAAAGATGGAACCCTTCATTATGGAAGATGAGAGGGAATTAGCGGCAAAGAAGGGAAAGCCCGCTGAACGAGTGAAGCGGTGGTCAGTGAGAAAGGAACGTGGGTTGAGGAGAGAAAAGAAGGAGAGTCGGGGAAGTGGGCACGCAAGGCCTTTTGTCAGACTGGGGAGTGAGCAGAGTGAGTGGCAGAGTAGGGGGGGGGGCACACTAAACAAGATGAAAAGGAGAGACAAAAAGGGCGCAGCTCCACCGATCGTGAATATTAAATTACATTACATTGATTTCACTGGCTTCATATGGTCTAGGTCGAGATATCCAGGTACACTGTACTTTCTATTGGTGAGGTGGTACTGGAGTGGAGATGCCTGTACCTTGTGTATTCACCTGGATACAGATGTTGTATTCAGTATTTATTTATTTACACACATGCGAAGTAGATACAAAAGACCAGAGCACGGATGTGCAAAAATAGGTGTCTCACTCCGCCCCTTGCGACCCCTGACAGCTTGCAGTCAGCGAAGTCGTCAACAGTTCAAGATAGGGCTTGGAGATCACGGGGTCTACACCAACCATAACTACAGTAGTATACGGAGTACTCACAGTGTTATACTCATCTACTATCTCCAATTCTTCTCTCTCTTCTCTTGTAGTACTTTGTCACCTCTTACACAGTCATAATATTCTCTGTATCATACAGAAAAGGGGAACTCAAAAACGAACGCCACAAAAACAGGAAATGCCCCTGCGCCATGTGGTTCCGCTAGTTCCAGACGGGACCAAGTGGCAGCCCGGTGGGTCTGCGATAGCCAATATCATTCACCAATTCGCCATCTTTAATTTCCGCCCTGCCGATCGCTACTCGGTTACCTCCTATTTCAGAACTAGTCTATTACCGCAGATACACTGCTGATACTCCATCTTACTGTACCAGGGAACCATCCAGGTACTCCCGCACAATTCCAATCATCGCCTCCATAACAGATCAAAGTATTCAATACTCCTTCACAGATGACATCGTGGCCCCTCCTTCATCATTGCAACCATGGGTCCAAACAGCCATCTCCTCCATTCATGGGGTATGTCGATGCTGTAAGTCCTGCAGCTCACAAAAGAACTCACACTTTGATGTCCATCCGCTCAAGACTCGTCACCCGCTGGACGCCGATCGCTTGGATCTCTGTTCCAGGCGCCTATGCATAACTACAACACAATTGGCCGGCACTCCATATATCTAAAATAATCTATGGATTACTTACCTTAAGTATAGCCCACGCCTTTCCTTCCATGCCATACAAAAACCAACCGGGATCCTTCGTATCCGTACTTCAACCCCCGGGGCCATCAATAAGTAACCCCCGAACCACCAACATCCGCATCTTCCGACGATCATCAATCCAACAACGCGGCCCCAGTTGACCGACGCTGATCCCAATCCGCCCGGTCTAGACTTAAGAGGCCATGGCTCAATAACACTTCAAGTTCTACGGAGTATCCTACCTACAGAGTAACCCCATCCACCAGAAATTTCTACTTCGTAGCGACCTCCTATTCCCATACTAGTTACACAGTGCAGCGGCACAACGGCATCGTTTGCGGGGGAAATCGAATTGCCGACATGGTCAACAAGGCTGCTGCATTGATTGCTTGGGGGGGGCCGCCCCCTATTTACCTCAATGGCCAATTGTCAATGGCAAGGCCGATAATAACAATCGCTAGTCTCGGATGACTCGCTGCCGACTCTCAAGGCTAAATTAAATGTCTTACGCAGCCTCCTCCAGTTCATCCCATGCCATCCAGGGGTAACCCGACTCCGACCGTTATATTTCAAGTTGTTTACGTACTCTACACTCCGTGCAGTGAGCAGGATGCACCGCGCTTAGAAGTACAGTATGCACATGCACTCATAATCTTGCCCAGGTGGTACCTAGGTATGAAATTTGTAAACATAAATGTCCGTTCACCCCGTAGAGTGCCCAGCTCGCTAAGATCCGAGAAAACTCGACCACATCTCCACACAACACCTGGACACACCTGGCCAACACACCGGTCTCGACCACTACACATGCCAAGCAAGATAGTCGATCTAGGCACCGTGAAGTGGGTTGGCACTGGTACGATACATTTAGGACAAGGCTTGGCGAGACCCTGTTTCTGAGGTTATTCGTTACTCAGGGGCGAACCGGTTAGCGTCTTGTTCAACTGGACAATCACTACGGAGTACTCCGTAGAAGTCTAGCCCTACCCTACTTCCTACGGAGTACATACTTTTCCCTTGCCCTCTGTGTCTGTATCTCCCCACGCGCGAATGGATATTCTTCCAGCCACCTGCGCACCCTTGACTTAACCCTTGGAACACGACAGCGCCGCAAATTAGCAGTGGGGCGGGTTCCTGCGTGTTCATCGGGCTCATTTCCGCAGGGCCACTCACCCTTCACCGTTTCGTCCGAGGTGTGATGCATATATGCACTGATCTTTTCAGCCTTACCTTGCGTTTTGCATGAAAGAAATGAGGTTCTGCGTTGTCGGTCCGGGTGGAAATGTGACGTGCCAGAGAGTCAGCCGAATCGTACTTCAAAATGATAATCTCGATTTGATCTTGGGCTCCGATGGAGTATGTATGGTAGGGCAGCTCAAGTTCTCTTTCATCGTGAACCCTCATTTGATCCCATCCCACCTCATCTCATCTTGTCTCATTTCCCTTAGCTCGAGAATTGCTTAGGGCCGGTCTGGATGGACAGGTCCTGTAATCTCAATCTCCCATCTTCGGATCTGCGCCGGGCGATCGGTGGGTTTCACGTAATTTTTCCTCGTAAGGATCCATTCAGTATCCATATTCTGCAGGGTCTTCTTTCATTTTCATCTGGTGGTGGCAAATGTCCAACTTGAAATCGCTTGAGGGTCAACGGTCGCTAGAAGGTTGTGAGTGTCAGTGGGGGGGCTTGGCGGTGGATCGTGGAAAATTCTGAAGTGCCCCAGCTGGTGAGATTTTTGTATAGAGTCATGGTGGGTTACAGACTCGGATGTTTGACTTGGGTCCGAGTCCTGGAGTAATAGTACGTAGGTACCCTAGGTAGTAAGGGTTAGTATATCCACCTGCCAGTGGATAGGTGCCAGCATCCAAGGTTGAGTGAAGTTCAGGTTCAAGTTCAAGTTGTTGGAAGGTTGTGCACCTGAGCGTAGGATAGTAGCACCATCCTGCGGGTATATATATATGTTCAAGTTGTCTCCAACGTCGGGGATCTTGACATTAAATTCACTACCAATAGCATGCGACCGGGCAAATTTATTCTCAATAGGACCCTGAATTATTACTATCTTCTTAGAATTCATAGGAAAGGAAACAAACTGATGGCCTTGAACTCGAGTGGTTGTTTTGTTCGAGAACGAAGCGGGAACCTTGAAATAAACATCACTCCACCAAGGTACACTCTTGCCGAAAAAGAAAGAATCAAAATGTCACGAAGAGCTAAACAAATGAGATATTAAACGGAAGACAGGTTAAAAGGTGAGATAGCTAGAAATAGAACACTGGGCTCAGGCCAGGAATGTTGATACCCCCGAACTAGAGAGATCTCAGGGTCGCATCGAAAACACAGGGAACACGGCGAAGTTCACAGATTCAACAGTTCCGCGTCAGAAACCATTACCACCCTGAGGTTGTCGCACTTCTCAACTGTCGATTCATTCCTCTGCTCGCTTTTCTCCTCGCCGATAGCCCTTTTCAAGAGCCGCTTCTTTATCTTCGTCGCCTGACCAGTCCTCTCTATCTTCGATGACAAAGACGGCTTTCATGGTAATCTCAATGCTGGCCCGACCACGCTTGAAGTCATTCACATGAATGAAGAATGTGACATCAATATCTTCTTTGCTGCGCTTCTTGTCTCGCGACTGTCCATTCTCCGCATCTACTTGGATAATTCGGACCTTGTGAGGGCGATCAACGGGTGCGGGTACAATTTCCAAACCGTGCCTTGCCGCGTTGTCCGTGCGCTTGGAAAATCGCCTGTAACCCATACACATATTAGCATGATTCCGGACCATTGAACAAGTATATGATGGATATTCCAGACCGGGTGTCCTTTGTGGACCTTGAGCCTGAGATGGAGGGGCCAGAACATGCCTATATAAGTAGTTGAAGAAGCGTTTGGCGCCGGATTTGACGTAAAACTCGAGGAAGATGGTGAGAAGCCCATGGAGAAGCCCAGTAAGTAAAGAAGCGATCAAGCAGAGGGCGTATAGTACGATAATATCTGTCCACGTCCAAGCGACGAGAACTCTCGCGAGTTGTAGAAGAATCGGGGGGGATTTCACACTGTTGAATTTCCGGCGCAGTGCCGAGGGGAGCCTGGAAAGAAGACATCTTGTGCAAGTTTCTCAGAGGTCAGCTCTGTTCATACAGCGAAAGCCTCGGAGTAAATATAGGAATGTACTTGGAAGTGAGGTCAAGCTCCGGGGAAGATTCGAAGTTGAAGATAGAAAGGATGAGACTTGGTAACAGAGTCAGTATTGGTGTCCAGCACACAAGTATCTCATGCTTACAGTCACGCACAAGGATGATTTTGATTCAGGTGTCAGCTTTGATAGAATGGAGAAGAAGAAGAGAGGAGAAGACAGCGAAGTTGAAGTTGAAGTTGAAGTTGAGGCTGAAGGTATCTAGATATGGAAGGCGCAGACGAAAGCCTGAGGCAGCAAAGTATCAACACCTCATGATGACATTGCTACTTTTCAAAGACATGACAAAGTCGGGTCTCAAAGTTAGTTTTCTCCCCCTTATAATCGAATTGGAGAGTAAATTGTCTTGAAATCACTTCTCATCAGAGAACGTCTACGCCTAGATAAGGGTTTCCTCGCATTGAGGCGGCGGTTTCACGAACTGGAACAATGTAAAATTTATCATAATTACGATTGACCAGAGATATGTCATTAATCATGGTGCAAATTAGGGCTCGGAAGGGGAAAATCTTCCCACAAAATGACTTTTGATGGCGTCGGTAACTTGGATTCTGGATTTACTCGCATAAATTCTCCTTGGAAAATAGAAATCCATACGGGTATTCGAATCTCTCATCTATTAGCTGCATATTAGAGACTCTAGGTCACGAAAATTTGAGATTTTAACTTTTGGCAGAATTTAACTGCGTTTGATAGCCGTAACTGACCCAGTGCTTTTGCCAGGACATTGTCGTCCCAAGATTACTATTGTCCACTATGTAAACTCGGAGACATGATATTATACTTTTTGTGCCGGTATCTGTGGAGTACCTAGTTAGTCAGGGCTATGATATTCTTAGTTAGCACTAAAATGGAGTCGTGGATGTAGATAGTCAGGATTGGAGATATAACTTGAAGTACCTAGATATCATAACTACTTAGTATCCCAATGGGCTACATATTATTTAGTATCGCAAATTATCACCTGGGCAGAACCAATCATACAATTTGTATACGTTTTAAAAGAATAGCCCCGGGAAGGGGCTGAAAGAGCCTTATATGTAACACTGTGAATTTTGATGTAAAAACATTGGGCCGATTGCGGCTGTGGAGCGCCGCACTAGTTCATCATAGGCAAAATTAGCCACATAAGCCCCTTGAGCATTTTCAAACGCTTTGCATCCATGATAATGAATATTCCAAAAAATGGCCCAGTTGTAACGATCGCCTTGGATATCTGCGTATGCTCTGGGCAGAGCAAGGGACGCCGTGACAAATTACGCAAGGCCCCATTTGAATAACTCGATGTCTTGCTTTAAGGTCTCAATTAAAACTAAGGAGAGCATCTATTGAATACAGTATATATAGCAGCGTCTGAGAATAGAGTATTGGATTCGGCAATATTGGCAGGAGATGGATGCCATAACTTGTCTGTGAGACTTTAGAGTGTATCTTCAAGTTCGTCCCAACTGGGGGAGGTGGTTCGTCAAGTCAACTCAATCTAAAAAGATCAAAAACAATACTTAAAAATTGTGCGCTATGAAAGCGAGTATTTGGCTGCAATCGCCATCTCTCGATAGATGAGGGGCAGTGAATAGCCATGAGATTGTTTGTAGTGTGCGATCTAAAACGACTATTCTCTTGGCTTTCTTGGTATTTGCACACCCAAAATTCCATCTTTGATCGCTAATCTCCTATGACGATATATGATCTTGCTGCGCAACCCTAGCCAGATGGCTGATTGGATAATTCCATCTCCCTGGTTAGAAGAGTCAAGGATTTAAAGATGATGTGGGGTGCCGAGGAGCTTTGGGGTGGTGCCCCACAGGGACGGGCATTTAGCGGAGAAATAGAAATCAACAGCCGGTAGTTGGCATGGTCTTGGCTTCGGAATCAAGTTGACTGCATCATATCTCGGGTTTTTAGCGGGGGACTCGGTAATTTGGGAAATGCCAAGAATATCGTACAATCACCGGCATTGCTAACATCTCGCCCGCTGTTGATTCCGCTGGTCTTATCTTCATGCCGGTGGAAAACCAGTTTGTAAATACGACAAATGCCACAGATATCCGAGCGAAATGGACAGAATGGCAGGGACAGCGACAAAAAGTGAAGCTCTTTCTATCAAGATCTGCAAGAGGTAGGCGATCGAGATAGGATTCAATTTTGCGGGGTGGGGATCGTGGGCCTTGTCTTGGGGAATGTTGCATTCGCCGCACTGACAACACGCTCCGCTCCGCCTTGGCAAATGTACCTCCGAATAGAGGCCGAGAGATGGTATATAAGGGCAAGATGTATCACTTGGACCATTTGCTCTGCAAGGCGTCAACATGTTCTTCAAGAAACTAGTCACCTCGGCTATAGCCCTGAGTGGCTGTGCCTTGGCCCAAAGCCAGGCTGGTGTCGCTGATCTAGATGCCCCAGGCAATGACCTCTACGAGAAGGACCTGTCGAAATGCCCCGGATACAAGGCGACGAAGCAACGAAAGACTCAATCAGGATTTTACGCGGAACTGTCCCTGGCAGGACCGGCTTGCAATGTTTTCGGAACCGATCTGCCGGACTTGAAGCTGGAGGTGGAATATCAGACCAGTGATCGACTCCACGTCAAGATCTTGGACACCAACAACACCGTGTACCAGGTTCCAGACAGTGTGTTCCCGCGCCCAGGATATGGCGAATGGATCTCTCCAAAGAATTCCAAGCTTAAATTCAACTTTGTTGCCGACCCCTTTTCGTTTACTGTATCTCGCACTGATACCGGTGAAGTACTATTCGATACCTCAGGCAGCAAGCTGGTATTCGAGAGTCAATATGTCTATCTTAAGACTAAACTGCCTCAAAACCCACACCTTTATGGATTGGGTGAGCACAGTGACTCGTTCATGCTGAACACGACCAACTACACCCGTACAATCTACACTCGCGATGCTTATGGAACCCCCCAGGGCGAGAATCTGTACGGTGCTCACCCCATATATTTCGACCACAGGAAAGATGCCACTCACGGAGTCTTCCTTCTCAACTCCAATGGCATGGATATTTTCATCGACAACAAGGGCGGCCAATTCCTTGAGTACAACATTATTGGCGGCGTTCTCGATTTCTACTTCATTGCAGGACCTTCCCCACGCGATGTGGCCGTTCAATACGCGGAAATTACTCAGCTGCCCCTGATGACTCCTTACTGGGGTCTGGGCTATCACCAGTGCAGATACGGTTACCAGGACGTCTATGAGGTCGCTGCTGTTACCGCTAATTACTCCACCAATAACATTCCTCTCGAAACCATCTGGACTGATATCGATTACATGGATCGCCGGCGCATTTTCACCATTGACCCGGAACGTTTCCCAGCCAATCTGTACAAGGATCTGGTCGACACGATTCATGCGAGAGACCAGCACTATATTGTCATGGTCGACCCTGCTGTGTTCTATAAGGAGACCAATCCGGCACTCGAGGGTGGTCTGAAGTATGATACTTTTATGAAGGAAAAAAATGGATCCGAATACAAGGGTGTCGTCTGGGCCGGTCCGAGTTACTTCCCTGACTGGTTCCACCCCGAGTCGCAGCAGTACTGGACCGAACAGTTCGCCAACTTTTTCGATGGAGAGCACGGCCCTGACATTGATGCACTGTGGATTGACATGAACGAGCCCGCCAACTTCTTTAACCGCCCCTACCCAGGCAACAACACCACTCCGGAGAAATTTGCAGAGGTGGACGGTGACCCTCCAGCGGCCCCGCCGGTTCGAGATGGTCCCGATGCCCCGATCCCCGGGTTCCCAGCCAGTCTACAACCGAACTTTGCTTCTGGCAACTCGGAAGAAAAGCGCGAAGTTACCATTGTTCAACGTGATCAACCTCGGCCTCGTTCTCGCCGCAACCTCGGCGCTGGCCATTGGCGCACCAACAAGACTCCTTCGCATTCTGGCTGGCAGCATGGCGGAAAAACTGGCTCTGGCTGTGGACCTAAGGAATGCAAGGGTCTTCCAGGACGTGAGCTTATCAGACCACCATACATGATTCAAAATGGCGCAGGGCCCACGCTTGCGGACAGCACTGCCGACACCGACGTGGTGCAAAGCGGCGGATACATCCAGTATGATACACACAATCTTTACGGTGCTATGATGTCGTCGCACTCTCACAATGCCATGCGCGCCAGACGTCCGGATGATCGTGCCTTGGTAATTACCCGAAGCACGTTCGCAGGCTCCGGAAAGGACGTATCGCACTGGCTTGGAGGTAAGAAAACCGCCCGGCTTATAACCTTTAATAATTATGAGTAACTGCTCGGTGCTAACTTCGGCTCTCTGCAGATAACATTTCCGGATGGTCCTGGTATAAGCTTTCCATCAGTCAGATTCTGCAGTTTGCATCGCTGTACCAAATTCCCCTCGTCGGCCCCGATGTTTGCGGTTTCGGTGGCAATACAACAGAAACACTATGTGCTAGGTGAGGAGTACATGCCTATGTCAAATGAGAGATTCAAGCTAATGCGATATCTTAGATGGGCATCTCTTGGCTGCTTCTACACATTCTTCCGCAACCACGCCGAAATTTCCGCGATCCCCCAGGAGTTCTACCGCTGGCCGACGGTCGCTGAGTCCGCACGCAAAGGAATCGCCATCAGATATCAGCTCCGTGAGTCATGATAGGAACCCCCCGGTGGACGAAAATTATAACTAATGACCGCTTTTAGTCGACTATATCTACACTGCCATCTACAAGCAAAACCAGACCGGCACCCCGTCCCTCAATCCTTTGTTTTTCAACTACCCCAATGACGAAAACACCTATCCTATCGATCTCCAATTCTTCTACGGTGATGGAATCCTCGTCAGCCCAGTCACAGAAGAGAACAGCACAAGCCTGAGCTACTATCTCCCCGACGATATTTTCTACGAATGGGGTACCGGAAAGCCCGTCCGTGGACGTGGCGAGTATGTTTCGGCCCAGGTTGACTACACAGATATCACCATCCACTACAAGGGTGGAATTATCTACCCGCAGCGCATCGAGAGCGCCAACACCACTACCGCTCTGCGGAAGAAGGGCTTCAACATTGTCATTGCGCCCGGTCTCGATGGCTCTGCTGAAGGTTCGCTGTATCTCGATGACGGCAAGTCGGTTGTGCAGGATGCCGTTTCTGAGATCGATTTCAAGTACGCCAAGGGCAAGTTTAGTATGACTGGTTCGTTTGAGTATGATGCTGGCGTCAACATTGAGACTGTCACCGTTCTTGGTGTGAAGCAGAAGCCTAAGGGACTCCGTCATGCTGACTACGATTCTGAGAACAAGAAGTTGGTGCTTCATGTTGATGTGCCTTTGACGGGTCGTGCCAACGTCAAGGTTATGTGATTTTATCTTGAGCTGGGTGGATATCGCTGTCTGTTTAAGATTATGAATCTAGTATCACACAAAGCATGAATTTTTATACTATCAACTGGAATTGGAAACATGACTCGAAAGTTGGGTTTAGCTAGTATTGAATCAGACACTTCTTGTCTATTTTCCCTCTCCAACCTCAATTTTCTAAGAGAAGAACCTCGGCACGAAATGTAAATTGGCAAATAACAGAAGGCTGGAATCATTCTATTGCAAGCCAGATTGCTAACTTGCGACTGTAAATTCATATACAGTCACTATCCGGTGGTTATTGCCCGGAGAGAAAAGGTGAGCGCCGATTTACGGTCGCGCAACGAACTTGAAGGATGACAAGGACGAGTCGGCAATAAACAAGGTGCGAATAAGGGTAAGATTTGCCCTTTTCAAATTTATTGCGGCCAGTTTTAGAGCGCCGAAGACTTGCATAAAAAAATCAAAGTGGCCGGTTGGATGCTATCGTCATCATTTGCTTATTTTGGAGCAAAAACAAAACAAAAACATACAACAGCAGGGATTCGCATGTGGTCACCCACCATACTACTAACCTGCCGGCGTGTGGCTAAAACACAGCAGGTAGTGCGGTGGGTGCCGCCCGGGTGAGAAGGGGGTGAGCGCCGCTTTAGCGTCGCGCGACTCGGGTGATTAGGGTGAGTGCGCAATAGACAGGGTGAGAATGGGGTGAGCCGGGGTGAGAATGACGCTCCGTTGCCTGAAAATTGCACGGGTCCATTCAGCTGCATTAATACAAGCTATGATTGAACTAGCCTAGTACCTCTGAAACGCTCGGTGTCTTGGTATCTGCACATAGCCACCCAAAGACCGAGAACAGACAAAGCATTTTCCTCGCTGCTATAGATCACCTGCGCAAGTACGTTACTTTTTGACCCGATCATACAGACGTAAGTAACATAATCAAATTTAGCATCTACCTCTCTCTCATTCGCGTGGTATCTGGAAGTAATCTGGCACGTATTCTAGCATATATCCCATACATTTAACCCAGCTGCGTACATTTTGGAGAATCAGGCACATGCCTTGTGTTTGTGCTCCTGCGCCCAGACACATCTAGCACCACGGGGGACAACGTCCTAAATCCTGATGTTGCCCTTTTAAAACATAACTAACGTTCTATACACAGATCCTGTTCCACCATTAATGGGCGCCTATTTACAAAGTGTCATTGAGCCAAAAGGTATCAACCAAAATTAAGCGCCTACGTTAAAAGAAGCACTGGCGATCTCTAGATATCGGCGAATCGCCCACAAATTGCGGATCAGTCCTAGCAAGATGCCCGTTCTAGGTGCAACTAATAGTGAGCTGTTCAGGTTGTGAAGCGCTTACTGGTATTTGAAATGGATAGTTTGTTGCCGGCAAAACTCTTTATTTAGAAACCAAAATAATTTTTGTCAGCGATAGAACAATACTACATCCCTTCATATTTAAGGTAAAAATCCCTTCGACGCCCTAGCTTCCCTGGTAAGATTTTGACCCAGATCCTTTAATTTATTTGCAGAATTAAATTCAAATCATCCATTTCTGATTCACGATATGCCTTAGAAGACTGTCCTTAATAAGCCTTCTCAAGCCGCCCGAAATAATATCGACAAGATCACGAAAATTCTACCAGACAATTTGACCACCCGCAGCAATACTGTTAAAACAGTTGATCTACGCATAGATGTTCATCAAGATTCAAAGGAACCGAACAAGACTGTTGCCAAAGTCCAGGCCAATACACAGGCCAAGGACAACGCTGTCAAAGATTATATAAAATCCGGAAACAAGGGCAGTGGTAAGCCGGACTGTCAAGGCCCCATATCTGAAACGTTTGCAACCCTACTACTAAGTGTCTTTTGGACTGATTACCTTCTTCAGATACAAAAATATGAATCATGTAATGGGCCTAGCGTCCTGGCGATGGGTATTTATTTTCGACTTTCTCATTGGTATTCCCGTCATCATTTTCGGCCTCTGCTGCTGCCCCAGTACGTTCAACTCAAACAGTGAGAGAAGGTCCTCCTCCGTGCTCATCACTAACAAAGGGCAAATTTATCCAGATGAACCGAAATCTTCGAAGCCTTGGTGGATGACAGAAAAAGAACGTGAAATAAGTATCAAGCGTTTACAGGATGAGAATCGAGATGCCATCGAGGCCACATGGGACTTCGCTGCTATGAAAAGGGTACTTTGCTCATTGCAGCTGTGGGTGTTTTGTGCTGCTTGGGGGTAAGCACTAATAACTAATTGCAATTTTTTCAACTTGAAAGTGAGTTGTTAACTTCGAAAAAAACAATGGAATGTACATGTGGCGTCAACTTACAGAGATGGATGACTCTATACCTCAAGTCTTCAAAGGTTGATGGGCATGCTAAATACAGCGTGGAAAGGATTAATGATTTACCCACTGTGATCGGTTGTGTTGTCAGTATTTCTATATTGAATCCATGGATTTGAATACATTCGCTCTGGAAACTAATCCAACGTGTACTAGGAACTGATCTGGATGGTTCTCAGCGCAGCAGTGATGGATAAAATCCAAATTCCACCTCTCGTCATTCTACCACTCGGTTTGCTTCAGTTGTTTGCATATATCGTTTTTTTTTTTAATGTGTGGTCTCACAACGACCACTTCATGATGGCCGTATACTACCTTTGCAGCGCGTACGGGGCAATTGCGCCTCTCATCAGCGCGTGGTTAAACTCGAGCTGTTGCGGCGACAAGCAGCTGCGTGCCTTGGCTACATCATTGATGATCTCTGTTGGATAGTAAGATCTTTTATGTCCCCAACATTCCTAAGGCTATTTGATTGACAGAAAATACCAGCGCTGTTGAAACTGTCTCCCAGCAGTTCATATTCCCAACTTCTGATGTACCACGATTTCAGAAAACAAATGGCTACGCATTTGGAATTGGATGGGTTGTTGTAATGATTTTGTGGCTTTGTGCCATTATACCAGCGATTGAGCGATATTTCAAGCGACGCCAATGGGTACAGCATTGATTGGAAAGCTCTAATGGCTCGGATTAGACGTCTAACGTCTACACCGGACTCTTTGAGGGTCTTTGCAACATCATGATTTACCATCACCTTCAAGAAGTTCGTCAGACATTCAATCAGCTTTCCCCAGACGCAACTCTAGAATAAAAGAAGCCTCATCTTTCCAAACACGGGATTTTGAATAGACTAATCTGCCATGCAATGGTCATTTAAGCTGTCACAATGATAATGCAAAAGATAGTTCTAAGTGCTGCCCATACTACCTGGGTAGGCTACTACAATTTCAATCCTAGTACTAGTAGTATTGTACTAGCACCTGGACCAGAATCTATAAGTCAGAAAGAACTGTAAAGAATATTATTTTCCCTTGAAACCTTAGAGTAGTAAATTAAATTAGCTGTGGTTGTCGCATTGATAGACGTAGTTGATGGTAACCAAACAGCCGTCTTCTCTGCGAAACGAACCACACTTGGCACAACCACCGATTGTGCGGATTCTTTGATAGTCATTCCACATATCGTTACCACTAATGGAGCAATTTGAGCCTTGAATAAAAACACCACATCCTCGAGTCTGATCACCCCAACAGTTTCCCGTGAGAGTAGACCCACCACTAGAGATTCAGTCAGTATATGTGTTCAATTTTTCCTGCTCGAAACAAGATAGTTCCATTCAGAGGAATAGTAGAATGAAATAAACTTACTTTGTATTGTAGAAAGGTGTGTCATCGCGGTGTAGATAGTTGACGGCATGGTCACAAAATTTCAACATGCCCGCAGTCTTGCACATGCCGGATCCATCACAGTCGTAATGAGTGGGGTCAGGCTCAAGGAAATTGTCTGCTTCATTGTAACCCTGTGTCTGGATCAAGTATTTGCTAGTATCAGTCGTCGAAGTTCCAATGGGCAATGTCCACGTGTAGGTGTAATCCTTGATATCAACCTTGACCTCGCCGACCATTTCCCATGACCAAGGTGGCGCTGTTGACCCCTCAGGAAGGGTACCGCTATATTTGTAAAGGAATGTATCCTCTACCATATAGTGGGTGCAGACGTATTTGTCAACTAAAAAGTTAACACTCCATCCAGGCTTCTCATCGAAGTCACATCCCACCGAGTCCCAGATATAAATGCGAACAAAGGCATAAGGAACCAGAACATCAGCCTTGATCACAGTCGAGTCTGTCCCAGGAGTAGATTCCCAGTTCGCAACTGTTCTTCCTTTGGGCAAAGCTTCAGTCTTGACTGTGACAACATCAGAGAATGTGCCTTCCGAGCCACCTCCTCCCACTGCTGATACCTTAAAAGAGTGACTGGCGCCAGGCGAGAGGCCTCCAAGAGTAACCTTCTCCATTGAGCTTGGAAGGCTCGCAACAATGTCGCTTCCTGAGTAAACGTTGTATCCGAGGGCATTCGAGGCTGAATCCCAGGATAATTGGGCAGAGGTATAATCGGATTTGACAATTGATAGGCCGGAAACGGACCCAGCGCTGTCTCCAGACTTCCAGGATGATGCATCACTGTTCTTGGGTGAACCACCATCAACTGCATTCATGAAAGTTTTCATATAACTTGCATCTGGAAGGTTATCGTAGGGGTTGGGCAAAACGTCGTTCGTGAGCTGAACGAAGCCAACTCCACGCTTTTTGGACAATTGTATCACTTCGTCAATTGAGCTTTCCGGCACGTTGTAAATGATATGCCACAGCTTGCGGGGGTCTTTGGGTGTCCAGTCATTGGGGGTGTAAGCTTCCGTATACGCTCGGTAGTCCAGCTCGAACGTCAGCAATGTGTCCATGGTGTCCTCGAAACAAGATGCCATTGGCGAGCCGGGATTGAGAATAGTGTAAGCTCCGGGGTGCTTGCGCTTGGTGAAGTTGTTGATATACTTATAAAGATTCACATATTCATTGTTGTCGCCACATTCGGGCCAGCCCTCGTCGAAGAAGATACCACCTATGTCGTCGCCGTAAAGGCTATACCACATATCAATATCCTCTTCAATTTGGGCGGTCCAATCTGCCAGATCCCCTGACCCAAGCCGTGTTTTGAATTTTTGGATGCTCACGCCAAGATATCCTGTTCTCACATAGCCAAGAACAATCTTCCCAGAAGAGGAACCCCGACTGATGACATCGGCCCAATTCGTGTCTTTGGAAGAATCAGGTCCATTCACAACATTGGCAATTATAATAGGCATTCTGTGATCAGAATATCCGATGAGGCGGTCCCATGCAGCGGAATCTGCAAGGGGATTGATATAAGATGCGACAGCAATTTGTTCTGGGCACGAATAACAAATTAGATCGACCTGTAGAATAATGGGAGCACTGTACACATACGACCACCCGAAGAGTTTGAAGATGGATAGTAAGGGCAGGAATCAGACGATGCTAACTCTGGAATAGCGTCGAAGCCATTATCCTGCGCATTTTTATCTGTCATTTTAGAAATCACCAGCGAAGCAATAAGGTGGTGGAGTAACGGTTGGGGGTGAAAGACTCGACCATATCTAGCCATCGTTTCCTTTTCGTTAGCAAAGCTGTATAATTCATTGAAACAATTTAGCGAGGCGTCTCACCCGTCAGGTAGAATATTCGGAATCGAGATACCAGAGTCTGACTCGGAGGCCACTTTAACAGCTACTTTGGACTGGGCAAAGGCAGCAGTGGAAGCGGAGGTTTCATCAGAAACCATGGCCTGATCGGCTAAATTCGCGTCTGGATCTACCAAGCGTGTAATCTCTGCATATTGATTCACGGAACCTTCAAATGAGGCTTCTGGGTGGTCGTCGGGACTTCGCTTCCAAGGGTTTAGGCCAAGAAGATCCCAGGTGTTGAGCTCATAGAACATGAGGCCATTTCTTGAAGCAAGATTAGTAGAGACGCTTTCTGCATTTGTTGATAGAGCTCACCTAGTGTTACTCTCTGATGTTGACTCATCAACACCCTCTTCGCAAAAGCGTCCACCCCAAAGACCCACGTATTGGTCATAGTCTATAAACTTGACCTGGTTACCTGCTCTCTTGACCGCAGCAGACTATAAAGTATTCTCATTCAGTGACCCATTCGAGTGGATGAGAGTAAGAGTGATTATACTTACAATTTGAGAATTGACATCATCGACAAGATCATTCATCGATTGTCGATTCAGTTTCGTAAGCTTCGCTTCGGGCTGGAACATATTGGCCAATTTCTGAATCGGCGTTAGTGAGCTGCAACTTTGGATAACAGAATACTTAATAAAAGGGTGAGACGTACATAAATCCAGGTTGACCAACTAACTTTATCACATGCAGATGATAAATCTTCAGCGAAAAATTTGGCATATCTTCAAGTTGAAGACATTTGTTAGTCGACAGTTGGAAGTGTACGTGGAGCTCTTCGACAGACGAGTCACACTTACCCGGTATAGTAGATCATTCCGCTATTCCGTGTCAGTACAGAACATGCTAGATTTGCTAGTAGTGGACGATCAAGTGACTAGTAGTACTCACTCTGATGATAGTTTCAGCTTTGCGGCTGAAATAACCTGATCTAGGCTCTTGCTGAACCCGGCACTGGCAATGATGTTCTTTGTTCGAGTCAACTGTCCGGCACATCCACGGCCCAAGGCATCCCAGTCGTAAGACTTGGCCCAAGAATACTCTGGGTTAGCAAGAGCAGCTGTCTTAGCCTTGGTGACCTGGTCAGAATTGAATACAGCCCACTGGAAGATGCATTGGTTTAGAATTTTTGAAAGCTCGGCGTCATTACCGCCTAAATGCCAAGTCGGGTTAGTTCGGCGTAGTAAAAGGTCAAAGGTGCTAACATACCAGCCGAGACTAAGATTACTTGCTGGTCAGCGTTGATATTTGGGATTTGGTTCTTGATAACATCGTCTATGACAGCCCCCGAGCATGACTCGAACTGAAATGTGCGTGCTGCTTGATCACCAAGTCGCTCATCGGTATGAATGAGATAAGGATACGAGGAATCATAGCGACTACATGACCAGTCTATCGAGTGAGACAACGTCAGTCAATGATTGCTTCTCTGCGTTATGCATGGGTAACACCTGGGGATGACGAACCACTTATTCCCAGTCGACTACCGGCGCCAATTCCAGCCGAATAAGAATCACCGACGGCTGCCATTGATTTGATGAAAGACAGGTCTGCGGCATCGAACACATCATCATCATCATCTCGTCTTATTAGAGATTGTGAGTTCCAGCTTGTTCCTCTGGTGATATTCCCGAGTCTAAGAGGATTTGCAAGCACAGAAGTTGCAAGGGCAGCGACGGCCAGAAGGCAGCGCCATTGTTGCCTGTGCATAGCGAATTGAAGACTCCCGCAACGGGGAAAACGAGCACAGCACTTGAGGTTTGAGAAAATGTAAAGACTAATATATTCAGAATTGATGCGCGGGCATCTTTGAAGGTATAAATACTAGCAGTATCTACTACTACTATACTCCCATTGGTATTGTGACATTCTTCCAGTACAGCATCTCTGAATAACTAATTACCTAGTACGTACCTAGGTACCTACTACACTAGTAGGAGGTACTAGTACTAGCTGATAAAAGTCGTCAACTGCGCCTCATACCTAGGTAGTACTGCAATACCTAGTACTAGCAGGTACTAGTAGTTCTTTACGGTCACCAAACGATCGTGATGCTACCTAGCCTTGCGATTTCCATTTTGCTTCCGGGTCACCGCGGTCAAATTCCTTCCAAGGTTGATATCTTGGCTCGAGGCACTGAGATCTATAGTCTGATTAGTGCAATATCTCTTTTGTTGGCCAATGGCATCAACCGGCAATATGCCCATTCAGAGACAAGGCCCGAGTACTAGTAAGAATCAGTACACTACTAGTTATTCTATGTGAGACATTTTCATGGATAGAGATCCATGAGGGACGCTAAGGTGTTAGTAGCGGCAAAAAAAAACCAACGGGTGCTTCGCTTAGCGTAGATTCATTCCAAGGTTAAGCGCCAATCAGAGACGAATCCTTTTGTTGGTTTGTCGGTTACTCGCATGATTAGACCCGGTGTAATTCGTAGATCTAGTTGCCTCTAGTGCGACGAGATTTAGTAAAATTCAATCTTCAGTTTCTCCTATCTTCGTTCTACTGCTTTACTACTTCCAATGATACGAACTATTCGCCTCGGCTGATCTCATCCACGGTGTTCTGCATAATGTGCAGCTTGGTAATGCTTAGTTCTCAGCCAACGCCGCTTAAATACTTAGCAGAGTGTTGGCTTGACGATTAAACTAGCGCTGGACCCTTGTGGCAAAGGTGGACCCTGATGTTGTGATCTGAAAACAGGGACCGAGCCGGGCCGAGGTTTTCGCCCCGAACCTACCAAGATTCGATATTTTCGATCTAAAGTCGGTTTGCTTATATACTGAAAGGGACATTGAAATTTTAAGCGAGTCTTGAAATCGGCGTGCCCGAGCCCGGCTTTAGGACTGCCCAGTACACTAGTACTGTAGAGGTCAAGGGGTGCTCACAAGATCAGTATGTGACAACCATACCCGACAATACTATGTAGAGTATTATGATCCTTTGGATTTTCAATACGAGAATACAACTAATACCATTAACCAGACTGGCAATCTTTCTGCCCTACGGTCCTACGAAAATGGATTTTCACCGGGTGCTCAAGTGGGACGGAAGGAACTGCACCGTAGCTCAGGGACTCGAAATTAGGGCTAGGACGAACAGACCGAACGGCCGGGGTCACGCCTTATACTGTCTGGTCTACTACACACGAGGAAATTAGTTCTTGGCAAAAGATTCCTAGTCTAAAGTGACGGTGGACCGAGATGAAGCTACTAGTATATCAATCCGGTGGAAAAAATCGATAAAAATACCTCAAGTCCAAGTTTGCCTTCTACTACCTAGGTACTAGTAGTACTAATAGTAGTATGCAGTAGCCCTGATACTACAAGGCAAAATCTACAATATACACTGTTAGTAGTGTACTGTCAAATACTTCATGCTATGGCTGAGTACTATCAAGATTCAAATCTCAAGTCTGAATCCGCAAGACTGACAAGCGGAGGCATCCATAGATCCGAATAGTACTAGTATATTAAGAGGGTAAATGATAGATGCCAGGGAAATTCTGCCGCCGCGGATTCTCAAATTAGCTTAAGGCCATACTAGCGGCTGCGACGCTGCTAGTAGTTCTATCCGAACTCGCCCCTACTACTCTTAGTATGCTAGCGCCGATGTATTGGCCACAGTTTCAACGGCGACCTCCAAATTTTGGATGTAACCTTCTGAGACATTTTTAGTATCCATTTTGCAGTTTTTATCATTATACGACTATGTTATGAGCTAGAATCAGTACCATCAAATTTCTGCTGGAAACATGGAGGGCAGTCTCCGTATCCAGTAACGAGACACTAGTAGATGGGCAAACTTCCCTTGAAGCGATAGTTTAAAATGCCCCAGTATACTCCCGTCAGAGATGATTTAGGAGAAACTAAAAGTCTCTGAGTCTCAGACCGCAGGTAGGAAACCATTTGCCTTCGAAATATCACTCATCATTTTTTTATACTAGGACCTTATGCTAACTACTATGTACAGGACCAGAATTGACCTCTAGATATCATGATCTTTACCAACTACATCCGTTTCTGCCCACTCATCTGGTTCACACTGATCTTTGGAAGTTATGCGTATGACCTGAGCGAACGTCTAGAGCCAAAAGGTGCTCTCAAAGTGAGACTTGACCATGATCTTGCAATAACTTGGCCGAACAGACTGAAAAAGAAGGGCAAGCAAATTCGTCGAACTTTTCTCTGGTCAACTCATCTCAAGTTCATGAATCCTGTCAGTGAGATCAACGATGGCCAACTCTGGCAAATGGCAGACGATGCATATAAGGAAATGCAGGCAGAGCAAAAGCTATATGGGGTCAACAGTAAAAAGGACACGCCAAAGGCTATTTCCATCCTCGCGTTTGGGAACGAAATTATCATTTCTTCCACGATTAAAGGAATGAAGCCTTTTGCCTACGAGTATAAAAAGAGCGCGGTGTCAGCTACTCTGCAGAAGTGCCAATCGGATTGGGCAGAGGCAGGAGGGTCCGCGGACCAGAGACACAAGAATCAAGGTGGCTGCTCTGAAGTCATGTCCGCCCAGCTATATTATTCCATCTATTCCAAAGATGATAACCCTCTTTCTGGACGAAATGCGAGAATTTGCGCGGTTGTGGCTGTGGGCGACTCGCCAGCTGAGCGAGAAAATCCATGTGGAACAGACAGAACTGTGAGTTACGAGAGCATACACTAGTGTATATTTCAAGTTTGTTTATCACAAAGAAGAGTATGGCTGACAGCGGTTGCAGGATATTTGGGGCTGCAACAAGTTTGTAGCGGAAGAGGGCCTGGATGATATAGATAAGACCATTGATGCGGAGTCCTATGATCTGAGTACACTGGCAGGCGGAATTGATACTATAGATCAAATCCAAATATGTGAAGCCTCGGAAAGTGAGTCCGAATCTGGGAAGCAGGACTCGAAGTCGTGATGTCCTCCGGGGTAGTAGCTCAAACTTTTTGAAGCTCCAGCTAGTACCTAGGCATACTATCCTGAATACGAGTAGTAGAACTTGAAGATGATGCTAGTATTATTTTACTTGTTATAATATGGTCAATACTCTCTTGTACGCATCTCTTCATACGATTCTATCAAATACAAAATCATTTGCATAATGTAATTTCAAAAGGTCAACAATGTTACTCCTTTTCATCTAGAGCAAAGTCAATCTGGATACCAGTCTGAAGACTCAATAGTTTCAGACGATCTACCAAATATGGCTCCCATTCTCCCAAGTCATTCTCAGGGTATTGGAGGATTCGAATTCCGCGAAGACATGGCGTACACGACTCCCAAACCTTCAACCATGACTGAAGTAATTCGAAGATGGCTTCATCCTCCCAGTCCCACTCGGGCATATCTATGTCGTATTGACCTTCCTGTTCGGTCAAATCATATGTAAGAGTCAGAAATTCAATATTTCTTGGCAGGAAGTCGTGCAATCGCTTCGTGGTATCTTCAGCGAAGCCAACGAGAAAAGCAAAAGGTATTTGTAGTCTCTTGACCTGATGTAAGTTGGCGAGCTGTTGTAATGATCCCTTGACACAAACTCCTGGGTAATCGATATCATGGCCTCCGAGCTCAACGGCAGCCTCGATTTTGATTTCCGTCAAGTTTGGAGGAGCGAGGGACAGCGCGGTAGCAATCTGGTCGAGGTCGACCACTGGCTTATTTAGGTCATCTTTTAAATCATAATCATAGTACCATTTCCAGGTCAACTTTTCGAGATTCCTAGCAAGCGGCACTATGTCACTGAGATGTTTCTCCCTTATGGACTTCAAATGAAGCGACTTCAACATCGGGGGGGCTAGGAAGATCTTCGGTGGGCCATTTATACGCAGATTTGCTCCTAATCGACAAAGCCAGATGCTCGACATTTAGGAGATAGAAAAGTGGCAATAAATCCGCGGTTTCTTGGAACTTCTCAGTTACACGCGCTGTGTCCCAACCTTCTCGGAAGATGATCGATACATCCCGAAGACCATGAAAGTCCGGTAGTCGATATTTTCCACGGTCACATATGGCTGACTTTAGAACCATGCCGATGAAGGTAGTTCGCTGCAGGAAGACAGGCTGCATGTCTAGAAACTTCAGATTTGAAAGTTGCGCCAGAAGAAGGGCGAGTAGAGCGTCCGTTACACCCTTGCGGATCTCGTGTATCCAAAGATCGCTATAAGGTACGCCTGTACTTTGAATGAAGGCGATTTCGCTTTCTAGCTCTGTTTCAGATACTGGAAGAGAAAACAAAGGGAACCAGTACCCGAATCTCGGGCGGTTTTTACCCTCGAGCTTGAGACTTTGGACGTAGGAGGCCAGCTCAGGCCGTTTGGTGACAGATCGTAGAAATGGAATTATTGGCGGAGGCTTTTTGTGGTCTTGCCAGCCCCATTGAATCTTGGAGTAGAGGAGAGGCTCAGCATTTTCACGGAGCTTCTGGTTAACCAGACAGAGACTATGCCATTCTGCGGGCGAAAGTAGACTGAAAATCAAGTGCAAAACTTCGACAGGGCAGGAACTGATGCCAGTCTTCTTTTGCAATTTCTATTAGGATCAGCGAGGCGCTAGAGAATGCTCATGGTAGCCACATACAAGTCTTATGGGAAGTGACGATTCCATTGTCGTCCTCTAGGGTTCAGTGTGTGCAGACCGGGAAGCACAAGCTGGAGGTGGTAAAAGAATTTGACGAGTGAAGAGGCTATAGCCTGTATTTAAAAATGCTGCAGGGTTAGTCCAGTTCCAAGGTTCCCTGCTAAACTGGAAGTGCTGAACTATTTAAAGTAAACATCTCATTTCAACACGATGGACCAATTTTCCATGCAACGCCACTCTGGACGACTTGAAGCCCCACTAAACTGCCCGGCTCGGTAAAATTCAATACACAAACTACACTAGTCACTATCCGTGTCCGACGCTATACCACTTTGGTCCACGTACACCCTTCGGGTGTACGTGGACCACACCGTACGGTCGGTTAACACCGTGCGGCCGCATTTGAAGCTATTCATATTTGAATTGTATTTACACAACCACGAAGCATCCAATATGCATCAAATTTGCTCATTCTCTTTTCCATCCAGTGCAAATACTATTTCCCCTGAAGCAAGTCCACACGACGTTGTTTAATAGGAGAAACACCCGATGAACGATCGCCTAAGTCTGATCTTTCACGCTGTCGTTTTCTCTCTGTAGCAGCCTCTTCCTTCGCTTTCCGACCGGCAATAGACCGATTTGCATCTTTTGTAGCCAGTATATTGGTAGAAGACAGTCTTTGAAGGCGTACTTTGCGTTTGGAAGGCCGTGTTGTATCCTGAGGTGCCATTGAATCAATTGTACTAAAAATGCAAGCCTCGTTCCTCTGCCATAACCTTATAATTGAGCATTTGATTGTCAAAACTTCGCTGTAGCTTCGGCGAGACTCCCGGTAAAGAAATCGATTTTGCTAGCTTCTTTTCTGTTTTTTTTCTGTATCGTAAACAGACTTCGGCGGAGTCCTTTCTACATCAGAAGACGATAGTAATGGCGGAGGTGTTGTATCTTTTTCCTGTTCAACACGGGCTTCATATTGTGTAATGCGGTGTTTATGAAAAGATTCATAATCAGCCAGTAGTCGAAGACGTTGAAAGATCATTTGAGTGCTTTTGTTGTATGTTGGTAAAGAGATTTTGCCTGCTAATAACTCTGGTGCATAAATTGTAGTCTCTGGTAGCTGCGGAAGCCTTTCTTTTAATCGATTAAGTACTATCGAGCTTTTCACAGGATAAATGCCACGATCTCGGAAGGCATGTCGGATATTTCTAGCTGAAAGTGCCTGTGAACGAGAGCTTTGTATATCACGAAGGAATGATGATTTCAAGGAAATAGTACAGTTTAACCGGGCAAAATAGTTGTTTTTCTGGCGGAAAAGCTGTTTGTAGACCAAAAAAGGCTGACTATCAAGAGGCTGGCATAAATGTGTTGTATGAGGCAAAAACAGAAGAGGATAATACTATTTTGTTCACAATATTGAATGAATTCCAATGTTGTATGACTGCCGTGGCCATCCATTAACAAAATTCGTTTTTCACCGGGAAAACAAGACTTTTAGTCTGCAAATCGAAGTTTTGCACCCAGCTTAATGCAATTTCATCAGTAATAACACCATTTGGAGACACACTTGTTAACCACGAGGCAGGAACATCTTTATACCAGCTTTCCATATACCGTTGACCTTTCAAAATAAACAACGGTGACATTGACCAGCCAACAGCATTGACACATTCAACAACAGTGACATTTTCACCATGTTCAGCACTTGCAATTCGTTGCTGGTGTTTTGGCTTCGAAGAAATAACCCTTTCAGCTTTACCTTGTCCAAATTGAAAGCCACTCTCATCAAAATTGAATATAAGCTGAGGACGAGCATCTTTTAGCACTGTGGCAAGTTCATTATACCACATATCAAGCATATCAACACTCTCTGCATCAATACGCTTTTTGTCCATTGGTTTTGAAAACCTCAGTTAACAAATGTATTTGGAAATTTCCCACAGCAAATAATGCAAAACTATTTAGTTTGTTCCAATGGGTTCATGAATGGTTCAAAATACCAAGTCTGTGATCAAATCGGTTCAATAAAACATGAATTAGGCGGCTTGACTTTCCATTATGATAGAATTCTGCCGTTCATGATACTCAGACTCTGTAATGGTCGGGATTCTTGGAAATTGAGGTTCTAGTAGGCGGGAAAAGATATTGTAATTAGAGGGAAAGAGAAACACATCTTGTTTCTCAATAAGTGATGAATATCCATCTGTATAAATAACTTTTCCGGGACTTTCTATCCCCCAGTCTCCCCACTCTTGTTCGCCAGTCTGGAGATCTTCACAACAGAGAGCAAAGGAGACAATATCGTGTAGGGAAATTCTTAGTGATCCATTATAGAACTCCGAGCATTCATTTTCAGGATTATTAAGGTCAAAGTCACAGTCAATCACATTAACATACCCGACTAAACCAGAGTCAGATGTATTATCAGGCTCTGAACTTGCGAGAATTGACCGGATGGAGCGATCATCCAGAACAAGACAGTAGTCAAATCGAGGCCTGCCAATATGACGGGAATAGCCCTGCCCCTCAACCCATTCAATATGTCGTTTACGAATGGTTTCGATCGGGGCTCTGCCCGACATATCGATTCAAGGGGCGCAAAATCCCTGAAATATGTTAAATGATGGCAGCAGAGGCTCTCATTATCTGGAGGCGGGTTACGGATTTGAAGAGTCGCACGACCGAGGGTGACTCTCACCCAGATTCCCATTTTCTCGTAAAACACTCACCTTATCACCCCAGGTCGCGCGACAGAAAAGCGGTGTTCAGCTATTTCCCCAACAGGCTAGACAATCTATTGGCTAGCCCGACCATTTGGCGTGGGGCTTAAGTACGGCTGAGCGGACGGGAAGCCCTGTTCTCCACACCCTATGGTCGTATGTACTAGAAATGTGAGACTAAAGAACTATGGCAAAAGAAAGAGATAACTAGTAACTGTAGCTCGAGCTTTTTGTTTTAGATTTCTTGGCCGAGGAATGTAGGATACCCGAGTCCTTGTATCATAAACATCTCGGGATCCCAATCTACCGTGGCATCATCCCCGAATTGGTAAGTCGGATCGGAAAATGCATATATCTCATCCATACTGGTACCGTTGGTCAATGTTTCTGACTCCGACTCCGATCCTTTCGATACTGCCTGGTTCTCTGCCTCGCCAGATAGTACCAGTTGTTGCGTGCCACCTATTGCCTGTTTCCGGGCCATGGGATATGTTCCAAGGGGGTTCAACACATATTCAAGTCGTAGTATTTTCAATCGCTCCGCTTGAACATGGGCTGTATTTTCATTCAACCCCAAAGTCCTGAGACCATCTGAGTTCAGAGCAAACAATTGAATGAACCTATCCAGTGCATGCATGGCCGATTCACGATACATGTCCACCTTCATATACCGCTGTAGGTATTGTAATATCTCCACATTGGTTTGCAAGATTGCCTGACAGTCGAGCAAGGATAGATCTGGCAATAGGATATCGTTTTCTTGCCAGGATGTCAGAGTTGTCACAAGAACGCTACTACACACTTGTGCGTGCATTGCAAATGGAGTATCAATGAGACTAGTCTTGTCGCATTCCCAAAGATCTTTGAGCAGAGATGCGATATAGGTAGCCTTTTGGAAACATACCAGATGGCATTTTCTGATGAAAGTGGAAGGTGCATTTTCCCGGATCCATCTTGTCGCAGTGTCGGGAAATACTAGGTTAGAGACCCCAACCCGGTATAAATCGTAGAAGTTCTGAGATATCAAGATATGCAATCCGAAGAACAGGTTCAATCGTCCCACAGCCTTGAATAAGTAGAGGTTCCCGGGTGACATTCTGAAGATTTCTGGAATCGAGGTTTCGAACTCCTGCAGCTTACTCTCAAGTTGAGAAAATTTCGAATCCCTGTTGTCACTCCATGGAACTTCGCCCTCTAGATGTTTCACGAATCTTAGAATCTTGGACCGCATGTATATTCCGCGAATGTAGAAGGATCGTAGGTCCAGTTGGGCTGAATAGTCTGTGTTGGAATGTCGATCGACGAACGGAAGCAATTTCCCACAAGGTAAGGTCTCTGTAATACAGGCCATAGATCTAATGAACATATCTTCAAGACAGGGAAGTTGGACTTGTACATCTTCCGATGTAATGAATTGTAGTTGATCAATTCCACATTCAATATATGCATCTAAGATATAGCAAGCCCAAGCTAGCCTTCTCCTACTCTCCTTAGATGATGGGGAATATGGGCTTTTCTCACATAGCAGGTCGGAGTCAGATTCAAGATGAAGTTGCATAACTTGAAGATGTCGCGCAATTTGGCCGGAAAGCATAAAGCTTTTAGCATACTCTCCTACCCGTAAGTAATACTCATGTAGAAGCACCTCCGTCATGAGGCTCTCAATTTGAGGCTTTCCAAAATTCGAAGAAAGGATCTCTCTTGCAGCTTCTGCCCAGCCTTTACCAGCTTCGAACAAGCAAATTTCAATCTGGGGATTATCTTCGCTTATCTCGAGGATCTCCGCGCAATAGAATGGTGCAGCTAGAGCACACATGGCATGCAACAGCCCCAATCGCTCTGATGGCATCTGTGTGGGGTCTTCGAGTTTGAGGTGCTCCATAAAGGTCGGCATATGCAAGAACCCCATACAACGAACCGTGTGTACGCGGACGAAGTAAATTTCAACTATCTTTCGGAGTCGAAAGCTTGATGGCAATGCCTGGGCTGTGAGCCACGCAGGTATGCTGATTTCGATAGTAGAACTAGCCAGGTTCTCAGTAACAGGATCAAAGTACGAGCATTCGATCCCTTTCTTTGTGCACCGCACACATATGGCATCACCGGAACATTTTTCTTTCGATCGCCTGCATGAAATGCACGATCGTGCACAGCGTCGACGCTTAAGTCCAGCTTGTGTTGACTCCAGATCGACATCGGTAGTGTAGTCACTACGGGAAATCGGCTCGGTGCTATAGACGCATTCTTGGCCAAATCGACGACATCTATTGCATCCTCCTGGTGTGCGATCACATTTAACCTAGATATATTAGGAATTTAGAGATTTTCTGAAATCCAACCAATAGTGGGTTCACCTTTCGCTTTCTGCAAATGCGACAGCTCACTCCCCATCTCTCTACCTCACCACGGTTAATCCGACGGAAGGACATAGGCAATGAGCTTCGGGGTCTCTTTAGCGCGCTTGAGCGACATGCGGGAGTAAAACAGCGGATCTCGCTCACTAAAACGGTGAAGTGGAAGGAGTATGCCTCGTCAGCGATATTACGTCAAGCAAGAGCGGGGTGGTGCAATCCACGCTAATCCAAAGAGCGGAGGGCCGAGATCCGGTACCCGGCACTCGTGTCAACCCTGGAAGATTGTCGAGTATGCTAACATAAAAGCCACGGAAGAAAAAATCAAGTCATGCCCAGGTGTACAATTAATCAAATTAGAAAGAGATTACAATCATTTCTACTCTTTTCAACTCTCGAATATGCCGTCTTTCATGCGTTTGATGGCTGTTGCGGCGGCGGTGCGTTCAGGCTTTGCCTCTACATTTCACGTATTTGATAACACTGCATACACCAACACTTCAATTGGCTATGGAAGCAGCAATATCAATTGGATTCCCGCATACGTATGCAATCCACTGACAGAAGGAGGCGTTCTCCCTTCTGCTGATATTTGGAAGGCTATCGTTCTTGAATGGAACGTCTACCCGTCTTACCCGCTGGTACTAGACTGCGAGGATCTTTACTTTACCTCAACATCCACCGCGGATTTGTACCTGGAAATAATGTCTACCCTGCAAACATGGGCGGCGGATGTTATTCCCGAGGGGCAGATCATTGGCTGGTACGGCCTCTCGGGGAACACGATCTCTTCACTATACGACCACTATCGCAGTTTGATCAGCAATTACACAAATCATGCTTTCTTCCCGTCAGCATATACGTTCAGCGACAGCATATCCACCTGGAATAAGTCGTTAACCTCTGTGGTCAATGTAATCAATACTATCGACAACACCTTACCAATCTGGCCCTATACATGGCCTCAGTACCACGGCAATTACTCTTTCATTCCTGAGGATCTTTGGCAGCGCGAACTGGAAGCTCTTGCATCTAACAGCAACCTGGACGGCTTTGTTGTTTGGGGTGGCAAGAATCATGTCGTGTGCGATGATGCGTGCCAGTCAATTGCAGGAGATGAACCTTGGTTGAACATCACGAGAGAATACTTGAATACTTTGTACGGGATTTACAGTGGGGTTGCTCAGAAATCAGGTTCTCAGTTGTTCAATTGATTGAGGGTTCCAAAGTTGTCAGAGAGTGAGTGGTTCAACACCATATGCTGTATATAGAAAATAAGATATCTAGAATATTGCATTCCAAATCAATGCAATGTCAAGGCTCCGTATGAATTATTCGATGATGCAGGTTATTACTATCTGAATATCGCGTCTGAAGATACTTGGCAGCGTAAGTAGAAACGTCGTCGACTACAAGGACTTCTTTGAAAAGTCCAATTTTCTGACGCGAAAATTCGCGCAAAACCAAATCCTTGAATTGCGGGATGTTCAGCAATGCCCCGGATAATATCAGGCGACCTTCTTTGGGCTCACATATTCGCGGCCTAATGAGTGGCAAGACGAGCTGAGTTAGCGACCTGGCAGCTGATTTTAGAATATCGAGTGCTGCCAGGTCTGGACTATCCGTCTGGAAGCCTAGCTCGGTAACAACTTTAGCAAGACTTCCCACAAGATGCCTTGGCTGCGTATCCGAGTAAAGGATGTAGTAAAGCAAATTTTTCTTCTCTTGGCCAATACGGTCCAATACCCGAGACTCGAGCTCGCTGAGACAATAGTCGTCGTCTCCTTGGCTAGCTTCTATGGTGGCGAATAAACCTTGAAGCGCCTGCTTTCCAATATCGAAGGCACTTCCTTGATCCCCCAGAAGAGGGCCCCAGCCACCTGTTCTCCCAATTTGCAGCATTTCCCCTCTTGTGTCTCTTCCGAAAGCTGCGGCGACCGATCCCGTTCCTGCGATCAATGCAATGCCGGTGTCAACAGTGCCATCCATGCCAATGCATGCCCCGAGAAGCGCACTATCACTTGTCAATATAAGGCTGCCTGAACTGATAGAGACCTTTAATAAACTCTCAAGCCGGGCTGTGAGGACCTCTCGATGACTCGTATGGTGCACTCCGGCGATCCCTGCCCACACTGCAGCAAACTTGGGAATTTCTTCAATCGAGTGGTGATATTGTGATGGTAACTGAGAGACGGACTTCCTTATGGCTTCCTTGATTTCAGCCATAAGGTCCTCTATGTTCATACTCTGGAAATTGCAAGCTCCAGCTTGGGCTCTCGCCAGAACTGAAGATCCAGCGTAAATTGATACTGCGCATTTTGTTCCTCCACCATCTATCGCCATGAACAACTTCTCGTTATATCCAGGGAGTCCGTTTTTGTGGGGTTGATTTATGTGCGGCGAGATGTTCTGGACAAACTGTCGAAAGTTGCCATACGCAAGATCAAGATGCTGCTGGGCACAGTCTGGCGGAAGACGAGAAACAACTGCAGCACACGCTCGTTTCACATTTCCACCACATCTCTTGATCATCAGATCCAGAGACTCATCATCAAGTAGGAATTTCTCGCTTTTTAAATGCTCAGATGACGTAAAATTGTTTTCCTTTAGTCTTTCACACACTTGCCGAATAATCCTGCGGCCGCGAGCTAGGAGCTTTTGATTATTCGCTCGCACATCAATCATAAGACCCATGTAGGTCTTACCCATCCGAATCATAGCACATGTACTAATCATATTCGGAATCTGTTTAGCAGCACTCCCAGCTTTGAGTCGAGTACTTCCTGCGATAAATTCCGGGCCGACAACAACAGGTATGGAGTAATCGACTCCAAGCTTTTCCAAGGTGGATCGCGAGGTATTCGTTACGACCGCCGTAACGGCCTTATATTTCTGGGCTATCTTGATAGCTCCAATGACAAAAGGTGTGCGCCCAGATGCCGATATTCCAACCACGGTATCGTGAGATGTTATCCGCATCATTTCGAGTTTGGCGGAACCATCCGCTTCGGAATCCTCCGCCCCTTCCTGAGCTGTAAGAATTGCTTCATCCCCTCCGGCGACAATGGCCAGAAATTGATTTTCGTCGGTAGAAAATGTAACAGGCAGTTCGCTGCAATCCATAAAACCGATTCGGCCGCTATTGCCGGCGCCAACATAGATCAACCTACCACCTTCGCTTAAGCGAGGTACTAGCTCATCGATCAATGATGCAATTATAGGCAAAGAGCACGCCACAGCTGGAGAGACTTTGGATTCCTCCTCGTTGAAAGCTTTGCAGAGTCCGAGGGTGTCAAAAGAATCCATTGATTGTGCAAGCTCGCTTCGGGCTTCTGTTTCTAGGGCACCCAGAGAGCCCAGGTCCGAAAATGGCGCCATTCTATTCCTCGGTGGTGTCTATGTGGCTTTCGATAAAGCAAAGTGAATGTATAATTTGGCCTTGTTAAATATGGCTGTTTGTTTGTGCTCATATAAATATGACGCGATCTGTCGGCGGGATCTCGGCCTCGATTTCACCGGATCTCGCCCACCGAGATCTCTTCCCCGCGCCTAGGACACCGTCCTGCGCGTAAAGCACGATGGCTCCAACTTAGAAAAACAAAATTCTGTCAAATCTATTTATAATGCTTAAGCCTTGATTTTCCTCACAAGAAATACCTAGGTATCAGGCCTGATTACTCGAATTTATTTCTCATCTGAAGCTGCCATGGAGACCAACAAACTACAACCTGAGGTAATTCCTCGGAGTAGCGAAGATGGCCAATACTCAGATACTCAAAAAATCTTCTCGCGAATTCGTCATGATCCATGGTTCCAAATTATATTGGTCTCCTTCATATCTTTCTGCAACCCGGGCATGTACAATGCTCTAACGGGCATGGGAGGCTCAGGCCAAGTTGACAGCACGGTCTCAGCCAATGCAAACGTTGCTACGCATGCTTGCACGGCTGGGGCTGCTCTCTTTGTTGTTGGAACATTCTACAAATACATGGGCCCTCGAATCTCACTCCTTGTCGGCGGCTGGACCTACGCATTGTACGCTGGCGCGTTGCTTAATTCCGATCGCGTGTCCAACGGGGGCTCATTCGTGATAGCGTCCGGCGCTTTGCTGGGTCTGGGAGCTGCATTCTTTTGGGTCGCTCAGGGTACCATTATGGTAACCTATACGAATGAGGAGACTCGTGGCAGGGCTATCGGTATCTTTTGGGTGATTTTCAATCTCGGTGCAACGATCGGCTCCCTGGCTAGTTTTGGTTTGAATTACCACTCGAAATCTGGAACTGTCACCGATTCAACGTATATCGCTTATATCGTCATTATGCTTTTTGGCTGGGCTTGCTCGAGTCTTGTATGCTCGACAGAGGATTTGTCGGAGAAGTATAAGGGTGTTCGAATTGCCGAAAATTCCACGCATTTCAATTGGACCACTCTGAGACCGACGATTTTCCAAACGTTCCGCATTATTCTCGACTGGAGGAACATATGTCTATACCCGATGTTCTTCAACGCCAACGTCTTTTATTCGTATCAACAGAATGATGTGAATGGTTTGAATTTTAATATCCGAACGCGTTCCCTCAATAGTGCTCTGTACTGGGTTGCACAAATGACCGGCGGCCTTTTGATGGGCTTTCTGCTTGACTTGCACAATCTCAATCGCCGCACGAGAGCCAAAATGGGATGGGGAATATTATTTGTGACTGGGATGGCTATTTGGGGCGGTGGATATAAATTTCAAGTTTGGGATGATCGTCGTCTTGCTGGCGGATTGAAGCAGGATATCGATTATAAAGATGGCAGGAAATTCCTCGGCCCCATGTTTCTATATTTCTTTTATGGAGCTTATGACTCGTTTTGGCAGTCTTTCTGCTATTGGATTATGGGGGCCCAGTCCAACGATCCGGCGGTGACTGCTGTCATCGTGGGAGCGTACTCTGCTTTGAAGCCTGCAGGTGGTGCGATGGCATGGCGAATAAACGCCGAAGGTACAAGCCCTATGGTCCAGTTCGCCATGAATTGGGGATTGAGCATTGGAAGTTTGTTGGTAGCCATACCGACGGTGATAAGCCTCAGCAAAGAGTCCATCAGTATACCAGAGCCGGCTCAAGTCGCTAAGGAGGAAGGGGAAAACGATGTATAATCCGGAACTCGAACACAAGTTGGAATCCGTGGACAGCGGCCGGACGCTTATAAGGTGTGAATTGGTTGAATATTGTATCGTGATAAATAGTATATAAACACTGAGGGTTCAATATGTCTTAATCAGGCCAGTTTTTAATGTATATCGTCAATCCAGAAAAACAAAGTATAATCGAACATGGCTGCTGGATTCATCGGGGTATAAGACGCCATTGGGTATTATCGCATTCGTAAACTAATATCACAAGTCATCACTGCGCAATATAGCGGTATAATAGAGACCGAGTTAAAAATATTAGTAATGAAGCTTCAGATGCTTCGCGATAATAGCGTCGAGACCGGCTGGATCGGAGAAAGGGTAGTCACCCGACCCCTTGTACTGTTTATGAATGATGGATTGCAACCGTCGCGTCCAGATGGGGACGAGAGTGGCGAGTTCAGGATCAAGGAAAGCTTCCGAATTCGTATCGCCATTAATATAAGAGTCGTGCGACGTTGCAAAGTTAAAGGAGTCGGATATTGATGGTAGGTCTGCTGGCACGGACAAACATGTATCGTGGAGATCATGGCCGTCTGGAATCTGTTCGAAGGGTAAACGGCTAGAATGGTGACGCTTTTTGGTTGTCCCATCTTGGGAAATATTCTTGGACGCTTTGGAGCTTTCGTGGCGCATCAAATATGCCCTTGGGTCATGTGGAGGAATCGCTGGTTTGAAATTTGTTTCGGGAGGAAAAGGACGGTCGGCAGCCAAAGCGGCTTTTGCAGCGAGGTATCGGTTCTCATGTGGTCTTTGTGAAGATTGGGAGCTTTGTGGTTGACTTAATGGCTCATTTGGCTGCTGGTCGGGAGCAGGGCGACTGCGATGTCTTTGGTTGGCTTCTTTCTTGCGTCGTTCAAAGTCCATCGCCCACTCTAAGCCAGAAGGCCGCTCGGCGTTGAATCCATCCTTGAGGTTGGCAGCCCAGTGTTCAAGAACAGGGTACCCCTTCCCACTATTCATGGAGGAATCCTGGGCATCGGCTGTCGACTCTTGGTCTCCCGGAGGGGATAGTGATCCAACGTCGCCAGTTGTACCGGTCGGAATATCTAGGGAAGGTTCGGGAAGATCATTCCTAGTTGTCTCACCATCGTCTTCAGCACCGAACCTTTGCTGAGCTAGTTGAGACAAGGTGGGGATCAACTCATCGATACTGACAGGTTGGTCGAGAGGAGTTTGGCACATTGAGATTTGCGTTGTTCGTTCAAACCAAGTGTCAAGAGAGCCATTTCCGTAACGTTCTCGGTCACGTTCTCTTGCCGCTCTCTTTGAGCTACTGTTCGTGGGACCTATTGACGAGGAAGGGATTCTAGGGCTTTGAGCTATTGATCTCCTACTGACAGGAGATCCCGACTGAGCCCGTGGGTCTCGAGGATGAGTGATATTCGGAGTATCCGGGGGAGACCGAGGGCTATGTCTCACGGTGGGGCCTGCACGGCTGCGCTCAGGAGCTATGCGCTGTGTATCCGGCGATAGGGATGTACGATTTGCAGTATTTCGGTCATATCGCCCTGGGGTTTGTAGCGGTGTATTCATTTTGGTAATAGACGAAGGGTTGATGAAACTCGAGTTGCGATCACCCGGGCTATTATATCTAGCGGCATCTTCGGAATAGGAGTCCTGCATTGTTTCGTCCATCACAGAAGAAACAGCGGCCTGGGTTTGGGCTGGAGTTTGAGAGTGTGGTTTCTCGGTGGAGTATCTGACCGGGAGCTCTCTGGCGCTAGATGATTGAGTCGAGGGTAGCGATCTTTCAGTATGTTTTCTGGCCATGAGAATATTGAACCCAGTGGTCGTTCCCGCTGTGCTGGAAGATGCAGATTTGTCCTTGGTAGGGCTTTTCTTCGCGTCCACTGGTAGGTGACCGTAACAATCTCGGAACAGGCTTTCCACCAGGGACACTATCATTTCTCGATCCTCAAAGAGCACATCATCTTTTCCTGGTTCAATATTCACATCATAGGCACCTCGTGGACATTCGAGCTGTAGATAGAGGAATGGATCGACGATGGTCTTCGAAAACGCACTCTTGGAAGCAACCGAACGGAGGTAAGACTTGAATAACTTCACGATGTCTTGGGAAATTCCCCTGAACGAAGACAATGGTCTGCCATCAAGACTGACGAACTGGCCGATATGACTGATTTTGGAGAAGTCTACACAAGTCAGTATATACTCTCAAGTGGCAAATGAAAGGAGACAATACCGATATCCGGACGTGGCAGAAAGGCAACTAGGCGGTAGCTACCGGAGCTCGAGTTGTTTTCACTCTGGGCATTCACGTCGGACGAAACGTGCTTCACAATGCAGCATGAAGAAGCATCTCGTCCAATGATCTTGACCGACGCGTCACTTATCGCAGCCCCTGGACTGGGTACGTACATCCAGTTATTGTTCTCGTTTTTTGCTTTGAGAAGTTTGAGAGAGAACCGACATGAAGGCCGAGCATATGCATAAGCTTGCAGAAGTTTTCTCATTTTCGTGAGAGCTTTTGTGGTCCCCTTGAGCACAGTCTGTCTGCGGACAGGGATGTGCTTGAGAAAGTCCGTGACGCGGACAGTCGTTCCCACCGGGTGGGCAGTCCGCTGGTTTCTATAGAGTATCAGCTGCATAGTCAAAAAAGTGTGAATCCGAATTCCACTCCGCTCGACTCACTGTAAAATCTCGCCCTCTCGGCTATACTTGATGCATGACCCACTCACCTCTGACGTAGTTCGCGTAGTGACGGTGACGCCGCCTGACATCTCGGCCACACTTGCTAAAGCTTCGCCACGGAAGCCAAATGATGTTCCTCCGATATTCCTCAGGTCCTCCACAGTCTGAATTTTGCTCGTATATACATGCCGGCAAACATCAGGGTGGTCATCGGCCGAAATTCCGGTACCGTTATCCTTGACTTGAATGACATCAATGGTGTTCAGGGACAGTTCAACACTTATTGATGACGCAGAAGCATCCAGGGCATTGTCAAGAAGCTCTTTCACCACAGAGCAGGGATCGGATATAACCGATGTCGACCCAATGGCTCGAACTGTGGCCTGCGGGAGAGCCTCTATAGGCATGATGGCAGGACTAGGTCAATTGTGCATGACCGCACTTCCGCTGGCTCACGAAACTCGAAGGAGAAATCAAATATTCCGTATATAACACCAACCAGTCGAATTGAAGTTGACTTGAAGAAGGAAGAGTGGAAGTGGAAGAGTGAGAGTGCTCGTCGCGTCGGCCGAGGCTGATTGGAGGACTGCTTAGTCATGCGATCGCGATAAACACGTCGACCTTCAACCTCAACTTCTCATCCTTCGGAATCTTCTCTGTCTTTCTCTACATCCCGCGACCGGGTGGAAAGACTGGGTCAAATAATGCTGGCCCAAAATTTTGAAGTTTCACGACTGGCGATCCCAGCCGTCAGTGTGTTGATCAGTTTTCTCGCCTATACCTCGCAGTACTTCTTTTACAACTTCAAGCCCGCACCGCTGACACTCGATGAGGGCTGGGCTCTCAATGTTCTCGCGCTATGCATTTGGGTCTGCTATTATCGTGCGTGTTATGTAGACCCTGGACGACTTGATCCCAAGGGCAAATCGATGGCCCCATCTCGACAGGAGAAGGATCAGTCCACTGGGCGCCAACGATGGTGTCGTAGATGTGAGGCCTACAAACCGCCTCGGGCTCATCATTGTAAAACTTGCAAAAGGTGGGATCAAAGAGAGGAGAAAAAAATTGATAAACTGATCCGATCTCGTCCAAATTACTTACTTTGTTCAGGTGCATTCCGAAGATGGATCACCATTGTCCGTGGACGTCAAATTGCGTCTCATACTTCACATTCCCCCATTTCTTCCGTTTCCTGTTTTATACAGTCCTCGGAATGGGCTACTTGGAAACTCTTTTGTGGCAGCGGGCATCCATAATCTGGCACGAGCGAGAAATGCCTAGTGTGAGTCAGCGACTCCAACGGTTTTCGGTGCAGAAATACTCATTATTTCACAGTACCTCGGTCCATCTGTCGCACAACTTGTTCACCTGCTACTTTTGATCGTCGTGAATAGTGTGACCTGGTTGGGCCTATTCATTCTTCTCATACGCACGATGTCGACTATCCTCTTCAATACGACAACCATTGAATCCTGGGAAATCGAGAGACACGAAACTCTTGTTCGTCGAGCTCGAGTCTTGGGTGGCTCCCTTGAGGGACCAGGTGGTGTAAACATCGTGATTCGCAAGCAGGAATTTCCTTACGATATCGGAATATTTTCCAATGTTGTGCAAAGCATGGGAGATACAATGAACGTGAGTTTCTTACCACCCATACATTCCTTCAGACGAACTCACAATCTTGCAGATAATCAGCTGGTTCTGGCCATTCGCCTCAACCCCCGACCGCAATTCTGGATGGACATTCGAGACGAACGGATTCGAAGGTATGCCCAACCGATTCAAATCAATATATTGACCAAATCAATATACTGACGAACCATACTAGATGCTTCTGTGACATGGCCTCCGCCCGATCCAGACCGCATACCCATTCCTAAAGGATCCTATTCCGTCAACGACCCCGAAATTCCTCTATCCTACGCTTCTGCTCGAGATCAAGTGGAAGCATTTGATCGTCGCCAGGCCGCCGACTCGGATCGGCCAAGGCCGTACTCGACAGTCCAGAGACGCAAACGCTTCCATGAACGCATCCAGGATGAGCCCAACTATGACAGTGATGAAGACAAACCAGCAGGGCCTACATACGGCAATAATTCAGATGAAGGCGAAGAATCGTGGCGGAATTCAGAAGGCGAGCGTCTCGGTGATTTTGGGGTTGACGAAGATGTCGAATTCTATGATGAGGATGACATTCCCCTTGGAGTACTCGTGGAGCAGCGCAGGGGGCGCCAATGATCTCTACCCAATTCAACCACCTTTATAGCCCTTATGGCCTGGCTCCTGTTCGGCCCTGACGAAAATCAAACTCAAAATCAGACTATTTTCTATTCCTTTCATCGACACAACTTTCTTCTATGACCACAAATATTGCTTCTCCATGTGACGTCATAGACCGGGCGGAAGTGTGTGACCGAGTTCCGTCAAAGAAAGCGGAGAAGAATGGAATAACCCCGCCTCTCAGTCCGTTCCGAAAGACCGAATGGTTAAATAGTAGTTGCAGCCCGGCTTCCAAGGTCCTTTCGTTATATCTCGGTGATTGGTTTGATCTCGAATAAGCATTCAATATGGCGTACCGTGGATCCTGCAACTGCGAAAGCATTAGCATCATGCTCCCGGAGCAACCCGCGAAATCATTTGTTTGTCATTGGTGGGGCTCTGATCAGTTTCATTGAAAGGGTTCAGGGTGCTAATTTCTTCTACTAGTGATAACTGCAAGAAAGCTGGTGGGGGTGGTAGGATCGCAATCTTGACTGTATCCCTAGTCGATCAGAAACTAACCGGAATGCTGAACAGCCTTCTCGATCAACTATTTTATCCCCGAAGATGATATGACCGTTGAAGATCCATCAAGCGTGATGAAGATCTATAATGATTCGAATACAGTCTCTAGAAACGTTATTCAGGTATATTGTAATCCCCCAACGTCAAGGCCAACATGCAATCGTGACTTTAAATTACTACTAGTAGTATTTGCATGCTAACCTCCAACGACAGAGATATTTCTGCTCCGGCTGTGGAAGGTATGTACTTTCCGACATAAACGAGGTTGCTTATTAGTAAATTATCGTCAGTGGCATCTTCACAAAGACTCCGAAGGCACCTGGGAAGGTATTCCTCAAGGCCACCCTCTTCCCAACCGTGGCCCCAAAAGGAGGTGAGGTTTTCACGGAAAGTCAGCTGCGCCTATGAATGTTGGAAGATAAATTGAATACATAGTATACAAATTTGTTTTCAAAAAACTACGGAGTACAGTCCTAGTATACAATTAGTAGTCCTAAATAGGTCAGGCTTATGCCATGATAACCAACCATCTGTCTGCCCTCACTCTGCAAATTCCAGCCCCTTTAATTGGAATAAAACGACTAATTGAAATGAAATTCAAGATTTTGGAATGAGCTGGTGTAGTTCATAATTACAACAAGGATACCTGAGTGTACACTAGAATTCCATCGACGAATTGTTAGGCTCGATCGGTCATTGTATCAATTTCACACCGCTTTAGATCTAGGAGTCACATCAAATACAGCCTTAGCCCGAGAAAGTATCAGTAAACGAGCGTAGAACCATTGCAATCTCGCGTTAGGGAACGTTTTCTACTTCACGATTGGAAATGTCGTGGTGGCTTGTGTGGCTAGGCCAAATACGGTACGGTACACGGGGGGCTGGACCCATGAATCGGACTGCAACTCCACCAACGATACCTACTTTCAGCTCTCTAAGCTATCTTTGTCCCACTGGCAGCCCTGGAGCGAGTTGGCGGGAAGCCATCGCGATCCACAGCTCTGAGACTGGCTCAACCTCACCAGAGGAGGAGGCTTGATGTCCTGTGGCCCGTATTATAAAGCTTGGTCTTTTTGATACGTCCAAGTTTGGCATAACGGGTGCTCGCGATCCCTGTTTTCACTGCGCTGTGTTAGATCTCCTGCCAGTGGATTTAATTTATTTTTTCTTGACAGCTGCACCAGGCCTCTGTTGGAGAAGAAACTTTGCTCATGATGTTCATTTGTGGCTATTTAGAAGTAAGTGACATGTATCATCAGCGAGCCGTTTGGGGAGACGGCCACTTGAAGGTCCTGAATACGGAACTACACTTCACTCTCACAAAGCATTACTGTACTTAAAACGGGAAGATATTACTTGGCTTGCATCCATGATATTTGCAAATCGTTCTGATTCATTCATTAAGACTACTTCTACATAGAGGAAGCCTGTACGGAGTTTACGGAGTTTACGGAGTAGCGGAAACGGAAGCGATACGAATGGTTTGATATGTGCTACGAAGAGAGGTGTGTGGGAAGGCGAGGACTCGGAGGAAGCTATGTATATGGCTGACTAACAAAACTCTCTTTGGATCTCTTCCGTATTTAAGCTTTCTGCACTTCATTTACTGGTAGGTGACAGTGATAGTGCTTCCATCAACACTCGGGGCAGCCAGGACGTTGCCATTCCCATCAACGAGGGATATGGTGTTGGCACCAGAGGCATCAACTTGATTTCCATTCTTTACAGCAGCGGCATCGGTAAAGGTCACAGTTCCAAAATTGGCAAAGGGGGCGAGAGATTGCTGGCCGGAGGAAGATATGATGGTAAAGTCCTCGACGATCCACTCTGCATTGGTCTCACAGAGGGAGCTGGTGGTCTCGCTTGAAGTGAATTTGTGAGTGACACTCTGTCCGTTAGAGTTGTTGGTGATAGTCGCAGTTCCGGTAGTTTTGCTGGTAGCAACAACACTCACGGAAACAGAGTCTCCGGCGCTGAAGCTAATACCGCTGAAGTCCACTGAGTTGGCTGGAATCCACTCATACCAAGCGTCGAAGCTAACATCGCTGCCTTGGATGCAGAAGTCAACGCCAGTTTGCAGAATGGAAGTTGAGCAAGTGTCGCCGTCAATTCCAACCCAGGCTGTAGCGCAGTACTGGGTACTTTGGTCACCTCCAGATGGAATTTGAGGGGTGGGCACAGTGAAAGTCCCAGAGACTCCAGTGAAACCAGAAGAAACTAAGACTGCGCCAGCCCAGTTGGAGCTCTGCTCAGCATCGTTGCTCTGGCTGGCCTTGGGACCCACGCGCATGTTTGGGCGAGAGACTCCAGCACGGCGAGCGACACGAGCTGCTAGAGGACTAGCAACAGCAGACCCCGCCAAAAAAAGAATGCTTCCTGTCGAGAATTTCATTGTGAATAGCACGGGAGACCTGAGAAGAGTTCTAGAAGAAAGCCTTTGAAGAGAATAGACTGCAATACCGAAATGCTGATAAGAATGAGACGAATTCCAATATACCCAGGGCAGAGATGTTTCTTTTATACTTCAAACGGTCAATAGAGTCCGCATTTCGTGCAAATAAGGCAGAAATAGGAAGGTGTGATTCTCTCATTTTGAAAATTCTGTAAACAGGTACTCTCCCGGCATTGAAAACTAGGAATTGCTTATCCAAGGTTCTAATAGGGCCTATTCTCAAAAACAATATCATAAGCTTCCTTTCTCTTCGTCTACGCCTGTTCAATGTAACTGTGATAAGAGAGGAATCGTGATCGGCAGCACTTTTAGCCAAGCTTGGAATTAGCTCATCGGACCAAAAACCCTATTCTAGTAACGGACTCCTACTCCGTAAACTTGACAGAAATTAACGAGAGGCGGGGTTGTTATAACAATCTTTCTTTGTCACGAGGCAATTTAAGATACCTGCGCCTTATGGTCCAGGGCTTGTCCATAGTAACGACAATACCTTGAATAGATTTATAAGTTTTGGACGGGCCTCATTTACCAATTGAGTTTGGTTCTAGTATACAAGCACTGTTGTTCAGGAGGTACTGTCAATCTGCCTGTGGATTTAGATCCCGGTGCATGGCCTTTGCCAAGAGCTCTTTATACATACTAAGACAGATAATATGTATTTGAGCTTAGAAATCGCCCATGATCCACTTAGACCGGGCTTAGATTAGATCTGGTGCTAGGAACCCATGTCGCACTGGTCCAAAAAACAGCTAGCAAGACCAATCAAGGTGAATTTCAATCAATTTTTTTTTAGTATATAGGACATATACAAAAGAAAACTCCGAAAATCAAATCCTTACCTGAGCCTCCAATCTATTGAAGTCGCAACACTTTGGTGGACATCGGCACCCTTGACATGCACACTCCGCTTACGCGAGAGGATCTGAAAGGAACAACGCTAAGCTTTTCTTTCCCGCGGTTTTAGACCCCGTCAGGGCTGATGTGACATTCTGGAAATCGCGTGCTGGACAGAATTAGATGGCCTTCCGAAGCTCTGCGGGGCTCCGGAAAAGCCCGACGGAGTTCCGCGGCACGCATCTACTGTGGCTGTTTAATCAAGCTTTGGTGCAATGGAGTTCTATCCGCAATAGTTCCCCGCACAAGACAGTGGCACCCCGACAAACTTCAAGCGGTCCTGAATTTGGAATTTGAGAAAAATTACCTGCACCACTCATGAAATTTTCAACACATTGCCCTCAGTTCCAGGAATTATTTCGGTTTCCTACAGCCCAAGAGACGCATCTCGGAAGCTTTCCTAACCACAATATCTGCCATCTTTGTCCTCTAACTACAAGATAGAGGGTAAAAATCGGCGTCTGCAAGAAAAGCATTATATAGTATGTGTATTTTGTGAAGAAAGACTTAAAGCGCTCGTCAACCAATGAGTCTTCTCGTCACTTTATCACACCTCACACTTGCATTAGCGGGCTCGGGTGGATAAAAAGGCGTTTGCAAAAATCCGGTGCAGGTGACCCCTTGGAATCTACGATTATTTTTGCGTAGATTGTAGGGTAGGTCTGGGTGGACTGCCCTGATTTTTGCCGTCGGGCTCAATTCCCTTGTGCTATGATTTTCCCCTCTCGCCCTAGACGCGCTAGGCACCGAGCAATGGCTCCAGAAAGCCACAGGGCCACGATCGGACGATTCAGTTATTGTAAAACAGCTTGAACTCGTTACACTTGATTCTGCGATCTTTGCAGTTTTGGCAGCCGAGGCAAGACTCTTGATGCGATTTTGGAAGGCCTGCTCGCATGTCTACCTCCTTGGGTCTCACGCAAAACGAAAAGAGAAGAATTTGAAAGGAATGATGGAATTAATATTCCTAAAGCGAGAATAGTAGACGAAGCGGTGAAATTAAAAAGGTTGTCTCATTTCCTGAAGCCTCGACAATACGAGTGAGGGAACTCGGGACCTGCCGCTGGAGGATAAATTTGCGAACCTGCTCTCACCACTAATCATCTGAAACTCGTGGCTAAGGCTTTTAGCCGGGAAGGTAAATTCTCGGTCGATTCTCCTTTCTCGTTAATCGTGAGAATTATGAGTGACTCCGGATTGTCGACAACTTGATCTCAAAAGTAATCGAAGAGTCGGGAATCTTCGGCTCCTGGCATCCGGATAAAATTGTAGAAGAAAGAACAGCGTCACAGTCTGAACCTGAAATATGAATGACACGGATGTATGATCTTTTTACTGCTACCTCAATGTGCATGATGGTGGGGGAGTGGGAGAAGTGAAGTATCGTCGATTCAATAATATTTCTGCTCGTGGTTTCTGGTGGATGTGCGGTTATTTGAAGTCAACTCGAAGGACGCTTCGTGGTTGCGGGGTTGACTGCAGCAGATTGTTTCAAGATTCCACACAGGCTCATTGGAAAGTGCATCAATCGTGAGAAGCTTTCGGGGGAGAGCCTTCTGGTTTACTTCATTTTTCAAGCTACGACCATAGTGACAATAATTTATTTGGGAATGGTATTATGTATGCACCTGGGCATTAAACGAAAGTAGAAATTATTTGGAAAAGAAATTCCTCTCGGAAAACATAATCCCCGCAGCCGATCATTCAGACATCGTGCTGTCGTTATCTTCTGAAACCTTGCTTTCCGTATCTTTTTGTTGCTCTTTTGATTTACCGTAGAGCATTTTCATGAAGTCCTCCGACTGTGCGGCATAGTGGCAACGCTGACGGATCGCGGGTCCATATTTGTAAAAGATAAATGGCATCGGCATACAAGCAAGGGCCAGAAAACCAGTCACTGAAGTCGCCCAGTGAATACCGAGGCTCCCATACATATATGTGGTAAAGAGTGGAAATGCTGCACCGAATAGTGAGCGCAACGAAGCATTAGCAGCCAGTACGGATGCTGCATAGATCGTATAAGTGTCAATGAGGTAGTTCAAGATTGGCAGGAATACCATGATCATTCCGTAACCAATCGGGACTCCCGCGGCTATGGAAGCCATCCAATGAATTGAGGGAGAATTCGTCCAGGCAAACCAAAAGAGACCGACAGTGAGCGACACAGCGCCAACAAAAGCAGGAGGTAGTCGCGCTTCGGGCGCCAAAAGGCCATTTGTGGCGAGGGCCTTCTTTTTATAACTGAAATAGATCGGAAAGATTGTGACGGTGGAAAACATTATTCCAACAAGGACGCCGAGAAACGATAGACCGCCGACGCCCTCACTCCAGCCACGTTCCAGCTGATAGACGATCGGCATGGCTGCGAATAAGAGGTACAGACTAGATTGACAGTCAGATTAACTTCACCCTCCAAAGTATTAGTGAATGAAATTGTGTACTTACATCCCGTAGACGATTGAAAGGTAAATCGACAACAAAAGAACGATTGGTTCGCGGAAAAGCAGTACCCAGGGGCGAGAGAGGGCAACCTTGAAAACTTGGCCGATATTCTTCTTGCCTTGCTCAATCTCAAGCTTGCTTCGATAAACCTTGCCGGTCTTTTGTGAAAGACTGTGTGCTCGCTTCTGTAGTAGCACAGGGGCATAGGTCTCTGGTAATAGGAATATCACCGCAATACCAAGAACTCCTGCGAATATCGCAACCGTGTACTCAACCCATCGCCAACCGGCCGATTCAGACAAGAAACCACCCACGATAGGTCCAACTGTTGGTCCAAGGAATGGCGCAGCGCAGAATAGACCACTTGCCAGTCCGCGACTAATGGCGGGGAATGAGTCTGCGATGACACCACCTGCGACCGCAAAAGGTGCAGAACCAAGCGCTCCAGCGAAGAACCGGAGGATGATCAAGGTCTCAATGTTCTGCGAGCCACCCGACCCTGCGGCAAATGCTGTCAAACCGGCCGAACTCGCAATGAGAATGTATCGACGACCATAAATCTCGCTGAGCGGTGCCCAGACGAGAGGACCAACGGCAAACCCGACAACAAAAAGGGATATACCGAGAAGTGCGATCTCCTCGCTGATGCGAAAGTCGGCGACGATTTCATTGACAGACCCTGAGTAGGCAGATGACACCAACGCGATCGCAAATGTGTCAAGGCCGACGAGAAGTGTCATCGCCCATTTGAACACAATGCCGAAATTCATCGGATTTCGAATATCGTTATCAAGCCATGATACCTCGAAAGGGTCCTCCTCGGTTCCAGTTCCTCTATAGTTGTGGTCTGTGATAACTTTTGTGATGCATCCTTGATCGAAAACTAGTCGCCAGAGAGGGATTCGTGTATTCTGAGGGGCCTCGTCGACAGTATTGGCCATGTTTGCTATCCAATCGCTCTGGTTGAGCTCGTCGCTTTGGAGGTGTTAGGAGAGAAACTCTTCCATTCAAGCAATCGCCAAAGGAAGGAAGAAAAAAAGCCCCGACCTGTTAGACCCTCTCTGGGGCGAAAGAAATCAATACAAACCAAGCACGACAGCAATCAGTGGGGCCCATGTTCGAAAGATCTCGGTCATAACATGATCGACATCAATGATCGACATTCAATCGGAGCCGAACCGGCTAGTTTTTGGCCAAGAAACTTCCTCGTTCGCGTGTAAGATTCGTCAATTGAGATCTGAAATTCTTTGAATTGTTCCAATAGAAGCCGTCACGTTAATCTATTCATTCTTGTTTCATTTAAGGACCTTTGAAATTTTGTTGGGCAAGTTTGGACAAAGAAGAGATCTGCTGTGGTTCACTGGCATGCCTGGTTACTGAGTGGAGACCACTATGCAAGGCCGTCCACTTAGCAGAAACTAATCATCGATAATGGATCTTCTTTTATTCGAAAGTTCTGGGCCCACTGCCTTACGATTACCTATCAGTAACTCGATGATCCATTTATCGCTCGGAAGGGAAGTCGATGTTTTACCCTGCCATGTTGTGTGGGGCAGAGCACATTGACTGAACAAAGATATGCCCCTTGCGCTGGAAGTGATGATTGACGCCACTCGCATGTACAACCCATGCGCTTTCAGGGCAATTTGACAGCAAATAATTCGTGAGCTGTACCAACTGACAGATAAATTAATCGATTACTACGAAAGCTTGAAGCTGAACTCGAACTCCTATTCCCACTTGAGGATGAGCTCTTTCTCTCTCCTCATTCTAAGTCGAGGCCTACCGACGGAAGACACACCTATCAATTACACAAAACACCCCAAAGTCCGGGAAGATCCCCGGTTTTTCTTGCTCGCTTTATGAGATTGTCGCGAACAACAATATTCGCAAAAGTCAGGCCATCGCCAGTTGATAATCAATTGACAGTCTTGCATTCATACCCAAGCAAGGGGTCTCGAGCTGGCAGTTGACACCCCAGGCAATGATTGATTGACCACCTCCCAAGCAAACTTGTAGACCGTCTCTCGATAGTCATATTATGTCCGAAGCTACTTGCAACAGCTCACACTAGCACCATTGCACGAGGTTGGCGAGGCCTCGTGCTTCAAGCCGATCCACTATCAGTATTAGTATACCCGCCCAGGCGCCCGTGGTAGATGCGGAGTTGAAAGTGTTCAAGGTTTATGAATCTCCGTCTCAATGATCGAAATGTATTTCATCCACCCACTACGTCGGAGTAATAAATCGTAAACACTATGAGTGCCGCCGTAAAGATAAGCTGTGACCAGGTTTAGAGATTGTAGAACGTATTAAAATGTAGCGGAGAAATCAAAATTAAAGCCGATCTTGAATTTGATCGTGAATCTACAACAGAATACTATTTGATCACGAATAAATTGCCGGAAGTTACAGGACATAGGTCTCAATTGAAGTAACAGTGAGACTAATTTGACCTTTGTGAGCAATTTGTCAAGCAGTTATTTGGCTAGTAAGGAGTGGATAAACAAAAAGATTCAAAATCTCAAAATGGAGAAGGAATGTGGGCTTCGCGTAAATTGGGAATGTCGGTAGATGTTTCAATTTCCATCGGTCCAATGAGATGCATGAAATATGAAACCAAGAGGGAAAGGAGTGTTTGATCAGGCAGGTCATCAGAGTCATGGAGTAGATGAGAAACGGTCAACTAAGCCAGAGAGAATGAAAAGCATGCAGCTCTGGTGTTGATATCACAGTCATTCCCTGCATGGACATTAGGAGACGAAGGGCACTGGAAATTTCCAGGTGCGGTTGAAAAAGCCAATATACTATCAAAGCGCTTCTTGCAGATGGTGCTCGTGAGTGGCGTAAACAGGTCGGTGATCGGCGAAGGGTTTTTGACTTGGTACTTCACATCCAATGTGGGAAGTGAGGGTCCAAATGGGATTTTGACAAGCACATAGCCTGGCGACGGGAGCGGGGCCGGCCTAAGTCGCGAGCGTTAGAACAAAACGTGAAAGGTCTGGGAATGGCAATGCGCTATCGCCTGACTCACACATAAAAAACATTGTTATTCGGGAACCAAAAATCACAGACCCGATCGGTGAGGAGCTTTACATTCGTCCAGGGCGTGATCGGGGATGAAAAGGGTCCTCCGACGCATTGGTCACGTCGGGTGAGATTCTATCATCATCAGCTATTGAAACAATCAATGGGAGAGTGGACTTATCGCTTACAGACGGTATGTCAGGGAGTTGATTCTTTGGCTCCACATCAACTTCGGGGTGGGTTTCAAGAAGCGAAGTATTAGAGGACTGAACGATGGCAAAAGAGTCATCTCCTGTCACCGGTATGAGGGGAAGAGCAGATATATCGGCCTCAGTAAGCGAAGGGACATCCGTAGAAGTAGCACCGGTGGCACTAGTGAAGACACCACTTGCCGTGCTACTGGGGAGGTCGTCTGCAGTAGTAGTTGCAGACTCGGAGACAGTAAACCCTTCAATCGACGAGAATTGAGGCAAAGCCGATGCATTCATGGCCAGGCCAAAGAAAGAAGTGATAGTAACGATTGCACCGAGAAAGCTCTTCATGGCTGCAATGGCTCGGTTTGACTTTGATAGTAGAGGAAATAGTATATAAGAAATGTTTCGCCTTGGAACGAGTGTGTTGTGTAACAGAAGAATATTTGCAAGGGAGAAAGCTGTTTTTTATATGTCTTACTGGACCGCGGGAGACCGTACTGTTGGGCACTGAAGCAAATTGAGCTGGCAGTGGTGAGACAGGAAATAGCTCATGATCTCCAGGGCTATTCAAAATTCCCTGTTGAATCTGAAGTCCGAGAATTCGTAAAATAAACCTTGACGGTCAGCCAATGATTGCTATATTCTGTTTCGAAGCAGGGAAGCTGAGGCCTAGGATGAAACATACTCGCTTAATGTTGTCTGTATTAGACCGAGACTATAGTCGATATTTCGAAAATAATACTTCTCGTATCATAGAGTTTTCCTCTAACGAATAGACGCCGAGTTTCTTTTGAAGTTAAAAACGAGGCATAGAGGCGGCGTAAATTTACGAAGCCGCCACGCATAATATCGATAAGCACACACACATAGAGAAAACGGGTTTTAGTCGCAAGGCGCCCAACTTTGAATGTTTCAGAGAATTGTTAGATGACTAGGTAGCTACTTCAAATATGAACTTGAAGTGTACAATACTACTGGTAAGGCAGATGAGTGGGATGTAGATCGATGCTATATCGTAATACATTCGTCAAATATCTCTTCAAGTAGAATAATGAGGACGTTCAACTCGACAAATTGAAAATAGGGTACTACTTAATCCGAGCGACGGATACAAACAATTAAATTTTCTTGGCAGAATCCAGTTTAATGCGTTCATTTTCTAAAGATTACAGTTGGGTCATCTCTAGAATCCAAAGGCGTAAATGCCCCATGTCGTCAAATTGAGGCATTTGACAATACAGCACACATTACTAGGGGATAAATACGCTCGAATGATATAGATACGTCTCTAGTGGTCTCAAAAATCAACTTCAACTCCATCAGAACGATCCTTTTGACGTGGCCGTGCAGGAAGTGTGTCGTTGATGCGACTATAGGCTTTTCTGTCAATTGCTTTGTACACATGTCTGATTCTATTTTTAAATCACCGATCGCGTTTAATTTTGTCAGCCGTCTGCGGAAGAATTGTTGAAGATAAAGTTCAATCCTCGAACGAACTGAGAGTAAACAGCCATGCTTATTGGCCGCCTCTTTAATATGAAATCGACACTGTTGCGGCTGATTATGATCTAGGCCCAGTTCCTCCAAGCCTCACGCGGGCGCCTAGCATAGTATTACTAGTATGCGTATGCTTTAGTCTGCCGCCTCGATCTCTGCATACGCCGTATAGATATATCCAACTTCCAAGGTTAGCTTAGCAGATATTGAATAAGGTAGTATTACTACTACTGCAATAAAAGAGTAGTTGAAAGCATCTCAGCTGGGCATCGGAGGCACAATACTAAATATGTTGATATATGAATTCAAACATACCTAGAGGAGCTGAAACAAAGTTTCAATGAATATTAAAGGTCTTCCAAGGTTCCCATGCTTGGCGATGGGCGTATCGGGCAGTGTCCTGTGAAACATGCAGGGCTGAGTAACTACCTTGAAAACCCTAGAGGAACACTACTCGTAATCAGAGTTTCTGTGATTCATTTTGAAATATTCTGGCTTCAATTTGAAGAAGCAATATAGAATCGTAGGCAATTTGCGAAGCTTCATTGAAGAGAAATGAAATGGGATGTGGGTTCAAGTATGATCGATGGCGGCGGATGAGGTTCACATCATGGCAAAGGCTAGGGCCACGGATACGGCCGGCCTGCACACACATGCAGGTAAGACAATGATTGGGAAAATCGCGGGATATTATTCACCTTATCAAGTTCTCTCTACCCAAGCGATATTTCCGACCTATCAGACGGTTTAAGCGACAACTTGAATCTCACCGCCAGTATTACGAGTATCCTTGTGTTGGATCCTATTGAGTAGCATGTTCCAAAATCCGAGTCGAGATTCTACTTATTCAACTATATCCACACCAGCAAAGAATTTGTTTGCTGACCACGTGTCAGAAAAAAGCGGGAGAACCAAGATCCGGCGCCTTGGGAATTTTTGGTATCCAATCTCGCTTCCTAGAAAGCATAGAATGTTATGTTTTCACGGCCCTTTGTCTCGCCCACCTTGCCTCTTCAGGCACCAAAGCAAAACGAACTGCCCAAGTAAACTCCTGTTTGAATCAAGAACACCGGACAACGAGTAAGTGACAACAATAAAAAAGGATCGGATACGAACTCGAAGGCTAACTAACTATAGTTATCACAAATTGTATTAGGGCCTCAGGCGTCAGTATGATGAGTCATCCTTGGTCTGCTCTGTGGTTTCATTCGATACTCAAAAGAATGATCTTGACGTCATACAATTGGGCTTGTGGTTTAGTGGTATAATACTCCCTTAGCATGGGAGTGGTCCGGGGTTCGATTCCCCGCGAGTCCATTTTTTGCCTGTTTATTTCTAGTTGAATCCTGAGGTTTGTTATTTTTTTCTTCTGCCTCCTCGCGGGGTGGGGCCGGGACCCGTCCGCTCCGGCGGCGCGGGCTCCCGGGCAGTGCCTGACGAACGTTGGGTGAGGCTCCGCCGCGCCTAGTTGTCAACTGCACGTTAATCATTACTACTACCACCACCGACCCTTCACCACCTTCCGCGATTCTGTCTCTTTTCGTTTCTCTCATCCTGGCGTTTCTTCCTCTCTAGTAGGGTATGATCCCGGCTTGAGAGCAGTGATTTTCTTCCTTTCTGTGCCCCGAAGGATGTATCAAGTCCTTTTGGAACCCGGTTTCCCATCGTCTCTCAGTTTAATTCTGACCGTGATAGTTGCCCTTGTCACCTCCAAGGCTTCATTTTATCGCATTGCTCTGTGCCGAAAATTTATCTCGCCGCATTCTGAACCCTCATCTCCGTCTCGCCTTACCACCGAGAGTGACCTTGCTTTGTCTAGCGACATCGAGGCCCCCCTTCCTGATAGTGCAAGCGTTCGCTGTGGCGTTTGAGACTTGCAAAACTCTCGATCCTTTTCTCGGCGTGGACCTTGAAACCCCTCGTTCGTTTGTGTCAAATTTACATTTGCTAAGAGTCCGAACGCGTCTTACGAGATTGAATGGCGAAGGCGCTGAGCAGCAATACAAGCCCAAGCCGATGGCTTGGCAGTAGATTAACGCCGAGTGGGATAACGACGATGACAATGAAGATACAGACCCGATCGATCAAGCTACACACCTGCCCGAGGGTGCAATCACGCTGCCAGATATCGGCAAAACACTCACCAGAGAGGCAGACTGGTTGGACTGGGAAAGGAAGGTTACAGGTATCCTCGCAAGCATGTCGCTTATTGCCCTTATTGAAAGGAGTATCCTACGCCCCCGGAAAGTCCTCGGTGATGCTATGGCTAGGAAGTGGCGCGTGACTAGTATTATGGTTGGGGCTTGGTTGCTTAGTGGTGTTTCATCCTCTCTTTATAAGAAGATCAAGCTGGACCGCGCCAATGTCAAGTTTGCCGACGATGTTTGGGATAAATTGATGTTTGAGTGCGAATTCACCAAGGTTCACTGTGACATGAGAACGTGCAAAGCGTTCCTCCAGATCACAGCGTCTGATTATAACAATATCGAAGCCTACACTACTGCCTATCTGGCGGGATGTCTCAAGATGAAAGAAGCTGGATACAATCTTTCCTCTTTCGAATTGATGGCATGGTTCATACTGGGCGTGGAGACGGTTGCTCCTTTGGTTGCGACCCGAGTGCTCAATAGACTGGATGCTGAAGGACCCGGGGCAAAGTTTTTCACACAGAAGCACTTTTATGAGGTCGTTCACGAAGTTTGAATGGCCACCGCGAGCATAACAAAGGGGTTCAAAGCACCTGGGCTCGATGAAGCACGTTCTCATACATCACTCACTAAATATAGGACATCACCGCAAAAAGAAACCACTGCCTATCGAACGCCTTGTCAACCACCCTCCCAATGATATCTCCGATCAGGACCATTGCAAAACACAACGTGCTTTGGCTTGAAAAGATAGGACTTGCGCACATTGCTCGAAATTCCACAATACTGACGAATGACATTGCTTCGTCCAGATATCCGACCGAAAGCTGGCGCGCTCCGAAAAATATTTGGTTGTACAAAAGAAATGAAAACATGAGCAATTCCGTTAGCAGAAAGCCTGCTGCTACATCTGACACCTTTTATTTACCCTTCGTAGGTACGTCCATTCAGATGGGGCCAAGGCCGAAACCAATGGAAGACCGGTACGCCAATTACTTCGACAAGCACTTCGCCCCTCCGTTGTCGAGATGATCGCTTCCCGGCCGGTATGGCCGGTATGTCAAACTGACAACAGGAAATGAATGGAATAAGTGTTGATTATGATTGCAAAGCTCACGAAGAAAAAGATGGTCACGACTATCACGACAATTAATCACGACAATTAATCACGACAATTAAGGACAATGGAGGAGGATGAAATGGTGTGGAATTCGGTGTTCTTTTTTTTGTACGACCCTGGAGTAGCATGATGCTGTCCGTTTCAACTTTAATGTACCCTCTGAGAGACCAGATTTCCTTTATTCATGGAGGTCAGCAACTTCGAGAGATCGGGTTTGCGTGGGGTGGAGACGAAGATGCCTTGATCTGCCAGAATGATATGGCATTGTATTCATTGCTTTGTTAGTTACAGTCTGCGGGGGAGTTGTCAGTGGCTGCAAGCGCAAGTCACCTTGCTGAGTGTTCCCTCCCTCACTCACTGTTTTGTTCCCAATAGCCCCATGCAGTCATCCCATACTCACCTCCTAACTACATTCCTCTCCTTTCGTTTCCTTCATGGTAGTATCAAGCGCTCCCTGCTAATTATGAGAAACACTCGCCACCGAAATAAAGACATAATCTATACATCAACGCCATTTCCCCCAGCAAATACGGCCGAAAAGAGATAGAGACTCTCTCCTGGAGGTCCCTACTGGTAGTAGGTAGTGGTATTTTTGTGGGAAGAGCGAATATAATCTAGAATAGTCGCATGGTATTCTTAGCTGTCAGCCACCCAAGATTATCCCGCCCGCCCGGCGATTCTTTCTGGAACAGGCTTATTTATCATGATCCTAAAGATGGCTGTTATAGTGTGAATAGAGACTTAAAATATTAAAGTTTCAAAGTTCTTGGTCCCACGTATTCAAATACGAGATGGGCGTTCGCGGGTTTTGACCATCTCTGGTTTAGCGTGTAGTTACTTTCAGTGAGCCCCACCTTGTCGGCCACCTTGAGGCAGACTCAATATAAGAGAGTGACTGCACATCATCCCCAAATCAATTTCATTAACACCTTCTCGCGGTCAAAATTTGCGTAAAGGGTATTCCGCCCTTTTATTGTTGATCGAGACCCCTCTACATTGTGAGAATACACATAAATCGGCCATGGAATCCGATCCTTCCACGCCAGATCTTCCAGTCATATCTCCATTTGAAAAAGGATCGTTCTACGAACTTGTGTCAGACGGAAAACTGCGCGCCTATGAAATCAAGAGCTTTGGTCCTAATACCGCCACTATATATTACATCGAATCCAACGAGACCCTGTCAAAGAGCAAGTTCGACCTCCTGATCCACAAAGGAGACTCTAAGGGTGGAGAGGTTCTCGGTGTCGCAAAAAGACACATGCGTGGTTTCACTATCGGACTCGGCGACCCAGCCGGAGAGATTGAGGGAAAGCAAATTATTTGGGAGAAATTGGAGCGACCGGAGAAGTATAGCCACAAGGTATACCATTTCGATTTTGGAAAAGGGGAACAGAGGTCGACATACACATTTCGCAAAGCAACCGGCAGGACGGGGAGGCTGAAGAGCATGGAACTTCGTGTTGGAGGGGTTGATGAGGAGGATGGGAAACTAGTCGCGAAGTGGGTAGGAAGCAGCCGTTGGAATATGAAGAATGGCAGCTTGTTTGTTGCAGATACAGTGAAGAGGGAGCAAGACTCAAAGCAAAATGCATTGCGAGAGGGAGATGCCAATGATTTGGAGATGATTGTCTATTTGACTACATTTGCAATTATTGAGAGTCAGGTCAGGAGGAGCAAGGGTTGATCCTAGCGGGAAGACAGCGACAAAACATATACACCCGGCTGCTTTATGGGCATCTCACCGTTTCATTAGATTTTTGTACCTATACAATTTTCATTGCTCGAAATATAGAAAGTACCCGAGATTCAAATCCGACACGCTAATTTAATTGATCTTGCATTATTGCTTTAATATCAAATGAATTTCTTGAAGAGTCTTACTATTTGATGTTCTGGTACATACGACCATAGGGTGTGGAGAACAGGGCTTCCCGTCCGCTCAGCCGTACTTAAGCCACACGCCGGCAGGTTAGTAGTATGGTGGGTGACCACATGCGAATCCCTGCTGTTGTATGTTTTTGTTTACCCGTCTTCTTTTTGATTCGTTGGGGAAAGTACCTTTGCCGCCTAGCTGTGGCTTCCGTCTCTGGACCGAGCTCTAAACATCTGGCCTGCTTCATCCCCCACAAGGAGGCGAGGAGGCGGGGTGAGGCGAATCTTGACGGCCCCCAAACCTTTAAGAAGCGGGGTTCGCCATGGCGGAAGCAACGAAAGATTGTAGCTCTATTCAAATTATATGTTCAGTTGGAATAGTTACACTCAATCTCTTATAGTTCAAACTTGTAGCTCAAAACATCAGCAAACTTCGTGACGCATTGTAGTGAACCCCGGCGCCTCTTGAATATCCTTGTCTGACTGCAGCTCGCTTGGATGATGATAATCCAACTCAGTCAGCTGAAGTGGCTTCGTTGCGGCTTCAGATGCCAGCGCAATGATATATTGATCTTTGGATTCTGTGTGAGAATTTACGCTTTGCTTTCGACGAAAGATGATTAGCCAAGCAAAGAGCCCTATCAATGGTGGTGAAACACGCCCGGGCGTTAGTTAACGTAACCTGTAAGTGAGTGGAACACCCACCCGCGATCGCGTCCACCACGCGCACCCTACCATCTTCAACCATCCACTATGCCACCAAAATGCACTACTTCTGGCCAAAATCTGCCAATAATGATGGCATGATCCTAATTGCCATACAATATTTGAAAAAAAAAAAGAAAAAAACAATAAATTACCGTCTCTTTGTGAAGCAGCACGCCGATTCGATATCCTGATTAAACCGCTATGGCGTGCCCAGGGCTGGTTGTGTGCGATATGCTGGCGGACGTGTAGTTTGCGCGTTATAACTATCAGGAGTAAGAAGTGTTGGTGCTAGTTTGGATATAGGGGTCTGCCAGTGGCGACATATTTGGCGGCGAGGCCGGACTTCGTGGTGGATTTGTTGGCGGAGATGGTGGGGATTGTTAATTAAGGAGTTAACTTCATGTATTGGGTCGCATTTTGGGGACAGTTTGCAGGGTATGGTGGGTAGAATACAGGGTACTTGCGTTTTTACTTAGTCGGCTTTGGCTATTTGTTACATACCCGTATTCTTTGTTCAAAGCTTTGTTATAGAGGCCTCGACGCGCGGCTGGTCTCAGGCCGAGCGCGGATCGCCTTCGCGGGCCGATAACCTTGTCGTTCTTGAGCCGCGTTTCCCTGTCAGTGCTCTGTTCGCCGACAATAGATGTGGAACGACCTTCAGGGCACGATAGTGAAGATGGCCCAGTGAACAAGAGCAAAAACCATTCAATCTATCCCTCATCTGCATTATAGCATCTCGTCAAATATTCCCCTGACCAGAACCTACAAAGGCGACTTTTGCATGTCAGTTCCGGCCCTTCAGGAGATGGGATGAAGGGGCGCCCCGCTAAAGGCAAGCCGCCTACGACAAAGTCGTGGGCTCTAGGTCATTATGAAAATACATTATTTCGTATCCATTGTATATTTTTGTTTCTGCATTTAATGCTTACTATTGTGATTTATTTCAATGCAGGCCGGATCCTGGATAGCTCAAAGTTATTCTAGCTTTCTTTGTTCGGTTAGATTGTTGGAATATTATTAAATTTCGGGAACTGCTCGACTAGACTACTAGCAATCTATGGGAATGGCTGTGACAACCATTTGTTCACTACTAACTCCATCTGGGCCGCCACGGACTCTACTATACCCGGTTCCAAAATCGTGTCATGAAAAGCCCCGTCGGCTGTCTCGAAATCAACGTTCTTTGCTCCGACCAGTTCTTCCCAGCCACCCGAATCAAATGTTTCACGTGGTAAGCGGAGCCACCCTTGATCTGTTCTCAATTGTGTATGCGGCCCGTATTTTTTTAAGATCTCATCTGCTTCAAAGATGACATTCGGAAGTCGATCGTGGTCGCCATGGGCAGCCCAGATAACGAATATCCGTACCGGTTTCGCATTTACGAGAGAACTCATTGGACGAGGTGAATACCTCATCTTTGCACAAAACGACGAGACACTATGGCGTTTGCGATAGCCAGGTATCTCCATATCAGGTTGGCCTTCGTGATGGATCGGAGGGTAAAAGCCCATAATTTTGAACAATTCGACACATGGTTCGGGAATCTTGGTCGTGAGTGGGCGGCTAGCACCCATGTCAAGATTAATAACACCGAGAATATCTTTTCCTTGTTGACTCAGTTGGAATGCCACTTCGTAGGCGAGGATTGCTCCCATCGACCAACCACCAAGGATATAAGGTCCGTGTGCCTGAAGACTAAGTATCGTTCTCGCATAAATTGCGGCAGCTTCTTCCACCGACCATGTACTCTCTGACTTGGTCATGAAAAATGGTGACCCCAAAGAATACACTGCTATGTCGTTGGAGAATTTCGGAAGTGAGTTGTATGAAAATGCATATCCAGACCCTGGCGGGAGAAGAAATAGGGCAGGACAGCCTGGCTTTGGGGTGCCTTGAAGTAGAGCCGAGAAACATAGTTCGGGAGGCTCCTCTGTCATGGGTACACTGAAATTGAGAAGCTCCATTGGGTCTGAGATTGTGCTTAGGTGGTCGCTCAGTGTACCGACTCTCATTTGCGTGAAGAAAAGAGACGATGGAAGCGAGACACCTGTCTCCTTTTGCACTTGGTGGTTGATTGTGATTGATGTGATCGAATCAACCCCTAAATCCATTATGCGTGTTGTGTCATCGATTGCCATTCCTTTGTGTTGCTCGATTGCAGATAGTAGAGAGGCCACAATTTGTGATCCCAAGCTTCCTTCGTTGGTTCTTCGGTCGTGGTCAAGATTTTGAGAATTGCTGACGTGTAAACGCTGCTTGAAGACTAGCTCCTCAAGTCGCTTCTTCTGAATCTTTCCACTCATTGTTCGAGGAAAGGACTTTAGCCCTAAAGATTGCAGTGGTATAACTTCTGTTGGAACATATAGAGGCCCCATTCTTTCCCGAATCGTCGCTTTGAGTTGATATGCGGTGTTTGCGTCAACCTCACAGTTAATGACCACAACAGGAACCTCTCCAGCAATTTCATCTGGAGATCTCACAACCTGGGGCTCTAGAGCATAGAACTCAAGATCTTGGCATAAGACTGCTTCAATGGCTGACGGCTCGATATTTTCGCCGGCCCGTATGATTGTCTCTTTGAACCTTCCGACTAGGTAAAGCTGTCCATCATCCCCCATAAATGCCTTATCGCCAGTGCGAAACCACGTTTCCCCATTGTCCCCGATGTAAAACTGGTCATCATCAGGTAAGCTAAGGTATCCTGCAATCAGCGAGGGTCCGCAGAAATGCATCTGTCCCGCAGTTCCAGCTGGGACGGGCAATTTGCTGCCCTGAGCACATATTCGGATTTTCGCACCCGGAAATGGCTTCCCTAACAGAATATGTCCTGGAACGATAAGGTCGGAAACATTCCGTGCAATATTTGTACTGGCAAGTGTGCCTTCTGTCATGCCATATTGATTCTGGACTCCTGAAGCACCAAGATCTTCAAGACAGATTCTGACCGTCTCTTCACTGGGCGGAGCACCGGCGAGAATGACCCGACGCAATGAGGTGAGCTTTTTCTCGGGCATTCGTTGGGATAGGCTCAGAGCAAGTACCATTGTCGGAACTAGAGCAGTATATTGGCACTGTTCTTTGTGAATGGTCTCAGTCATCCTCTCGGGATTAAATCCTGATCCGGAAAATACAACCGTAATAGCATTTAAAAGGCAAGCCATGAGACATTGATGACCAAAAGCATGATTATTTGGCAAAGCGAGCGCAAACTTTTCGCCGGGTGACATTGCTTGATCACCTTGCTGCCAGCCAATTGCGACTGCGAGTGGAGAGGCGGAGGGTTCAAGAAAGCATCCCTTTGGAAGAGAAGTAGTACCACTGGTGAAGAAAAGCGATCGCTCCTGTGGCTTCAATGTGTTGATGATATGATGATCATCCTGACAATCCTCATTTGGCATTTGCATCAGGTCTTCAAATGATATCCAGCCAGTTCCAGAACCCTTGAAGTCGACAAGAATCTTGATGCAATTCAGGCCAGCTGTCAACTCCTCGATAGATGAACACAAATCGCCAGTGCCAGCAATTATTGCTATTTTTCTTGGCGAAGAGCCTGAGGCCGATATTGAAGTATTGAGCATGTGCCGAATCTCCCGGTCATAGGACAGGTTCTTAGGGTTGATTGGAACGTGAATGAGGCCAATGCGAAAAGCCGCCCATGTCGAAATCACGGACTCAGCACTGTTCCCTGCGAATGTGAAGATTATATCGCCTTCTTCAAAACCTTCGCGTCTGAGGCTATTCGAGAATATTTTGATGGCTCTCTCAACGTCGCCATGAGTCCATCTGAGATATGCATCCTTGTCTTCTCCCTTTTTAATGGACGAATTTGAGATACCGTACAAATCAGATGCCTGATGAGTGCAAATTAGAGCAAGTGCACTTTCGTACTTGTGGACATTTCGAAGCCACAGTTCATTGATTGTCAGATCATTTTTCGGAAGAGGAGAGCCAGTTAACTCGCTGGGCTGTATCATTTTAACACAATATAGTGAAATTCCCCGAGTTCAGAGCGACGAGGAGAAGCAGCAACGGAAATATGGCTTAGTAGTGAGGAAGCCGGAAGCCGGAACGCAACAGCATGTATTAAAGTATTGCGTTTCTTATGTCGAGGCTGGTTCGCCGTCATTCCCAATCAACCCCGTGCACGATGCCCTCGGACTAGTTAGTTCTAGTGGTTGCTCAAACTACGGAGTGGTGGCTTAAAAGTCCACATTACCACGGTAATTCCCGTCTTCCCCTTAAAGCTGCCGAGATCTGAACCTTGGAAGTGGAGAGTTAGGCACGCCACTTCTTCGTCAGGCCCACTTTTGATTTCGAAATCGAGATCGATCGGATCGTACCAAGATCTGTACGGAATAGGGTAGGAGGCGAAAGAGGTGACGAGTAGCCCCGGGAAGAACAACATTATTAACCTGATCTTCTCGTACTATTATAACTTCAAGTCTTGCTCGTCGTTCAATCAGTTCAAGTGTTTTACCACTGGCAACCAAGGTGCCAAGTTGTTCGAAAAATCCGCAATGCGCGAAAATTTTCCTCAGTCTGCCGCCGAGCTGAACTGTGGATACCTTCATAGAGACCCACGTGGACCCTATACGTTCCCCTTTGGCAGCACTGGTAGCTACCCACTATTTACAGTAGCCGTATTGGTCCTTAGTGTAATCTGCTGTATTGAAACCCGAAAATCTACTCACTAGACCATATTTGAGTTGAAAATCTTATATTTAACCTGCAAGTTATAACCTTGGAAGTAGAACGGTGGGTAACAAATTTCTATGGTGAAGGGAGGAAGAATATTGCTTGTGTTAGAGAATAGGTTTAGGGCTTATGGACTGAATAAAGAAATTAATTACCAGACAAAAAGGCAGTTCATTATGCACTTCAACATCCCAAGTCGCGTAAAATACCGGATACTGAAGCATTTCATGCATGCGATCAAAACAGCTCAATGAAGAGCTGTCGGATCTTCTCAGAATCCATATCCTTCAGTTTGGAAAGCTCAAATCGTTTCATCGCAACATATTGGTCCAAGATAGGACCCCCCTAGCACATCAGCAAGTCCAAATTCATCTTGCTCCAGAATTGATATTGCTTCTTCTACATTCTTCGGTAGAGGCTCTCCGGGAGAGACATCTTTGTTCGCGGGGTCCCTTATGTCAGGCCATAGCAAAGGCTCATTCCCAGCCAATCCGCAGAGACCAGCACCTATAATGAAGCCCAGAGTGAGATACATATTGCTCATTGCGTCGACATTGCGGATTTCCCAGCGACTGGGCTCAATCTTTCGGACTGGCGATTGTCGCGCTTCGGTACCCCAGCAGACGGTATTGCAACCGCCGACAAATGGTAAAAGTCGTTCGTAAGAAATGTCTTGCGATAGACAAAAGCTGCAAAGCGCGGGTAGACGCTTTAGAATTCCGGCAAGAAAATGTTCCTCCAAATCAGGGCGAGCGGGCTGCAATGACAGGTGGGTATGCTGTCCAGTAGCCAGGGACTCTGAAGTGACCGGTTTGGGCATCATGGTCACACTGTATCCATTCTGAGCAAAGACGTCCTTCAGGTAGCTATGCACAAGAATGAGTTGATCTACCGCCTCGACCGGTGGTTTTGGCCCCAAGGCGAACTCATATTGTCCTCGTTGACCCTCCGTATGAATGGCTTGAATGTCAACACCAAGGGCTTCGAGTTTCATGGCGCATTCTTCCACGTGTTGATAGACTGGGTCCCTTAGACCAGAAATAGCAAAAAGACCCCAGCCGTCACTGCAACGATCGATCGATCCAGTTGCCTGGTTAGACTTCATCACGACGAACTCCACCTCGAAGCCCACAAGGAAGTCTAGCCCCCAACTTTCGCGAGCCTGTCGCAAGACTTTCTTAAGGACATATCTTGGACAGAGATCTTGGCTGGGTGCGACACCTGGGACTGTATAGTCCAAAGCGCACATCACTTGTACACTTCTAGTGTTGATGGTGGGGTGGAGGGTCGACCAGTCTGGAGCTAGCCAATACTGTCCGTCGAGGGGGGTGAAAGGAGCCAGATTATTTGTGACAGAACAGCAGATCGCGAGCCCAGTTGCTTTGAGAGGCCCTCCCTTAGCTAGATGGGCAATGACTGTATCTATCAGCATGACTCGCCCCCGAAGGACACCCGAGTAGTCTTGCCACTGAAAGCGAATGAATCGAACATCAGGATGTTTCCTCTTATATTCATTGAGGATTGCTGTCGAATCAGGTCCGAAACCAGATGGTAGATTGAGTTGCATGATGCTGGCAAGGTAATTTGGATTCAAAGCTTCCCTAGATGCAGGAAGATGAAGTGTGCATGGCGTGTAAGAATTTCTATTGGCTTTTATTTGTCTATAATTATTTTTGTTTGGTGGGACCTCGCGCACCGATTACATTGTCCTTTGTATTCAAGACGAAAAGGAACAAAACACCCCGATGGTATATCCACAGTGGCTGTAACTAAAGCGGGTCTATTCCCGCTATAGGCCGCGGTAGTGCCCTGGTGGGTACAAAATGTACCCGAGAGATTTCTGCAAAATACCCAGGCAGACTGCAGATCCCGAAAGCCCCATGAACTATTGTCTTGGCTAATTTGTCAGCGTCTCGATAACTTTCCCCCAACTTTGATTTCAAAACCGCAGTGCGTGCAAAGAGAATTCGATCTGTGATAATTTTACAATTCTGTTTTTTTTTCTCTAAGATTGGGATCCTGGCTTCAACATGGCCCAAGAACAAGAGCCGCTGCTAGGGAGTAAAAAGCCCCATCAGAACCGAGTGGATATCACAAAACTCTTGGCTGGTTTGGTTGGTATGTAAAAAAGAATATGTTAACTCGCACGATGGCCAATTACTCATTTGACTTACTTATTTTGTCAAAGGTGTTTTCCTAGCCAGTGCCGATAAATCAATTCTTTTAGCAACACAAGGAGAGATTGCTTCATCGCTACAGTCCCCTTCTAGTGCACCACTGCTGCTAGTCTCATATAATCTGGGATTTTGTATTGCATTGCCTGTGGTACTGTTTTTTCGAGCCATGTATCCACCAAAATGACTTTAACTAATCAATTTCCCCAGTATGGATTCTTGAGCGACATATACGGTTGTCGATGGTTCCTGCTCTCAGCCTACGCTTTATTCTCCGTCGGGTGCCTTATATCGTAAGTGACAATGGTTCTTTTCCAAGGTTGATTGACACTGTATTTTGACAATTATATCTCTTAAACAGTGGGGTTGTCACATCACTTTGGCCATTCGTACTTGGTCGTTTTGTGACGGGGATTGGGGGTGCGGGCATGACTGATCTGCTGTCGGTTTTGATTAACGGTACCCATGACGTAATCTCACTGCTATTCACGAAAAAAGTACTAATTGTTATTATCAGAAGTTTTCGAAATCACCGAAGTGGCATCGGTGCGAAGCTATGTCATTGCTGCTGGTATTCTAGGGCAAGCATGCGGCGGCCCATTGGGCGGTCTCGTCACTGATATGGTAGGCTGGAGATGGTGAGTATAGTATTCCAGAACATAATTTTTCTTTGCTAAAGAATTGACTGACCTCCCTTCAAGGTCCTTGGTAGGCCAAGCTCCTATTGGCTTATTGTGCTTGGGTTTTGCTTATTTACAACTTCCCATTTCGATGAGAATTCTCGATCTCAAATCACCAATGAGCTTATGGAACTTCGATTGGTGTGGAATAGTCGCCTTTTTCTTGGCGATTACATCTTTCATCCTGGGTACCACTGATGGTAGCACATTTTTGTTCTCCTCGGGAAAGCCAGCAATGCTCATTGCTTCGTGTTTCTTTTTTGTTACCTTCGTAGGTATCGAGAAATTTGGTGCCAGGAACCCGATTATCCCTCCTTCTGTTGTTGCTTCTCCTGGTCTCGGAAACATCTTTTTTCGGACAAGTGGTCTATTTTGCAAGCATCAGCACGGTAAGCCTTATAATTCCTTCTTCGGGTTCCAGGGATGAGAGATCTAACATATGGACTATTGAATTCAGATCCTGAACAACTTGCCAGGATACTTATCTAAGATCAACCATCTTTCGAATTCATCAATTGCCCTACAGATTGGAATATCTGGTCTTGGCTTAATCCTTGGTTCTATAATTGCTGGAAAAATAATGCGCAAGTGAGTTCCATGATTCCCTCCGCGGAAGGTATTTCCTCTAATCATCATAGGACCGTGAAATATCGACATTTGTCTCTCATTGCGATACTACTTAGCTTTTCAGCCCAGTCAGTTATGATTGTGCGATGGCGAAACGGAATCCAAGGTTTAGAGATGCATTACTGTTTTCCTTGGGCCATGGGAAGCGGAATGCTCCTATCGGCACAATTCATTGCTCTAAGCATTTGGTCGCCCCAGGAGCAAATGGCGAGTGCCACCGCAGTTTATTATCTTTCTCAGCAGATTGGATTGATTATCGGGACTAGTGTCAGTACCGCAGCTCTACAACGGCTCTTTGGGTATCGCCTGGAGATGAATTTGGTTGATATTGTTGCGCCCGAGAAAACCAAGGTAGGACTCCCTTCGCCTTCTTCTGATTCGCTCTTCGATACTCATTCGGAAATACCCAGGTAATTGCTAAGCTTCTCGATGACTTTGGTTTCATTTCAAAGCTCTCTGAGACTCTTCGGGTGGCGGTGGAAATCAGCTTTATCGAGGCATATCGATTAATCCCCGGTGAGTCGAAGCTATATCATTTTTCTATGAAGAGGTTAATTTCTAACAAAACCAAGCTCTTTCCATCGTACTCACTATTATTCTTGCGACTTTGGTCTCCTTTTCGAAGGAAAAGTCCAATATTTAGACTCGTGGACACAAAAATCCTTCTCAGCCTGAGGGCAATGGCAAACTGAAGAGGGTCGCTCCCGATAATGCATTATGAGATATGTAGTGGAAGATTGAAAGCAAAAAATGATGCATGTATGCAAATAATATCAAGGACCTCGGGAAAAAGGGAGTGTAGGTAGCCAGGAAGCCAAGATATGAAAACCCTCCAGTCAGTGGATGCGTGGCTCGGAGTCCCCGGGGCTCCATACCTACCTCAACAATATGTCTAGAAAATTAAATTTCAAAACAGCCCTGGGGTGCATTCAAGTTATTGTCGAGTAAATACCTAGGTACATCATGCGTACTAGTACTAGGTATATTCTGGGAGTACCTGGGCTCCAACCCTGCTGGAGGGCTCATCCCCACTTCCGTGCCCAGGTGGCAGAAATACATAGTTTCCAAGGTTCGTCGTGAGGTTTGATTTTTTCAATGATGACCAATAATCCCTAGAAAACCACTAACAAACATTGGAAGAACACGTGCCATTAAGTCAGACAAATCACTATGTGGCAATATTCGGCATGCTCAGCAAAAAGTCAAGGGAGTCCAGCTCAAGACCAAGAGAGATACTTTCATCATTTGAAGGAAATGGCGCAATACTGGGATCAAATGGTCTGGTCCACCATTCGTCCGGAGATGCTCCAATGTCGAAAAAGCCGTGAGCTCGATTCTCTCTCTCAGGAATGGGACCGTCATGATATGATTTCGGGGATGATAGCATACTTGAAGTATCCCTCTGCGCAGCATTCGGGGGGGTTCTGAGAAAAAGATGGATGAGATGGCGGTGCAAACTGGGCGCAAAATCCAGCGACATGATTCTCTATGAGGGTGGCGTATCGAAGAGAAAAATCCATATCATCAATTCCAGATAGCTTCAATGCCGAAATGCAGCGATCCAAGGTGGTAAGTGATTTCTGGAGGTCGACATTCCGGCCACCAAGGCTGATCGCCTTCAAAAGAAAGATTGACGCCGAGGTAATGCATATCAGTGTCCGCAAAGGTGCATACCGGAGTTGTCTTTCATGATGCATTATAGTCGCAATCTCCAAAACTTTGCCACTGTCGGAAATAACGTCGTGAATAAATTTCTCATCTTGAGGGAGTATGCATGGCCCGATGCCTTCTGGGCCAAGATACCCAAATCGCCCAACTCCTTGTGCAAGTACTCGCTCAACTACAGCTTGAATGGAGAGAGCGCTGGTATAGGCTTTGAGATGGTGATATTCAATAAGAAGCAAAGAGCTCAGGGCGTCGGGGATAGCTATTGTAGATAGGTTAGCCATGAGCTTTTGGGACGCCCGCTCTCGTACACCTAGTAAACCTGCCTGGCGATTTTAAAGCAAATTGATCAAGCCAAGTAACCAACGAGGGTGCAAAATGCTGGAGTAGAATGCTGTAGTTTCCAGACATCAGCTGGCTTTTGACATATTGCGCAGATTGGAAGAACATTGCTGATGCTGTTTTTATGAGGCGAGTAAGCCCCACCCAAAGCTCCAAGTATGTTTCGAGTTGTGTGGACTGCTCAGCCGAGTGAACGTCCTGGGCCGATGCATAAGCCGGTGCGAACGATATAGTCTCTGGTAGTAGAGAGGAACAGCCCATTCGACACGCTATCTGAGTGACATATACGTATAACAGCGTTTTGGATCTGTTCATACGCAAAGTTTCCCTTGGATTTGGCGGAGTACTCGAACCAGGGAGCCCATCGGCAAAAATGCCGAGTTCATATGCTAGATTTACTGCCGCGCCAAGAAGCATCCATGACATGCGCTCTGATCGCTTTGCGGGTTCGAAAACGTCCTCCCGCCATCTTATCAGCGGTGGGTTAGTATCAGTCTGCAGCCTGTTCTGGCGGTCATAGCCAGGTGAAATGAGTTCTCCATCCCACCCATTTGTTTCAGGGGGAAAATGGACAGATCGTGGATGCCAATCAGATATAAGCATTAAGCTTTCAATTGTTCCAACAACTCGTGTTTTTGCGGTTGAATGTTTTTCTTGTCCGAACATCACACGTCGGATTAATACTTCGCAATGTTGCCATAGTCGGTCATGAATGAAGTGGCTTCGGGAGACGCCTCCAGCACCGGGTAAAACGAAGAATCGAGAGGAGATAGTGAGAAGCGTGCAGCAGAGCATTGGCTCTTCCGTGACTAGGCGTTCGTGGTTTTCATGGTTGAGTGAGTCGGGAGAGAGTATTGGTGAAAGTGGTGCTAGATGAAGGTAGAATCTGACTTGGTGAGCAAAAGCAGATACTAGTAGTAACTTCAGGTTCCAAGCCCTAGTACTCACAGATCTAAATACGTAACCGCCTCTTGTGCCGTGAACCACCCCTGCCGGACAAACCGACAACGATCCCACAAATCCAATATATCCTCACTTGGGTGAGATAATTCGGAAACTGACACCTGGCCGGCTTCTGAGTTGTGGCTCAGATTAGGGCCTAATGATTGAAGTATAGGCCTTGATTGGAGTACACGGTCTTCCTGGGTAGACTCTTCTGGTCGAGCGGCATCAAAAAGAACTTCCAACGCGTCACTTGGTCGAGCCAGAATAGACGACATCACCCGGTGAGATAAGTATTGTTCTCCGTTGTAGGAATTATCCAATCCCGGCCCATGATCCTCAAAATCACCACTGTCGACTTCTCGGTGGTCGGCATTGGCCGAGTCGGAAGCGTTCGGGCGTGATGCCAACTCGGGATACTCATCATTTGACTGCTGAGAAGTTCTATTGTGTTCCTTTGTCCATATGGGAGCCTCGCGATGCTTCCCCGACTTGCGCGTATTTTGGAAGACACATTCGCGATGCTCACGAACGCACTTCGCGCAAGGGGGCTTGTTTCCAAGAACGCAGCGGACTTTGCGCGTACGGCAGCCTACACAGGCTACATAACCGCGCTTGAATGGCCGATCAGAAGATTGGGGCGTAGTAGGGTGTAGCTCAGAAGACATCACTTAAGTCGAGCATGAATGTTCCAGCAGATCTCGGATAGTCGAGGGCATTCAGCGGGTAGATGCAGGAGGGTAGTAGCGGGCCAACGGAAAAGCGGAGACCGGCTCATTAGGGACTCTTGCTAACTGCTCGGTCTCATTGGACCGTTGACCGCTATTAGCCGAGTGATTTATTAAGCACTAGGATCAGTTTCACAGATATTTCATTGGTTGTTCCGTTCGGCTACTATCCCTATGCTTGTTTGAATCTTTCAAGGTTGTCATGACATTTTGGACTCAACGCCTTAATTTGAAACGACTTCAAGTTTTTAGTTGAACAACCTCCAGGGTTTCAAGTTGGAACCTTGGAACGGATGGTGGAATTCAATTTTATAGTTTCAGTTACATTCGGGATACCTAGGTAGCGTTGATAAAACTTGAAATCTTCAGGTTTATCACCAGTCAGTATTATTTGACAACTCATTGAGCGGTTTCTTCGCATTCCCACTGGCAGTCTTCGGCATTGTCACTTGGCGAAAAGCCGTTCGACCCCATCGTTTGTATAGAGGCAAAACCCCACCAGCTCGGAGTAAAGTCTGCTCGATATCTGACTGCTCATAGTAGAACACCTTGTCAAGTCCCTCAATTTGGACAGACTTTCTATCCTTGTTAATAGTGATCTTAGACCCCTCGGTCGCATTTGCATAGAACTCGTCATCTTGCAATTTGATGTTGAACAAGCCCATATTTAGTTGGTTCCGTTCGTCTGGCCAAAGTCAGTAAACATCTACGGCAAACAGATCATATCCCAAGTATTTTTCACTCACAAATGAATGCAAACCCTTTAGCAATGACTGCTTCCACTCCAGCTCCTTGTAGCGCCCTGACAGCGTCCTCTCGTGAAGACCCACTCCCAAACCCATTATCTGCGACACTTTCGTAACTCAGCAACAATGCAAAATTCTCAAATCAAATTATGGCTTACATTATCCGGGAGCCTTCCTTAACTCTACGACGGAACTCGGGACGAAAGTACTGAAAGCAATGGCTGCCCAGATCAGCGTTGTCGATTCCGGGCATGAATTCGGCGGGAATGATTGCATCTCTAAAATGGTAATGCCATTGCAATCGAGTCAGAGTGGTCACAAAGAAAATAATGGTGTTGTTTTGATTTGACTCACGTGTCGACATTCTCAGCAAAGTACTGAATATTTGATTCCACAATATTCGAGGCCCATACTGTTGATTTCTCGACAAAGGCGGCGTCCTCTAGCATGGCTGGAGCAATGCCTTGGTCAATCTCAGGACTTGGCTCGTGAATCTCTGGCGCAACCATCAACTCATTCTTCCAGTCACCGATAAGCTTTTGCAATTTCCCTTCATCAATCATTTGCAAAAAGGGTCTTGCATCTGTGACCTCCATTGTGAAACTGGATGCTGCCACAACAGCAGCACATGTGACATTGCCAAAGCTCCCCTTGCCCATTCTATTGCGGAAATTTCTGTTCTGTGAAGAAAGCCAGGTCTCGCCCTCCCCAGCCACATCCACGTCGTTGATTCCGACACAGTATGAGCATCCCGGTGCACCAACATTAAAACCAGCCTGCTTATAAATGTTCAACAGACCATGTCTTTCCAGATTCTTGATAATCCTCAAGCTCCCTGGCGTTACTCTTCTTTTGCCTGTTGAGACGGGGATCTTTCCCATTCGCAGACCTGCCTCTAGTACCAAAGCTGCCAAGATCAAGTCTTCTTCTGTAGTGGTACACGCGCCGATGAAGCAGCCATCCAGATTCATGCCGGACTTTGTCGTGACAGGAACCACATTATCGGGATCAGGATACAGAGCTATTGTCAAGCCGACCTCCGATAGGTCAACAGTTCGCTGTTCTGCATAATGGGCACCGTCATCTGGTTTGAAGTACAAGCCACCACCACGGTGTTCTGAATTTTCCCTGTGGGAGATCCATGCCGCCGTGATCATATCGGCCTCAAAGCATGCACCCATTCCTCCAAACTCGGTTGTCATGTTGGCTATGGCAAACCGAGCATCCATTGATAGCTCCGAAATCCCCGGTCCACCGTATTCAACAGCACGTTGAAATGCAATGGTATTGCGCTTGAAAAGACCTAGCAGATGTAGGATGACATCCTTTCCACCAACGCCATACGGCAAAGTTCCGACGAAGTTGATCCGACAGACCTCGGGAACTCGAAACCAGGTTTCCCCCGTCACCATTGGCATCACCACGTCGGCGGCACCAAACCCGATTGCAAAGGAGCCCATACTTCCGGCAGAGCATGTATGCGAGTCACTTCCAACGACAATTCGGCCTGGCTGCGCCCGTTCTCTAGTGAAATCGGTATGCATGATACTGGTATTGGCAGGTAAAAAGTCAATTATTTTGGCCTCATATTTGAACTTTTCAGCTTTCTCAATAAGCCCTCGTTGTCTGGGCTGGTCATTGGTCCTGGGATCCACAGTATGGTCGACAGCAAGCCACAGGCGGTCGTTTCGATACGGGCGCGGCCTTCCCATGAGATCGTAGGTCTTCTCCATTCCAGCCCAAAGTAGTTCAGAAGTAATCGTCCAGTCGACTTTGACGCAGACCATTTCACCTGATCGAACATTTGGCTTTTGCAAGCCAACACCGGCATGCGTCATTATCTTTTCTATCAGATTCATTGGATATCGAGCGTAGTAAATTGGAGCGGTCTGTCGATGGGGCGAGCGGTGTTGCGTAGGTTGCGATGCCATTTCAATTGAATTTATTGCCTCTAAATAGAACTCCAAATGCTCTAGAAAGAATCTCATGAATTGAGTCACATCTGTAGATCCTCCAAAATCGGCAGTTCGAGCATCAGATCCAATGAGCTCAACAGGGTCCATAGTCCGACGAACAGCACGCGCGATGGCCTCTGATTCTGCCACGAGCCCAAAAGAAAGATCTAACATCAATTTCAGTGACTCAAGAATGCACAACGGACTTTGGAGCTTGGGTCTTGGCTTCAAATTGAGTGGTTCAAAGATTCCTGGAGAGCCCTGGGTATCTTGCCGGGGAAGAGCAGATATCGAGGCGGATGCCAGAGATTCTTGTGATCGCAATATAGCTCCAGCTTGATCTGAAAGAATGTCGCCAAACATATTCTCTGTGAGGATGATACCATTCAAGGCTGTCGGGTCAGAGGCAAGGATCATCGCGGCGGTATCTACCAATACATGATCAAGAGGAACTGCAGGAAATTCCGCCTCGAAAATTCTTGTCACCATAGATCTCCAAAGCCGAGATGTCGCCATGACGTTGAATTTGTCAACAGAGTGTACCCGTTTTGGTGGGTCAAATCCCATAGCATATGTCCCAGCCCAGCGCGCCAGGCGCTCGATGTGCTGCCGCGAGTATTCAGTCGTATCATAGGCTTCACCACCATCGTCCGCTTCCTTCTTCCGACCGTAGTATATCCCACCAGCCAAATCACGAATGAAGATTATATCAAGATTCTGCACGATATCGGACTTGTAGGCGCTGTGTTGAGCCAGGTGGTCGCTTGGGAAGGAGACAGGTCTGACGTTGACATGGACTCCGAGGTTTTTACGGAGAGCAAGTAAAGCCTTTTCCGGCTCGAGGTCGTAGTTGGTATCGCCACACCCACATAATATGACTGCATCAGACTGTCGGCATGTGTTGAGTGTGGAGAGAGGAAGGGCGGATGATTCACCGGCCGCCAGAGCTGCGCCTCCGAAGGGTAGCTCGGTCACATTGAAAGAGACATGAGGTCGGTATCGTTGAAAAACTTCCAGCGTTTGCTTCGCGTAGACTGCGAGCTGCGGGCCGATACCATCTCCCGGGAGTAAGGCAATGTCGATGCCTTTCGGTATTCTTGGAGGATGCATGAAGGGCGCTTGGTCTGCGGTTCAACGCTAGATTGCTCCCAGAAAGGCCCATCTGACATTTAAAGACAGGAAGAGATACCGATATCGGGGGTAAATTTTAAATGCCTGCAAGCTATCTTGGCTGCTTGTGGCAAGGAGCTGTAGCATAGAGGGTGGATACCCAGGAACTCTATAGATCTAGTCGGCCCGCTACTACCCGCGAGAACCCCACCACCTGAATTGGATTTCAAATTTGAGATAGGAGGAATTTCATTGGTCCTCATAAATACGAGTGAATAACGAGCTTTGGTGTGGCTTACCCCGCCCTGTAAGTCAAGTGTCAAGTGAGAAGCCGGAAATTGTTGTGGTTGTCACCGACAGTGCTGACATCTACAGGGCCCTCTCTTTGACCAGGCGTGCCGAACTTTCGATCTTTACGTCTGTTCTCTGCCTTGTAGGCAAAATGCATAAAAAGCCCAACTGGGACAATGAGGCCAGATAGACCACACCCAACTGCAGTGCCCATCACGTAGAATGGCCTGATGGCGTCAGCAACAATTTTCCAGATAAAAGTCCAAGGGGTGCCTCATGGTGAACTTACTCATCGCTATTGGGAAACATGAAAGATGCCAGGAAGGAGGAGCATTGTCCAATAATCGCAAGAATTGACATTCCAATTCCCTTTTTGGTATCTCCGGCATTGTTGTTCAGCATCCAAGTCATATTTATTGCAAGAGCAGGGAATATGCCGCAACTAGTCAGCCATATAGCGACATAACGAACTGCCGTTCCATGTTGAGTAACTAGAAGTGCATATCCAATTGTACTTATCGAAGCAGAGCCCGCTAGGAGCCATCCACGATTGCCGAACCTATCTGAAAGCCATGCCACAATTATACTGGCTATAAAGGCTCCCAAGTAGGGTGGAGCAGTAAGACCTTGCGCATCAACAGAACTATATCCCATTGATTTAACAATCATTGGAAGAAAATTGGACAGGCCGGCGAATGAATAGTTGCAGCAAAAGTGCAAGATTGCATGACAGTAGTTCTTGTAGTCAGCCAATCCGGCAAATAATTGTGTTTTGGAAAGAGAGCCTTTTTGTGTCGTGTCTTTGGTTTCCATACGCTCGACTGCAAATGTCCGTTCTTCCTCATTGAAAAACTTTGCCGTCGAAGGTGTATCCATCAATGTGAACCATACGATGGGTGCCATAATGACGGCCGGGGCACCCTCTATCGAATATATCAAAATGAGGTTAGTTATTAATTCTTCATCAAGTCATATCCAACTTGAAAGCGCCGCCAGAAAACATACCGATCAGAAATATAAGTCTCCATGGCTCGACATGAGACTTTATTTGAGTGATCCCGTATGCCAAAGCCCCTGAAATGCAGTTTGCAATTGGACTCGATCCTAGAAGAATAGAAAGACGCATCCCAAGTTCTCTTCTCCTATAGCAGAGCGACAAATAATATGGCACACCGGCCCCGAAACCAGCTTCAAGAAAGCCAAGAGCGACGCGACAAGAGATGAGCCCTGCCAAATTTTGTACCAGACCAGAGCACATTGCGACTGTTCCCCAACTATTTATGACTTGGTCAGCGTTTGACTTGGATATTCATAACACTTCGAGATACTAGTAGTAGTTTTCTTTTAAAGTTCAAGTTTGTAGCGCGACATTCAAGCTTTGGTACCTAGTACTACCTTGGGTAGATAATAGTAGTAATAGTTAGGTAGGTACTCACAGAAAACAAAGAACTGTGACATAGATATGAGCCGGGAAGACTTTCCAGCATAGAACCAGCCATTCCATGCAAGTATATGTGATATAAAATGAGAGAAGAACCCAGGACCACTAATTAAGTTAAATTTCAGAGTTAGTTGCTTCTTAATCGATGGAAATTGTGTACTCACTTGAGTGGTTGTCAGCCCGAGGTCTTCTTGAGCTCCTGCTGTCTTTGCGTTGCCGATATTACCTCGGTCAAGATATGATGTGATGTACAAGACCCAGACGAGTGGGAGTACCCATTTATCATACTAAACCAATTAAAATATGAACTGACCACAAGAATGTTTAGGAATTTAGCACATACCTTCCTCACTATACGGTAATTCATGGCTCTTGTATCTTCCCATTGTTGAGTAGTAGGGGCATCCCCTGCCTCGAGCTTAACTTCATGCAAGTCCTCGAGGTGACTAGCAGACACCCGCCCTGCTTCAGAGTTCTTTGCAAAGCCCATATTTGACTTCAAAAATGGACTGTCAGTAAATTGGCAGCCCGAATAATCCCAAGTATTTATTTTGAACTTTCCTCGTGAATCGAACCCTTCCGGCTCTTTTTTATGTAAGAAAACTTCCCCATACTTCCCCAGACTGACCCCGCTTTTAGAAACCCCAGACTTTTGATTCGAAATTGTCACAGCTTTCATCTCGGGTATTTTATTTTAGACTTTACCTACTGACAGCAGATCCTGGGCCATTTCGGACCGATGCGGACTGAGGCGGCTTTCTTGAATACGCAGCAGGCCTCATTTATTCTCAGGTGGATTTGCCCACCGCTGAGTCATGTCTGTTCTAAATTCTTTTTACATTCTTCTTCGGGAAGCTATGCTCTGCTTTTTGAAATTTGTAGTAAACAATAGGAGTCATACGAATCAGCCGCATCCTGTCTTAGTCAATTGACGCTGAAGCACTACGGAAAGCAACTCGTATGACATTATTTGTAGGGTAATTCCGGACCTAACTCGATGCTATGAATTTGTATAGAAACAATTGTCCTTTTTATTTAAATGAAACAAGCGGAAGCTAACAATTATAACCAGATTATGTGCAGAACTCGATCCTATTGCAGTGGTACTTACGATAAACCCACTTGTTTGGAAGAGTGGGCGTCCTTCGTCAGAAGAGCTGGAGCCTTGGAACAATTTGAGTTCACTTCATTAGAATATTGCCTCTATATTTTCATATTATTTTTTGTTGCTTTCTTTTCAATTCATGATGTTTTTTCTCTGTGCGACTAACTACGTCATTCACTTCAGCAGAAGCAAAAGTCAAGGCTCTAAGGAGAGGTGTACATTGGGCGCCAGAGCTCAGCCATCTTGGAAAACTCTCATTCTGTCGCCTGTCAGCCGGTCGAAAGTTTGATTGGGTTATTCAAGGCGTCCAAGCCAGGAAAGATACCAAGGGCCGACCGGCATAGCTATCATATCTGAATAAAACACCAATGCGACACACTCGCAATACACGACGCATCTCCCCATCACCTGTTTTCTTCGCAATCCTTTTGATGTCGAAATACGACATTAATTGGACTCCATACGAAGATATTAAAAAACGACCTTATGTGGCTGCCAAGTTCCATTCCGTTAGTTCGAGGTTTTCGGCAGTGTTAAAATCTTGCTATACATGTCAGAAACACTGATTACATGATCTACGGGATGTCAAGATAAGCTATTGCAATCTATTATTATCTGAGGCTCATGCGGAAACAAAAATTATAATGCAATGTGACCGATCGGGATAACTTTAGTGCATGGCGTGTTCTACCATTACTAGTCAGTTCATTATGATTAAGAGCTGTAAGCCGGTTAACTTGGAAGTAAAATTCCAGTACTATATCTTTGACCAAGGTGAAGAGGAAGTATTTCGGTATGTTTATTTTGCAGAAGTATTGTCGGTCCGCAAGTTGGCATTCGTCCACCTGGGCACCTAGGCACTGGCATCTGATCAACCCTGTTGATACCACCACTTTTAGGATGATTTTCAGTACAGTGACGGTAACACGTTCTTCACGGCGGGAAACTCATCAAATGACTAAGTACTAGTAGTAGTAATATATCATTATGTTTTAACCAGATTGAGATTTGAAGATCCTGAAGTCAAGCTGGTACTAATATTGTCTATCATAGTTGCCAATACCTAGGTAGTCACAACCAATACTACTAGTACTAGTAGTATCGATAGATGGTATAGTAATAAGCAATGCGGTCACCAAAATCCAAGACAGACCTCGTAGTGTGGTAATGCATTGGATATGAATTTGAAAACTGCATGCTGATTACATTTGGACCCAGCTAGATCAATGATATCGTTTGCCTCAATTACGCCTTGTTGAATTAATACTTTATGATACTCCAGTCACAAGGCGACTCCAACGAACGCTAGGGGTGATTTAGGCAAGTGACTCATTAAGCCTAAGCGGGGTTAACCTGGGCTGAAAGGCCGAAACTCGCAATTGGCTTTAGGCTCCGCATCTCAGCACTTCAACAACTCAGAAAAGCCGCACATCTGCGTTACCAGCTGGAAAAAATTGCATCACGGACCCTTCGATCTCCGATTCGCTGCCTCGTTGGCTGAGCTAAGCTAAGATAAGCTGAGTACGTCGTCCATCTTTGCGCCCGTGAGTCAACAATCAGGCAGAAGCGCACAAGCCGACACAGCCTGGCCAACGCCACACTGCCAACACGCCTTTTCTGCAGCAAGGCTGTCTGTGCATCTGCGGATGATCCTCGTCATACCCTTCTCCACTATTAACTAACTGATCGGGTGTCCTGTCGGGTCTGATTTTTATGAGGCTCTTGCTGACATCGGAGGATAAAATGCAGCCTACTTCCTCGCTCGAAAAACACGGTCCATTATCTCGATAGTCAATCATGGCTGAGAATATTACAGCCGAGTCTGTCACAAGTTCGTTTTCACAAACAGACACCGCAATCCTTGATGCGCTAGTCCCGGGCTACTCACTACTTTCCAAATTTGTGAGCTCTCACCTCAATATTGACGTTGCAAGCTATTTGCAATATGTCATTCTATTGGCTACATTCGGCGCCTCTTTTCAATACCTTATCTGGTACATGAAGGATATGGTTGAAATGTACTTCATGTCTACCGCAGAAATACGATTCGACGATGAGACTTTCAATTTCTTCATGTACTGGATGTCGCGACAGGTAAACATGTCGAAAACAAATCGCTTCGTCGCTGGTGTTAAAACAAGTGGCTACTGGTCTGATGATTGCTCTGATGACGAAGACGACGAAAAGGATATCGAGCTAGATGAGCCTGGTTCCGGCGAAAACGAGTCATCATTTGAGGAGTACTGGGCCAAGCTCACAGGCCGTGACAAGTATAGAACCTTGCGATATACACCGTCAGAAGGCCGTCATTTCTTTCGGTTTCGTGGTAAGCTACTAATGCTGGAGCGAAAACAGCAGCAGCAGACTCCGCTGTGGGTAATGAACAACGAGACGCTTTACCTGTCTTGTCTCGGTCGCAACCCGGGCATTATTAAGGACCTGCTCAACGAGGCCCAACAAACATATGTAGAGCGGGACGGCAATCGAACCGTCATTTACCGCGGCCAAAGGCTTTGTAGCGGTCAGCAATTTGGTTGGTATCGATGCATGGCGCGTTGCCCGCGTCCTCTATCAACTGTTGTTCTGGAGCAGGCACAGAAAGATGAATTTATCTCTGATATCAAAGAATATCTTCATCCTCGCACTCGACGCTGGTACTCAAATCGGGGAATTCCATATCGCCGAGGATATCTCTTGCATGGCCCTCCGGGGACGGGAAAAACTAGTCTCTGTTTTGCGGCTGCAGGCCTGCTTAGCTTAAAGCTTTACCTTCTGAATCTCGACTCGAAAGCACTTGACGAAGATAATTTAGCATCCCTTTTTCATGATCTTCCCCGCCGATGCATCGTTCTCCTTGAGGATGTTGACACTGCAGGTGTTACCCATACTAGGGGGGGGAACGACCGATTCGCCGAAGGATAAAGATAAGCCGACAGATGGTACAGACCCCACAGCGGTGGATGAAACCGAGGCAAAGGACAAGGACAAGGACAAGAAGGAGGAGAAGTCACGAGGTATCACATTATCTGCGCTATTGAACGTCATCGACGGAGTTGCAGCCAGCGAAGGCCGTATACTCGTCATGACAACCAATCACCCTGAAAAACTTGACGCAGCTCTCCTCCGACCCGGTCGTGTCGACTTAAGCATTACCTTTGGACGTACCACCCAAGCCGATATCGAGGAGCTTTTTACATCTATTTATACAACAATGGAAGGCGATCTTCCGCGCGCTGCAGCCTCCCGACGTCTCCTCAATGGCACGGCCAAGCATCTCACGAATGGCAGTGCCAACCACAAGCACGAGAATGGCAATGTCGAGTATGCCGAGAAACGGAAGCAAGAGAATAATGAAGAAGAAAAACGTCGTCTTCGTGATCTTCGCCTCCGGATTTCCAAGCTCGCGACTGACTTTTCAGCGATCGTGCCGAACGGGGAGTTCACTGCTGCCGAGATCCAAGGCTATCTTCTCAACCATAAGGATTCGCCCGAGGCTGCTATTAGTGGCGCGGATACCTGGGTCCAAGGACTCAGAGAGAAGAAGTCTTCCCAACAAAGTATTCTAGCATAGCGATGGAGTAGGTACATCATTTACAAGTTTCAAGGTTTGGACCGGCATTAATTGTGCACTGCCAGGTGGCAAGAATGGAATACAATTCGAAAGTTGGGTTTAATCACCAAATTCACAGAACAAGCTCTTCTATAAAATTTCATATTCAGAATATAATTCTTGATATCGAGGGGTTTCTAGCTTTGCATTTAGTAGTTGTTTTCAGTAATAGCAGCCTCGAGCTGCTCCTTGGCGTAGGATTTAGTTCCCCCATAGTCAATAAAGTTACTAGTATATCTTACTAGTATTCTTACTTGTTGAACTCTAATTGTGTCTGATACCTACATTTCAAAAATTATGATGATCTAGAAACTGCGCCAAGATAATTCTTTTCGATAAAAGAAAATTTGGAATGAAGTATGGACGCAGAAAGGTCCATTTGGGCGATGGCTATAGAAAAGGGTATCAAAACAAAAAGTCCTAAACGTGCCAGTCAACTCCTCCGTAAACTGAAATGAAACTTAAATGATTCTAGGACCAGGCTTAGACAACAGAAACCTTAGCCCCATCCAAAGAAACATTTGCACCATACATGCAACGCTGCTTCATGCTGGCATCACACCATCCGTGGAAAAGCATCCGGTCACCATCTTCCGTATGAACAGTGCCGCCACCGGGAGAAATCAAGCTAGGTCGATCCCCAGTCTTCAGTAATTGCTGATTATTTTTGGTATAAGGACCAGTTATGCTAGATGCTGTAGCATATCGGGTGTCATATGTGTCTTCGTTGTAACAATGCGTTGAGTAGAAAATATAGTAAGTGCCAGACGACAGGACAAGGCTGGGGGCCTCGACAAGAGGGCCATCGCCATCTGCAGTGTTGCGATCCAAAATTTGAATGGGATCTCCAGCAGGAGTAACACCATCTTTGGCAAGCTTCTGCAGCACTAAAGGTGTGGGGACGAGAGGGTCGACGCCGTTGTTGCAGTCACCTCCGTGGCCAATACTGTTACCGTTAACCTTGTAGGTAACATAGAGAGTACCGTCTGCATCGCGAAATCCGGCAGGATCAATGGCGCCGCCCTTATCTAGATCACAAGCCAGGGGCTTATCGTTTGGAATATATGGGCCCTTGGGATCGTCGGAGATAGCAGTGCCGACGCAATGGTGATCATCTTGGTTGGGGCCAACTTTTTTGGAGTTGGCAGAATAGTACATAATGTATTTCCCATCATCCTGCAATGAAGTTAGCACCTGGGCAATTGTTTCGTATTTTCGTGTCCAAAGTCAAGACTATAACTCACCCGTCGTATCACATCGGGGGCAAAGTGCTGGGCATCCTCTTCCCAAGCAGCAACGTTCGGCAGAGCTTCAACATTCAGAAGGGTCCAAGAATTGAAGTCATCTGATTCAGCGACCTGGAATCGCTTGCCATTGCCCTCCGTGCCAAAGGCATACCATTTGCCTTCAGGTGTTTGAACGAAGCTGGGGTCAGGAAAGTCGGTGTGGAGAGCTAGAAATGGGCCACTCCGCTTCATTAAAGGGGAGCTCAGAGCCCCTGGTAGCAGGGGTAAGATAAGAGCTGCTAATTTTGAGGGTGAAATGGATGGGAGGAACATATTTTCCTTTATGGTTATCAAATTAAGACTGTGAGATCCAGGGGGTTGAATATTTCTTTTTTTCTCGAAATCCCAGTGTGGAGAGGAATACCCATTCTTATATGTTTTCTTTCTGGGTATGACCTCGAGCAGCGCTGCCAGGACAGCTCCACCATAGGCCGAATTCTAGCCTGGAAAGAGACATCTATTCTCCGAGCTGGCAGTACAGAGCACTGTGGACCAACAGGGGCCGATCTGGCGCGACAGGTCTATCAGGCGCATGTGGCTGCATGTGGATTCTGCGAGGCTAAATGATGCGGCCAAGCTATTTGGCAACTCACGGTTGACCATTTGAGTTAAATGATGCGACTTTCGGTTAACATACTACATAGTAGTCCGTAGGAGAACTCGGATTTGCACGAGCAAGGCAGATTTTCCGGGGAGGCGCATACTAGTAAGAACAAAAGTTTAAAAGGAACTTGGTGGGTCAGCCCAGACATATAGGTCCTGGCGGTGGAGTGACATCTTTCCTCAAAGGAACATCTCAGCCGCATGGGATGGATGGCTCGGATGAGGTCAATGGGAAAAGTGGAATGATGCCAAGTGAGGAAATGGTGCCAAGTGAAGGCTGTGCTTCATTCTGTTGAGCATAATAGTATTCCATAGGACCATTACTCTATTATTAGGATTCAGACCCAACAAAGTGGATAAATAGCCAGCAAGGCTCGCAGCAAACGGGAGTCATGATGATCGGCATTGACTTGCCAATGACATGGAAGGTGAAGACCGGATTCTACGCAAAGTCACCAGGACATGTAGCTATATGCAGTCTCAAGCAACCAGCTAGGTTTAAGGTAAGTCAATTTTTTGGTTCTGACAAGGTTTCAGTACACATCTTTGCGAGTGTGGGGAAGCAAATGATCGGATATACCCATCATCCCTGAATGAGGCCCGATACGGCAAGGTGGTGATTCTAGTGGAACCAAGTTCGCCGAGGATGCCGGGTGAAAGGGGGCCAATGCTCATTGCTTTTTCTTAGAAATTACAAGACAAGATGCATTATCATATGGGAGATGAGGTAAACACTCATCCACAGAGGTGGAGGCAAAGATAAGAAAAATCGTGTGCAGGAGTTGGGAGCTGAAGGTGAAAGCAAGGGCGATTCACTGGACGCCCCTCGCTCCCAAGACTCAGATGGACGAGCGGAAAAACACTCCAACCCCGGCAAAAAGAAAGTTTTCTATCTTTTTTATCTACTTATTTTCAAATCCGAGATGCACAATCAAGATACTTGTGAATAATGCTGTCGACCGTGGTACTCGACAACATGCAGCGGAGTGCAGCGTATGGCTGGGAAAAGATGCCAGGCACCGATGCCGTCATCACACCAATTAGGCGCCCTACATAGTGTTGGAGAAGTGACCGCTGATAGGGTGGGGCGTAATGCCCAGGACCAATGATGCACCACCGCTACACAGGGGCGATTGGTTATTCTACGCTGTCCAGTGTGCGCTGGCACGAGGGGACTAAAGGCTCGTGGGTTGCACGAAGCTCCGATAGTTTTCCACTAGACCCGGTATAGCCCGCACTGAAAAAGAAACGTTTCCAGATTTCAATATTCCCCGCAAAATATTGAATGTTTCCGTGGTTCCAGGGCGCGGATTCCTACTAGCAAGGGGGCGCCAAAGTTGCGGTGTGGCGCATCCGACCGGAGGATGAAATCAATGGTGGTCCGGGGCAGCATAACTTACCATGTACTGTACACATAGTCGGTGGATTGAAGAAACAAGTCTCACTCGGGAATTGAATCAGAAATCATGTCGTGAAAGCCAGAATACCTCGTGGTTTGGGAGATCCCCCGCGTATCACGTTCCGATCGGCGCCTCGAATGATGCCATGGTTGACGATCAAAGACGACCTTGCACCGTACCTACATCGGTAATGCTCAACTTGAGTCATGTGGACTCTTAAAACAGTCTCAAATCAATTCCGTTGCTTCTAAATTGCTTTTTGGGCTCGGCGTCGACCCAATAAAGGTCAATACCAACCAGTCGGTGAAGATGTCTCGGTTTTTCATGATGTCATGACACGACTCGCCAAATATTGCGATCCCCCTATTGCAAGTAATTACTAACAAGAATTGGATGGGCGCAAAAAAATAATGAATGAATACTCCACAGCCAGGCGCTCCCTCTCCCAGATCGGTTGGGTCCGCCACGGCTCACTAGTCGTCATGCGGCCTCAGAGTATAAGAAATCATTATGATATTCTTTCTATGGTCTTGGGTACTCCGTGCCTTGACTTGCAAAGTGGAAGATTTCAATTATAGCAGGTTTTCCAAATAGGCAAGATTTACCATAATCTTGCCCGGCCTTCCATGCTGCCAACACTAAAGTCTGTGGCTTGTATCTAGGTAGAGTACGGTATACAAACGACAATGAACTCATGAGGACCTGGAAGATACAGTTTTTTGTCCCGCAGCTTCGACCCGGGGTCTTCTGATCTCTGTTATTAGTTTACCCGATCCACATGGGCAGCTTTTGCAGCGCCAAAGCATTTCTATCTGGGAAATACCTTACTTCCAAGGTTGAATTTGTTTAAATCTGGTATAACAGTCAGAACGAAGAAGAGCTCTACGTACTATATTTAAATAACCTTTCGAAACGGAAGGAATAGATGTCGGGCATTCACGCCTAGACAGCATCTTTACTAACCGCCACCTAGGAAAACTAAGGATTGAATGCTTTGTACACTTGCAAAGCGCCCTCGATACTCTGAACCAGGCCAAATAAGACGGTCAAGGATATCGCTACCCACAATGGGTACCACTGGCTAACATCGCGTCTGTCATTCCACCATTGTGTCATTGTCGATGGGCGAGACTCGTCAAATTCTGTCTTGAGGATAACAAGACGATCGTGCCAGTATCGGCATTCCTTTATCCCCAAGACAGTCTTCGGACGCCTCAATATACTTTTATCCAGCTCCTCGGCATTGCCTTGTTTTTTGTACCACCTTTCAGTCTCTTTATCACCCTTTGGAAATAAGAGGGCCAGCGTCGCCAATGTTTCATCGACGAGACCTGGTGGGTATGCCGAGGTTCTAAACGAGATAAATTATCAATAAAGTCCGAGTCTCGCGGCAAAACAACAAAATCCGAAATGACTGCTAACATACTGTTTGTGAGCCTCCAAAAACGAGGCGTGATGGAAGATCTTGACAGTCTTATCGGAGTCTCTAAAACGAAGATGATCAGAAAGATTTGACGTGAGCTCCACATTGAAGCCCGCGATGCCAACCATGCGAATCAGATTGAATGATTTTTCAAATCTGATCCCATCTTCCGATTCAGAATTGGCCTCCGTCAATTTCTCTTGCACAAATTCCTGTAGAGAGCCCTGGACCCACAGCAGCGGGTTTCTCCCTGAATGCCCGTTTCGAAATTCGCCAATGTCAAGCATATAGAGGAGTCGAGCGGTCAAATCTATCGACGCGTTGATGGAATCTATTGATGCCGGAGCACTGGCCCACTGAGCCTTTTCAACAAATTCATAAACCTCGGAGCGTGGTATTCCAGCCTGAATGCGCGACGAAAGCTCCGCGATATGTCGGTGAGTGCGAATGGCAAGATTGGTTCCATGGGACTGGTATACAATTCTGCATTGTTCGGTATAATATTGGAAGTATAGACGGAAACAAGGTATTTTATAAGTGTGAGTACTTCCCCAGAATTGGGTGACGATTTTCTCTTGTCGTTCTGACGGAATGGGTGATTCAAGGAAGGTCACATCAAGAGAGTCGCTATAAGCATGCGAATGTATAGTGTTCATCATGAGAAAATACTCGAGAACACGCGGCAGCGCCGGATCTCTGTTCAGGGTGGCTGACTTATACTTATCTTCCAATCGTTGTTCGGCCAGTGTGATCAAAACAGGGGTTCTTGCATACGCCCGGGTTACGGCACAGCCACAGAGCATCTTTGGCTTAATCCGGGCGGATGAGCGCTTTCAATCCATTTCTACCGACGAATACGAGGCGCAGTCATGATTGTGGCTTACGATTGCGCACTGGACTAAAACCCAGCAGATTCCTGCTACGCAGTTTCCCAGGTGCCTTGCTAGCTTCTTTTTCTTATTCACCTTTTCTTCCGACCCAGCTCTTCATATCACACTAACAACTTCCGTTGCTCCTTATGAGGAAATTCCTCTCCGAACTCGAATAGTTCTAAACTTCTACATCTCGCTAGGCACTTATTCAATCAAATCCCGACCCCAGTCCTTCACGATGAACTCATCACGACTCTTTCCTAGCATTCAGCTCTTTTCAACGCCCCAGGCCCGATGGTCCGAGCCCGAGCTATCCATAGATAGCTACCGCGGTATGAAAAAAGGCAGACTCCATTGTTGGGATGCCACAGGTCCTGCCAGGGATTCATTTGAACAGGTCAGACAAGAAATTATTGACTGTCTCAATGGCGCGCGAATTCAGGTGCCCAGCTCAAGCATGATCATGGTGGATATTTTCATGATTGGCAAAGACCAAGCTAGAGCGAAGCCTTATATCATGTTCTCCTGCAGTCACCGAGAATCACGGAAGGCTGCTGTCGCCGCCATCAAGGAGTCAAATATTCTCGATCAGTGCCCACCAGGAATTCTTCTTGGTGACTGGGACTATCCTCCACACCTCATAAATTTGCGACAACTTGCTTCTTCCGCAGTGAAGCCCAAGAATGGCATTTTTATCAATGCTGTTGAGGTTGATGAGATGATTAGAGAGTCATTTCGCTGCAGATTTTTCCCTGTAGTCGACCTCAAGTCAGGGAAGACCAGAGTATTAAGACTGGCAACTCAAAGTCAGTCGGCAAACTATGGAACCCCCCCGCATGGCATCAATTGGGAGCATCATCAAACTTCATGGTAAAAAGTACTATCTAGCACCGGCACATGTTTTCAATCTTACTGCTCCAAATATGACTTCTGAGAAGATGAACTCGCTCTCTGAGGATAGCGAATGCGATATAGGCGAATTCGACAGTGATGACGAAAGCTTATCGGGTGCTCAAGATGAAGCTGACTTCATGAGTCGACATAGCGCTAGTGCCGAGTCTAGCGATATAGAAGAGGACTGGGACCTTGAATCCAGTGATACGATGTCAGGTGGAGAATCTACGCAGGACTTTGATGAGCTGCGTGAACTGCCACCAAGCACTGCGATGGCCAACACTAAATCACGTCCTCCTGCAGATGACATGAAATTATTCTCGGTGAATCACCGCGCCTTCTCAAATTCTAAGCCGCCTCGACTGAGCTCTGATAGTCTTGACTATTGTCTCATAGAAATTGATGATGGTGAGAACATTTCGACAGATTTACCTGTTCTTTCCGAAGACACTATTGGCCAGCTCAACGGTAGTTCTGTCAATGTGATGGCTATCACGGGCTCAGGCAATGTCCTCAAAGGCATTCTTTTCGGTCGAAGATCATGCATCCGATTGCCAAACTCCACAGACTTCGTTGAAGTCTTGTCTCTTCAATTTGAAGACTCGCTCCAACCTGGTGTCTGCGGCTCGATAGTTCAAGATGAAAATACCGGCAAGATATATGGACACCTCGTCGCTGGTGACCCAGGATCTCAATTCGCTTTCATTGTTCCTGCTATCAATGTCTTGAATGACGCCATGGCCAAAATGTCCGAGCCTAGGACAATGTTGGCATATGACTTGGGAAAAACACCTCCTCCCTCATTCTCACACGAACTCACCGCCGAGCCAACGACTCAGTGTGACAATGCATATTGGTCTAGCCGATCACCGTCCGTCTTTCGCATTGAAGAAACGTCATCCTCGGATACATCGTCTGATGAGGGATCCATTAATGATTCTTCCTCTTTAGATATCTCGCGCGATGGCCTGAGCCTGGCCGATGATGATTGTGGCCCTTTATCGGGGGATACATCACATGCGCCACCGGGGCATTTCACTGGGAAGATACCACTAGAGCAAGCGGTAACCGACTTGGTTGAGATTGACGCAGCTGGTACGAAGAAAAATATGGTTGACCTGGAAGATGGGAATTTGCTCAAAATACGGAATGATTACCCTAACACTAGGGTGTGGCTGCTTGAGGACTCGTCTTTCAAAGAGTGGATTGATTCAGCGAGAATAACCCCTTTACTTTGGCTTAAGGGAAACCCTGGATCTGGTATGAAATATCTCCCAACCCCTTTAATTTCTGAAAGATAAGCTAATAAAGATAAAATAGGCAAAACTGTGCATAAGTCTCTGCTGATAGATGAGAGCCGTAAACTCAAGCGAAAAACCGCTGTTCATTCTTTCTATTGCAAACACGACAATCGTGAATTGAGCACTTTCTCTACTATTGCGAGGGGTCTTCTGGCTAAGATGCTGGAGCAAGAGATACATCCCAACTACAAAACCATCGAACGTTTAAAGTGGGGGATGATTTCGAAAAGCCCGAATGCCTCCTCTTCCACGGATCTGGAATCCGCAATTGAATCCCCTATGGACTATCCTTGGCACTCGCGGCCTATAGATGGTAGGGGGGATTACCACCCGCTTTGGGAAGAGCTGAAACATATTTCGGATGCTTTGGACTATCTACACGAACGGCCTCAGCCGACCCTCGCCAACCTGTCCAGCATACACGACTTTTCAACTCAGAGCATCGGGATCCCGCCTCTGTCTCCCACACTGACCGACTGGGTACCTCTGACCACATTTGGCTATGATGATGAAATTCTTGTCAACGGCGGTAGGTGCAAGAAGTCTCGGTCTCGCGTTACAAATCGAGGCCACACTACTAGCATCGACGGTTCATACTCAGTCCTCAGCTATGCTTGGGACACAACGAGGCTCTCAGAATGCCACTTTTGCGGTCAATACAAGACCAAGAGAGACATTTCCAACTACAACGACCTAAAGAGACACGTCAAGGATCAGCACATCCCGCCAAGTGAATATATGCATACTACTCATGCAAGAAGACTATCAGGAGAGCTTACAAGAAAGTTGAACATATCCGAACTGACCACCGAAGTAATACCATTCCCTTCAATTACGCTCATCTACGACATTGATTGGAGGATACGACTTTGTCCCGACTGCCAACAGACCACCTCAGGTGGAATATTGATACCAGCGAGCACAAACGAGAGCAAACTTGCCCTTCGCACAAACAATGACTACGCGCAATCGAACTACCAGCGCCGATTAAAACTCAACATCAAAGTGAGTACCATGCGAAGCCATTTCTGATTAATTTATGATCGAAAACAAAAAGCCTAATGATAACTCATATAGATCTGCTGTAAAGACTGCGCAATATATCAACACACTCTCGGTGTCTTCCTGGAAATGAAAGCGCCTAAGCGCGAAGCTGAGGAATCAACCCATGTCGATGTCAGATTGTGGATATGTGGCAGTTTATTTCCTTGCGCTTAGGTTTGCCCCAAGACAAAGTTTGTCTTGGGGCAATTAATTTTTTTGATTTGAAGCGTTTTGTTTGTTATATTTTCTGTGCATTGTTTAGCTTCCAATGGGGGACTCGGAACTCATCATGTATTCGTGCATTTTCAGGCGTTATTTTAAAGCAAACTACTACTAGCAGCTTTTTATCCAATTTCAAGGCTATTCTGCACTTTCTGGTGGTTTTAGCTAGCGTTTAGAGTTGAATTCAAGAAGCCTTGGCGTATTATTCTGATTGATATCACATGTAATGATAGAGAGCACTATGAACGCGGGCAATCAGTTGAATTCAAGATCATATTTGAATGATGGAAATCGATTGAAAAACCAGAATATAATAAAAAAAATAGTAATTGTAGTTAGGATAGTAATAATAAACAGTGCTAATACAGCGAGCAGTCTGTGGGATTCATCCCGGTGTATCTCAATATTAACAGGTGCCAGCATAACATTCCAAAACCCTCGACTCAAGATCTCATTCCTCATATGCGAATTTTGTTTTTTTATATAAAAGAAAAAAAGAAGAAAAGAAAATATGGAAGCCTCGTCGCCCCGATAACTCAATCTCCCGACCAACCCATCTAATCAGAGACAGCGTAATATCAAACAAAGACTTGACAACAACCGACTTCAAGTAGTGAAAGCCTAGGATTGGGCTCCACACTGAGGGCAGAAACGACTGGAAACAGCAGTTCCACACTGAGGGCAGTACTTGAACGCAGTGGCAGTAGCACCAGCCTCCTTGGGAGGGGGAGTACCGGAGATAGAAGAGTTAGCCATCTCGGGGTACACGGGACCCGGGGAGCCAGGGGAGCGAGTGAACTGGGCGCTCTGGTGGGAGGGAGCGTAGACTGGCTGGGGAGCAGCGTAAGGCTGCTGGAATTGCTGCTGCTGGACAGGAGGGTGATTGACGTATGTGACGGTGGTGTGGTTGTTGCGGCTGCGCTTGACGCAGAAGATAATGAGAAGAACCCAACCCGTGAGCTTGCAGACACCACCGATGACGAACAAAGCGACGCCGCCCCAGAACTCGCCCATGTTCGTTGAAGTACATGAGTAGTCGGAATAGTAGTAGGACGAGTAGGAGCTGTAAGAGCAGTCATTGATGGAGTTGGCTGACCAGACTCCAACCAGAGCACCGCCGATGATGAAGCAGATGATGGCGGCGATGAAGAAGCCGATGGGCCACCACTTGTTCAGGCGCGAAGGCTGGCCTGGAGACGACATGATTGAGGATGAACTTTTCCTCGTGGGGGCGGGTTTTTTTTTTATTTCGAGGGCGAAAAGGGAAAGGGAAAGAAAGACTAGGGTATGAATGATGGGGCTTAAACAGTTCTTAAAGCGCCGGGGCCAGGTCACAGAACTAACTCAGCCCCATCAAAGCCATACTAATGTGAGGAATACGGAGAAAAGCTCGAATTAAGCTGCAGACTAAAACAAGCTGGACCTATCATCGCCACTGCCAAGGAAGGTTTGGTATTCTTCTGGCTGCAGATTCCCCCTATTTTCACGGTCCATCTCGTATTCAGAAAGACGGATGAACATGGTTTAGTGTTGATCTTTAATCTTATCCTGCATGGTAAAAGCACCTTGTCTTGCAAGGGTCCCCAAGGGATGATGATTTCGCAGGATATCTCCCAGTCAGCCGTCACAACATGTCAACTCGCTTTAGATACCTTTTCGCTTGAAGTTCATCGGGAATTAGAGTCTGCCCGACAGATCAACGTCGAGATCGCCCGAGATCGTCCTTGCCAAGTCACCCTATACGATCCTGCCAATGTGAGAACACGAGCTTAGCGGGAAGGCATTCCTGGGGGTTGGGTGGGGGGGCGAGGCAGACCCTAATTTCCAAGAATAACAGACTTTTCTTTGCTGTGGTGCAGCAGCAGAGGATCTACCCCTTTTAGGGCTTAGTAGGCGAGAATAGTGGTACAATGAGAGCCTCACTCGTATTCACGCGGTCCCAGCGCCACACTTGGACTTGGACCCTTAATCTCGAGCCCTCTCGGTTTCAATAGGGCAGTCGGGAGATTATTCTCATTCTCACCTGGTCATTTCTCTTGCCCAGGTGGTTGCGCGTAGCTATTTTGATATATACACAATATTATTGATCTTTCTCATGAAGTGTCTGAAAGCAAGAAGCATTCGACTGTCAAAATCATTGAAGCTTATTATGACTGATCTGAGCTTTCATCGGACCCGAGACTAAACACGTTTCGAGACTAAGTGGACCCCCTTTTGAAATGAGACTTCTTGGCAGAAGTCAGGCGAGGGCGAGCCTTGCGGAATGGGGAATTGTCACAAGGCTATTCCAGACTGGCGTGAACGGCGATCGCAGAGGATTCGGTGTTGACAGCCTTGTGTCAACAGCCTTATTAGAGCGCAGAACTTGAAGGAGATCCTAGTCCGCGCCCATCTGGCGAGATGAAGAAGTGTTTTAGAAAACTCCATAGATTAGTCTCATGTAAAGACAGAAGTAAATAGTAAATCCCATCCATCACCCCAACGCCATAAAGAAATTCGCTCAAATGCAGTGTCGTTGCGGCCACCAAACCCATCCAGCAGGTCCGTACCCTAATTCATAGCAAAGCATACATAAAAAACAGAAATCATACCAAAAGAGGAAAAAATCAATGCACAAGCATCCAAGTCTCAAAAGGCACACCACGAGAAACCTTCTTCCCATCCCTCGCCGTATCAAAAAGCAACGGCTCAAAATCACAGACAGAAGCATACGACCTCACAAGCTGCCGCCAATAACAAGACTCCGCCGCCGGAGTAAGATACCGATCGCGAAAAGTACGCACCGAATTCTCCGCAATCCGCTCCGCAATCTTCGGATTATCAATCAGATAATCAATCATGCGCGACAAATCCGAGAAATCAGCCTTCACCTCGACGAAATTCGCGTCCGGGCCGGACGAAATCAGCGCAGCGTGATGCGCCTCGCGCCAAATGAGCGGGTGCGAAATCACCACCGAGCGGCAGTTTAGTAGATACTTGCCCCGCCCGGAGAAACTGCGGCCCTCGGTGTGCGCGAGGAACATGTATCGGCAGTGGTCTTCGATTGGGAGGAGGTTGTATCTTATGTCGTTTTCGTCGTCCCAGTCAATGACCCGGACGCTGGCCCAGCTTTTGCTGCTGGAGGCTTTGAGGAGTTTACCTCGGATTCCGGGATTTGTGTTTAGACTTCCGCGCCAGACGAGCTGTTTCTTTTTATCCTGGAAGGGGATGCCGGGGGTGATGACGGAGCCATCGTCCGGGTTGGTTTCGCCGTCATCAATGGCCGCGATGCGTCGTCGGACTTCGTGGTATGGTCCTACTTGGACTTCTGGCCAGGCCCAATAACCAAAGTCGGGCATTAGCCAGACTGAGGAGTCTATTTCGCGTTTTGAGTAGGACCATACGGGTCCGCGGCCAGTGGGGTCATTTGCGAAGTCCTCGGATGTGAATATAAACTCGATGCTGGGGAGGTGGGTGCGGTTTGGAATTGCTTTGAGGGCGCGGTGGAGGGAGTTTAGGGTTGCACGGGCACGGGATGCTGTCACGGGTTGAGGTGCGAATTCGACGATATATAACTAGTCGAGGCTCGGGATTAGTTTACTTCAGCTCCTTGGACCAACTTCTTGAATTGAAGTTCTTCGTGAGAAGTTCATCACATACCTCGCCCCGATCAATAATACACCTCACCATTCCATCCTCAACCTCTCGTCCTCGGAGCTCCTCATAAGAAATAGGCTCTTGCGATCGTAGCGCTGCAGATTGCTCAATGTCGCCAAAGAGTTTTGGAAAGGCAATTCGGCACTGCTCCTCTGAAAGACCGTGGTCATTTCCATCGCGATCGACATGGAACTCCCACGCTTGGCTTTGAGTATTGGTACTGTTTGGAAGAAGCTGTGTCGAGGGCGAGGGCGGACAATGCGACCCTGGCCGTGGGGTCTTGAGGATGTACTGAGATGTCAAATCGCGGGATCGGCGTGAATTCAAGAGGAGGAATGTGAGTGTGACGAGTGAGAAGAGTGCGCCGACGGCCAAGAATCGGAATGAAGGGCGTTGGGCGAACATGGTCGCTGTCGCAGTTGGGGAGGGGTGGGGTCGAAATGCCTATTCCATGCAGGCTAAATTTGAAGGTCGTCGGAGTCTTCAGCAAGGTGTCTTTCAAGTTCAACTTAAAGGGTCAACGTTGAACTGTTGGTAGATCCCACCTGCATGTGGTCACGGTGCTGGTACCTTCAGGTAGGGTGGGAGTCCCACGGACACAACAGATTGTTGCCCCGACAACGGGCGGCCTTCCCCGTCACGGTACACACTCCAGGGCTGGCAGGGGACCTGGAAGCCATCTGGAACTTCTAGAAGTTTGAATTATCAAGAAGAATTATCAAGATTCCGAGGGAAATCTAGGTACTACTCCGTGTTTCAGTACTAGTGATAGTGTAAGAGAATTAGTCTAAAAACTTGAAAACACAGCAACTACTATGTATCACGAGTAGTAATTAAAACAATCATGAACACCGTCGAATCTATAGTCCCAACGATATCGAACTATGTACATGGGAAAATCGCCACAGGCAGTTGATATATATAAAGACGGGGTATCTCAACAGGTCATAAAGGGGGTCAGAAAAGAAAAAAGGAAATGTATAGTAGACATAAGAAACGACGCAAAACAGTAGGTGAAAGACGCCGTGCCCCGTTATATCGTCAAACATGAAGCAGGATCAAATCGAGAGGGGAGAAGAGTCGGGCCGAGACGAGTCAATGCATTGGCAATGCCTTGCCTTGCCCTGCCTTGACATCCATCATCATCACCGCTCATCGCCACTCGCGACCGCACTGCCACCATTGCTACTAAAATAGCTCTCGTCAATCTTAAGAATCCACTCCACCTTATGCGCCTCCGTCCTCGTCGCGAAAAGGAACGTATTCTGCGTCCCGTAAACAGCGAAGATATTCGGTCTCCCCTTCGTAGCAAGCGATGATCGATCATTCCCGGCCCCAGACCCATCAAGCAATCGCGCGAAATCAGGCGCGTGGTCAACCCGCGCATTGCGCAGGTTAATCGCGTTGATTTCGTCGCCGTCGGGCACGGAGTAGATGTGCAGGTAAGGTCGGCGCAGCTCAACAAAGCGTCGGACCCAGACGCTATTCGTGTCGTCGGGCGTGAGCACGTAGCCTGTTTTCAGGGCTGAGGGGTTCTTGGGTAGGGTCTGGATTGTTGCGATGAAGCGAGGTTTGAGAGAGATTTTGTCGGAAACGGACGGCGTTGTGCTTGTGGTGGTGGTGCCGTTGGTTTGTTTGCGTTGGGCTGCTAGGTCGGCGCCATCACTTGGGGGTTCGGTATTTGTTCGGACGAGGATTGCTTCGGTGGGGTCTTTCTTTGTTGACCAGAGGTCGAGGTATTTTTTTAGTAGTTTGGTCTTGCGCTCGTTGAGGTCTTGGCCGCGCATGGGTGTTGATCGGCCGCTGCCTCGGGCTGGAGAGGCCCGCAGGCTGCCGGCGCTTAAGGCGCCGCGGGCTGCGTGGAGCTCTGCGATGCGGTAGCGACGCTTGCGGGCTGCGATGTAATCTCGGACGAGGGAGACTTTCCGTGGAGCCCATGTTGTTAGCAGCTCTTCGCCTTTGACGTAGTCGTTTTGAGTGTTCATTCGCCATAGGTCGGCGGCGCGCTTGGCTGAGATTGGGCGGATGACAAGTGAGTACATGCTTGTTGTCGAATGCACGACTCGGGTGGAGCTCCATAGTTGTTTGAACATGGACTCTTGGCGGGCGTAGTTTCGCTTGAAGATCTGGATGGTTTGGTCGATCTCGAATATCACGGGTGTTTGGAGTCGGGAGGAGACGAGATCCCAGCGGACAGTTACTTGGACTTTGTACTTGTCGGTAGTCACCCGATCAAGGAGGAGAGAGCCGTGCAAACTCGAGTCCCACTGGCCAATGATTGTAACGTTGGAAGTACCATCCGCATTGTCCTTGACCATTGGTTCTTGGAGGAACTTCAATGGGACGTCTGGTGTTTGGAGGTCCTGGTCAGGAATCTTACCCCACGGGTCGAGGAGACGGACAGAGCCCACGCGAGCGTTGGTAATGTCGTCCCATGGGAGGCTCTCGGTGGAACTATAAGTCAGGTTGATCGAAATGCGACGCTGCAATCCCTGATGAAGTTCAGAAGTACCAGCGTCAAGAGCCCCATTTTGAACCACCTCTACTGGTGTGTATTCGCCAGACTCGGCTAATTCCAAAATCTGGATGCGGGCGAAGACGTCGTGTCTTTCTTCAGAGTAGAACTCAGACTCGGCAATCCGAGGCGAGGTGCGCTTCTTAGGGGTCATTTCCGAAGAATCATGCATGTCATCCCAGCTCAGAAGCTTATCCATGTGAACGGATGTCACGCGAGCATAGACGCAGACCTTCAACGCTGCAGTCCTGGGACTAGACAGTGGGAGGCTCATACTATGAACACTTTCGAAGCGTACCGGGCTCTCTTCGAACCCGTTGATCATCTGCGTCGTGGTTGCACCACCTTCCTCTGAGATTCCGGGGACGAAGAGTTGAGCGTGAACGTCGGATCCTTCCCACTCAGCGAAGCCAACCATGTCGCGCATGACGACGTTAAACTTCAAGGTCGAAGAAGGAGCCTGGGCGGAGGATGGCTCAAGCGACAATCGAATGATACCGACAACGCTTTGTGTGTAGGGCGATGTAATCTCGATTGAGAAATCCTGCACGCGGGTCTCAAAGACAGCCGTCAGTGGGATATCGGCATCACCAATGAGAGAGTATTGCGGCGAACAAGACTCCGAAAATGGATTTTCAAGCCTGAAGTGCTGGATATAGTCGGGTCGGTCGATGTACTGATGCAGTTGTCGCATGGATTGTACGCGTCTCTGAAGTTTTTCGATAGACCATAGGTGAATCACAGACTGCTTGTAATCAATAACTCGAACGCCGACACAAGGCTTCTTGGTCTCTTCAAGAACAATATCCTCGTCGCCGGAAATGCCATTTAAAACAAGATCGTAACATGAAGCCATACTATGGCCGTGGTCAACGACTGCAAACTGGAAAACCACATTCTTGTCCATGATCTGGCTCATGACTTGTGCCTCTTTCAGCAGCGATGCATGCTGTAAAATCTTCTCGGCCATGCGAACGTAGTTGCGCTGTGACCAATGGGAGTAAACGGACTGTGCGATCTCGAGCTCGCGCTCAGTCAACTTGGCAAAACCATTCTCGAAAATCTGTGGAATTGGCTTGCCCATATCTCGCATCTGAGTCTCGAAAGTCTCCTTTTGTGCTCGCAGCTGCTCTTCAAACTCTTCCTTGGCAGACCGGAGTGCATCCTCCATACGCTGTTTCTCACCCTGTATCTCTCCTGGGTCTTGGTTGGAAGAAGTTTCCACGTTTTTCAGCTTATCCTGGAACTGCTCCCGCTGGCGATCTAACTGGCGCTGCATGTCTAACCGAACCGATTTCAGTGAAACACCATTGGATCCATCGTCCTCTTCGGTTTGTCGTGGGGTACCTGGCATTGTAATCGCCGTGTCGAGGGAGAAATTGTCGATGGTTCCATTGGACATGTACTTGTCTCGGATAGGGAAGGAGCTAAGAGAGTCAGAGTCTTCTTCATTCTCCGGCAGCCCACGACGCCCCGCTCGGACCTTTTGCACATCTTCGAATAGGGCATCGAGCTCGTCGTCGGGCAGATGTGAGATATGATCCTGGCCAAGCATCGCGCCAACGGCCTCTTTCCTCGCCATGAACCAGTCTGATTCGCGGCTGCGTGCGGGCATCGGGGAGTCCGCTCTACTTGAGTCTGCGTCAATTTCCGATCCAGTCTTGCTGACGTTGCGATCATGTGTTTTATTAGGCGCTGGGGAACCCAGTTGGCTAGTTGTCACCGAATGTCGCAACAGACTCTGCTCAACACGTTCGGCACGAGCCTCTTGCGGATGATTGAAACGGAAGATATGGAAGTCACCGAGAATAATGCGATGACCACTCCTGAGTCGCGAAGGCTTGTCTATCCGGAGACCGTTGACCATGACAGCAGCACCATCAGTGGGAATAATGGTCACGACATTATCCGCGTTTTCGAAAGTACAGTGCTGCTGAAGAATCTTGGAGCCGTTCAGTCGGATGTCGACATTGGTGCCCTGATCCATGTGTCCCACCGTCGTGCTTCCGGGCTTGATATTGTAAACCAAACACTCTGCCAGCAGAGGGTCATCGCTCAGATTGACCAAATGAGGCATCTTTTTCGGGGTGCTTAATCCGATAAAGCCCTTTTCGATATTGATACCGAGTTCCTCGAGTGCCGCTTCACGCTCTTTGTGAATCTCTTCAGTTTTGAGTAGTTTTTCCTCCCAGGTCTGATTGAGATCCTTGTAAAGCTTCTCACTTTGGTTGAGTTGTTCGACGATCTCAGCTTTGCTGACCTTAGTCACACTCCCGTCACTTTGTTGGATGGAAACCATTTGCTGTTCCAATGGGGTATCGGGTGGATAGGATTCAGCTGCAATAGCACCAGGTGCGCCCCCAGCAACCCCGGGGACACCACCACCAAGTTTTGATCGAAGTTGTGCCAGTTCCTCCTTCAGTTCGCGAATCATGCGAGCGTTCGGGTCCTCGTTCACGACGGCGTGGTTCTTGATCCTCTTGGCGGAATCTGCATAACGCAGAGTACTCAGGGTTTCGTCGAAGTTAATATCGGCCGGGGAGATAGCCGCAATCATGGAAGTCATCGAGTTACCACCAAGTGAATCTTTGAGCAGCCATGTCAAGATAGAATCACGATATGGAACCATGGATGCCTTTTTGAGCTTTCCCGATGAGACGTCTGCAAGGGCGGCGATGACACGACCAAGGGTGGAAAGCGAGCGGTTAATCTCAGCACCTTCTTTCAAACGAGCACCCGTGGCTCCGGTGGAGTTTGCTCTCTCCGAACCGGCCAAATCGACCAGACTAATCTTCGATACTTTCTCGGTGTCCAGTGAAGTCTCCGCGTCGTGACGTTTTTGTGAGAGAGTCAGTGTGAACACGGCGTGCGACCGACTGGAGGTCTCGTTCATGTTCGTCGCAGCAACCGTTCTCGCCTTATTACCCTCGTCCATGAGATTCTCGATTTCCTCAAAGGAGCGCACCACCAACTTGGCCAGATCCTCCACATAGGGTCCCGTTGAAGGATGCTCGCGGACCTTCAGGTTACCCTTATTGGACGGGTTGAGCAAATCGCGCACGCGTTCGTTGTAAATTTCCAGGTACGAGACTTCGATCGTGCAATTGAGGAGTTTATCGGCTTGCATCATGTCGTCGATGCGCAGGAACATGGACTGACAGATTCGCGGGATGACACCATATTCCTTGCCATATCCCATCATGGAGTACGACTTTCCCGAACCAGTCTGGCCGTAGGCGAATATACAATTGTTGTATCCGCCAAAGGCGTTGTCCAAGAGTGGCGAACCGAGGTCATCGAATAGATTATCCTGGCCCGCATAGTTCCCGTCCGACTTGTCGAAGGACCAGTACGATCGATCGAACGCGAAGACTTTGGGCGCTCCGGATTCGCCTTTGCCGCCTTTCCTCGAGGAGACGTCCTGGGCGCCAGGCGGTGCGGTTAGCACCGTCTGGGCGCCTTTCATTTTGACGATACATTTTGCACCTCGTTCGATTTCTAATCGGCGGGAGAGAGGGAGGTGTTAGCTTTCCACGGCTTGAATTGCCTCTGCCAGGGGTGCAGCGGAGGGCATTTGGGGGAGAAGGCCTGCGTTGCCGCGCAAACTCACCTCTGCTGTTGAAAGGTCGTACTCGGACCACCACCTTGATATTACCTCCGCCGCCTGGAGCCATCTTGTCCACTACCCCATGCACTGGGTGTAAGACAGGTTAAGCGGCAGTTGTATGCGAACTCAACTCCGCAGGTGAGGGGAGTGAGGATGGAGACAAGCGGTGACGAGTTGTGTCACAGCGGTGCGCGGACTCCGCCAGGAGCGCGAGCGCGAGCGCGTTTGGGCTCGTAGATACGGAGTAATGGCACGGAGTTGTGGGACGCGATTGAATGGCCGGGGAAAGTCGATGAGTGGTTTGTGGGGGAGAGGGGAGTGAACCGTGGATGTCAACAAAGACGTCATGTATGGGATATTGGCGTCGGGGTTGGTGGAGTGGGATGGGTGAGTCCCTCGGGACAGAGGGAGGGACCTCTTTGACAGTCAAGTGCAAGCCGCGCAAACGGAGAGGCGAGAGACAAAGGAGTAAATGCGATTGTCGAGATGTCGTTTTGTTCATGTGGAAAAGCCACTGGCACCTGAGGCCCCTTGCTGAGGTAAACACCGCCTTTGCGGAGTAGCCTGGGGGGGCACTGGACTGTATGCCCATTGGTAGTACTATGCAATGATCTATCGAGGATCGAGAGATATTATATTTGAAAGAGCTCTAGAGTATGAATTTTTGAGGCTAATGCACTATGTAGATCGAGGTATTTTTGAGCATGGCGAGTGCGGAATGCGCCAGCCGGTCCACGCCAGTGGATGTACGACTAGTAGTACTACTACTCCACGGAGTAGATTAAATCAAACTTGGAACTTGAAGTTATGATGAAAGGACCCTCATGGATATCGTGCTTAACACTAACAGGGGACTCGATTTCTATCTAAAATACCGTGGCTCTACCTAGGTACCTAGGTATGAGAACTCGAAAATCAGCCGACTCCGACTCCCGAGATCGGACATATATATTGGACAGTGTCACCTCTTTTTAACTACAACCTTGGAAGTTGAACTTCTGAAGTTGATGGCCGAGGAAAAGCATGCCCGGGCGGGCATATTACTACATACTAGCAAGATTGCTCACTAGTATAAGTGTTTACTAGCATAAGTCACTGACATGAGGTACTACTACTAATAGAGATATCTCGAACCGGATGACTATACCTTAGGGTAAGCTTCACACGTGGGTCGCGATCGGGCGGGTCACACGCTGAATGGTTGATGCGGCTAGGTTGGCACGTGGGGATGATAGTATAATCTAGATGATATCTGATAACTTCAAGTTCTATGCGTAGTCGAGTATTTATTACTACTTTATCATTCATGTATTCCCAGCATTTACCTGGGTATGTCTACCTTAGGTACATAGTATGGTAGTGACGATAAGACTGCATATGAGCCAGTCCCACAACTACGCAGGGTGCTTTGTACTTGGAAGTCCGCCGAGTATGGAGGAACGGAGAGGTACTCGGGGAGTAAAGGGTTAAGAATCTATAAGTGTTCATCTTTCTTCAAGGTGGCCTTAAGGTAAAGTCGGGCATGGTGATAGTGATAGTGACAGGATAGCGCGGGTGTGATATCATCATCCTAGGGTTGGTAGCAGTAGCACGGATCGCAGTTGGGATGGCAATGATGGTGGATGGATGGTGGCAATGATGAAATGGTGAAATGGGGCCAAATGGTAAGTACATGTAGGTACATACAGTGAGTACTGTATGTACTCACCGTAGTGTAGGAGCTGAGCACAGCTGAGATACGCAGTGGAGGGTGGACGGCGGAGTCTCCCCTTTGGTGCACATGACCCGGAAGCCCGGAGCGGTCAGCTTGTATGGTATGGTTATAGATTACATTACCTTGGGTCCACACTTGCTGTCACAGCCAATCAGTACTCTTCCTTGTGGTCAACCCAGTAAGAAGACTGTCACAACACGGTAAGTGGAATAATTCACCAGTCACAGTAAATGTACAAAATGCCCCATCGCCCCCTTTTCGCCTTTCTTCCTCTGCCTCTTCTCGTTGGTCGCCCTCACAAGCTCGCCCTCCAACCATCGCACAGAGCCTTCCTTCGCATTTGGTCCAGTTACAACCAATCGTGAGTACTATCTATATGGTCTACTACTCCGTACTGCTTTATTATACACTGCTTTACTATACTCGCCTATGTTCTTCTGCACTCTTATATCATTATCTCTGTACTGCCTGTACCCTACCTTACCTTACTCTACTCTGTCTACTCTGCTACTGCATCTGCCTACTGTATTGCCCACCGCCTAGCACTGACTTCACCTCCACCTGCACTTCCCTCCTCCTCCCCAATCACCTTCGCCCTTCGATCCCTTGATCGTTTGACCCGGAGAATATCCATATCCACGTTCTTCTCCCTTCCCATTTGCCATCTCGTGCTATCTCCCCCCCACCTTGGTCTCCAGGTAAATCCCAGCTCTCTCCAATCCCACGTTGCGCGCGCCCACCACCAGCATAACAACGCGCCTCCTCCACCACCCATATCTCCCACCACCCACGGTCGCATGCGCCGCATCTTCCCTACCCCCCCCTTCCTATCCCTCTGTCATTGGCCGAACGCGATCTTCTATGCGCGCGCCTTGACTCGAGGCTGCCTTTTACTGTCTTTTGTTTCGTGTTTCTACCCGATCGCTTCGCCTTGCACGCGTCCCTGGCATTGAGCTTGACATCATCGCCTTTCGTCGCATCCCATTCTAACAGCTGCTAGCTTCGCGCCAATCCATTCGCTCGGCCCTTGTCGCCTTGTCGAGTTCGACGTCTGCAGAGCCGATCATCCTGGTAAGTTCACTGCAGCCTCCAAATTCCCGTGCCAACGCATACATCCCCATCCCACCCACTGCCACGGCCGCGGCCATTGCCTGCTGTCTACTGCCTATTGCCTACTGCCCACTGCCCGTCGCGGCCTAACCCACTCCGGTTATTCTGCGTATTGCCCGGGTCCCCCCCCCCAAACAATCAAAGAAAAATTACAGGAAAAAAAAGAAAAATAAGAAAAAAAAGAAAAGAAGAAAAGAGAAAAAAAAGGGAAAAGAGACAAAGGAGATCAAGTTTGGTCCCAACTTGACAACACAACACAGCACCACTCCCTGTTTATACCAAATGCATACTGACTCTCACAGTGACAGCGCTCTGACATTGAAGTCGCATTATCTAGCACTCCCGCTAGCCCGGATTCGCATCGCCTCAATTCTCGTGTGTTGCTCTTTGCGCCCAGCGAGGTTGAAAGAAGATCAAACCTCGGAACTGCGGTCGCGGCGCCTGAAATAGTTCCCAGCCCTCCGCGGGGTGGCAGACGGACAACGCATCATATCAAGAGGGGCCACTTCGACCCCCCCCGGCTGCATCACAGCCCAACCACGTTACACCCGTGGTCCTGGTATCGATTTGCTCAAAACCGCTAATCCCTCCGTTCAAGATCGTGTGGGAAGCTGCGAAGCCTCGAAGCCTCGAAGTAACCGCCCTCTAACCCCTTTGTCCATTTGTTTGGTTCTGTTAAGGTACGCGCCGTGATTCCCTTTGGTCCCCACTGTGTCTAAACCCAGTGACCGTCCGCTGCTGCAGCGCCAGACTCTTGCTGACGCGATCGCCCGACAGGCTGCAGACAGTCGTGTCCCCACGCCGAATCATCTCAGTTGACGAGTGTGGTGATTCCCGCCCCGCCTGCACGCGCCGTGATATAGTCCCGGCTCTTCTACCAAACAAAAGCTCGCGCTCTTCGAGCTTCTTGTCTCTCCTTCGCCAACGGCGCACCAATCCGTCGCGTCGCTCAACGTCTCATTTCATCTGATTGGTGATTTCGGGGTAAAGTAGATCGTCCCCCCCGGCCCCGAATCCTTTCTTGCTACGGTACCGCGCGACTGTGCAACGGAACCAACCCCGTTGATACAGCCCATCATGGAGTACCCGCCGCAATATCAACAGCCTCATGGCCAACATCCGCATGCTCCCTCACACCTGCCCGGCCCTTACCAAGCCGGTCCTCCGAATGCTGGACCTCCCGTTGGGTCCATGGCGTCGCCAACCAACGCTCCGCCTCAGATGCAGCAGACACATCCCGCCCACCAGACTTCCCCCATCATTCCATCCCAACAGCACTACCAGCAATCGCAGAATGCGCCGGGCGCCGTCCATCAACAGATGAATTTCCCTCAGGGATATGGCGTCCCCGCCGCCATGCCCCAAGGGTATGGTATCTCACCTACGCAAGCTGCCGCCATGGCTACTGCGGCCGCCTCGGGTCAGTTCTATCCTATGCACCAGGATTCCATGGCCGGTCAGATGGCTCAGGGGCAACGAGGATCGCCTCGCATGGCCCCTGGTGTTCCGATGAAGCAGGACCGTAACCCTCGATCGCCGCCGCAGATGCCGGGGCAGATGCCACCCATGGGTAGCGGTGTTCAGATGGCACCAAACACGCAGATGGCTCAGCGCCGAATGAGCCATGTCGGCGGTAGCCCCAATGTACAAAGCGCTCAACCTGTTCTGAACCACATCAGCCGTGCCTCCGTGGCTCCCCCCCGGAGGTCCTCCCCAGGCCATGGCCCAGGGTCACCCGTCTCCAGAGATGGTGGCCAGTACCAACCAGGAAGAATCACCACTATACGTCAACGCGAAGCAGTTCCATCGCATTCTCAAGCGCCGTGTTGCGCGACAGAAGCTTGAAGAACAGTTGCGCCTGACCTCCAAGGGCCGCAAGCCCTACCTGCACGAGTCACGACATAACCACGCCATGCGTCGACCTCGTGGCCCCGGTGGCCGCTTCTTGACCGCTGATGAGGTTGCTGCGATGGAGAAGAAGGCAGCTGAAGGTGGTGGTGATGGGTTGGAAGATATATTGAAGGGCGAGAACGGATCTGGGCAGAAGCGCAAATCAAGTGAAGTCAACGATGAGAACGTCAACCCCAAGAAGACCAAGACGCTTGCCAGCGCTGATGGAAGCGAGCAAGAATCGGCCGACCCTTCGGATGAGGACGGCTAAGTGTCTCGTCCTCGGAGCTGATGGCTTGGCTCATGGAATATGCCTTGACCCTGTATATAGGGTTGGGTGTACATGACTCTCGTCGATGATATATCATTTTCTTATGTATTTTCCTTTTGTTGTGATGACGGCTTTATGGATGGACGCTTTCTGGACTGTGTTTTTTTTTGGTTTATCGTTTCCCCTTACTGAGTGTCCTTGTTTGTCTTAACTTCGATTATGGTTCCTTTTTTCTTCTCGAGCGAGCGATAACCCACACCCCCTTTTCCCTTCTACCCTCTACTTTCAACTCAATGTGCTCTACCTACCCTCTCCAACCTCACATTGACTCTTTTCAACTTTGAACCTCCTTCCTCCTGACTTGTTTACTTATAACTCTATGCTGGGAAGCAAAGCAATTTTTCACCCTAAGTATTTCCACGAGGGGTCGCTGGCTGAGATTTCTTCCCTTTCTTCTATGGTCCATTGGGGTCCTTGAGACCTCCTCTCTTCTCTCTTATCCGAATGACTAACATTGGGATCTCCTGGGGTTCCATTCACACCTCCTTGGTCTACTATCATTCACTATGATGAAAACCACCAATGGATACGTTTTCCAGGACCCCGAGGTCCTATCCCTCGTGCCGTATCGGCCATGTGGACCAACCAATCCATGAAAAGCAGAGAAGAGAGAACATGGTAACCAATTGCCTTATTGGGAATTTATCTCGCTCAGCGTCCTCATCCTCATCCTCGCCCTGTGTATATGATCGACAGTACGCACACCTGACTGTCTTGTTTCGTCAATGTTGATTTGATTGCAGCTCGCTCGCATGTTTATTATTACCCAATTCTCCCCTATCGCGACATTATTTCCCTGGAATTTACTTGTTCATGACCATCTTCTCCTCTCACCTTCTACTTATTTCGTGATTGTCTTTTCTCCTCCATTTCTGTGATTTTCTCGGTGTCTTCTGGGTGTGTATGGCTTCAAGTTTTCTGGTGTGTTCCGGACTTGGCTGGGCTGGGCTGGGAATTTAGAGAGGGTATCCTTCATTGGAAAAACAGATTTATTCGATGGGATCTTTATGAATCTGGATAAGATGATCTTTTGTTTTGTTTATTTTTCGTTTTTTATTCTGGATGGATGGATGGATGGATATGAGACCAATTTGTCATGCTTATACCATTTGAATGAAGATGTTGTTTTATACTCCTGGCACTATTCCATATGCCCTCGTAGGACCCCTTCAGGGATGGAAGGAAGGGATAGTCCCATGCTAATGGTAACTAAATTAAACTAAACCACGCCAGCAAGTATGCCGTAGATTAAAATATGATACGAGACCATCATTGGTCGAATATCATTTTGACTCTAGTACCTGACCTGGCCTGATCTGAATCAAGGCGTCAAGCACGACCATTCAGCATTAAGCTCCATGTACAAAAGTACTAGTACAACCCAGTCCCTCAGGCAAAACCCCGCCATTGAAAGAAAACTCGTTTGTCTCGTAGTTATAGCGAAGAAAAAGAATATGTCCAGCAAACAAAGCAATGAAAGGCCGCGATCCAGCGCTGACCAATAAGTCTAACAAAATCCAAAACACCTCGATATGCAAGACGCAAGAAGCAAGACTGAAAGACACACCCATTTACCAGAACTGGCACTATTAGGGTACTAAACAGCCTCCCAATCCATAGCATCAACCATAAACTCCCAATCCGCCTCCGACTCCTCCCCATCCACCTCCTCCGGCCTGCGACACAACTCCACATGCGCTCTAGCCCTAACAAACCCCTCCTCCAACCCGGCAAAAATGCCCATAATAATTTCCTCAAAATTGTAGCTCGACAGTGGCAGAATCTCGTCCCGACTTCGATCTCGGTCGGACTGCGGGTCCCGCCCTTGCTCTTCGGCTGTCATGTCGGCTGTTTTCCATCGGTTGCGGAGCTGTTTTGCTTGGCGGAGGAGGGCGAGGGGTTTTCCGGTGCCGAGGACCGGGGTTAGGGGTGTTGTTTCTTCTTCTAGGGCTTGGAGAACGTTTGCGTGGTAGCGGTGTGTTGCTGCTCCTGTTCCGTTGCCATTGGCGAAGCCGAAGCCGTCGGATGTGGTGGCCGGTCGGCGCGAGGAAACGCTGATATTGAAGATGGCGAGTAAGTGGACGATGGCGCGTTCAAGGAGGGCGTAGTATTCGTGGAAATCGATCTTGAACATGATTTGCGCGTGGGCGATGTCTGCCGGTGAGGTGGAGGTGTTGTGCTCGGCGGGAATTGTGGCTAGTCTGTATGCTTCGGCTAGGAAGGGGAGTTTCCAGCGGAGGCGGGAGACGATTTTCATGAAGCGGGATAGTTCTTCGTGGGCGGGGAGTTGGGTTGGTTGTTGGCGTGGGTTTGGGCGTGGACTTGGATTTGGACTTGGTTTGCGGGGTGAGGGGAAGGTTGTGGTGTTGCGGATGGGGTTTTCGGAGCATGGGCGGCGGAGCGCTGGGTTTGATCTGGTATTGTTTCCCCCTGGGGCCCAGTGTGAGCTGAGGAGGTCGCCCATTGTGACTCGAGCTGTGATGCGATGCGGTGCAGTGGAATGTGGAATGTGGGGAGAGCGCGGGTGGTTATCGGCTACGCACGGGCCGACTTTTATGGCGGAGACTGCGTATAAGAGAGAGTACGTGTCTAAGGTAGTTCACAAGGTGATGCGGATAGTGCTGGAATGTGTGAATCATGGGTAGAGCGAGTGTATTGAACTAGGTAAGATATATTTTCCAAGTTTGTTGACATACTAAATTACTTAGGGCAGCTGCATCTTGAAAAGTATGTAGCCACTCTTAGTGATGCTGGGTATAGTTTGAGGAGAATAGATACGTCTTTTGTGTTAATCTTGGAACATGCTCAATGAAGTTTCTTGTTTGTATTTTATAGATAAGCTACTACCTCGGTAGCATATGGAACTTATCACCTCATGCATTGTCAATAGCCATCTGCGATTGCTGGCAATAAGACCTGGAAGGTTTAAGTAGATAGCTAGAACTTAAAGTCCCCTTCAAAGTCTCATCGGAGAACTCAATTGGACATACTCATACAAATTCGTGCAGAGAAGATTCTATTAATCCCAGACTTTCAAGGTCCTCTAATCAGCAGGCCCTGGTGAGCCTGTGCTTTCCTGTCCTCTGTCCTCTGTTCTACTCGGAGATGTCTGCAGTATCAGTCTCAATTGGAATTTAGTTTGAGCGTGCGGCTGAGAATTGCACTTGAATCATGGACATTCTTTCGGTCTCTTCCTATAAGTATGTTTCCTCGTTCCTAATAGGACCTATTTGGTATTTGCACATCTTTTGATATACTACTTAGGGCCATATCGATATTCTAGTACTTTTACCATACATGCATCGTCCGCCAAGATCGAGACAAAGAGAATACAGCCGTAGCTACTTCGTATGTATGACATACCTGCTATCCCTGCTGCAGCTTCCCATGACCTGTTTGTAGATACTTGCCTATTGACCAGGGACATCCTACCATCTAGAGAGTATCTGATGTGAAACAAACCCCCAGCCCGCCGTATTCCCCCTTAGAGGCTGAGACATTTCCTTCTTGTCCACCATTACCCCTGTTTATCGGCTGGTCTTCGCAATATTGTCCACATTCTCTCAATTCTGAATTCTCCGATTCTCCAAATCTACTCTGCTCAACTCTAGTGAACTCACAGTGTGCGACTTGAGGTTGTATACTCCATTGTCAGGTGACCCAACTAACCCCATCCGGACTAGCCCATAACCTCCGCCCCAGTCAGCTTGTCGCTCCCTTTCGCATCTCCATCTCCATCTCCATCTCCCCTCCTTGAGAGCTTGTCACTGCCTCAATCGCTTCTTTTAAGGCTTCTTGTAGGTTGCCTTTCCTTTTTTAATTCCCTTTTCCATCCCCTCTCGTGGCTCCCCCTCTTATCCGATCATCTGTTCTCCCCGCTTCATCTTTCTGCCTGCTCCCCGAAGACCGCAACTGCGCCGCTTTGGCCTCGCGCTTTCGCGAGCCCGCGCGATTCCTTTTCTTCTGCTATTCTCTAGCGCATGCTTGAGATGTCATACCCTTCTTTCCTTCTTCTCAACCTCCCCGCTCCCTCCGCACTCGCCTGGTCCGGTCAAGACATGCTTCCTCCACCCGGGAGCTGCCGTACCGACGGCCACTCCATCTTGTTTATCTCCAATCCCCGAGCACATTGTCTTTTCTGTCCTCCTTGAAACCATCAACTGCAATACACCGATCTTCTTCCGCTTTTCCTCCGATTTGCTCGATCTGACATTGACGATAAAGCATCTTAGCTCTTGAACACTGTCGTCCGCAGACCTCCGTCGGCTTGTCCAGCAACCGCCCTCACTTTGCTGTTCTAGAATACCATCCGGCTACCCTCCTTGGGGCTTTCAAATCCCCTGGGTTGCGGCAGAAACCGCGAACTGCGCATCACCCACCATTGGAAACCTCTCCGTTGAGATGGATTCATTCGACGACCATACGTCTCCGGGACGACCACGAGACGGAGATTCGTATCTCGGACGAGCGTCCGGAGAATTTCGACGCCGATCTCCTTGTATGACATAATTGTATCTCGTCGTTGCTGAAACTCCTCATTGCTAACTCCTTCCCCAGCCCCCCCAAGATCGTCGCCGTCGCCATGGCCGCTCACGGTCCCCTACCAGGATCGATCGGTATGAACCTTCAGATCGTCGCCCAAGAGACAGCTATGGTCCTCGTGATGGTCGCCCCCGAGAACGCCGACGTTCGCCCTTCTCATCCAGGGACACATACACCCCCTCGACTCGCAACCGCTCACCGCCGGTCGTATACCCCGATCCGCTTTCCGTCGAATTCGAGTTAGAACTCAAAGAATATCGCCTCTGGTGGCGACAGGATCGAGACGCAAACCGAACCACCAATGGCATCAAAGGGGAGCGCGAGGCCTTGGAGGACAGAGAGAAGGAAGAGGCTGAACTTGAGAAGGATTATAAGGATTATCTCATCAAGTTCACTCGAACTTTTGTTCGGAAGCATCGGGATGATGAGTGGTTCAAGGAACGCTACAACGATGAGCTGCGGGATCCCCATCCGCAGCCGCCTCCTCGCTTTCCGAAAGGGAGGCTTTGAGCAATGGGAGCGTGATTTGAACGAAGGCGTATTCGATGAGTTTTCTCTGGAAGGAATTCACAAGAGCGAGCATGACGGTGCCGGCGGTGTCATTGAGAAGGAGGAGGGCGAAACTACTACTGCTGGAGAAACCCAGGGTGGCCAGGATTTAGTTCCAGCTCGTGGAGCGGATCTGCGCGACGAAACCCTTTCCCAACCAACCCTGCTCATAAAGACATTGGCTCCAAATATCAGTCGCGATAAGATCGAGGAATTCTGCAAGGAGCACCTTGGTGAGGGCGATGGTGGCTTTAAATGGCTCAGTCTTGCCGATCCTAGGCCGAAGAAGAAATTCCACCGCATGGGATGGATCATGCTACACCCCGCGGCAGATGCAATGAATGTTGTAGAGCGTGGAGATGGTCGTGATGAAGATGCGGAATTTGGAATTGACCAGGACCACATTGGCAATGGCAGCGCCGTCAACAACACCGCCGAGAAAGCTCTCGAAGCTGTGAATGAGAAGAAGATCCATGATCCGGTGCATGGCGACTTCACCTGCCACATGGGAGTTCATAATCCACCTCCCCTGTCCAAGAAAACACTATGGGACTTGTACTCTGCCCCGAAAAGAATCGAAGCCGACCTGAGTCTTGCACAGCAATTGATTGAAAAATTAGATCAGGAATTGACTGAAGTGTTAGGCTATGATGCCAGTGCAGCCGTCAAGATCGAAGAGCGCGTTGAAGATCTTAAAAGAAAGGGCTGGCTGCAGCCTCCCGTTACTGGCCCCGTTAGCATCAAGCAGGATAATGGATTTGACGAAGATGCCGAGGACGGGGAGTTGGAAGAGGGTGAAGAGAAGGAAGCGCACCAGACCAATGATGTCGATGATATGGAGCTTCTGGTAAAAAAGAAGAACTTGGACTTGATGGTAGAGTACCTGCGACGAGTCCACAATTTCTGCCTTTACTGTGTGTATGAGAGTGACTCGGTCCATGGACTTACCCAAAAGTGCCAAGGTCACCTTCGTCGACCACGCAGCACTCTTTCTAAGCGGGCCGAGGATGTCGCCGATGCTAGCGTCAATGGTGCAGACTTCCCCGCCGAGGACGAGGAGCCGCAGGAGGATGGAGAGTCATCGCCGCAAGAAAGACGCAACCAACGACCCGTTTCGAAGAATGAGAAGCAATTGCAAACTGCTTTCAAGCATGTGAAGAGGTTCGAAGATAGACTGGCTCTGATTTTGGACCCGCAATCTGTCGACTTGCGCAAATTCAACTGCATGGATGACGAAGAGGCCACTGTTGACGAACTATTGGCCAACCACGTTTTGAAGCGCACCGTGAACACCGACGAAGGAAAGCAACTCCGTTTCGACTGCAAATTGCCAAACTGTTCGAAGAAATTCGCGGCTGAGCGCTTCTGGCTCAATCACACCACCGGGCGTGGAGCTGAAGGCCAACCACCCAAGAACCCGGGTCACCAAGCATTCCGGGCGAATATCACGAGCGAGGTAAGTTGTGTTTTTTCCCCCCCAATATTTTAATGGCAGCCACTAACCACTTTTCCAGATGGCACTTGTAAAGAGATTCGCTACAGACCCATCGCGACTCTCGATACCCCATCCTGACCCTAAGAAGAATGAAGACAACCCGTTCGGCCCAGGCGGGTCGTCACACGGACATGGCATGTCAATGGCATATACATACAACCCAGACGTGCCCGGCGGATTCGCAGTTCGAGGTACTGGCATGCCCATGATGTCTAGAAACGGAGGCCCATGGGGCAATGGAATGGTTTCCGGCGACGGCTCCGGTCTCCATCATCCTGGTGCCATGCGCCGCGGAGGAAATATCCGCCACAACCCTCGACCTGGACCGTACGACCGCCGGCGGCCCAACGGTAACGGTCGACTCAGCCCTGTCCGCGTGTCTAACATGTACGGTGCGGGCCGTTACCCTCCCTCGGGTCATCCTGCCGCCGGAATGGTCGGGCACAATCCGTTCCCCGATGCGATGGGTGCAGGTGGTGGGCAGCAGCCCATGCCGCCGCGTGAAGCGGTCCAGGGGCGGAGTCTCAAGAGCTATGAGGACCTCGATGCGGTGGGTGGGTCCGGTAGTGGAGAGCTGAACTATTAGTACTAGTAGTCTCTTCTTGTCTTTGGCTCACTGATGTTGGCATCGCGACTTGACCCGACCTGAACCTAGTCGACGACGTCCTATGTCTTCGTCTTGCTCAACTCGATTCTGTCGATTCTTGCTATTCTGTTCTGTTCTGTTCTGTTCTAACTGGTGTGTGGCGCAATGGATGGAATGAATGGGAAACTTACCGTGCACGGCACGCCTTTCTTTTTTGAACTTTTTCTTTTCTTTTCTCATACATTTCATTTCTTTTTCTTATTTTCTCTTCGATTACTGAGATCTCACTTCTCCCCCCTTCAAGCTCGGGGCTTCTTTACAGTATTTCATTCTTTTCTTTTCCTTTTCCTTTTTTTGGACTTTCCTTTCCTCTTCAAACCCCCTGATTTTGCCATGCTCCAGCGCAGGTGTGGCTTGGACTGGGCCGTTTTACTACTTCTTGTTCCTTTTCGTCTGCTTTTCTTTTCCCTTTCCGTCTGGTATTTAAAATTTCTGACCTGGATCCTTCCCATTTGAAAGTTCGTTTAGCATGTACAATATCATTCGATCGTGAATTGCGCTGCAAACTGTTTATCGTTTCATCTGGAGTTGTAGGGTATTTGTGTTTCAGCTAGTACTGATGGAAGCTGGAATGGAACATCTGCCAGTGGGTAACAAGGGGAAACAGGAATAAAAGCACTGTACTTGTACTAATAGTATGCCTAAGTGCTAGTCTTGGTAGTAGCAGAATGCGACTCGGAATTTTGAGCAAGATTTTCAATTTGAAGGTGTATTAAATCAGACTGGAATTTTAGACTTTCCACGTCATGCTCTATTATTGTGGTCATCACTAACATTAATTCGTAATCGTACATTAGAAGATAGATCAATATGCACATTGAAGATCAGGGTAGATCAGATCAGATCAGTTCATTCCCCGGGCCATCATGGCATCTTGATAACAACCTCCTCTCCAGAATCGCGCCACTCAGCGCCCATCCCTCTGACCCTCCGCTCGCTCGCCAGGAAGAGTAGGAGATAGATATGCATTGCGACTTCGCCCCATGCATACATTTTCAGTGAGAGGGATAGAGAGTCGGGGATGGCAGGTGTACCGGGATGGGAAGGGCGAAGAGGTGGGGAGAGATTGTCTAGATCAGTTGATGCAGTTGAGGGTAGTGAATGGGAGGTTTCTTTCGTGTCTGAATCAATGGGGTCTATTTCGCGTTCGACGATACACCAGACGCCCCAACCAGCTCGGGCGTCTTTTCCGATGAAGTCTGATAGGAAGGACCAGAAGCGGTGGAAGGAGGGTGTGTCCCAGGGGGGTTGGAGTGAGTTGTGTGAAGAAGGGGTAATAGCGGGGGTAGTAGAAGGGGTAGTGAATTGGATGGGAATTCGGAGAGACCAGTAGCCTCGTTCTAGTTTATCGAGATCTCTGGTTTGTTGGAGGGGTTTGTATATTCTTTCCGGCTTGAGCCGCTGAGTGAGCATGGATAGGGTTGGGGTAATGTGAGTGATGAAGGGGGAGGTGGAGATCGGGGGCGGTGGGGGAGTGATTTTGATAGGGAGAGAGTGGAGGAGCGATGTGATCGAGGCGTTGTGAGCCGTGGTTGTGATTTTGGGGGCTGCCTCGGCCTCAGCTTCGGTTTCGGTCTCGAGACGACGGCGTTTGGGGGTTCGCTCGGGGCTGGGCAGGTCGGATTTTAGTGCGACCAGGCTAGCTTTAGCTTGCGCTTCCGGGGGGTGTGGAGCCGGGGTACGAGGACCATCTTCAGGCCTTGAGGGGAATAGGGGTTGCTCTGATGGTTGCGAGTCTGGAATGACGCTGACCAGGCTTTCTAGAGAATTGCAATTGGAGGTGGGGAGGGGATTGCAGGCCGCTGGTTCTGCTTCTTGCAGATGAACTAGAGGCGCCAGGGCCAGTGCCTCGGGCCCGATCGCGTCCAAGCGAGCAGGACTGCAGACCCGCTGAAGATCGGGGGCTGGACCAGTGGTAGAACCAAGAAGTTGGCCCGGGCGAGAGGAGGGAGGGTGAGAGGGAGAGGGAGAGGAAGAGGAAGAGGAAAAGGAAGAGGGAGATTGAGGTCGGCGATCTGCAGCTGCAGGGGAACCGGGATGAGCGGGTATCCCGGCAGACTGCGTGTTGGAGGGAGAAGCAATAGAAGTTGCAATACCGGGGATAGTCGTCAGATCAGGAGTTGCAGGACCAGGACCAGGAGCAGCGGAGATTGGCTGGAAAGAGGACATAATGGCGGCGATCTGGGCATGGTATCGTGCATCATCTCCGGCGCTGGTCGGGGCAGAGACATGGACGAGGATCTCCATTATTTGTCACGCAGGTCGACAGGGGCAGTGACAATGTCGACAGTATCGACAGAGGTCGACAGAGGGTAGTGTCGACAGAGGGTAGTGTCGACAGAGGGTAGTATCGACAGAGGTATCGACAGGGGAGAGTGTAAGTGTATACTGTAGAGGGACTGAGTACGGAGGAATGCCAAGACCGATCGATCACATCCTCCACTTTCTCAACGGTTGCCGTTACCTTCTTCTTCTTCTCTGAACCTCTTTCCACTCCCACATTCCTTCATCATGGCTAACGGTGGGGTGTACCCCATGGATCAGATGCAACATTTGCCTGGTGAGTTTGACATTGCTTATATCTTTGCTTATGGGGTCTGTTATGATCCTCATCTGGGTCTGGGTCTGGGTCTGAGTCCGGTGTTAATCAACTCGACTGGCTACACTCTACTCTGACCTCTGCTCTGCTCTGCTCTTCGCTCTATTGATTTTTGACTTTTCAATTTTCTCTGCTCCTCCTCCTCTCGCCTATCCTCTCTGCATAAATTCATCAAACCTCATGGCATCCACGCTGACTTCCTTGCGCCGGGCCCTCCCGTCGGGAGCTCGGTGCGATCGATCGCAGAACAACCCTCCACCCCAACAAGAGCTGGTTTCGGCGGCGAATTCTTCAAGCTCTTCGGCGGTGGTAACAATAACCCTCCTCCTCCTGCTGCTGTCAAAAAAGCTCCGCGAGGTGAGTCTTACACCTGCATCCCCCACGCTTTACACACGCACGCACACACATACTAAACTTCTCCCCAGATGGCCAGGCTCCAAAACGTCGAGGTCCCAAACCTGATAGCAAACCGGCCTTGACTCGTCGCCAGGAACTAAATCGCCAGGCTCAGCGGTATACACTATCCCCTCGTCTCCAAACCCAACACCTCGTCTAACGTGACGCAGAACCCATCGCGAACGAAAAGAACAATACATGCGAGCCTTGGAGACCGAAGTATCACGGTTACGAGAGGCATACACATCGGAGATTTCCGACGCAAATGTCCAACTGCAACAGCACAAGGAGGTCCTGCAGTCGGTCCGCACCGAGAACGAAATCCTCAAGGAGATCCTCATCGCGCATGGCATCCACTACGAGCCCGAGCTCGAGCAGCGTCGGGCGGAGCGCCCTCCTGTCCCATTCCAGTCCAGCCCCGTCGCCGCCAGCAGCGCAGGCTCGCAATCTGCCGGCCTCGCGACTTCAGTCAGCAACCATCATACCACCCCGGCAACCTCCATCTCCCCTAGTCTGAGTCCTACTGCCGGCAGTGGTGTGATTGGTGGTCTTGAGCACCCCGACATCTCGCCCCCGATGGCCTTTGCTCCCCCACAACAGGTCTACCACGCTGGCCCTGGTGATAGTATGGGTGCGATGGATCGGTCCGCCTGCCAAGCGGCTCCTCCAGTCCCTGCGATGGGCGGCGTCTTCGAGAGTGACCCACAACTCCAGATTGACTTTATTCTAACGTACGCCACATCCTTTTTACCCAGATCCCCAAGCGTCCCGTTCCCGTTCCCGTCCCCGTTTACCCCCTTTCAACCCCATCTGTACACTGCTAACCCCACAAATAGTTTGGAAGGACCTTGTCGAGAACACACCGACTATCTCTGTCGTCGCTCTGTCACCGAGGCCGATGATGAGGATATGCCCTTCTCGGGCCACGCCTTGATGGCTACCTGCCCACCACCGAGTTATATAACAAACACAACACCCGAACAGCCCTATCCCCATAAAGCGCCAGATCTACCGCTCGCAAATCTCGGCACGCTCCTCAACCTCAGTCGCCAACTCGTCACCGATGGCCAAATCACCCCCATCATGGCTCTGCAGTGCCTCAAGAACCACGAGCTCTACCCATCCCTCAGCCGCGATGACATCAAGATCATCATCGAAACGCTCAACACCAAAGTCCGCTGCTACGGCTTCGGCGCCGTCGTCGAGGATTTTGAGCTAATCGATTGTTTGAGCAGTGTCCTGGGCACCGATGTTGACTTGAGCATGATTCGCCATCGTGACGATGCGATTTACTCTTGATTTGACTGACTCCTCTCGAATTCCCCCAGGCTGGGAAAAAGGAGCCCCCAATCAAAAGCGAGCTTTGCGAAAATTAAGAAACGATTACGAAATTTCATGTCTGGAAAATCCCTTTGCTTTTGGCGTGTTCTTGTGTGTACTATTCTAGCTTAAACTGTTGAGAGTCGGTTTTTATGGTAACAGGCCGTGGGCCTGACCTCTTCTTCCCTTCTTCCTTTCTTGATTATCTCTCTTCGAACACTCTCTTTTCTTTTCTTTTCTCTTTGAGAAATCCCATTCTCAGATTCCCTTTTTTCTTCTCTTTTCCATCTTTACTTTTACCACCCCTTTCCTTCCATTGGATGGCTTTTTCTATGATACTTTTACCTTTCTTTTCTTCTGTTCCACTCAACTTCGTCTCCTCAATTATTTTCTCCTTCTCATCCTCTGTTGGAGATTTACAGATTTGAAAACAGTCAGATGGGTACCGCAGGAGACCATTCTGCGTCTATTTTATCACCTGATTGTTTGTCATTTTTCTCGGACTGAAGCCAAGTTACTCCTTGGCTGCCAATGAGACTTAGTATGCATCTTCCAGCCTATTCACTCGTCTAACTTGAACTCTTCGGTATTCCGCCATACACCCCGCCTATTTTAGACTCGTCATGGCTTCCCCGCTGTTACTACCCCACACATTCCTCCACCCCGAACTACGCGTGATTATCATGATGAACATGGCGACTATGATATCTTTCTATGGTCATGAATCTGGAATAAAAATAGGCATTAATATCGGCACGATCAATGCTTATTTTAGTTCGAAAACAGGGACATGATGACATGATGTTTACTTAATTCGGGGGACATTGTTGACCGAATGTAGAAACCCTGGACAAGTTACTCATTGTGTCTGGGGAAGTTGAGAAGAGGTCGGAAAATAGGGACAAATAATATTATGGTTCTTGAATGAGGTAGTCTTGCAATTCGAATACAAGTACCCATGAGGTTGACGCCGTAAATGACCTATTTTGTGACACCAGGAACAGCCACCTGTCCATGAATACAAGCAACGAAGGAGATACCCAAGTAATTTATGAAAGCGCACATCACTCCAACCTCTCCAATCTTAGCGTGAAAGGTACGTGGTCTCTGCCGAATGTCAAAGTTCAAATCCCCTTCAAAACACTCAACCAGGGCGCGATGCGTCTCAGAAACAAGTAATCCGCTCTTCTCCCGATAATTCGGGAGATATGCAGCATCTCGGATATCCCAGGTCTGTCACTGGGCATCGGGGAGAATAACAAAACCGTGTACACCGCTTCACTGGGCTACGTCAATCTGGAGAGCAATATCCCCTGCGACATCAACACAACCTTTGTGCTGGGGTCCCTCAGCAAAGGTATAATAGCTGCTTTGGTAGCCTCCCTTCACGACGATGGTACCATTTCCTCGTGAGATTCTCCCTTGAAGACCCTGCTGCAGCTTCTTGTCGAAACACTTCTAGATAACTCCGGTAAGGCGCCTGAATATCTCACTCTGGCAAAACGATCGGCTGCAATCGCTTTACAAGAGGTGAAGGATATCAATAGGAGTCTGGCTGCGGGCCGAACTATCGAGACTACTTCCAGACCACTGGATGTTTACGTCGGTAGATACTTCAATGAAGCTGGTAATTTCTTTATTGGGATAGAGAAAAGAGGTGAGAACAGTCTTCAGGTTGTGTATACGGGCAGAAGTGCGGATACATTTAGACTTCTTCCGTACCAGGAAGACAGTTCTTATTGGGACTTTGACACACGCCGAGGCTGCAAGGCTTGCTCCAGAGCCTATTTTCTCAATAGGATATCACATTATCAAATTTAATTCTGATGTGAATGGAACGAGCATCGCTTGCCTTTGGTGGCAGCATCAGCCTGACCTGTCAGAACCTGGGGAGATATTCAAGTAGACGGAGACGGGGTTTGAGGGCATCCGGGCTGAAATATGAGAATTTCCTACTATTTACTATGTGTCTTTATCACTGTCATGAATATTAGCGGGGATGTTTATCTACAGCTGAAATTTGCACGAATATTACCACAGTATAACTGGCGCTGGTAGGCGCAGTTGGGAGTAATCTACAAGACTGGAAAGAATGACGTGGAAACATTGAATTCAAGCACAATCGTGACGGATCATCGTTATCAAACTTTTCAACATATGCACATCCAAGGAGACGGAAAAAAGAAAATAGTAATCTAGGATCTAGCCCAGACAGAAAAAGCACATTATCGAATGGATATCTCCTCCTCCCTCTACTCCTCAGACTCCTCAGCCTTCTCCTCCTCCTCGATTTCGGCCTCCTCATCCTCGTCAAAGGTGGTGGCGGGGACGCTGTACAGACGCAGAACAGACTTGTTGGGGTCCTTGATGAGGACGTACTTCTTGACAGACTCGGCGGGCTCGTTGGCATCAAGCTCACGGATACGGTCAACGATCGTTCGGACAATACCCCATCCGTTTCCGAGGTTAAGGTTCATCTGGGTAGCGAACTCCTTAGGCTTGTAGCCGACAACGCCAAGAACGACGTGGCCAGCAGCGGAGCGGGGGTTGGCGCGAGACACGAATCCAAGCTTCATGCCGTCGGCCTGGGCCAGGATAGCCTGGGTGGTCCAGCGGGCGAGCTTGCAGGAGTTGTTCTTCATCTCGGTAGCGAGGACGGCACCACGCTGGGAGACGAGCTTGGAGCGCCAGTCCAGGGCGTTGCCGGAGCCGGGGGCCTTGCTGTCGAACTCGTTCAGGGCCTTGACGATGAGTTGTTGGTCGGCACCGCCGGTGGGGTTCTTCATGACGGCGTCGACTTCGGTACGGACGACCATCTGGAGGGGCTCCTCGTCACGCTCGAGGCCGAGGTTGAACTTGCGGTACTTGTAACCCTTGGAGGCGAGGGGCTCGGTCTCCTCAGCCTCGTTGTAGAAGGGGTTGGGCTGGGCGAAGGAGACCTTGGCCTGGTCGTTCTCGGTGACGGTCTGCAGGGCGAAGTTGTGGTTGATGAAGGTAGCCTCCATGGCCAGGGCGGAGGGGGTGTTGATCTGGTCGTGCTTGGCGGAGGTCTCGGAGACCTCGAGAGGAGCGTCGTAGGCGTTCTCGTTGACGGTGACCAAGTCGAGGGAGGCGCCGTTGCGCTTGTCGAGGTAGATCTTGTCGCCCTGGTGGACGATGACAATGTCCCAGGAGTAGACGGAGCGGGTGGCGCACATGAGCATGGAAAGGATGTCGGAGGTAGCGAAGACGGTGGCGGCGTTCTTCTCGGCCAGCTGGTGGATGACGGGATCCTGGGAGGTGGTCACATTGTAAGCGGCGCGGTCGAGGGCCTGGATTCTGCGCTCGGCGTTCTTGACGGGAGGCTTGTCGTAAGAGCGGTCGTAGTAGTGGAGGAAACCGTAGGTCTCGAGGTCCTCGCCCTCGGGAGTGTCGAGGTTCAGCTTGGAGAGACGGGTGAAGTCCACCTCCTCGAGCATCTGCCACTCAGGGCGGATGTTGACAGAAGCCTCACGGGTACGCTGGGGCTTGTCATAGTCCTTCCAGCCGAAACGACGGCCACCACGACCACCACCACCACGGCCACCACGGTTGTCGTAGAAGCGGTCGTTACCACGACCACCACCGGCACGCTGGAAGGCACCGCCGCGGCCACCGCGCTGGCCCATACCACCGCGCTGGCCACCACGGCCACGGAAAACGGTACCACCGCCACGGCCGAAGGTACGCTTGGTCGAGGAGCGGGTGTTGTCAACGACGGAGAAAGAGGACTCGTCCTCGGCAGTGGCAACGGTGAAGAGACTGCCGGAGCCGGCGCCGTAAACCTGTTGATCTTTGTGGATGAAAGAAAAATAGTCAGTGTGGGTTCTCAAAGTCGATCATCAAGCCATCAAGAAAAGACTGGCCAAAACCAAAACAAGAAAAATGATGAGAGGGTAAAAACACAGCAGGAAAAAAACACACCTCTGAAGTTGCGGTTGTACTGCTGGCGACCCTGGCGCTCACGGTCCTTAGATTCAGCAGTCCAGTCGGCCATACGGCCCAACTTGTCACCCTTGGAGAAGGGGGCATAGGGGACGCCGTTCAGCATGTTATCGGCGGAAGAGGCAGGGCCCCAGGATTCCTCCGAAGGGAGGGCGGCCACGAGATCCGCAATCGAAGTCGGAGCCATTTTTGCAGCAATTGAAGATTGGTGGAGGAGGTTTGGCTTGGTGGGGGGAGGATTTGCGGGAAGTTTTTGTGTCGCGAGGCACAGCCACAACATCCACGGGAGTCACTAGCCACAGCTTTAGTCACGGGCCAAGCCACAGCCATGGGAACCACCAGCCACAGTTGACCGAGCCAAGCCACAGTCACATGAGATCACGTGTATAATATGCTCGTTTGAAGTATATCCAAGCATCTGCAAGTATACTTGAGAATACTTGAGAATAGACACTCAGATCTAGGAAATAAAGTACAATTGGCATATTGATGGTATAGGGTGACAATTTCTGGACTCGGTGAGTTGGTTCAATTACTCAACCCCCTTCTGGATGCCCCTCTAGTATAAACGCAGCCACCCCAATTAATGAACTTGGCCACAGACTGCCAGTGCCTCCCGACAGATTTACTAGCGCCGATCGCAGTGAACCACCTTTCTGGCTTGGCCGGCGGATTATTGTTCGCTGTACTCCGTACTCGGTACGAACTGACTTCTTTCCTGCAATCAGCGAAGAGAAGCTTATCACCCGCTGTTCGGATGGACATGACTCCGACTCCGACACTCCATCCTCCTCCCGCACTATGCGCCTATGACAAATTCCTCGATACATCCATTTTCCTCCCTAGGTGGATAGCAGAAGGTGACAGTGCAGATTTGCTTTTGTTGATTTTATCAATTAAGGGCACCTCCACTCGCTCGTTCGCCGGAATCTCCCTGTTCCTTGCAGTGGATCTGCCTCTTGGCATTAGCACGGCCATTCGATAGATATCACTGGATATAGATCTGACTCGCCAAACCAGGCTTCGCCCCCCCGGAATGCAGCTCCACTGATAAGAGCACCACTCGATCTGACCACCAGGAAGAACGATGGAAATACAAGCCCCGCTAACTATTGGCTCCCGACAGGAGTTTTTAGATTATGCTCGAACATAATTGCCCCAAGATCGCGCTTGGACCAGTAGTGATCGACGGCCAAGAAAAGGTCGCTTAGGGCAAGCACAGTCATCGCGAGCCTCGGTTGTCGATCACAGATTAGATCTATGGGCAAATTACTGGCTCTTCTACTCCGTAGAGAGCGACACTATTGTTCCTGCATTCTCCGATTCTCTTTGATCCACCCTTTCATAATGGTGCTTCTCCGAGTGGACAATGCTCTATCTATACTTTTGCTGATCCTTTTGTCTGCTGGGATTGACTCTTGTCATAGAAACTCCTGGTCTATAGCTCACACCATGACAACCTCAGACACCGAGGTGACTGATAAGGCATTTTGTCTGTGTACATGGTCACTATTCAGAATGGGGGATAGGAGTCATTGACGAGCTCGGCTATGAAGAAAAGGGGGCTTTGCGAAGGTATAAGAAGGGCACAATATCTTGCGAACTAAGGGTATCAAATCACGCTTCATTCACTCCCAGTCTCATCATTCAACCAATACTTCCAACTTTGAATCTCTATTTCAACCCCCAGTTATCCTCAAACATCAAGATGCGTTTCTCTATCATCTCTGTCCTCTCCCTCGTCGGCGCCGGCATGGTTGCCGCCACTCCCATGGAAGGCTCTCTATCTTCCAACGTCATGCGCCGCGGCGATTCCACCGATACCAAGGCGAATGATGCCGCCGCTGCTCTAGCCGGCAGCAAGTATGAGAACGAGTCTGAGACTTCGGAGTGTGTTGGCCCTCTGCTTTGCTGTGGTACTCTCACTACTCCCTTGGACCCCATTGTGGACCCTATCCTCGAGGACCTCGGCATTGATGCCGCCAGCATCGTTGGCTCTATCGGTCTGCTTTGTAAGTATTTCTGAAATACCTGACATCGGTATATTGGTGACTAATGCGATATCAGGCCACCCCTACGAGGCTTCCGTCTGCACCACCAAGCCCCAGTGCTGCACTGAGGTTAACCTTTTGGTACGTGGTCTCCAAACCCAACTAATATTTCAAGCGAGTTATTCTGACTAACTGATCATAGGGTGGTACTGTTGCCCTCGGTTGCGCCGCTCTCAAGAAGTAGATTTGCTCCGAGTCGCCGTGCCAACGAACGGTATATAATACCACTGGAGGAGTGATAATTCTGACCGCTCATGGATGATGTATATTATTCTTCAGGGAGCACAGCCCTTAAACTTTATATATTTATGTAATAAAACTTCTTTCCAAAGTTATCATGTCGAACGCGAGTTCACCTGGAGATGCTCATCTTGAACTGAATAACTAGGTAGACTTCCGAAGTCCATATTGAAAATTTAAGCTTTGACTCTAGGGCTCCAGGGCTCGGACGTGAAGTTAGCCTTAAGGATACTAGTAATTTCCAGAGTTGGAAATGCCCGACATGCAAATATATGTGTGATTCAATTTAGATGTATTACGTTAGGGATCAAAAGCGGGAAAATGGCGGAGTTGATGTATCGAGTGACCGAACACCGCTGGGATTTTCCGACGGGCAAGAGATCGGAAAATCCTACTAGTACTAGTGTTGCCGAAACGAAATATACGTCCGTACTGATCTGATGCCCACTAAGGCCTACGGTGATCTCGATCCAGCTATTCTGCCAATTCTGCAGCGTTCTAAGATTACCAGTGTTCGCTATACAAATCTGGACGCAAACTGTCAAACTGCGCAGATACCTAGGTAGTTTTAAGATTTCTAAATTTAGAACCAGGAAGAAAAATGATTCGCGCTAATTGTTCTGCAGATAATATACTAGTATAAATAGATAGCCAGTACTAGTATTGTTGGAGTTATGACTTGAAACATCCATAGATTAACTAGCACACTACTGGGTATCCAGCTCAACTATGTACTCAGTACCCTCAATTTTTAAGATTCAGCAATTTTAAATGACTAGCTTCACTGGTGGGGTGAGCCATGGTCACTTTAAGACATTATTCCTTGTAAGAAACACTGATTCTATTGCCCTTAGGAAGCGCCGTAAAGGATTCTCATGTTTGCTATTTTCTTTACAAGTTCAGTTTTATTGTCTTGGAAGGGCAAATTTTGACTAGGGAACTTGAGGTTAATGAAAGAGAATGATGAACAAAAACCGATCGGGGGCGCTTCAGTACGAATTCAGTTTCCTATTCTTTGGTATGTTTATCTCGTCGGTTTACACAATCCTTCTTTTACAAGTGAGACTGGAAACCTCTAGTTTCAACGATCTTGTCCCTAAAGCTTCTGTCAATTATCCTTGACCATGGAACACTGGGGGAACCAAATCGAAGGTTGGTGAATTTCGATTTCGGTGCGTGGCCGGAGGATCTCGGATGGTGCATTGAGAATAGCCAGATTGTAGGAAGAGATGGGGCTGGGTGGTATGTCATTTTAACTAACATTCTTAAGACCAAGGCTCCTCTACCATGTGGTGGATCCGCGATGGAATGGCTTGCGAAACATATGATCATTTCAGGTCGCGTTTCCAATCCTACTGTACTGATCGGCAAACGAGGTCATAGTATGGCCCGACCGAGTGTCTGAATTCGAGAGTCCAGACTAGCGACTGCCTTCCAAGGCTTTCACAGCTTTATTACCCGCGATTTTGGAATTTTGCACTTTTGCACTTTTTGCATATCAAGGACGATCCGCATGAATGTGGATCATGACGTCAGGGGTGGAAGTCTGGGGAGGAGTCTGAAAAGAGCAACAAACCGGCTGATCGGGCCAAATCGTCCCTGGCACTCGGTCCACCTTGCGCTAAAATGTCAACCCGAAACCAAAAGAGCCCTGGAGCCCTAGTTCATTTGAACGGAGTAAACTATGACGCCATAGCCGTCGGTCAGCTTTAAAGAAACCATCACCACTTCGGGTGGCTTATTATGGTCAGTCACTGCTGGGATGTCAATTATATTCAAATTTCTACACCCAGAAACCGCACTGATTGGCAAAAAAGCCACCAATCCTCAATTACTATTCCCCGCCAAAATCTTAAAATTCCCAAGTTCATGAGCTCGGGTATGACTAGAGGCTCGGGGGGCCCACGTAAATATGCCCACAATGTCGACGCCGCTCGAGAACGGGAAATGCACCTGTATGATTGCCTCGTCTTGTTTTTTTTTTTTGTTAATACAAGTGACTCACAAATTGAACACAGGTACCTCCCGTACTGGGGCTACTCGACATCAGAAAAGTTTGCTCAAAAATCATGCGGGAATAGGCCCAATGCGTCGCGCGACAATGTTCTCACAGTATTCGCCCAACTTGCAAGTTTGCGCTTGAATGCGAAAAGAGCTCTCATCTCACTCTTCGATCGGACTACCCAGCATATTGTCGCCGAAGCAACTCCTCGACTTAGTCTTCGTGGCGCCGAAGATGATGACAAGAGCCTTTGGCAAGGCGTTCAGCAGCTTCCACGCGAAAGTATCCCAATGTGCAATATGGCGATGCAAACGTTTACAAAGGACGGAGGGGAACATTTTGTTGTCCTCGATCTTACCCAAGATCCCCAATTTCATTCCCATGCCTCTGTTACGGGTCCGCCTCATAATCGATTTTACGTCTCCGTACCCATAATGTCACCCGATGACTATGTGATCGGGAGCATTGCTGTTTTGGATGATAAACCACGAGTGGCCTTGACTGAGGAGCAAATACAGGTTTTAAAAGAGCTCAGTCTAACGGTCATGGATCACCTCATGTCACAAAGAGCCATGCGAGAGGAGGACCGCGAGGAAAGAATGGTGAGAGCACTCGGGCTTTTCGTACAAGGGAAATCGGATCTTGCCGATGGAATCGACAGCCATTATCACCCTGAAAACAAGGCTGGTCATCAGCTCGCCGAGATCAACCGAAAGCTAGAAAGCTTTCAGCTCTCAGATGCCATCTCTCAAGGCCCAAAAGAGGCGGCGTCAGAAGAAGCTTCACCTGATGATTTGAATGGCCGTTCCAACAACCAGGAACAAAACACGAGAGGAAGAATTGCCGAAATCACCAACTCTGCCAAGAACCAGACCTCCGACGAAGGCACACAAAGCAATAGAAGTGGATCGCCTATTCACACATTCAAACTCGACGAGGGCAAGATCAAAGGACCAGAGGAAGAAGACAAAAATAAGCAGCGACCGCCTCTCTCGCCCACCACAGGCCACCTACAGGAGAAACTAGCTCCATCCAGCGTTCAACACGTACTTGACCGCGCTTCGTGCTTGATGAATCAGGCGTTGGACGTGGAAGGGGCTATGTTCCTTGATGCAAGTGTGTATGTTCGACGCCAGATGCTTGGTCCCACAGATAGGAAAAGCGAGAGCGAACCCCGAGATTTCGAGATTGAACATGAGACTAAAACCCATTGGGAAAACATGGGAGCCGATAATTCCGGGCCCAAGAGTTTAGTCTTGGGGTATTCAACAACATCATCAGCCTCGAGTGAGGAGATTGATCACGAGGCCCGTCACTATCTTTCTTTGCCAGGTGCCTTCATTAGCCATCTCATCGAAAGATACCCTCGCGGGAAAATCTTTCACATTGATGATGATGGAACTATCGCAGTGAGTTATGAGGGCTTGGCGGATGATGTGAGTCAGGCCTACTTTGTCGGCGGAAAGAAGGTCGCCGAAGGGTCTCCTGAAGAAAAGGATATCCGCCAAGAAAACATGGACATCAAGTACCTCCACAGGGCGCTGCCTGATGCCCGGTGTATTGGTATTTACCCGATTTGGGACTTCCAGCGGAGTCGGTGGTTTACGGTGAACCTGGTTTGGTCCAATGACCCTGGCCGAGTATTATCAGAACCAAAGGACCTGACATACATGGCTGCTTTCAGCAACAGCGTGATGGCAGAAGTGTCGAGAATGGACTTAGAAGCCGCTGATCGAGCAAAAGGGGCTTTCATATCGTCTATCTCGCATGAACTACGATCTCCACTGCATGGCGTGCTCGGTACCGTTGAGCTACTGCAGGAATCAGTCAACACCTACTCCCAAAGAGGACTTGTCGAAACAGTTCACAGCTGTGGCCGAACTCTGCTTGATACACTCAATCACCTTCTGGACTACGCCAAGATAAACACTTTGACTCAGTCCCGGGGCAGTGATGGAGGCGATGAGAAAACGTACCGTTCGAAAGCAAGACCCACAGTTCCTGGTGTCATACAAGACCAAAATCTCAGCGCTCTTGTGCAAGAAGTTGTCGAAGGCTTACTTGCAGGACGCGAGTTCCAAGAAAGAGAAGACACACTTGCACCTGGATCACGAAAGGAAGACCGCAAATCTTCTCAAGTGTCTCAGAATGGAGATGATCGATCTCGACTACTGACGGTAGTTGATATACAGTGGCAAGAAAACTGGCATTACTCTGTCTATGCCGGGGCCTGGCGCCGGATAGTAATGAATTTGTTTGGAAATGCTCTGAAATATACCGAGGCAGGCTATGTCAGCCTTTTCATGAAAAAAGATACGATCAGCGTACATGACGAAAACCCAGTGCCAGCTGTCCGCATCACCATTGCCGATTCTGGTCGGGGCATGTCGCAAGACTATCTACTCCACGATCTCTACACTCCCTTCATCCAGGAGGATAATCAATCCCCAGGTCTTGGAGTGGGCCTGAGCCTTGTACACCAGATTGTGAAATCACTCCATGGAAAAATTGAGATTCGGAGCAAAGTCGGTCAAGGCACGGAAGTTGACGTTATCCTTCCCATTTCTGGACCCAAGTCAACCCCCACATCGAAATGTCCCTTCCTTGGCCTGCAAAAACGTTTGAAGGGAAAAAGCGTTTCATTCTTCACCACGAGCTTCGAGCGAGGCGATCTTGGCATCAAAAAGCAAGTCTTCAGTGATATCCACTCTAGTTTGACACGGATGGTTCAAGATTGGTTCGACCTCGAAGTTCTCGATCAGAGCGAGTTGCAGCAAAAGCGCCCCGATTTCCTGATTGTCACTGAACATGAATATCGAACCTTTGCTCATAGTTCTGAGGATTCCGACATCCGACGGTCAATGGAAACCCAGCACGCATACCCTCTGATAGTCTTGAGTGGCCATACAGGTAACTGGAAAGTGGTGAGAGAGAATTCGCGAGATCGGGCGATTTTCCTCTCGCAGCCGTAAGTGAAGCTGAGGTCTTGCGTAATTTCTTCGATGACGCTAACCTTCTATCTACTCCAGAGTCAGTCCAAAGACTTTAGAAAAGGCCTTCAAATATTGTCTCGACAATGAAGGAAATGAGTTCAATGAGGATTCTTTATCCCCATATCTCGTTGAGAGTCACGAGATTCAACGCATCCCTGGAATCGACATCAAAAACTTGGATTCGACGCAATCAGAAATCAAACAGTCCCTCGATGTGCACAATTCAGATCTTTACTCAGATGATAGGCCGAAAGTACTTCTCGTCGAAGATAACCCAGTTAACCTGAAGGTACCTCCCACCGGGCGGTCCATACCGACCATATGACTCCAGGCAGGTATGAATAGGGCTGATAATATTTCCAGATCATCGAGGCATGCGTTAAGAACGCCAAACTCCCGTATGAAACCGCAGTCAACGGTCTTGAAGCACTGAACAAATACAAGTCCACGAGATTTGACGCCGTTATCATGGGTACGCCATCGCAACAGCTCACTCGGTCAATTCTTTCTAACTTTTACTATATAGATATCTCGATGCCCGTAATGGATGGACTTTCGGCAGCCCGAGAAATGCGCCATTTTGAGAAGATGGGCAAATTGGATCCCAGCATTATTATTATCTTGACTGCGTTCATATCCGCCGAGACGCAGCAAGAGGCAGCGATAAGCGGAGTAGACGAATTTTTGACGAAGCCCACGCCCTTGAAGCAGCTTAAACAGATGCTGCTGAACTTGCCACGCCGCAATTCCACGATTCACTCATGAGTTATGACCCATTGAGACTCGGAACATATACGAATTTATTTGCATTTTGAGCTGTACAACCACCGTGATTTAGCCTGCAGCCTTCTTCCTGTTATGTGATACATTATGGACCAATATATAGTTAGTTTGTACCAGTACTACAATATTCATTTTATTTGAGATCTCATGGAGGCCTCGAGCTTGAAAATTTTGACAATTCTACAGACAGCGCCTTACTTAGGAGCAAGGTCACTTAAGCCGGGTCAGAGTCTTTGGGCAAGGCCTCAAATCTAGCAATCTGAAATTACAAAAACAAAATTGGGAACCTGAAAGGTGGCTGGTAAGCTCTCTCTTGCATAATGTAGAATAAATTCTACACAAATAAGGGGGTATAACACCTCGTCGTCCATTTTTGGGGGACCTTGCTGGTGATAAAATCAAAACTCAGCTGTGTGATTCAGTTTAGCCCTTCATTAATTGTGTACCAATAAGCCATACGATATTGGAAGCCTGAGTCCTCAGGCACACAAACTGCAGGACATCACCTGATTAAATCCCGCCGAGAACTTGTGTCATCGGAGATCATTGAAGTTTCTCTCCATCTTGCGATTCTTATCACCATGGTCATTCTTGATCGCGCGAATTAACCTCGTGAGATCTAACGAGAGCTGGTGGTGCTGACACCTCGAGTGTTCAGGCAACAGAATTCCGGCTTGGCAAGCTTCTCGTATTGCCAGCCCCACAGGCCCATATATACGACTCGGATTCCTCTGACCTTCGATTTTCAGCAGTGATGAAGCGCGGACTTTGAAGAGCGACAGAACCGACCCCCGAGGGCGAACAGATTAAGATGGATCACAACTTTCAGCAAGCAGCTCAACAGGGCGGCGATATAACAACTAACGATGACAATACTATCACACGCAGTAATCTGCGCAACTGTGCTATTACCAGCTCCTACGTGAAGCGTAGCACCTTTGACGACTGCGTTCTGGTGCGGGTGCTCTCAGCGTCTCGCTCGACAGGGAAAAAGTCCCACTTTCACAACGTGACGTCTGTGAAGCGCAGCGAGGTAAATGACAGTACGCTTATTGAAAAGAGCTCTGCACATCGAAGTACGATCAAAACCTCTACAGTCCGAGATGCGAGTACCATAACGACAAGCGCTGTGACTGGATCGACTATCTCACACAGTCAGCTCCGCAGGGCGAAAGTCAAAGATTGTGACGTGGAGGATTGCATAATCTCTCGATCTTCTTTCGAGGGTATGGTTCTGAAATATGGGGTGTGGAAAAGAGGCCAGCTTATAGGGAAGATCGGGGATAAAGAGGTGGTCGCTTTTCAGAAAGATGATCCACGTCTCACTGTGAGTCTTCATTTTTGGTATCTCATTTCTCTGATAGGCGCTAACGTTTCCCATCCACAGTCGAGTCGTGGTGCCGGACCATCTTCAAACATCCCTCCTATATCAGAGCTTGATTCTAAATCGAAAGGCCCGCTACCGATTCACAATTTAGACCGCATCGATTCAGCCGAGAGTGCTCAAAGTGAAGATTCTGATCGCTCAGAAGATCTCCCTCCTCCTTACAAGGTTTGAGATGAGATCTTGAAGCAAGCTACTACGAGGCCAGAACCCAGAGTGGTGCCTTGTGTATTCAATTGACTACATTTAAGTTCGTTTGTTATATGACAGTCCCCTTTACCTTGTATTTATTTCTTAGCATATCCCCATAGCGTCTTTCATCACACCTCAGTAGCCCCTCTCTCTATGGCACACATACCTAGGTATCATATACTCATGTTCAACAGTAGAAAGTTTTATATTTTAACTTGAAGATGATGCGGAATCCTCAAGCCAATCTCGCTACGCCTACTACTTCCAAGGTTATATCAACATTTGTATCCAATGAAATGCTATATTCTGCTGCATAGGTATAGGCGCGAAGGACGTGAAGTGCCATTCAACCGTCAAGTCGGAAGTTAGGCTCGGATACAGAGTTATTCAATTACCGGCTCAAATCCCCTCATTTATCACTAGTCGGGCCAGCAACGACATATTGCTTCTCGGTCTTCAACTTGCTTAGTGTACTGTCACTCAATTTCAGAGTGTCAGAAATAATTTGCTTGGGAGTGGATGCAATCCATTGGCCGAGAGCGACATCTACAAATAATTAGTAAATTTATCCCACCTAGGCACCAAGATATTTGAATCAATCATACCTGTGAATTCCGACGCCTGCAAAACTTCAAGGAATACCAGATCCTCATCGCCAGTGTTTTCGATATAGTGACTATTTGACTGGGGGAAATACCCAACATCACCTGCCATGAAGTCAAAGGTGTTTGCAGCTTCTGGGGCAGTGAAGAGCGTTGCACGACCCTGTCCTTTAATAAAGAAGGTCCATTCGTCGCTGGACGGGTGCCAGTGGATCTCACGCATACCGCCGGGGTGAACAGTCACGACCGCGGCGGAGAAGTTGCTGGCGATGGGGAAGGTTGATGGATCCACAATTTTCACAGAGCCTCCGGCAACCTCATGAGCTTTTTGTTCGGAAAAGTGGTATGAGTAGCTTTGGGTTCGAGGTACAACGCCAGAAGAGGTGGTCACGTTTTGATCCTCGATGTCCTTGGGTGCCGGTGTGCCCTTGAAAATATAAAGCTCATCATCAGGGATATTGTCAAAATCAGCGATTGCGACTCCGAGGTTCTTGGCCAGGACCTCTTTCTGTAAGGACTGTCAGTTGTTTGAGTCAACCAAGAGACTCTCTGTTACTTACTGGACTATGAAGAAAGACCTCGGTGGCGAGGAAGGTATTGTCTTCATTGAAGTCCCCATCGTCAAAGACAAGGAGGAATTCGACCCCATCATCCAAGGCTTGAATTGAATGAGGGATACCACTATAAATAAACGGATCAATCTTTGATTCTCGGGCTGTGGAGGCTTTCGGGACTTACGGTGGGAAGAACCAAACATCTCCCGCAGTAAGGTCATCGACAAAAGTCTCACCATTTTCATTTACAGCCTGTCGAGTTTATTAATCTTTACTTTGGGAGAGTTGAGAGAGATAGAGTGCATACCTGGATCCGACAAGACCCATTCAGAATAAGGGACCATTCACTAGCGACGTGCCAATGGAGTTCTCGATATGCAGCTGGCTCCAGTCGCATATCGACACCAGCTTTTGAAAATTTATTAGAGAGCTGAAATAAAATCGAGGATCTTGAAGAAATTTGTACTCACCCATCTCGGTAGCAGCTGGCATCACGACAGTATTCTCTTGGCGGGCCCAGCCAGCATTGTCGATTCCAAGCCTGGGGATGTTAGGACTCAAATATTTAATATGGAATGAAAGCTGACCTATTATGACTGAGACCTGTTTTTTCAGTTAGTATATCCCATAATAGTATTTACTACGGCAGATGAACCTACCCATGGGCCATTGTGCATTGATGGTTGCTCCGTGGTCTGTTCCAGGAGGTGCAAGCTTGTCACTGTGAATCCTATCGTAATTCAAGTTCCCTGGAAAATGATCAGTGTCATATTTTGAAATAGCAGCTTCTTCATTTACTTGGACCGGGATCATCTCCTCCTGTGTCCCCCCTAATTGGCTGTGGGTTATCGACCTTCGAAAAGTCGAGCCAAGTGCCGATTTTAGGATCATTGGTTTGTCCAGGGAGGAGGCTGTATTTGATATCGGGCGTCGTTGTGCTACCAACCTTCTCGGAAGGCGAGTATCCGATCAGCGTCTTCGATCCTTTTAGACCAGGATTGCTCGCTGATTCATCTGCTCGACGTGCAGGGAATGCATCGGATAACGGAAGAAGGAACAAAAGCAAAGAAGCAGCAGAAGAAACTTGAAGCTTCATGGTGGCAGATCTGCGGGCTGAGTTTGACAGCCTTTTTATGATTGATGATGAGCCCCTGGATTATGAAATAGTGAAGAGACACTGGACTACGCCGCCTTTTATAGACTTAATCCCCATCACAGAAGACCCCACCCAAGGCAAACCCATGGCTATACAGATCTGCATCCCCTCATCAGTATCCAAATCTAACAGTACACTATTTTTGGAGATTCATCAAGTTCCCCTCGCGAGGGGACCATGTCATAAAGCTAGCCTGCAGGAAGTATCCAGTAGGTCGAGAGCTCCTCTAGACCACACCGCAAGAAGAATAGAGTGGAATGCGAAGCAGGGATATACACGGCAGATGCTATGGATCGGGGATAGTATCTTTGCCCGTGCAGTTATCCCCACTTCGAGTGATCATCCATGTGATAGGAAAGCAGAGAGTAGCATCTCAGATACCATGTGTAACACCCAGACTACGACCACAAGTGACGAAAACAGAATATTTCAATCTAGCTGTACTTGAGCTTGGCGACTTACATACAGTAACTGTTCTGCACACCTCCTTCATACAACCAGCATGGTGGTCAAAAAAGACTATTCTCCTTATGAACAGGAATTTTGGTGTTTCGGATTTCTGATCTACCACTCACAAAAACCGGAGGAAAGCCACAACTTGTGCCGAGGGAAATGTTAGCTTCATAATTTGGCCCGCAAATGACGTGGCTCTAAAAATGGGTCCTCGATCAGTCAACGGTAGGATCCACCAGGTACCGTGGCACCCGGTCCGAGAATGTCAATTCAAATTTGAGAATAAGTCCTAAGACCGCGAGTTCCATGACAAGATACTCGGAAGGAGAGGGTTGTCTGGTTATTATTAAATTATCAAGCTCGAATCTTCTGAGGATCGACCGGTTCGTCAGAAAGGTAGAAACAGCGTCAGTTTAGCGGTGCAAGTACTTATACATAGAGATCGCAAGGTGCAAGCAATATTTTGATGCCAGCCAAGACATCCAATCCCAGCCACAGGGAATCAAGCAAATGCCTAGTACTAGTAGCTCTTTCGGGTATTTTAAGTGGGACGGCACAAGCTTAGCGACAGGCTTCGAAGGTCCCCCAGTCCCCCACTTGCATCGTCGCAGTATCCACGTGCCCCTCTCCGCATGAGGGGAATATCATATACGACAGCCCTATAAGGCGCTTTGACATTGAAAATATTCAAGATTTCAGCCGGATCGACTACACTTGGGAACTGAACTGGAAGGTGGCTTGAACGCGAAGTTGAAAAGGAAATACGTCCACCACTTAAAGATGTTACCACATGGGTCGATCCCTGAAAGGTTTCTCTCTAGCTTCTTTGGGAATGGAGAGGTTGGAAGCTTTAAATGAAGAGGGGCGTACGTTACACCCAAATAGCCTGCTGGGAGATAAATTTAGAAGATGGCGTCCCGGAAGTCCCGCAACCCCTCACTGGGAGTGAGTTCAGTAACAAATCAAGCCTGACGCACTTTACCAATCAAATAATAAATGCTTGAAAGAATGCCTGGAATAACTGTTCTATCTTCCCCTCAGCCATGAATGATTATAGACTTCCCTCATGTCGTTACGGGTATATGAAAAGTTTCGATCACTGATCTTTCAAAACTCTAGATCGCGGATTAATCCTTCGCAAGGAGGAGGAAACCATCCTAGATTCAGTCTAGTTTCATGACAGAGTCGCCGGATTTAAACCATGTCTATAGACGGGATGTCCATTCCAGCGAAGCCGAAAATGGATAGCTTGGCGACGCGCTGTATACTTAAGGCGGAAGACTTGGCCGCATCTAATGTCGGTCGCGAGGCTGAAGCAAGGTCGGAAATTACTCATGGTTCTATCTCCGAATGTGTGAAATAAGTAAGAAGTGCGATCAGTGCAGGTCACGAATTCAGCGAACCACAAAGGTTGCCTCTAAAAAGTTATTAGTCGGCCAAGTGACTTGTTATCAATCTTGAAGTCACTCAAATTAAGCATCGCTAGGCAGAGCTAAAAAAAAAAAAGGTAGCCAAGTTGTTCTATTCTTGCAACGGAAAAGTGTTTTTATGCAACTTGCACTCGCTTCAATGCCTTGACTAGTATGGGTGATTTTATTTACAATTACCTGGGTCCACTCTACTGCAGGTTTGTACCTTGGCATCTACTAATTACCTTAGCGATAGCCCGAAGTTCCTGAGTTGTTATGACCAAAAAGAGAATGTAAAATAGAGGGGGAATTTCCAAATAATTAAGCAAGACAAAAGAATACTATAGGTTTTGTGCACAAAGTTGTGCTATTTGATGATTCGACGGATTCCTTCTTCAACCCAAAGCTCTGCGATATGCAATGGCTCCACGTGGAATTCACAACTGATCACCAAAATTATGTTGAAACGCCTTCAGTGAGTACTATGATGTAACACCGAAGATATCATCTATTCAATATGAATTATATCGATTAATTGGCTTCTCTCGGCGATCTTTTAGATGGCATCATACGGCTCACACGATTGTGCACACACTAAAATTGTCAAGTTTGTTACGGGTGAATTGAGTCGCTGATCAAAAGCCCGGAGAGAAAATAAGGTAATTCAGTGTTCCCGGGCATGCCCCTGGTCATTCTCCTGCCAGGAAATACTAGTAGCTTCTGTCATTGTTTCAAGCTTGTCAATTAGACTCGACCTTGCGCGTCAAACTCGCGAGGACCTCGAGGCTAATGTTGTATTTTTGCCGAGTGGAGGCATTGATTGCGCTAGTACAATAATGGATATTAACAGCTAATAATCCCCATTCCAGATCTTCAAGTTACCCAAATTAACCCCCAAGGTGACCGCAAGGTGACGAAAGCATCGCTCCGCCCTGCGCTCAGACCGATTACCCCTCCCACACTACGTCTCAGAGGAGCACCCCTTTCATCGCAATTAATCTCTTCAGAACAATTGGATTTGCCCGAATCATCTGTGCTCAAAACCAATAATATACGATCACACAGTGCGGGGTTGCCAAGATGCTAGTGCCTGTCTTTTCACACAATGAAAACAAAGGTCTGCCATCTTGGGCAAACGCTAGACTCATGAGATCATCGCTTGCCAGTAGTGACGACGCCCTGAGTAAGTAGTGTGGTGTGATAGGTCGTCTGGGAAGTTGCCTAGTGTGGAAGCGCTGGGGGCGGGGCGGATTCTGCACCGACTTCTTTTAAGACTAGGGGTACCTTTGTTACACTGCCACGGGGCCATCGAGGACCTGGCTCGCCTCTTTACCTCTTGGTGTTTTTGTTTCAGCTAGACTGAGTTGCAAATCTGGTCTCCAAGCAATCCTTGATTCGTGAAAATGAGCTGATTAATCATCTGTGGCATGATGTAGATACCTATCCCGTTGTTGAAGAACAAAGAAACAAAGGTCGAAGATAATGGACATGCCAAATACAGTCCCAGGGGGCAATTTCAAATACCACATAACCGCGTTACTACCTGTATATGTACCGCCCCGAAAGGAATGCCTAACTCATAATAGTACTAGTAATGGCTGCAACTTGAAGAAATTACATTTCTGATTTAGAGAATACTAGGTTGCTACGTGATGTTTATTGAAGACCCCACATCGGATGTCATCATTACTGATAAATTACTTGCAATGATAATGCTTCATGAAAACAGTTGTATTCGTATTCAGGGTAAAAGTAGCCCTAAACTCCAGTCCGGGTCTGGTGCCAATCTATGGCGATACAAGTTGACTCGAACATGTTAACAAAAGAAAGAACCGACTAGCATCCTCCGATTCAAATCCATAGCCAGTAGGAGGCCTGGGTGGTAGTCCTGTGAGATAAAAGAAAGAAAGTCGTAGTTGAAAAGGTATGTATCGTGAAGGTAAGTGTGGTGATGAGGGGTAGGACGTTCGACTGTATTGTTTATCGAGCGACACGTTTGAGGTATCTCATAGTGAGAAGGACGGCTGCCACACTTGTGTACGCACCACCGGCGGCGGTGATCCAGACAGGACGGTGAACACTGAAAGAGGTTCGCAAGAAGTGGCCCTCCTTCTTGGGTTTCTCACCTAGTTGGAATTAGCTATGGTGTCCTGAAGTGCATGGGAGATGCATTTAAAACAAAAACATACCCTGCTGGAAAAGCCTTTGGCGAAGGTTGTTCACACCCTGGCGAGAACGCTCTGGGAGGGTTCTGAGCGAGGCAAGGAGGGGTCCAACGGGCGCAGACATCTTATCGGTTGTAGGTGTTGGTTTGAGATGGAAATATGATAATTTGAGATGAGATCGATGAGATCGATGAGTATGGACGTGAAGAGTGGAGAGGTTGATGATGAGAGGGGGAAAGAGAGTCACCAAGTTTCTAACCCCCCTACATCTTATATAGCACAGATCAGATGACAGCTGAATGCGGGGTTTCCAAGGTCAACAGGGTCAACAGTGGTGGGAGGTGACATCCGGGGCATCCCTGTACTTCAGGTGGCGAGAGTCGCGAGAGTTTCAGCCATCAAAGTCAACGACCAGGTCAATCGAGATCACAGATTTATCCCCGAGCCTCAGATAATCATCGAAAAAGATGTAATAGAAGCTAGCTCGCGGTTGAATTACCAATTTGTTTTGCTATTGACTGCCCCCATATTGAATGATGGTGGAAGACGAGTGGGAGATACAAAGAGGTACATCTTCAGGGATGGGCTGATGCCGTCCAGAGTAACCCACCCTCCCCTCCACACGTCTATCTTCCACATAACGTATTGAGTGCATCGCTAAACGATTGGCCCAGATATGCAGTACCGCCCTTGATCGCCCAACTCCGTGTGCATCATGATTCAGCGACTTGACGCCCAAGTGATACCCCTCCGTAGCCATAGGTTACTTCCCCTGAAATCATACCACCAGGGGAGACAAGCTTAATTATTAAACTAAGGCATGGTCTGACCTGGCATTAAATAAGTACCCCAGTGACCTTTTCTTCCAGACGACGACTCTTTGATGTTGTTCCAGAGTGCATTCTTCAGGCGGGCATATCGACAATGTGGACAGTGTGGAGTGTGCGGGTTGGGCCCACAGTGGAAATCTGGGGCGATGGATCCAATCCGGGGTAAATGACTCCACTCATCACGCTTGGCTTACTTGGAATCATCACGATAGAGGGGCAAATCTCGGTGAGAGAGTGTGTGTCCTAGCATCCATTTGATTCCATCAAAGCCACTTTCAGCTGATTTGAAGCCTGCTAGCAGTAGACTATAGGTTCCATGGCCACACTAGTCTATGAAATGCAACTTTGCGACCGCCATGTGATGGCCAGCCCCTTCGATTCGGTCGCCTTTTGCCCTTCAAACGTCCCCTGAATAGCTTCCAGGAACGACTTCGCCACTCAATACATCGCCCTCCCCTCCCACCCGCCTCCCTCCCTCTCCAAACCAAACCGGATAAGCCTCATCACAAGAGGTGTTCACTTTTGCGCAGCAGGCATGTGGACAGCGACGTGAGAGCTTGTCGACGCGACTCATCGGTCGCATAATGGCTCAAGTTAGATTTTCACCTTGGATGGGTTGTTCTCATGCTATACCATGTGCGAGGAGATCCTCTCTGCCTCTTACGGTCGCGCTTTGTCAACCGCTTTCAAGCTGACTTGATGCGAACACTTTGCGTGTCGGTACCAACTATCAGAGAACCCTGCTGGTCCAGCAAAGTCCTCGGCCTGCCATACCATCCAGCTGTCCCGGGGTAACATTTTATACAGAGATTGGAGATATCACAGTTATATCATGGTTATGATGCCGAGGGGCAGTCTTCTGAAAGTCTCCGGCTGATCGATGAACAACCTAAATCCTTGATTGAACACCTAGCCTTCTTTTGCGGTCATCATACGGATATCCGCGGAATGAATGCCCAAGATCTCGGCATTGAAATGGTCTCGCTTGCCGACATGCTATCACGACTGAGGGAGATGAACCTGTTTCCCAAGTTAGAATAACTTCAAGTTAACCTTATCTTGAATCGTGTAATGGCTAGCAAACACATTCGGCTGCACTGGCGCTCTGGTATGGGTCTTTAGACACAGATCATGCCCTTCGTCAATGGATTGTGGCGAGGAATAACCTCTCCCCCCCCAATATCTTCAAGTTCTTAGAATCGACAGTTCCACAGAGAGGATCCGTATCCCGATAGTAAAGAAGCCATGTTCAAGTTAAAGTCATTTGTATTTACATCATGCACGAAGTAGTTATAAATCACTATGTGCGCATTCTCGAATTGAGGGTCACTCTTCGAAATGGCCATCTGGAGCTGTGATTGGCAATACACACCTGGGCAGGTATATGGCCTGATTACGAGGAAGGAACAGGAGATGCACACACCACTGTGATGAGCCTGCAGAGGAAAATATCTATCAGTTTCGGCTAGTTCCAACCGGGCTGATTCCCGTCTCGGGTTTCTCTGCAGGTGAATGCCCGCCAAGAACCAAAAACCACCTTAGGCGTGTCTCTTGGCAGAAGGAGTACGATCTGTAACACATATTTCTTAGTGCTGGGTAAAATTAATGGTTTAAGTCTGTGTTATGTACAGGGCTTTGTATGGAAGCTTCGCCGTGAGAGTGGTATCAATATAAAAGAAAAGCTTGCCGACCATCATTCCGTTTCGAGAAGGGTCTGGTTGATGTCACGGGGAACACGGCAGATATTACGTGCTTCCTCCGGCATGGTTGTCCAGAGCACTTGGCGAACCTCCTTACCCACCTTCTCAATCGCGTCCATGGCCCACAAGACATCAAGATGTTCATACTCATCAATGATCTTCGAATGAACAAGTCGCACATGCGGCTCCGAGCCAGATTGCAATCGATCAAGCAACTTCCGACCATCCACTAGGGCATCGGAACCACCAATCCATAAAGCAAACGGAGGAACTTGAGGCCCGAACCAAGAATTATTTTCCGGACCACCAAGACAAGCGTCGGCGGGATCATCGCCGTGGTCGGTGCCAGTTTTCCCACCGCATTGACGATCATTCTCCATCTCATAGGTAGTTGATAGGATACATCGATGTTTTGCAAAGCTTTCGCTTCCAAGCCACCACCGCATAGTCTCTGCACTAACATAGACAGGTGCGAATTGAAACATGCGGTGGCGAAGATCGCGTTCCCAGCGTGCATCGGACCAGCCAAATAGGAATGAGAATACCCAATAAGCGAGCGTTCCGTATATTTTGGGATGGATGACCCGGCGCACAGTCATCATGAATGGGATGAAAGAATGGATTCCAAAGAAGAGGCGGAACATATCCGGCGACATTATGGACATGAAGCGGAAATATGATTTACTGACAAGAGGCCCTGCGTATGCAGCCGGTGCAAGAGCACAGAAAACCGAAAATCGTTCTCCAAGCTCGGGGCGATGTTCTTTCGCCAGGGCGACGAATGTTTGGGTTGTGCCCTGCGAGTGACACACTAGGCCCAGCTTTTCGAAGCCTGTCTCGTAGAGCACGCGAGAGGTCAGAGCTGCTAGGTCGAGCGTACCGAGGTGTCGAATATCCCATGACCACATACGCGGATCCGAAGTCGACAGGCTGGTATGTTCGGGGTGTAATCCACACCGGTTATTTCCCAGCCAGACGTCATAACCGGATTTGCAGAGATAGAAGGCAAGGCTGTCATCATCATTGGTGCAGTAGGTACCGGAACTTTGAAGAAGACCGTGCATCAGAAGTACGGGGTATCGACGATTGGAGTTTGCGCGTCCAGAATCAAAATTCTTCGGTTCGCCAAACACCGACGGTCCACGTTCGCGCCTTTGCTCCGAAGGAAGGGCCGCATACTCCTGAGGATTGTACACATGCCATAAGGTAATTATGAAGCCGTCCTCAGTCTGGACCCGGAAAGTTTCCACATCGAGACCGACCCGTCTAGCATAGTAGGCGACGTCGCAGACGATCTGATCTTTCCCTCCTTCCAGTGGTGGGCATTCTTGAGGACCTTGTTCTTCATCCACATGCTTCTTCTGCTGTCGAATATGCCACTTTTTGTCAGATTCCACCCGCGCCACTCTGCGAATATGTTCCTCTGTTTCGAATACCCTTGCCGAAGCTTTCTTGTGGCCTTTTAGTCGAGATATCGCGTCGGATGCTGCCGTGGCAGCCGTGCAAGTCAATGCGCCGAGAAAGATGATGGCCAAGAACCCAAGCGAGAAAAAGAACGAGACAGTTCTTCGCACGTAGTACAGCATATTTTGAGCTGGTGTCGGGGGACCGTAGGAGGGCAGCGGTGGAAAGAGAGGGTGTTCACCTGAGTCTCCTGGCAGACCCATGTGACAAGGCTGGCCGTGCTTTTCAGCATCTGTCACCTGGCCCCCCCAACTGGAATTGCTCGAATTTCCCATCCTTTCTCGCGTATGTGGGGGAGGAATATCGATCGAATGGCGTCTCGTGGGTCGTCTCGAGAATGTGTTTACTCCGAGTACCACCCTCGGCAGAGGGAGTAACGAGTGTCTGCAGAGGGATGGTGACCGACATGGGCGCGGGATCAAGTAATCGACATTGAAAAACTAGAGCACATCGCGCGTCCAACTATGGAGAGAACAGGTAGTCCTGAATTGAATTGTGCAACAACCTCAACTTCGCGGGGAAGTTGAACTTGGCAGGAGAGTCCCTCGGCTTCGGGGAAATAACGTCACGTGGTATGCGGGTACTTTATATTTTAATGCCTGAGGCAGAAATCTTTAAATAGAAACAAACATGGACATCAGGTACACTTGACTATATTCAACCACAAGCTCATCCAGATGAATATCCAAGCCTTGATTTTTGCTATCTCATTTTAATAATTCAGCCCCGCTGCCTTGGCCAGAGCCTTGCAGCTGGTTAGAAAGCCCCAGGCGCGGACACAGTTGAACTCGTAGGTTGCTTTTGCGTATGGCGGGCTATCAGTCTCACATCCATCTTTCAAGAAAACAGTATCGAACCCCTGCGCATGGGCGTCTTGTAGCGTAGATCCAACACACTGATCCGTATTGACCCCCGAGAATAGCAGGGTACGGATTCCCTGTGACTGAAGATACTTGCTGAGATCCGTTTTCTCATTCCAAAGACCTGAGTTACGATTCTTGTGAATCCAAACGTCGGGACGGGCCTCTTTCTTCCCATCCTCATACACGCTAGCCAGAGGGCCATGCAGAGCGGTGTTCCAAGTCCCTCTCATCATAACTCGGCCAGCATCAACCCGACTGCCATCATCTAAGGTGACCTGTCCGAGTTCGGTGCCGGGGATATTCTTAAATTTGGGGGATTCACCGATTTTGAGGAAGTTTATGGGATCGTTTGGATCGCCCCGTTGGTCCCCAAGACCGTAATCCGTCTTTTCAGAGTTGGCTTTGAAGGCGAAAACACGAACTTCAGCTGGGGGTATGTTGGCAAGATCATCCTCGGTGAGGCCCCAGTTGAGCCAGATGGTTTGAAGTCCGAGCTTGCGTGCAGCTGGGATGGCGTATCGGATGATCGCGTTTTGAGCGTCATACATCGCAGGGGTAGTCGCTGCATCCAGAGCTTTACTCAGACCAATATTTTGCATATCAATTATCACTAAGCCGGTCTTGGCTGGATCAATCTTGATGTTGACGAGGTCGCAATCGAGATCAACGCCATTGCTGGTCAAGCTTGAATGTGGGTCTTTTGGGTGAGTTAAGTCCCAGCCTTCTGGTGACCAAATCCAGGTGCTCGCCCCCGTTCCAACGACAATCCTTTCTTGTGAGGGTATCTCAGGAGATTCCCCAGTGGAATAAGCAGGCGGAACAGTCGCCATTCTCGGAGCGGAACGAAATTTCGAAGACAGGATTTGGTCGAGGTCAGGCTTAAATAATTGAGGGATCTCTCAATATTGAATGAAACACGACGATAAAAAAACACCTGTTCACGATCGGGTGGTCGATCGATGATGAGGCACTGTCAGAATTGCCCCTCCCCCTCTTGACGTGGTTCTTTGTTCACCCCCTGCACCGAACTAAACGCACACGACCCAGATTGGCATAAGAAATAAAACAGATCTATCTCCAAAACCCCAACTCTCACCCTTCAGAGGTCCAAGCCAGGGAGTTACAGACTAACTGGCAACCTCCTCACAACCGCCTCTCTCAGACCATCAGTACTGTCCACCATCTCAACTCCATATATGTCGCACACGATTTGCACATTCCCCCTCTTCCAATAACCCTCGGGACAAACAACAATAGCCTTTCCTGGAACCCGCGCACAAAGCCCAAACTCAAGCAAGCTGACTGGCGCCTGCGTAGCCGGGTGGAAGTAAATAACAACGATGTCCGCCTTATCCTGCTTTTTGAGCTCCCACTCCACTTGTTCACGGTAAGGAGCAAACTCGATGTCCTCGCGCCACGAGCTATCCCAATCAGCGCGGTATGGATTGTAGATTGTGACTGGAACGTCGGAGAGGGCGGTGGATAGAACCTCGCGCCAGTCGTGGCTGTCGACTTTGTTGGTGGTGCCGGCGAGAAATACGGACTTGACGCCGCATGGAGCTTCTTTTGAAGGCGCGTAGATAACATGGCTCTTTGCCTGAGTCATTCTCAAGGACAAAAATTTGTTATTGGGAGTCGTTTGAACAAAGCAAGAATGAAAAAGGGGTCGGAGAAAACGGGCTCGGAACATGAGCGTGGAAGGCCTCTTTTCTGTGGAAATCTTGTGCGAAGGCTGACTTTTTCCTAGATCCTGTATAATGTGGATGGCCACTGTAACCTTTAGTGGTGGTAAGGTAAGCTGGCCATCATACGGGGTGTTTGACCCTCCACCAACAGCCTGAGGCAAATGGGGGGCAGATGGGGGGTTAAAGGGAAGGGAGTGGGGGCGCGCCGGGGGGGACAGCAAAGAAAAGACTGGGGTACACACTTCATAGTAGTAGACTTTGGGAGTCGGCCCATTCTAAAGTTCGAGAAACTATTTTATAATTCTTGTTATAATGATAAATCAGATTGATTATCCTGAAGCTCTCAAAGAAAATGCAAAACTCGGGAGTGATGATTTCTAAGTTCTTATCACTCCCAGGGTCCCCTTGAAGCTGTTACCAAGGTACTTTGACCACCAAGATAAAGTCGATCGAAATAAAAGATCTGACATGAGTTTAATTTTCTTCTGGTGCTATTCAAAACGCTGCGAAATATGAATTCGAATAATAATGGCCTCGCTGGGAACACGGTTGATTCCACCGATCACAAGATCCAATCTCGACTGCGCAAGATGTAAGGCAGAACACCCACAAAATATCTACCCTTCATACCAAATTGGTAGTTACCAGTCACATACTAGCTGGAGTATATCAACTTTCTAAGCAATCTCAGCGCCGATTTCCAAGTTCTACCCCTTCTCCTAGTTGCTTTCGCAAGCTACCAGCTAGATCGAACCAACATTTCCAGCGCACTGACTGGTGGATTCGCCTCAGCAATATCCGTCGATCAAAACATCATCAACATCGGCAACCAGCTAATGTTTCTGGGTGTCATTGCTCTGGAAATCCCCTCAAATGTCATTTTACATCGGGTAAGGCAAGCCAAACCACATCTCTCAATTTCTGCAATCGACTCGTGCTGATTCTCATTGTAAACAAATAGATCGGTCCTCGCTACTGGATCGGCGGTCAGGTTCTGATATTTGGCTTTATTGCGGCGCTGCAAGTCTTTATTCGCAATCGCACTGGATTCCTTGTCACGAGGTCTATCCTTGGTCTTGCGGAAGCGGGATTCATCCCCGGTGCGATGTTTACTTTATCTCAATGGTATACCCGAGAAGAAATCACGCGACGGATCGCAATCTTCTTCTTTGGCATGTTTGGAGGGACGGCTGTTGGACCACTTCTGGGAGCAGGACTCCTTAAATTGGATGGAAGGGGGAGCCTGTCTGGGTGGCAGTGGATATTCTTGGGTGAGATGAGCATTCACTTTATGGATTCGAGCTTTCACATATCTGACTTTGAGTTCCTCACAGTGGAGGGACTTTGGACGATCACGGTCTCACTTATGCTGCTCGTATTTCTTCCTGAAAGACGTAGCTACGAACAGCCTTCCGAGCCCGAGAAGGCGATAGAGGAGACAGACAGCACATCGAGAAAAGTGTCTGGATCAAAGATCCCACTAAAGGTCATCCTCGAAACCCTGTCCAACGTCAGTAAATGGCCGCATTTTCTGGCAACAGCCTGCGTTTTCGCAACCTGGAGTCCATTGACTACTTACACACCAAGCATCATAATGTCGCTTGGCTTCTCTCGAGTGGAGTCAAACGCTTTAACCGCCATTGGAAATATAATGACTTTGCCAGTAGTCTTTTTCTTCGCATGGCTCAGCGACAAGACTTGCAGACGGGGCATGACAGTGATGATCGCAATTACGGTATATATGATTGCACTGATTTGTTTAAGAGTTATTCAACCACATGTCGATGCCTGGGGCAAATTTGGTCTTTGGACAATAGTGAACGCACTCGCGGTCGGTTATCATCCTATCCACAATGCTTGGATACAAATGAATAGCAGAAGCCCGGAGGAAAGGAGTATTGGTGTGGCGTAAGTATAACTGTCCCTCAAAAAGTATTCAATGCTAACCTACCCATTGGCAGTATGTGTAAGTTTCATTCTCGCTCCGATTCGACAAAATACTAACAGCGTAGTCGTCATGTGCGCAACTGCCGGATTAATGGCAGGCACACAGATATTTCGCCAAGAAGACTCTGAAGAGTTCTACCCGAATGGGCTATTAATAATGATTGGGCTAGTTCTCATGGGGCTCATTCTAACCGCCCTGCAGGAAGTTATATACTATGTGCAAAACCGCCGGGCCGGAAAGCAGGGCAGTTTCACAGAGCTCAATATTCTATGAAGACTACATCGACGACGCAAGATACCGTTATGGATAAATCTAGAATGAATTCAATTTTTCATCATCGTGCCCAGACAAGAGGGTATATCGGAAATCCTCGATCAATTTATTTAGATCTGAAACGTGGGGTCGTAACCTCGTATACCCCCGGCTAGCGAGCGCCGATCAATGTAACCCCTGGCCACCGTACCTACAGAGTAGCTCGAATGAGAAATAGCAAAAGGCAACGTGGCACGGGAATTAAGCAGATCTGAATTTCGGCAAATAGGCGATTGGGTTTGTGTATAAATAGTGCCAGGAAGAAGGTAGTAGCCATGTGGCTGTCAGTGACTCCAAAATCGCCCAATCCAAACCTTTGAATATACCCTCTCTTAACACATTATTTTCATGATGCGGTGGATCGCAACTTCCAAGCTTCTTGCCCCCCTCTTCCTCTGCCTCACGGATATAACCCAAGCTACAAGCCCGAGCTCTCACGACCTTGCTGTGGAAGTAGGACACCATGTCATTTTCTCATACCCCGGCCTCGAGCCTCCCGCCCATCTCTTCGACCTAATTAAACAAGGCAAAGTCGGCGGCATAATCCTCTTCGGGGAAAACGTCAACAGCAACCTCAGCAACGTCATTAGCAACTTCCAAGACGCATATCAACAAAGCCGCACGTACGCGGGCGTCCCACTACTCATCACGACAGATCAAGAGGGAGGCAAAATCCGCCGGCTACCCGGCGGGCCCTCACAGAGCGCAAAACAAGTCGGACAATCGCCGAATCCAAAGGACGCAGCGACAAAAGCCGGCCAGGATGCAGCCGCTATTCTGAAGGAGTATAAGATGAACGCCAACCTCGCGCCTGTGCTAGACGTCTATCGTGAAGCTGGGGACTTTACGGACCAGTACGGCCGGTCCTTTGGCAATTCCTCGGCCGTGGTGAGTCAGTGTGGTTCGGCCTTTATTTCGTCGCAGCAGGGTGCGGGGATTCTCGCAACTGCGAAACATTTTCCTGGGTTGGGTGCTGCGTTGAAGGATTCGAATACGGATGAAGAACCCGTTACTATTGACTTGACGATTCGACAGCTTCGTGCTGTGGATGAGAAACCGTATAAAGAGGCTATTGCTGCTGGATTGGATATGGTCATGACTTCGTGGGCTCTTTATCCGGCACTTGATTCTAAGTATCCTTCTGGGATGAGCAAGAAGTGGGTTCAGGGTGAATTGCGAGGTCGGTTGGGGTTTAAGGGTGTGACGATTACTGATGCGATTGAGGCTGGGGCGCTTGAGTCGTTTGGGGGTGATGCGGATCGGGGACTTCTCGCTGCGCAGGCTGGGATGGATATCCTTTTAGCTTCTGGGAGGAATGTTAGTCAAGGTGAAGCTATTGTTGATGGGTTGGTTACTGCGTTGGAGAATGGAATTCTGCCTCGTAAGTCTTTCTCGGAGGCTACTGGTCGGATTTTGAGTATGAGGAAGAAGATTCTGGGTTAGGGGGGTTTGTGTATTTGCTTATTCTCGTACCCGGACAAATGAAGGGGATACCTTGGTAGAATCATGACCCACTCTATTCATCGTCCCTATCTGTAGAAGTTTATTCTCGTCTAGTATCGTCCATCGGCTCGAGGCATCCCATCTGACCTACTGAACTCGCGTGGTGGTCAACTCCCATCCCCCCTCTGCTCCAACAAACTTTTCATGTCTCAAAACTTGAACTCTGTCTCGGCAAGATTCCTAACCGAACGTGGGTCAAGTTGGTGAATATTTGGGGGCCAAAGTAGCTTTTGTCGGAATATTCCTCGCTGGTGTGACATCTAGTGTGATATTGCGGGTTGGTGCAGGGGGCGATGTATAGATCGGTAGTTTTCAGTGCCCCTCGGCGGAGACAGAAAATTTCCTAGGCATTTAGTGTGTTCGGCAATGAGTGTTAGTGTTCTTTATAGCGGGTATTTGAGAGGCGAGAACGCTCTTTGGTGTCGCTAAAGTGAGTACCTTGGACGTTATAAGCGGGTACACTTTGTTGTGAGTGGCCATTCATATAGGGCAGATTGAAAAGCGAAAGGTGGGCTGTGTTCGTTCATTTTTTATTTCATTCTCAGAGGTAGTTTGGGAGCGTGACTTGGAATCTTCAGGAACTAAGTTCGAACCCAAAGATAATGGGGTTGTAATAGGTTGTAGTGGTAGACTGGAAATTGAGGCTGGTGGACCCGCCGTTTTCGTAGATCACAAGTAAGGTACTTATACCTAGGATCTGTATAACAGCAACAACCAAGCTGAATATTATTCAACATGGATAAATCACAAAATATACAGCTCACTACCTAGGTACTAGAGAAATAATCATATAATATACTATACTATACTAGTATACTAGTACTAGTAGTACTCCATAACTAACTAACCCTTAAGTAGTTGCACACGCCACCGGAAGAAGCTCCACTCCGCCCGCGGACTTTCCCACTTCGCTATCTCTTCGCGCAATCCTGCGCCAACTTTTTATCCCCTCCAACTCCCACTCTCCTTCCTATTTTCCTTTTCTTCCTCTTCCTTCAATTACCTTACTGGTATAGACGCACTCCTTTCCTCTTCGCGACAACTTCCGGCCTTGCGCGACCGAGCGCCCCTCCCGCCATATCGCGCTAGCTCTAACGCCATCATCATCATGGGTCTCTCCAAGACTCACAGGATTATCATCCTGCTGGTGATCGACTCGGCCTTCTTTGTGCTAGAATTGAGTACCGGTAAGCATATAATGCGTCCTCTTGTGTCATGTATTTCCCTTTTGATCTCCTCTCACTGACCCTCTCTAGGTTATGCCGTCCACTCCCTTGCTCTCGTCGCCGATTCCTTTCACATGGTACATATATACCCTTCGTCGCACCAGCTCCCTCTCACCAACTCCCCCTGCCTCTCCCTCCATCTGTTTCACCAAACATCATCTGACACTTCCACTTCTAGCTCAACGATGTCATCTCTCTCTGCGTCGGTCTCTGGGCGGTCCGTGTTGCCAACAATGAAACAAACTCCAAAATGTACACTTATGGCGTAAGTCGATCCCTATCAACATCCCCGAGGAAATGAATCTTGGTCTAATAATTGATATTTTGTACGGCTAGTGGCAACGCGCGGAAACTCTCGGTGCCCTTGTGAATGGTGTTTTCTTGGTTGCACTGTGTATGTCGATCTTCCTGGAGGCTATCCAAAGATTGGTTGAGCCGCAAGAGGTGCAGAATCCTAAGTTGGTCTGCATCGTCGGATGCTTGGGCCTTCTCTCCAATATGATAGGCCTGGTTCTCTTCCATGATCACTCCCACGGGCACGGCGGCCATGGCCACTCCCATGGTCATTCTCACGACGAGGAGGATGTCGAACATGGTCACGACCATGATCATATCCATGACCACGACCACGACCACGAACATACGAGCGACCCCATCGTCGCTGATCAACGCGGAAGTGTTGCGGAGATCATGCCCGAGAACCTCGTCGGTGCCCGTGGTCCCGCCAGTTTATCGCAGACCAGTTTCCCCGCCATCGAGCCCGCTTCTCCTAGCTCCCGCAAGCGTCGCCTGGATTCTCAAACTCGTGGCTCGCGCCGCTACAGTACTTCTACCGGACGTGGGATTGGTAATGTGGAAGATCTCTACGTCCACCCGGCGACTATGCGACAGGATATCATTGCTGCTAGTCGCGGCACCTTCGATAACGAGCAGTCCTCGGATTCCGACAGCCGCGATGACGAAACCCCTACCGAGCGATCCGGTCTGCTGCACAACCGCGACCGGGCCTCCAACTACACTGATGAACAAGACAGCCCCTTTAAGATTCCCCCTCGTACCATCGAAGAAGATGTTCACAAGGACCACAACCACGCTCAACCTAAGCCGAAGAACAAGAAGGGTGGCCACAACCACGACCTCAACATGCGCGGTGTTTTCCTCCACGTCATGGGCGATGCCCTTGGTAACATTGGTGTGATTGCCTCTGCTCTCGTGATCTGGCTTACTGACTACGAATGGCGATTCTACGTCGACCCCGGCATTTCCCTCCTTATCACCGTGATCATTCTGATCTCCGCCATTCCCCTCTGCAAGGCCGCCTCGCGTATTCTTCTGCAAGCCGTGCCGCAGGGCATGAGTATCGACCACATCAAGGAGGACATTGAGGGTCTTCCCGGTGTCATTGGCTCGCACCATCTCCACGTCTGGCAGCTCAGCGACACTAAGATTGTCGCCTCGATTCACATCCAGGTGGACACCCAAATCAAGGGCGAAGGCTCGGAGCGGTACATGCGTCTTGCCCGCCAGATCCGTCGCTGCCTACACGCATACGGCATCCACTCTTCCACCATCCAGCCCGAGTTCGCCCCGGATAGCGATGTCGATGAGATCCAGAATGGCACTCTGCCTTCTTCCTCTTCGCGCGCGGTGAACACAGATGCCAACGGTTCCAGCCATGCGGGCAGTCTTCGTGATGGAGACCCTCAGGCCTGTTTGCTGGAATGCGATGACAACTGCGGCCGTGGCGGCCAATGCTGTCCCAAAAAGTCCCCTTGATTTTGTATTTGATTCGATTTGACGTGAATCATATCCTGGCCATTCATTATTTCGGTCTCCTTTCCCTCTCTCTCTCGGCCTCGATTTGTAACCACCCTCACAAATCATAACCCTCCTCATTCTCATCAATGCTTTCATTGTTCATACCCCATGTATCCTCAAACACTACATCCTTCTCTACACACACGCGCACGCGCACGCTCTCTTTCTTCTATCATCATCTTTCATACTCTCATGTCACACAGGGAACAAGAATGATTCCCTTTGGCGGGATGGACCGCACGATAGAACCGCTCTCATGGCATTGGATTTGATTTGGGCTCGTTTCGGTCTCTAGTCTCAGTCGAATAGCCGACTTTATCATACATGTACTAGTACTTTTACCTATCTCTAATCCACCCGCAAATCGCCCTGCATTGTTTGACACTGCGGCCTGCTGATGTGCGGGATACTCCATATTTCGTGCTCCATACACTGTCCGAGATAGGATAGAGGATCGGCCCCACGGTCCACCTGACAAATGATGGGATATGGGATATTGATCAGTATTAATCCTGATAAATGTCTTTTTTGCTCATGTGTGTCAGTTATTTTCTATCTCAACTCCTTTAGCCATACAATATACTATACTTGTGTACTCAACTGTACTCTATTGTATGTCTCAGCTATTTCCGTCGCCACCACGTGACCGCCGATCGCCCCTGGCCAGCCTGGTCTACCGTTCCTGACGGTTGTAGGTCGTCTTGTTATCTTCCATCCCTGTCCAACTTGCCCTGGGGAATTTCTCTATCCTCAACCCTCCCAGTCCCCCTTTCTTTCTTTCGTCTCCCTTTTGTTGAAGACTATGCAGCGTCACTCCTTTCGCTGATTTTATTACCCTCCCCCCCTCCCGTCCTTTTGGGGCCCGAGCCAACGACGAAGCATTGCCAAGCCGCCGGCCGACGATGAGCTACGCCTATTCTCGCAGCACAGGTGCCTCGTCCCTTCCTTCTTATAAGAGTCCTCCTCCAAAATCGCCAACCTTCATCGACCAAGCTTGGGATCGCCTGCCCGGCGCGAAACAGTGGGTGGAGGATGGGGTTGCCGCAATCGGGTCTCGAAGATCGCGCGATCGCGGTGATGTTCAGAGCTCCGCGACCAGGATCTTCAGGCGCATTTTCACTGTCGCCAATGCTGTGATCCTGGTCTGGGTATGGACGCTGTGGTGGGGAGAGCGCACGGTCTTCCAGGAGCATATTGATGCCTGTGTTTGGGATAATTGGGAGCATTGGGTAGGTCTTGCAGAGCTTCGGAGCCAAATCTACAATATACTCTACACTCCCCGACACTCCGCAACAACACTCTAGTTCAAATTGCTGATTCTTCCTCACTGTCAGCCTCAACATGCCACCCCGCATCATATCGCTTTTGTCGCCGATCCACAGCTGGTTGATCCCCACACCTACCCCGGTCGTCCGTGGCCGTTGTCCACTCTCACCGTCAAATATACTGATCAATATATGCGCCGCTCTTTTGCATCGATACAAAAGAACTTGGTTCCTGACTCAGTTCTCTTTTTGGGAGATCTCTTTGATGGTGGTAGAGAATGGGCGACAAGGACGACGACCAGTCCCGAAGATCGCTACAAAAAGATCGACGATACCTTTTGGAGAAAGGAATACCGTCGATTCGTCAAGATATTCATAGACCCTTGGGTAGCACAGGATATTGCCCCTGTCGATGGCCGGGGTCGCAAAATGATCGCCAGCCTCCCAGGAAACCACGACCTAGGATTTGGCAATGGAGTTCTGGAGCCCGTGCGGGATCGCTTCCAGAGCTATTTTGGCGACAGCAATCGCGTCGATGTCATTGGAAACCATACATTCGTCTCGATCGATACCGTCTCACTTAGCGCAATGGACCAACCGGATCCTTTAACGGGCAGTTCAACGCCCAACCCAACCGATGACCCCAACTACCGGCCAATCTGGAAAGACGCAGACGAATTTCTGGATAAGATGCCTACCAACAAGGCCAGGGCCGAGATGGAGGAGCTCATGATGCTTCAAAATAAGACGGATACTACCAACGTCAAGTTCGACCATCATGTTGTCGATGCCACCGAAAGCTCCATTTTCCACAAGCCCAATCCCAAGTCAAAGGGATTCCCTACCATTCTTCTCACCCATGTGCCATTATACCGCCAACCGGCTACTCCCTGCGGTCCCCTGAGAGAACGTCACCCCCCGTCTGCTCCAGATCTCGAACAGGATGAACCGAATTCGTTGAGTATTTCAGGCGGCTACCAATACCAGAACGTATTGACGCCGAAGATCTCAACCGAGCTCGTCTCAAAGGCAGGACCCAACGTGGTCCAGGTCTACTCCGGCGACGACCACGACTACTGCGAAGTAATCCACCGCGAATTCAACGGGTCCCCGAACGAAATCACCGTGAAAAGTCTATCCTGGGCAATGGGCGTCCGACGCCCAGGCTTCCTCTTAACAAGTCTCTGGAACCCAATCGACCCCATAACCGGCGAATCCACGCAAAACGCCGCACCTCTTACAATCCAAAACCACCTCTGCATTCTTCCCGACCAACTCGGCATATTCATCCACTATCTCTGCGTCCTGCTCGTCAGCATCCTCGTTCTTTCCCTCAATTCCTTCTACCACGTCAAATTCTCACCCGACGTGACAAGCTCGGGTGACGTCCTCCCCTCTCTGAGCGTCGCGCCCCCCCCCGCGACACATGTACCAAACATCCGGTACGTCCAGTTCTACTTTACCCCAGAACGGTCTCGCCAGCCGTAATGGCATCAACGCACTACCCCGCTACCCCGCGGGTGGTGCCCCCGGCGCGAAAAACCCACCCGCTTATCGCGGTCTAGATCGCGAAGACATGAAAGATAAACCGATGTTCCGCCCCGCTCAGGCCAAAGGTCTTCGCCAAAGCGCTGCGGTCATTGGTGGCGATCTCTTGCAGAGTGTCAAGTATGTTGCGGTCGTTGTATTGAGCTTGTACTTCTTCTTGATCTGGCGCTGGTAGTCAGGGACTGGTGGGATCTTGAGTTTTGTTTTGTTTGTTCATGTTGACGGTTTAGCGGGTGCATAGAATACACAATAGACATGAATTTTCTTTGCTCTGATCTGGTTGGTCTTACTTGATTCTAGTGTTGATGTGTAGTATGTGGTAAATAGTGGTTTTTGCTGTTGCTATTGCGGTGTAGTGGGCAAAGGAGTGACATCTAGTACGAAGTACCTAGGTATAAGGGTATTCTCCACGCTAGCGAAACTAGAGTATGATTTGAAAGTGCCCAGGTGCTTCATCAATTCCGGTCTTATTGAACCGTTCGAGCTTGATGTAATGGCACATCTTCGACATGTGTTGAGGGAAATGGAGTGAAAATTTGAAACTTGAATCAATCTGATCAATGTCTGGGGACGGTGCCCTCCACACTCCATACTCCGCACCCCTCGGCCCCCGGACCCATGAACATTTACAATACTCGGGGCCCAAGCCCGAACCCGAGACATTCGATTCGGCCCCAAAGCACCCCGCAACGCAGACGGCCGAGTCTTCCTTAAAGTTCGTATATCCCCGAATCGGCTGCGCACTAATGCAGTTGATTCGCCGAGATCGGGAAATTCTCGGAGAGCTATCGGATAGCCCGTCCAATCCGCGACACGGTACGGAGAACAAGTAAATGCCGCAGTCAGGCTTTTGGATGAAGCCAAGACTAAACACGGGCCGGGTGCCACTTGCGTTGAGGATTGCGTCTGCACGACATGGTTGGATTGTTACATGATTACTTTGTCTGTGAGATGGATGGTTTATTCTTGACTGCTGCAATACTATTGACTTGAATAAACACATAGATACTAGTATCTAGAGAGTACTCCGTACAACGTAGTATCTCCTCAAATAATAATTATATGCAATGCAACAATCGGGGTGGTAAAAGAACCTTGGAAAAGGGAAGTGGATCCCAGAAACAAAAAGTCGAACAAGGTTTCAGGGGCCAAGCAAAAAATAGCCAAACGCCACCTTTCCACCACTTGCTTGTACCTCATTCAGGTCCCGGTGAGCAGTGAAACGCGACACAAGGCCCATGGTCATGGTAGCACACGCCCGTTCTGACTATGCTGTCATGGGTTGATCCTATCTCCAGCAGTCGATCGGTGAGCGTCTGGAGATTCTGGGGAGAAATCAATTTTGCTGGGGTTGTGGAGGGTGAAAATCCGGAGATTCAATAGCCAATCGTGGAGATGGTATCGTTAGTGAGTTTACTCCATACGTGGTTTGATATTTTCATTCCATCATACTATATCTCGTATTATTATACAGAGTACGGAGTATACCGTGACTTTTCACGTAATTGATTCCTGCTGACAAGACCAGTCCCAGAAATAGACCAGGCTCACTCCCACGCCTGAACCAGCAAGGGATGCCCGTTTATCATTGCCCGAAGCCCGACTCGCCGATCCATTCTTGGCCCCGTTTGCGGGTTCCTCGGGTCTGTACAGAATAATAATAATACGCAAAATAAATTATTTCCTTTGCGGTTTCTTTCTGATTCTAGTCAAACAAGGGATGGAATAGAAGCCGCAATGTCTGTCACTCATAGCTGAATCGACTCTGATCAAAGTGGCAACTCCCGCAACCAGCAGTCAACCCCGTGAAACACGGACGGATGCCGATCCCATTCCCCTTTACCCTGAATTCTCTTCCCTTCTCGAACAATTTCGGCCGACCACGGTTTAGGGCAGAGAGCTAATCTGCCTTTCCACCCAATAATTTCTCGGCGACGCCCGAGATCTCCACTCCGGAGCGTGGCCGCATTGGTTCAGTGGCAATATCTTCTCCACACGCTTTCGCCATCCCCAACCTTGTTCCTCTCTCTCCATGCGGTTGGAAAACATGGAGGCATGGGGCTACCAAGTCCCTTCCTGCCTTTCTGTTTGCCTGTCTCGCTTTGGCCGCAATGGATCATTACATGGGGAATTGTCCCCACACCCACATCCCCGGGCCTAGAGCGGGTATCGTATGGTATTTTTCTTTTCTTTTCTGCTCGATGCTATGGAGGGTCCTGGTTTCGGGAGGTTTCTCGGATGAAGGAGTGCGGAGGTTGATCATGTCCGGGTTTTGCTGCCTCTTGGCCCTCGTGGTTTCGTTTGCGGGTGTGGAGTACAAGAAGCACTGTTCATCCTCTTGTTTTTCTTTTTCTTTCTTTTGAAGTTTGTTTTTTCTGTCTTTGTCTTCCCCCGCTGTTTTCTTTTCTTGTTGACTGTGTGAGTCTACTATACATTATACTATCATCATCAGTTTGATCAGTTCCTCCCACCTTACCTCATACTCATTGCATCCTCCTACCCTTAATTCATCACACGACCACCCTCACTATGGGTTTCGCTATCAAGAAGCCTGATGATGCCGTCGGCTCAGCGACACCGGCCATCATCATCGGTTTATTTGTTGCCTTTGGCGGTGTTCTATTCGGGTATGTCGATATTCTTCCCACTCTGAGATGACTACGGCGTCGAATCCTAACGTGCTGGCTTTTCTCAGATATGACACCGGTACCATCAGTGGTATCCTTGCCATGAAATACTGGCGAGAGTTGTTCTCGACCGGCTACACAAACCCCAAGGATAATCTCCCCGATGTAACTAGCTCGCAGTCTAGTATGATTGTTAGTCTCCTCTCTGCAGGCACATTCTTCGGTGCCCTCTTTGCTGCCCCGATGGCCGATCACTTCGGTCGTCGCCTTGCCATGATCTTCAACACCTTCGTTTTTGTCTTCGGTGTTATCCTGCAAACTGCCGCTACTGCCATTCCTCTGTTTGTGGCTGGTCGTTTCTTCGCCGGCCTGGGTGTCGGTCTGCTGTCTGCCACCATCCCCCTTTACCAGTCCGAGACTGCTCCCAAGTGGATTCGTGGTACTATCGTCGGCGCCTACCAATTAGCCATCACCTTTGGTCTGCTGCTTGCTGCCATCGTCAACAACTCTACCAAGGACCGCGAAGATACCGGCTGCTATCGGATCCCTGTTGCTGTTCAATTTGCCTGGGCTATTATTCTGGTCGGTGGAATGATCGTTCTGCCCGAGACTCCTCGTTTCCTCATCAAGCAGGATAAGCACGAGGAGGCTGCCAAGGCCCTTGCCCGTCTCCGCCGTGTCGACGTCAACGACTCCGCCGTCATCGAAGAACTCTCGGAGATCCAAGCAAACCACGAGTTCGAGCTTCGTCTCGGTAAGGCTACCTACTGGGAGATCGTCCGCGGCTCCCTCGGCAAGCGTCTCGCTACAGGTTGCGCAGTCCAAGCTCTGCAGCAACTCGCCGGTGTCAACTTCATCTGTACGTGATCCCACCCCTCAACCAGCACAGCCAATATCAAAATACTAACCATATCCATAACAGTCTACTACGGCACCACCTTCTTCCAGAACTCCGGCATTCAAAACTCCTTCGTCATCACCCTAATCACCAACATCATCAACGTCGTCTCTACCTTCCCAGGCCTATACATGGTCGAGAAATGGGGTCGTCGCCCACTCCTCATGTTCGGCGCCGTCGGCATGTGCGTCTCGCAACTAATCGTCGCAATCGTCGGCACAGCCGTCTCCTCAGCCGTCTCCAACAAAGTCCTAATCGCTTTCGTCTGCATCTACATCTTCTTCTTCGCCAGTTCCTGGGGCCCCGTCGCCTGGGTCGTCACCGGAGAACTATACCCTCTCAAGGCCCGCGCCAAGTGTCTCTCCATCACAACGGCAACAAACTGGCTCCTAAACTGGGCCATCGCCTACGCAACCCCCTATATGGTCAACGACGGGCCCGGCAACGCAAATCTCCAGTCAAAGGTCTTCTTTATCTGGGGCGGTTTCTGCTTTATCTGCGCTGTCTTCGTTTACACTTGTATCTATGAAACGAAGGGTCTGTCCCTCGAGCAGGTCGATGAACTTTACGCCAAGGTCCCTCGTGCTTGGAACTCTGTTGGCTGGGTTCCTTCCGTGCATTATACCGACGTGCGTGATGTTGCGGGTGCTGCTAAGGCGGGCAATCTCGCGGACCTCGAGATGGAGGCTAATGAGAAGCGGAGTGGTGAACATGCTACTCACTTTGAGAGCATTGCTTCTAAGACTGAGGTTTGATGTGTGATGGATATTGTTGTTGAAATTTGTGCTTAGCTCCCTTTAACTACTTATACTTTGGGGTGTTTTTGATTGTGCTTTTGCTGTTTTTGGCGGAATTACGAATGAGTCGTTTTGTGACTACTAGTACTGAGTTATGGATAAATTGCTCGATATGGCTTAAATTGGATATACGATTGATGGAATATATCTATTTACTTACTTACTTTGATCTCATTTTACAAGGTTCTATTGTGGTCGTGGCATTCCGAGCGTACTGGCCACATAGAATTAACATCCAAATCGAATTTTATTGCAGTTCTACCTAATATATCAACGCAACGGCGTAGTATATATACTAAATAGGGCACTATCTGGTAAATTTGCCAGTTCTGCGTCATTCTACGGCAAAATTAATGGTTTTGGAGATGGTGGTGGCGATCGGCCGTACTGCTTTTTGTATGCGTTGCGGAGCTTCGTTTTAGCAGTTCTCTCGTATTTGAACGCGCTTGTAGTAATACTGCGATTGAAATCCTTAATACTGAGTATCCTATTATACGAAAGTGGCTTAATCTAACACTTACTTTTTTGATGTTGTAATAGCATATATATGGCTGCCATTTTGGCAACAGTATCAGAAGTAATTATAGCGCGTTTGGCATCAATCTCAGTATATTGAAATATTTGATCAATATTACATGAGTGTTTTAGTTGAATCCCTAGGATATTGGCGTATTTAGTATAATTTTCTAAGTATTTTTCTATATTTTTAGGAGACATAGCTTTAACACTAGAGGATAAGGGAAACTCTAGTGGTAATTTTTTCCCCTATGTATAATATAATTAGGTATACTATAGGAACTTAGATTAATCAATTATAAAGAACTAAATATATATAAATAAAGAGTACCCTATATGTATCTAGTCTTTTCTTTCCTATAGATAGGAATCTAGTCCTATTGTGAGGCTAGGTCTATTCTGTATAAATAGAGCCATGCCAGCGCAGGATCAACCCTAACCCTATTCCCAGTCATCACCCCAGAGGGAATACGCCCAAGAGGCGTACCAAAAATTGGAAGTTTAAGTAGTCCCGAGGTCTTGAAGACAATCAAACAGAAATTTCTCCAAAAGCCCTTATGACTCACTGGCCACCTGGGCACATACCTAGTATATTACGTTTCTTAAACTTTACAATAACACCTTGTAGTCAACACCCTTCTTGCAAAAACACAACCTCAGCCTTTCATAATACGTATTTCTCTAATGCTCAAACCCAATCCGTGGGCCCTCATTGAATTCCCTAAAATCCCCCCTCAAGCTCCCAATTCCGTCCCGCCTGACTTCGTCTACCAGATCCTTGACCTTGGCCGCAATGCGCTTCGGCTCAAATCCGAAGTGCTCGTACGTCTCCTTTGAAGGAAGACTCTTGCCAAAGCTATTCATCGAGACGGATGCATCTGCATATCGCTCCCACCCGTTAGATGGATATGCCTCAATCGCGACAGCGGGCTTGTTAGCTCGCGCCTTTAGCACCGATTGCTTGTATTCCCGAGTCTGCATTTCGAAAAGTCTAG